ACTTATTCTATATTTCACATAGAAATAATTGAAACTTAGCGAGTAGTGACTCAGTTAAAATTTCATTTTCTTAAAACAATAAAATATAATATGCAAAATGTTCATTTAATATTGAAGATTTGTTAATCATAAACCAATATTAAAAGTTTAGAAGTAAGTGTAAAATTAATACGTAGATGCCAGTGTGTAGTATATAAGTGTGAGTGTGTGTGTGTGTGTGTGAAAGGAGTGAGTGTGTGTTATTATTTTGCTTAACAGTTTGCATTTTTAACTATCTATATTTAATAATTTTTCAGTTTCCTCGTAAGATAAAGATATTAAAAATTAGTTAGAGCTTGCTTATATTTGAAACATGTTAGTCGATCGGTAGGCAAAAACGTTGTTGCCCATAAATCGGATTCAATTTGGGATAGTTGCAAATAAAAGAAGAAGCTTTATTTACTGATATTTTAAAAAATTGCAATAACATTATATCATTATTTATGTATTTAAGCTTAAGTTACGAATTTGATTACTCTGAAAAATATAATATAATATGTATATAATGGCAACAATATTTATCATTTTATTAGTCTGGACCCAAAGGGTGTTAAAAAAGATTGTTATACTAAGCCTACAATGTTGGGTCTTGCGGGCTTAGTATTACAGTCCAGACGGAATGTAACAGCCATGCATCCGACATCGCCTAGTATATGTATACTGGCCGCCTAATAGCAGGTGATTCTAAGGTACAGAATAACATTTCTCAAACTTGCATAATACTAGAACACTACTGAAGGGAGGAGACAAAATTTCTTTAGCAAAATTATTTCTGTCTATTAGTCATTAGATGAGTTAAAACAAGAAAATAAAAATCAATACTGATTACAATATTTCAATTACCTATGTAAAAAACGACAAAATAATATAGATGATTTACAATTATGAATGTATTGATAATATCATGCACAATTAAAAACCCTAGCATGTCTACAATACCTAAAATAGCAATATTTGAATCAAAAACAAGTTAAATAATAAATAAGCTCATGTACACAAGAGCAGAGTAAAACCAGCAAATAATAATTTCATTTTGACAATAATTGGTTGTCTATTTATTTCCCTGATTTAAAATTAACCTTAAAATTTTGTCTCTATATTATATGCTTGCAGTTACGACGTAAATAGAATAAATTTTATTCAAAACTACAACTTATTAGAGAATACTTGATTACAAAACTCATTAAGTAATTAATGTTTTTACTTGTTTGGGAAAAGCCTCTGTCCTATGCAGAAAACAAGCAAGAAGTCCAAGCGGGTCATTTGAACAAAATGTTATTTAGAATATAATGTTTTACAATTAAATATTAAAATATTTAGAAAAAACATTAATCACCCCATTCCCAGGGGTTTATCAATCGTATATTTTATTGTAATAACCTTTTTTTGAACAACTTTGCTTAGTTAAAAATTTTCAGTTTTTGATAGACTGCATATTTTATGACTTGTAAAAACATATACTATTGCCCCATGAAGGAAAACTTATTCTTTGAAGTGGAATAACTGATATAACTAGCTTGTACTTGTTCCTAGTATTTACAGAATATACATTACTATTTTTAATAAAAAACTATTGTTGCTTTTGTGTACATTAAATTAACAAAAACAAAAATTAATAAAAAACATACATTAAATTTTCATAAAACTACTAAAACGCTATAGTTAATATATTTACTTCTAAAAAACTTTCTTGAAAAGACTCCTTCGGACTTAGGTTGTAAAGTGCTCTCATGGCTCTCTTCTGCAAAACAAAGTTATTTCAATGTGAAATGCATTAACCCCATTGCAAGATCCCTTATGTAATAAATATGGCGTATCAAAGGGTCACTATCTCTTTGTTATGGAATGCAAAATATAGTTGTTGCACATTTGCACCCAAGATAGAGAGAACTTGTAAATTTACTCCGTCCATGTCACACACTGTTGCAGATATATTCATCCCAGCCTGACAGCCTGGAAGTTATGCCAGCTATGACTGATTCAAGACCTGAAATCAAAAATTAAATATGTTTTACAACCGTTGAGCTTTTATAATCAACTTTAATTTCAACTGTTAAAATAAAATGAAACATCATACAAAGTACTAATAATTACCTCTTTTATTAGTACAGTAAGATGATTTGCAGTTAAAAATGCATTGGAGAAATAGTGGGCAATGGCCTGTTTCAGTCTTCCTAGTACTAACAATCATAAATACTAATGCATATGATGCAATGACTGAAGATGTTCCTTGTGTTCTATGATCCTAATACACTTCAATCAAATCTTCTTTGGGTTTATACATCACATTTTTTTAAAGACATTTCATCAAATATCAATATAAATTGATTGTCTGATGGTTTTATACCTATTTAAAAAATCTGCCAGGCCTTAAAAACTGGTTGATTGATTCCAATAGCAAAGAGTATTCAGTTAACCCTTTAATAGAGCCTGAGTAGCCTGTAACAGGTAGGTGACCTTTTATAAAGCCACATGGCTTTGATTTTCATATGTCAAGTAGCTTTTTCTTTCAATTTCCTATTTGAACTTGTAATTACAGCGCAAATGTTGATGTTATTTTCTTGGATAATTTTCTTACTGTATTTTCATTAGCTAAACAATACAATTTTGGCTTTTAATGTTTTAATGTGATTACGCAATTGGTAGAATTTTCTCATGTATCACTTTCTTTAATCTTTATTCGTCATGCAGCACAGTTTCTAGTCTCTATCCCATATCCCACTGCGAATCACTGTCAAACACATTGCACGCGCGTCCAGACTCTCGATTTCTTTCTTTTTTGTTGTAAATGTACAGTACAGGTACTTAAAAAAATAAAACCTCTTCTCATCACTTGAATCCATTTTGTTGAAAATTCTCTGTCTCGATTAAAAAGTCTACAAATACAAAATTAACATCAAACTTATCTTTCAACATGACAATATTTCTACAAATTTGTTTTCAAACATTTTGTTTCTGCAGTTATATAGATATAATATAGTTATAATATGTAGTGTACAATAAACTGTCAAACATATTTAACTACAATATGTTTAGTGACTATGCAAACGCTTTTTGGTACATTGACAGAAAACAGTGTTTAAAACATGTTTTTTCGTGAAAATCGCGTCAGTGCAAACGCACGGTAATATAGTTAAAATATAATGTACAATAAACTGTCAAACATATTTAACTACTATGTTTAGTGACTATGCAAACGCTTTTTGGTACATTGACAGAAAACAGTGTTTAAAACATGTTTTTTCGTGAAAATCGCGTCAGTGCAAACGCACGGTAAGCACTGCAAAATGTTGATGGTGTTAGAAATGCAGCAATATCTGCCATCTTTTGTGTGAAACAAGCCTTTGTCCGTTCTGCAAGGGAAGAAATAAAAGACCTGCCTATAATTGATAACTGGAAAAAATTGCTTGATTATTTAAGAATAAGCATAGGAAGCCTCAATAAGGAAAATTTTCGCGTCATCTATATTAATAAAAAAGTATCGTCTAATAGCGGAAGACCTGCAAAACGTTGGTACATTACATCAAACTCCTCTTTATGTCAGAGAGATCATCAAGCGCGCACTTTTGATTGGTTCAACATCCATTGTAATATCTCACAATCATCCAAGTAGAGATACACAAACTTCAAATAGCGATATATCTCTCACTAGGCAAATAGCATAAGCTTGCCAAAGTATAGGAATAGAATTAATAGACCACATTATTACTACATTCAGTAGCTATTTTAGTTTCAAGGAAAATAGGTTGTTGTGAAAGCTTTTATAGCTACAGTAAATTAGATTTACCGACAATCGTCATTCCGCCAAGTGTTAGTGGATAAGAGATACCGTGACGGTATGACGGTTCGCGGCGGCATGACGATAAGCTCGTCATCCCGCTACGTGTTAGCGGCGCGGCGGCATGACGGTAAGTTTTACTGTGGCACAATGGTGTAGTATAATGTTGGTAACCTAAGTTACTGTAGCTATAAACGATTAAGATGAAGTTATCATATATCTATATACTTACAAATAAAGCTAATAGCATATTATATATTGGTGTAACTGCAAATTTGATCAAGAGGATTTGAGAACACAAAAACAAAATTGTTTCAGGTTTTAAATCAAGATATAATGTAAATAAATTTGTATATTTTTCAGAGTTTGAAGATATAAGTTTAGCTATTGCAAGGGCAAGGCGCCTAAAAGAATGGCCAAGGGAGTAGAAAATTAATTTGATCAATCAAAAGAATCCTAGCTGGGTTGACTTATATTACTTAGCTTTAAGATAGCTATGCTGAGATCCCGCTACGTGTTAGCAGCTGAGATACCGCGAACGAATCGCGGTATGAAGGTTCGCGGTGGTATGACGTAGTAGCTATTTCTTGTAACCAAGTTTCGTTAAAGGTCAGATTGAATGGTTAAATCTTCCAACCAAATAACCATACACTCTACTTGTTTGTTTGGATATATTTCTTGTACTAAGGTTTTATAGGTCAGCATTTGCTTTTTTATTTCATTTAAATAAGAAAACAGAAACATTACAGTGTGATTTGTAGTCAATTATGATCGCTTTATCTTGCGTTATACATAGCCTATCTAGTCGTACTAATACTGGTTCGCCATCGATTATTCCACTCAGTGTAATCTCTGACTTGCCTTCTAAGTCAAACAAATAGCAATATTTTTCATTAAAGGCTAATATTTTACTGTAAATTTCATCCTTATCTTCACTGGTGTTTATATTGTCAAGATATTTTCTGACCCAGTTTTTTCTCCTTTCTTTTTCTATCTTGGGCATATACTGCAATATGCTGCGGATTATTAAGCCTCTTGTATAACTGTCTTTTGTTTCAGCGATACTTTCTGTCATTCCAGTACCCCTATTTGTCATTCTAGTGCTTGACACTGGGATCCAGGCTTCTTTTTCTCTGGATTCCAGTGTCAAGCACTGGAATGACATGGATAGGTTTGGCGGAAGCTAAATCACTGGTACGTCAAAATAATCACGTTTTTTATAAATGTAAGGGTAGTTTGCGTTCATACATAACACTTCAACTTTTTCTTTAAATATTGGCTGTAAGTATGCTTGTTTCTTTTCATATGGTTCTCTATACTGAGTGATTAGATTATACCAAGAGCCCTTTTGCACTGGCTCTTTACTTAAGATGTATAACTCATCTTCAGCATGTGTGAGTGCTACGTATAATAAACGCAAATATTCGTTATAATCCTCTAGTTTTTTCTCTCTTTTTACTTGATCACAATAAGCGTTATTGTTTTTTCCACACCAAAATGGCACTTCCGTTCCATCAAAGATAATGCTTTCACTGTTTCTTGGCACTATGTTTGTATCAACCAAAAATACTATGGGAGCTTGCAGACCTTTTGATTTGTGAATTGTCATTATTCGCACATCATTGCGTTCTGATTGCATATCATTCTTAATCTCCGGGTTATTCTCCTTGATCCACTGAACAAACGCTTGAAGAGATGGATTTTCAAATTGTAACACAAGGTTCATAAATTCGTCTAGAACCTCGAAGCACTCAAGACCTAGCCTTGCAGCAAATTTCTTCTTACCTGTACGTAATATATGTGTAAATAGTGCAGAAGGAGACTCTATGCGAGATAAGTTAATGAGATAGTTTAATTCACTATAGATAACCACAGAATAATCGCGAATTCTTTCCCATAGTGAATGCTCTTTACGGTCATATGCAATGTTAAATAAATCATCCTCGGTAAAATTGAATAACGGTGATTTTAAAGCATTTGCGAGAGCTAGATCATTTGCCTGGAGAAGTAAAAATTTGGCCAAAGCTATTAAGTCCTGCACGGCTACATAGTCCATAATTCTAAAATAATCTTGGCCTACAACTGGCACATTTGCTTTTTTAAGTTCACTTATTATGTAATCAACTAACACGTTTCGTTACCGTACCGGAATCACAATGTCCCTTGGCTCTATATGGCGATCTTTAGCGACTAAAATCCGCCCTTCGTTTAACCAATTGTGAATTCTGTTGGCTATTGTTTGAGCAAGTAATCGATTTGTTATTATATAATTTTCCCTGCATGTCAGAGGAAGAGCCGTGGTAGCTCAGTGGTTAACGCTCGCTGTAAATATAACAGAACGCGAGTAACCCGGGTTCGATCCCCGCCGGCACCAATGAAATTGTTAATTGCAATTTTAAGTGCTGATTTACCACGTGCTCGGCGGTGAAGGAAAACATCGTGAGGAAACCTGCATGTCTGAGGAATAAGAAAAAAATATTTCTAAGACATGTGAAGTTCGTCAACACGCATTTGGGCAGCGCGGCGGACACTTCCTTGCCCTAAACCCTCTCAGAAATGAGGGGAGGCCTGAGCCCAGCAGTGGGACGTATGTAGGCTGTAACTTTACTTTTTTACTTTTATGTCAGAGGAATTTGTAAAGCTCGCTGTTCTTTCTCTTTACACTTTGGTAACGCTGGCCAAATTTCAATATATCCTTGATCATTTTCTCTATGTGGAACATGTTTTATTTCATTATCAATAAAAGATATTTCTGCGCGGAAGTTGTTAAATATTCTATCTACAAGCATTAAAACTTCTGGAGTTGAACGAAATGACTTTTCAAGTTGGCATGATATCCAATCTCTGCCACCAGTTTTCGTATGAAAGTATTGTTGCATGTAGTTGAATAGATGGGGATTTGCTCCTTGAAACCTGTATATGGATTGTTTTACGTCACCAACTACAAATAAGGTTCACTTTTCATCATTACCGGCAAAAAATTCATCGCAGAGATTTGTTATAGTTTTCCATTGGCTGATGCTATTGTCTTGTGCTTCGTCAATAAGGATGTGATCTATTTTTTGATCCAAGTTAAACAATATCCAATCTTTGTAGTTTGGATTGCTGAGAAGATTTGTTGCTAAGCCAATTATATCATTGTAGTCAAGCAGTGCGTTTTTTGATTTTTCGCTACTATATAGATCGACATATACTTTAAATATACCAAGTAAGCTACTGGTTCTCTTGAATATTTGATAAGAGTTCATGTCTTTTATATGAGTAAAAACTACATTCTGAACGCTCTCTATTATTTGCTCTGCATCTCTAAATTTTTCTAAAGTACTTTTTGTTGCAATGGATGATATGCTCTTTTTTTGTGCGATTCTGATTTGAGAAATACCTTGGCTAAATCTTCTATTCTGGTGTCTTTCCTCTTCATTCCGTTATCATCCCAGTGCTTGACACTGGGATCCATATTTCTTTTTTTCTGGATTCCAGCGTTACGCTCTTGAATTACAGAGAGTGGTGGAATGATAGGGGATTTTACAAGGAATCTATTACACCAATCATAAAGTATTTCACTATAACTCTGATCTCTTTTACCGCCTTCACTTAATATCTCGGCTAATCTTTTTATGTGCTCAGTCGTTTCACTCTGTAAGTCATGAATTTTATCTGGAGGACTGAGTTTATCTTTGATATATTCTGAATCATTTTCTGATATCGATCTTTTTATACATAAAGTATAAAGCAAATCACGTAGCTTATTTTCATCAAATTCAGTTGCAATAAGATTGATATTATCCCGCACAGTTTCATTATGAAGCACTTTATTGAATATGATGGAATGTAATTCTTTACATTCACTCAGCGTACAATTTGGGGCAATGCCAGCTTCTATGGGAAAGTTGGAAATTAGTTTGTAACAGAAAGCGTGTATGGTTTGTATAGTTAGACCAAGACTTTCCAATTCAGAGAAAAGCCTTCTTGCTCTTGTTAAATAATCTTTATTTTCTCTGGTCGAGCACTGGGATGACAAATAGGGGCACATCGAAAAGAAATCTAATTGCTCTAAATCTGCTATCAACAAACTCTCTGAGCATATTGCCCACTTACTGAGTATGCTGTGAATGCGACTCTCCATCTCGTTTGCTGCAGCATTGGTGAACGTTAAGCAGAGAATATTTCTTTTGTTTTCTAATAAAAGTCTCATTACTCTGTCTATTAACATTTTTGTTTTGCCTGTACCAGCAGAAGCATTTACCCATACAGAGAAATTGGGATTTATGGCATTTGATCTCATCAGAAGTGCGAAACCTTATAGAATTTGACTAAAATAGCATTATACATATAATGTAAAAATAATCTTAGTGAAGATATATAATGAAAAGTTTTTGTGTAAAGGCGCCTGCAAAATCATTCTTTTTTGCATGTTGTAAATAAGAAGGAAACAGGATATCACTTGATTGAAGGTTTGTTTGTTTTTGCTAATCTTTCTATTTTTTTGGAAATAAAAGTAGGTGAGAAGTATTCTAGATACGATAACTCTACAGTTGAATTTGTAAATTCCGAACTTAGAATTAATAACAGATACAACACCGTAATGGGAGCAGTTAATCTATTGCTTAGATATGCTCCTTCGAGAACTAAAGTCATTGTAAAGGTTGTGAAAAATATACCGATTGCTGCGGGTTTGGGCAGTGGTTTCTCAGATGCTGGAGCTGTGGTACGCATACTAGGTAAGCTGTGGAAGGTTGATAGGACGATTTTAAATGAAATAGCTTTAAGCGTTGGTGCTGATGTTCCTGCAAGTGTAGATAGCAAGCCAGTTTTTGTTAGAGGTATTGGTGAAGAGTTGTGTCCCATAAAAAAATTCTCTCTACCTACAAATATAGTACTGGTGAAGCCGAAAAAAAAGTTTTTGAGCACACTAGAGGTATTTTCCAAATATGAAGGAGAATTTTCTGAGCTAATTAAATGGAGCGATGACGCCGAAAAGGATTTGTTGAAGCTTCTTAAGGAGAAGACAAACGATCTTCAAGAGATAGCAGTAAGTCTTGTACCTGAAATTCAGGATGTGATATCAACACTTGAGTTACAAGAAGGCTCTATACTTTCTCGCACGTCAGGCAGTGGTGTATCATGCTTTGGAATATTCGATAGTGAGGAAAATGCAAAAGCTGCTGCAGAATAGTGGGTATGTGACACGCAATTAATAGTTTGACTTTATGCCCTTAATTTCTGAGAATAAAAATCTAATAAATGGTTACAGGGAAGGAAAATTTTTGGTGCATAATAGAGAATATTGCAGCTCTATTGTAGTTTTTCCTGAAAAGGTGATTAAATTGAAGGAAAGTGATATAAATAGCAAGGAACATTTTAAATCTTTTTTTAACAGAAGAAATAGAAATTTTGATAATAGGTACTGGTAAAACACGCAATATACCAAGTTCTTCAGTGAAGTCCTATCTTATGGAACAAAAAAGGTTTAAATTTTGAATTTATGACAACCGGTGCAGCATGCAGAACCCATAACGTTTTAATATCCGAAGATAGATTTGTTGTCAGTTATCTAATAGCCATATAGCATGCTTGAAATGTTTAGCCAGGACTTTTTCATCAATGGTCTAGTTGCAGTAGTCGTAATTAGCCTACTAACAGGCTCGTTAGGATAGTTTATGATATGGCAAAGGTTATCTTATCTTGGTGATAGTTTGTACCATTCTTCGTTGCTTGGTGTTGCACTCGCTTTAATCTTTAAGATTAGCCCATCGCTTAGCATAATGCTCATTGCAATTACATTTGCTATACTACTTTCTCTTAATTTTAACAGATTATATTCTGCTAATACGATATTGAACATTGTTACCAATGTAGTTTTATCATCGAGTTTAATACTTATGTCTTTTCTTCCATCGGGCAATCATAGTATTATTAGCTCACTGTTTGGTGATATATTAATGCTCGATCAAAGTGATATAATATTGATTTTTTTAATCTCTATAATAGTTACTTTGATATTAATATTTAGATGGCGTTATTAGTTAATGATTTCAATTAATCAAGATTTAGCAGTAGTTGAGAAGATTAATGTTAATTTTGTTAGACTAGAATTTTTAATCACTCTTGCTATATTTATAGCAATTGCTGCCCAATTAATAGGAATATTACTCATTGCTGCATTTTTGCTAATACCAGCAGCATCTGCAAGGCTCATTTCGAAAACTCCAATGCAGATGATTATTTTTGCAACAGTTTTTTCTGTGATTTCTGGGATATCAGGTCTGATGTTATCTGCAAGTTTTGATTTGTTAACTGGACCTGCAATTATACTTGTTGCAGCCGTATATTTAATTATCGCTTATAACATATAGCTGACGTGAAGCACCGACGCTCCGGGAAGTCTGCAGTCTGCGAACATGTTCAAGATCGTCCCCACCATTACATTCGTTTTGATAAACCACAAATTCTCGCAAAAGAACACCGATTCGCGAGGCTATTGAAATTAAAAAACATCCAAATTTCAATAGAGAAGATGGATGGGTGCTGCCACCTGCTTGGGATCCTATAATTAACAAAATTAAACCCAAAACTAAGCATACCACTGCAAGACTTCATGATACTATAAGCTCGTTTTGCGTAAATCGGACCAAAAATTAGTATTCAAAAACTGAAGGTAGCCGGACTAACTATGACATTGGGACGTCAAACATCTCAGTCCCCCCCCCCCCGTGACCATGGTTGCTGTAAAGCACCCGAAACGTCGGGAATTAAAAATAAGTAAAAGTAGTTAAATAAACGCGATAAAATCCGTAAATTTAGTTTTATTCAATATGTAGTGTTCGCGTAAATTTAAGAAATCATTATTTTATAAGGTTAGTATTAAGCAGGTTGGCTTGACTTTAGTCTCGAATGTTAATAATTTTGTAATATGCTCATTATAAAAAATCACTACCTTAGCACAAAATAGTCTTTGCTATATCATCGTTTATGTGCTAGTGATAAGCTGTTAATTTTGTGGACTAAGCAATATGAGCGAAGAAGGATTTTTTACAAATATATATCTCAACCTGTGAAAAAATTTTATAATTATATTACAGGAAAAACAGAAGAGTCGGATAATGTGCAGAGTACGGCAGATCGTGTGCACAATATTGCGCAAGAAAACTCAGAGTCTTTGGATACTCATATACAATCAAATGAGAATGATATCATATAGATAGCATGAAGGTCATACCATCCAAAGTCAAAAAATTCCTAAAGAAACCTGATCCTTTAAGTGGTGTGTTAATTCATGGAAGTGATAACAGTAGGGTTGGTTTTTACGTACAAGAAATAATTGCCAATTTGGATGAGTATTCAGTTCAGGTGATGGATTTTGCAATAGTGAATAAGTCACCCGGTTTACTGAATTGGCAATCATTTCGATGTTTACCAGCAGAAAATTAATTAAGCTGATAAATGTCAGTGAAGGTATATCCAAAGAGTTAAAAAAAAGTATTGGATTATAACGCAAGTGGTCACTATGTAATGATGGTAGCAAGTGATCTTCCATATAATTCTGCGACTAAAAATTATATGGAGAGTTCAAAAATTTTTGGTGTGATTGCTTGCTATAAGGACAGCAACAGCAATCTTTATGACATTGTATCAAGTTACTTAAAACAAAATGATATAAAATGCACAAATGAGATAATCTACCATTTGCAATCTTACTTTAATCATAGCAAGCTTCCTATATGTTCAGAACTTGAGAAGTTAGTTTTGTACTTAGGAGAGAGAAAAGACCTAAAACTTACTGATATAGAATTATGCTTTTCAACTTCTGGCAACGACTATGCTACACTTGATGATCTATGCTCTGCCATAGCAAGTAAAGATATGTCGCGCTTTATTAGAATTTCTGATGTATTGATATCGCAAGAAAATTTTTCACCAATAGCGCTAATTCGCATTATATCAAATTATTTCCTACGCCTTGAAAACATTTTGCTGTCAGTGCAAGATGGAATGAGTGAGCAGGCTGCGATTGATCAGCTAAGCCCTCCATTGTTTTTTAAACAATTGCAGAGCTTTAAATCTCATTTGAAAAGTTTGCAACTTTCAGAACTTAAAAAGATTTTGGAAGAATTGATAAGCTTAGAAGTTACCTGTAAAAAAACTGATTTAGATCATAAAATGATTTTTTCAGCAGGTGATTTGTCATATTACAAATACAATTACTTGCTATAGCTAACAAAGATAAGGTGTAACCAGACTGCATTCTGTGATTTTTAGCAAAACATGATTTTTCATATGAGCTTTCTTCAATTTAAAATAAATACAGAAAATTGCTGCCTATAGCTAAAATGACTTAGATTTACCGACAATTTGAAAAACCGTCATTCCGCTACTAGTTAGCGCCGCGGCGGTATGAAGTGTTGCCTGGTTCAGCTATAGTTAAAGTAACTTAGGTTCACTGACAATCGTCATTCCGCTACTAGTTAGCGTAATCTATCCGCAACGGCATGACGTGCTGCTTGGGTCAGCTATAGAATATAGATCAGAAGTGACAGAGCTTAAAAAAAGGCCTAATATAACACAAAAACCTTTATGAAAATCAGAGTTGGAGTAATAGGCTGCTTAGGCAGAATGGGCAAGAAAATACTCAATGAATTAATTACAAATGCCGAAGTGGAAATAGCAGGTGCTGTTGCACGTTCAGGCAGTAAGTACATGGGCTTAGATATTGGACTAATTATAGGCTGCGGTTCCAATCTAGGAATTGAAGTTACAAGTTCTATTAATGGCATATTTGAGTCATCTGACGTTGTACTAGATTTTACAACTCAAGAATGTGTGTTAGACTGCCTTAAAGTAGCTGTAAAATTTAAAACACCGCTAGTTATTGGCACAACTGGAATAGAAGGTATCGATTTAAAAGAGTATGCTGGTGAAGTTCCAATATTATGGTCAGCAAATATGAGTATTGGGGTTAATGTGTTGCTGAAATTGGTAAAAAAAGCTGCTGAGCTTTTAGGTAATGAATATGACGTTGAGATTTGGGAAATGCATCATAACTTAAAAAAGGATTCACCATCTGGAACAGCTATAGAACTTGGCAAAACAATTGCTAACGCTTCAAAAGTGGATTTTCAGTCAAATCAATATTTACATAGTGGTTCAAACATAAGAAAAAAGGGGGAAATAGGTTTTGCAGTATCTCGTGGAGGTGGAGTAATAGGAGATCACAGCGTGATGTTTGTTAATTCTGATGAACGGATAGAACTAAACCACAAAGCAATTGATCGCACAACATTTGCTAGAGGAGCTGTTCAAGCAGCAGTATGGCTATATGAAAATAAAAGAGAAATTCCGGGGCTCTATTCAATGCAGGATGTGATATGAGCAATACACGTGCCTTTGTTAAAGATTTAAATCTCTGGTATGGCTCTAAGCAAGTTTTATTCGATATAAATTCGAATATTTATAAAAGAAAAGTTACTACTTTTATCGGAACATCCGGGTGCGGTAAATCAACATTTTTGCGTTGTTTTAATCGTATGAATGACTATTTACCTGGATGCAAAACAATTAGATATCGATGGGCTGGGTGATATATATTCACGCGATATAGATGTTGTGCTACTCAGAGCAAAAGTTGACATGGTATTTCAAAAGCCAAATCCTTTTCCAAAATCAATATATGACAATGTTGCTTATGGGCCAAAACTGCGTGATATGGTAAACGATAAGCAAAAATTGAATGTGATGGTGGAAAATAGTTTAACTAAAGTTGGCTTATGGGAAGAATTAAAAGACAGATTGCAAGATAGTGCACTCGATTTATCCGGTGGCCAACAACAGAGGCTATGCATCGCTCGCGCAATTGCTCCGCTCTTGATCCAATGGCAACCAATGCAATCGAAAATCTTATACAAGAGCTGAAATTAAGGTTTACCACAATTATGGTAACTAATTCAATGAAGCAAGCTAAAAAGTTATCTGTTAGTGTAATTTTCTTTCATAATGGCAGAATTGTTGAGTATGGAAGCACTCAAGAAATATTCGAAAATGCTCAATCTCCCTTAACAAAGGATATCCTGGATCATTAAATTTCTGTCATCAAAGTAGCTTGGCTACTTTAAAAAATGTATCCATATGCCGTATTTGTCATTCAGCATGGTAGCGGTTGGATCATTCAAAAAATACCACTTCATTCTTTTTGCTTCTAACTTTTCTATTTTTTACTGTAAATTTTTGGAGAGTTCTCTCAAATTTACCTTCTGATTACCTTTTTGTCTTGCTTTATTTATCTGTTTTAACGCTCCACTAAACGGATACCCAATTGTTCAAAACTGTCTATTTCAATTTGTAAAGTGTTCTTTATAAACTTATCAGCCTGTTCTGTACTCATAAAAACTGTATGTTTATTGGGCATTAATTTTTCTATAGTGGCGCTATCTTTTTATCATATGTATATTTAAGAAGCTCATCAATTTCTTTGTCCTTCAGATGAGATGTGCAATTATAGCTATGCTTTTTGAGGTCCAGAAATTTAGCAAAGCTATTACAATCGTTCTCATGGTGAAAGGTTACATTTATATACTATTTCGTCCGTTTCTTGCAACTTTCCATCTTTAGCTGTCTGTGCCTTAGCAAGCGCAACTGTAGGTTTATGGACGTGATTTGCTCCAATAATCCTTCTTATTGAGTGTTCTATTGCCATTTTTTGCACTTTGGGATTTTCATCGAACTCTTTCAAAAAATTAAGGTGCAAGTTAATATATTCAGAGTATTTCAACCTGTGTTTTTTATGTATAGTTGGTTTTTTTTTATAGAAGAAGGGGCAAACGAGCATGCGGCTCACCTGATGTTAAGTGACTACCGCCGCCCATGATCAACCGCAACACCAGGAGAATTGCGGGTGCGTTCCCGGCACTTTAGAAAGGAGTAAGTTTTCTTGAAGGTCCCCACGTCGTATCGGCCCGGAAAAATCGCCGGTGGTAAACTATTCCACAGAGAGGTTGTACGTGGAAGAAAACTCCTTGTGAAACGTACAATGGTGTACCGCCAAGCATCCAGATGGTGTGGATGGTATAGGGACGTTTGCCGTGTAGTGCGTTCACGAAATTTGGCGGCTGGGATTAATCCGAACAATTCCTCAGAGCACTCCCCGTGATAGATGCGATAAAATACGCAAAGAGATGCAACATCTCTTCGCAGCGCCATTGAATCGAGCCGATCGGAAAGCACTCGGTCGTCGACGATTCGAGCCGCTCTGCGCTGGATGCGGTCAAGTGGAAGGAGCTGGTACTGGGGAGCCCCAGCCCAGAGATGGGAACAGTATTCCATGTGCGGCCGAACCTGCGCCTTGTAAAGTTGCAGGCGGTGTGCCGGCATGAAATACTGTCCCGCTCTGCTGAGTACGCCAAGCTTTTTAGAGGCCAATTTGGCCTTCCCTTCCAAGTGACCACGAAACTGCACGTCACTCGATATGTCGACGCCGAGGATTCCGATACTGGCTGAGGCCACAAGGGGAGTGCCTTGAAACTGAGGGGATACGACAAAGGGGTTCTTTTTAGCGGTTAACGCGCAAACTTGTGCCTTCTGGGGGTTAAACTGGACTAGATTTAGTCGTCCCCAATCCGAGACTCTGTTCAGCAAAGACTCGACTTCAGACACAAGTTTGTCCCGGCACTCGGAGACGTTTTCCCGAGAAATATTGGCTCGACCTGTGTAAAGAGCATCACCAGTACTGTCATCCGCATAGCAATGAATGTTACGGGTATGCAACGTATCATTGATATGCAGAAGAAACAGCGTTGGCGATAGCACGCAGCCCTGTGGAACACCAGCATTAATAGGCTTGCAATCGGAGCTTGCACCGTCTACAACGACCTTGATGCTCCGATCTGCAAGAAAGCTGGTGATCCAATCGCACAATTTCTCGGGAAGCCCATAGGAAGGGAGCTTCGAAAGCAGCGCTTTGTGCCAAACCCGATCGAAGGCCTTCGCAATGTCCAAACTAACGGCCATTGCCTCCCCCTTGAACTCTACTGCCTCCGCCCATCTGTGAGTGAGGTAGACCAGAAGATCACCAGCTTACCGACCACAGCGAAAACCGTATTGGCGATCACTAATCACCTAGTGATCCTCAAAGTACCTCATGAGCTGGCAGTTTACAATGGACTCCATTGTTTTGGAGAACAAGGAGGTGATGGCGATTGGCCGGTAGTTGGACGGGTCTGAGCGGTCGCCTTTTTTAGGGATCGGGTGGACGAAAGCCGTCTTCCATGATTTTGGGACTACGCCTAGGGAGTAGGAGTACCGGAAAAGACGCGTTAAAATCGGTGCCAACTCTGGAGCACACGTCCTCAGCACAATTGGGGGGATTCCGTCAGGCCCACTCGACTTATGGATATCCAGGGAGAGGAGTGCTTTGCGAACCGAGCGCTGTGTGAACTGCACTTCCGGCATGGAGCACTCACACCGCGGGATGGTCGGCGGCGTACTCCTCCCGTCATCGAGAGTCGAGTTAGACGCAAAGAAAGAGCCTAGAAGATCGGCTTTCTCCTTTGCAGTATGGGCCAGTGAGTCGTCTTCCCTGTGCAGAGATGGAAGAGATGGCTAACAGAAATTCCCCTGGACAGCTTTGGCGAGAGACCAGAATGCACGGGTTCCAGAAGGAAGGCGAACTAGTTCCTCGCCAATTCTGCCTATGTGCTCTGACTTTGCCTTGGCAATGACTCTTTTGAAGGACCTAGAGGTGGAATTATACTTCTTTTTTAGAGCGCTGGTGTTTACATCCTGGGACGCTGGTGCATCAACCCAGGCTTGGTAGCACTCCTGCTTATAGCATGATGCTATTTTATAGGAGCGACCAAACCATGGCTGAGATTTGCCTCCAATGGGCACCACAGAGGAAGGAATAAAAAGTTCCATACCCTGAAGTACCACATCAGTAACAGAATCCGCAACAATGTTGGGATCATCCGGCGAGAAGCAAACCCGCCCCCAAGGGTAGGATGCAAAGAAAGACCGCATCCCATCCCAATTGGCTGACCTATAGTGCCAAACACGGCGGCAGCCTGCAGAATGCAACCGCGATTTCAGCGTGAGTGGCACAACACTCCGGACCAGACAATGGTCCGAGGAGCCTAAAGGGGCGTCGACGGAAATCTGATATCCGTCCGGGTGAGAGGTCAGCAGAAGGTCCAACAGGGAAGGTGCATGATCCTCCACATCTGGAATCCGCGTAGGCGAAGTAACCAGTTGTGTCAGACCATATGCCAAGGCAAAATCATGAACAGATCTCCCCGCATGATCGGTTAAACGTGAACCACGCCATTCGGCGTGATGGGCGTTAAAGTCGCCGAGGATCACGATCTCTGCGGAGGGGATCTGCTGTAGCAACGAATCTGCAGCCATTTGGACGTGGTCGAAGAGTCGGTCTGTTTCGGCGTTACCGCTATGGGACCTATAGAGGCACCCGTAGACGCGCGGATGGTCGTCGCTGTCTACGCGTAGCCAAAAGATGGTCAGGTTCGAACCTTCAAGTCTGCCGAGGCGTCGAGAACGGATGTCCTCTCTGACGTAAACGCAAACTCCAGCCCGAGGCACAAAGGAGTGTTCCAGTTTGTACCCCGGGTAGGAGAGATACGAGACATCAGCCGGAGAGGACACCTGCGTCTCGGTCAGAAAGAGCAGAGCCGGCCTCGCAGTCTCGAGATGGTAGTGGACGGCGTTTAGGTTAGAGTGAAGTCCCCTGATATTGCAGAAATTCACTTTCTTGTTGTTCCGTTTGCCCCGAGCAGTTGTAGTCTTGAGCGGAATTTTGCCCCCCCCCCCCCCCAGAATACGCGGGGCAGCCTGAGCACTCACGCTCAGAAGTGGAGAAACATGGTCGTGGATGCTCAGCGAGGGATTCTCCAGGGGTACTGGTACCCTCCTGGGGTAGTCTATCATTGTTTAATTCCGCCACCATGTTGATGGGGGGGGGGGATTTGGGCCTCCGGCCACCTGCACTCACCAGACGAAACGCGGAAGCAGAGCTTCAACTTCACGCCGGTATTCTGTGAGGTCGTGGTACCACCCCGGTTTGAGCCGGCCCATACGTGCAACAGCAAAGCTGCCGCGTGGCTCTACCACTGTTAAAAGTTGGTTTGCAGGGCAGTTCGTTTGTAGGTTATTTATAGCTTTCAAGAAGCAACTTTTGTTCATACTGTTCATTACATTCTTTTACCCCTTTAAAATATCTTTCATATTGAGTCAATCCATCTTTTCCTTTTTTCTCCATCCTTTGCAAAATTTTCTCTACTGGCTCTTGTTTGGCTGGAATAATTTTGCATATAAACGGAATTTGTTTTTGCAAGATAACCCAATATGGTAAGGAGACAACTTTTGCATCTTTCGAAAATAGACCTTCTAACTTTTTCACTGCATTGCATAAATTCGCTGATTCTGATTTATAATGCCCACTATTATTGTCTATATAAGTTATTTTACCATTTACCACTTTTATTAAACCAGAACATAAAACTGGCCCACCACCTGCAAGAGTTGAATGACGATAAGCCCACTCGTTTTTATTAACATTAATATGTTCATGAGTTGCCAATCTGCCATCAAGCGTGATCACATAAGCTACATAACCTTTTTTACCCTTACTAATTTTATCAGTTGTATCGTATAGCTTGCCTTCTAAGTATTATAACCTTATTTCCCCATCTTCCTCACCAATAAATTTGCTTTGATCAAACTGTTCATCAGAGTTAAAATACTTAACCTTTGCATTAGTTCTAGGAATTTTTCTTCCTTTAACTCCAACTTCTGAAAATAAATTATAGCGTGGAAAAAATATGTAAATTTACTTTCTATCCAGTGTAAAATTCTGTTTATAATACCAAAAACTTTTTTGTTGCCTAAATCAATAGAGAGTTGCTGTTCTTTTGGTACTGTTTTATGATTGGACTTTGTACTAGATTTGCCAAATTCTCTGGCAGCATATTTAAACTTTTCTAGTAAATATTCCTTAAGCACTTTTGATACTAACGTTTTTGCCTCACCAACTATTATTTTGTTTTATATTATTTTAGACAAAAAGTCAATTTTTCTTAATATGTTGATAAAATGAAACTTGAGTGAGAAATATTTAAGTAATAATTTTCCGCCACAAACAATACTTTCTTTGTTTGCTAGTGCAATAGAAGTCTAATCTACTTTCAATTCCCCAGTATGTAAAATGCGCGGTAAGGACTCTAATTCCTTTGCAGCACTTAAACTTTTATTTTTTGCATGTATACCAAGCTTATTGAATTCTCGGGCAGTAGGAAACACTCTTGCTTCAAGCGAACCAGCAGTTTTATTATAATGATCGACAGCACTTTTTAAGGTCCCAAGCAAATTATCAAAGTTTTTGCCCATTGTGCAAATGCGCACATATAAAATATGACCCAGTTCACTGATTTTATTTGCATTTTCAGCTATCATCTCTTGCTTCCATCCATATGCTATTGCTCTCAGCAATGCAATTAGAGTGATCGGTGTTGCAATGATCACTTTTTTTTCCACTCCAATCTCTATCAAAGCAGGCTCATATTCCAGTGCTGCGCTAAAAACCTCCTACCCTGTTAAGAAAAGCACCACAAGTTCTGGCGTGTTTTCAAATTGATTCCAATACTCTTTTTTACCCAAGTCATTTATGTGTTTTTTTTTATTGCCAGGGAATGATTCTTTAATTTCTCCTTTTGTATTTGCAAATCATTTTGTGATATAGCATCCATGTAAGAATCAAGCGGCACTTTAGCATCTATTATTATCTGCTTTCCAGATGGCATTTTGATTATTAAATCAGGACGCAATAAATTATCCTCGTTTTTATCAACTACTGACGGCTGAGTAAAAAAATCGCAATATTCAATCATTCCTGCTATTTCTACCACTCTTTTGAGTTGCATTTCTCCCCACTTTCCTCTAATGTGGGGCTTTCTCAAGGCATTAGCAAGGCTGGAAGTTTGGTTCATCAGTGCTCCAATTTGCTTCCTTCATAGGCCCCTACCCTCTCCTTTTCTAGCTCACGTATTTCATTATCGAATTTTTCTAATTTTTCTTTTATTGGCGTTACAACTTCGTTGATCGTTGCTTGTCTTTTTTTTAAATCGCTTTCCGTTTCTTTTAATTTACTATCGATTACTTCCTTCGCTAAGTTCTGAAAATTATTGTTACTTGTCTGCAAAGCATAAAGAGAGAGCGCTTTAAAAGTGTTTGTTAATCTCTCCTCTGCTTTTGTTAATAACTCTATTTCCTTTTTCTTTTCCTCGCGTTCTTTTTGCAGAGTTACTTCAAGTTCTGCTCTTTTGACCCTTAAATCAACTATTTCTTCATTCTTCGCAAGCAAACTTTGCTTTGTTTCTTGAAGTTCTTGCTCTAATTTACATAAATTACCCTCAAGGTTTGCTTTCTTTTCGCTCAGTTTTTTACGATAATGTAGAAAAATAGTAATAGAGATGCAACCAGAACTATAGAATTGAAAAGCATCAGAAGAAAAAGACTGCGTTTACAATTCTATATGATTTTGGTGTGTATAAGAAAGAAAAAAAGAGCACCTCTTTATTTGCTCTTTTTTGGAAGTTTATTATAGTTATTGCTTGTATTGTATAGTTATTGTTGTTATCATTATTAGCAGTTTGTACTTCAGGTGTAGCAACTAATAAGCCGTCATCATTTGCAGACGCTTTTTGGTCAGCTTATAATTGTCTAGTTAGTTCTTTATCTTCATCAGGTTCTTGCAACTCATCTGGTGTTGTCTCTTGGCTAGAAACAATGTCGAAACTCGAGCTATCAGTTGGTGCACTACCATTTGCAGAGATTTCAGGTTGAGGATTATTAGCCTCTTTATCATCATCTTTAACAGATTTATTATCAAAACTTGACTGATTAGGCTCATCACTAGACTCTTGATCAGGTTTAGCCAACGGACCTGCCATACCGTTTGAGTTTTGTGAATGACCATGATTTTGCATGTCATTAGCAACTTCATCTTCTTGAACTTCCAGTGATTTTGATTGCTTAATAGCATCTTCAAATCCTTCATTGTCTGATACCTCTGAACCTAATCCTACTTTGGAATCAACATCCTTGTTGCTAACCTCTGATTGTACTTCCTCGTTACTAGCAGCATCATTAGGTTTACCTTTTTCCTCTGTTTTAGGTGGATTGACCACAGGTTCTTGAGACTTACCTGGCACTGCCGATAGTGTTGGTTGATCAGGAGTATCTATTTTAACAGGCTCATTATTAGGAGTTGATAATTCTTGAATTGAATTAACTCCAGGTAATTCTGTTAGACCATCAGTTGTTGAGCTTGACGCTTGTTTTACTTCAGCAGTGGCTTCCCTATTGCTGTCATTGTTAACCACTTGTTGTGTTACGTTATTACCAGTAGTATTGGGCTTAGGTTGCTCCAACGTTGGAGCTTCAAATGGCTTGTTAGATATATTATCTACTTTAACCGTCGTTACACCATCTCAATCAATCCTAGCATTTTTTTTACATCTTCAAAGTGATCTTGACTTTCAAGGTGCTTCATGGTGCTATTCAAATAAAAACCACTTTTGTCTTTCTTTACTATCGATATTATAGATACAGAAAAAATACTAGTAGGTTCTCCAAGAGTATAACCATCAACATAGTATTCATCTTTGACACATTTTATATATGTAGAAAGTTTAGTCAAACCTCCACTTTCATAACTTTTATAGTCCTGAGCCACTAAAGCTTGCTTTAAACTTAGAGTTATGGAGTTTGAAGCAGCCGTTTGCAACCAAGCAGAAGTTTGCCTTCTTTACTTTCATTAATTACAGGTTCTTGAGATTTTTTACCGTCACTTACCAGTATTGATTGAGTAGGTTTTGATGTTGTAGTGTTTAGGGGCTCACATGGCAGTGGTGTTGGTTGATTAACAGAGTTATCACCACCAGGAGTTTTTGGTACTGTTGGTATTGGCTGATCAAGATTAACTTCATCTAGAGTTTTTGGTGTTGTAGTACATTTTGATTGTGCTTGAGCAGGATCCTGTCTCTCATTGCCTGAAGACTTCTCTTGCTGCGATGTATTTTGTTGAGTAGCATTTGCTTTACCACCAAACAACAACTTCCAACTCAATCCATGAAACTCCTATGTGATCAGCAATCCACTTAAAAAACTTTTTTATTTTTTTCCACATATTTCACTATTTCAGTCTACCCTGTCAATTCTTTTTCTGTGGAGAGAAAATATATGCATAAAAAGAAGTAAAAAGGTTTTGAAGCTAGTGATGCGGAAGTTTTTAGTACTTGCTCGCGACTTTCAACAATTTAATAGAACTGGTGTTTACAACCTCTCCGCCGACACGCTTAGTGACAAAAAACCTCACATGATGTGAGCTTAATCCAGTAATTAATAAGCAAGGTAAAACAAAAGATAACAGCACTATATAATGTTCGTTTTTTTGTGTCAAGCACTTTTTTATCTACTTCAATTAGTTAAGGGATTTCAATATTAATTCTGCACTACTTGCAGTTTTTGTCACGGGTCTGCCAATGACGATATAATCAGCTCCTAAATTTATTGCTTCTCTTGGTGTTGCTGTTCTTTTTTGGTCGTCATGACCTGGATCTATACGAATTCCTGGAGTAATAATTTTCAAGTCTTCACCGCATTCTCGGCGCACTTCTTGAGCTTCTAGTGCAGAACAGACTATTCTATGGAGTCCAATCTTTTTTGCAAGCTTTGCAAGCAAAATTACCTGTGATTTTACCTCTCTTGCTACTTCAAGCTCGTTTAAATCCTAATTGCTCATATAGTTAGCACTGTCACTCCAATTAGCTTTATTTTTGTGCCTTGCACCACACTTAGCGCTTTTTCAAGCATTTTTGTTCCGCCACTGATGTGCAGAGTTAACATTTCAATGTTCAGAACTTTTATTACTTCAACTGTTTTAGCCACAGTGCTAGGAATATCATACAATTTCAGATCTAAAAAAATTGGTATATTGCATTTTGCAACTTCTTGCACTCCAGAGAGACCATGAGCAGCAAAAAATTCTAATCCCAGCTTTACCATGCCAACTTTACCACGCAGAGCATCAGCTAGAGAAAAGCCTTATTTAAGTCTTGTGTCCATCCAGTGCGCATATTATTGGGTTCATTATCTTGCATAATTTTTTTATAATAAAGCTAATTATTATGTTTTGCAAATACCTTCACTCTGACTACGTTCATAAGATTCTGTCAATAGTGAATTTGGCAATTTGATCGGAGTGGATGAGCGACTGTTATATCCAGAATCTTCCTCAGACTCATATCCAGGATCTCCTGCATTTAAAGGAACAGATGTTTCACCTGGAGATGATGCATATCCAGAATCTTTCCCAGATGTTTTGCCTCGCAAATCTTGTACAACTTCTTCAAGTACAGACTTCATTACTGGAATCTCCTGTAATATTACTGTTTTATCATCATTGTTGATCACTTTACTTCTCTTTATTGATTCTTTTAACTTGCATAACATATATTCTGTTATCCTTTACACATAAGACATTTTTCTTCCTTCTCTCTCAATAAATCTTTTTCAAGTTGTTCTATTTGACTGTCTTGCTCTAAAAGTGATTTTCTTAAACTTTTTACTTCGTTATTACAATCTTTTCTTATCCTATCTAACTAAAAAGATTGATTTTTAATTAAATCATCTGCTTTATATAGCTCTTCAAATTAACTTTTTAATTCTTGAGATAAGTTTTTATTTTTCTGATTAATTTCTTTAAATTTACATTGTAATTCATCTAATTCTACACAAAGTTCTTCTTGTCTTTTATGTAATTCTTCTTTTTTCACATAATATATGTTTTTCCTTACACAATTTTTCTATTTCCTTATATAATTCTTCATTTTTTAATTCTGCATGTTTATTATTGTTTGTTTTCCTTTTCAATTCCGTCATGCGTTTTTCTTTTTCGGCTAGATTACCTTCTTTTTCTTGTAAATGTTCACATAAACGTGTGATTTCATAAAGTAATTCTTCTTTTTGCTTACCAAGCTCATCTTTTTCCTTCGCTATCTTTTTCAATTCGTCTGTTATTTCAAATATGTGATTCGCTTTGGCCTCTAATCTTTTCTCTAAAGATTTTTTTCTGCAAGAAGATATTCTCTCTCAACTTCTAACTCATTTACTTCCTGATTCAATTTTTTGCTCTCTTGTTTAAATTTTGCTTTTCTCGAGTTAATTCACGTGATTGATTCCTTAATTTTTCCACTTCTTTGTTTGCAGCTTCTTCAGCTTCCTATATTTTTTATTATTCTATTATTACTAACCTTTCTATTATTACTAATCATTTTATACGAAAGTGCAAGCACCAAAACAGATAATGCAGCTAAAGCAAGAATTAGAGGAAGAGGCACATTAGAAGTTACAGTAAGCGCTAAAGATGCAAGTAACGTAAGAGTAGCTAAGGAACTAGCTACAAAATAAAATGTGTTAGCTTTGTTAAACAAATTGCTCATTACTCCCCTCACTTACATCTTTAAGGTGTGATAGGAATTATTTTTTGCATCCCTAAAAAGCGATAAATTAGGGCTGCAGGAACTTGTGTTAGGATTTTCGTGATTCAGTTGCTCTGAATTTTCTTTACTCTCATCCTCATCTTCCTTTTTAGGAGATAGCGATTTTCTAGAATATCTTCTTGGTGTGGATGTGCGAGGAGAAAGTGGCTTCGGGAAAGTTATTCCATTAGCAAGCTTATTTTCACCTTTTCCTTCAAATTCTCATGAATGTTCACTGCTTATATCTGAAGAAATGGAATGACTAGGCTTATCTTTCTTCCCAATTAATGCTTGCAGACGTTTAACTTTTCTTTCCAAATCAGAATTACGTCTTCTTAATTCACTGCATTCGTCATCCAAATCTTCTTCGCTACTTTTCAACTTACTGTTATTATCGCGCAACTTTTCATTTTCTTTTCTTTCTTGATCCAAAAGTTTATTTAACTCTCCGATCTTATTAAGATCTTTAGTTTTTTCATCTTCTGATTCCTTGCATAGTTTTTCTTTTGGTTCTAAATTTGCGGCTAGCTGGATCGTTTTTTTGCGCTTTTTTACTTAACTCTTCTTTCAATCTTCTTTTTCTTTCTACTACATCCCTTAATTTAGTTTGTAAACAAGAAGTTTCGCCCTTTTCTTTTCTTGACTGCACTACTAATTCTTCTACTTTTTTCTTTCTCTCTTCTAAACATATTTCCAATTCTGTTATTTTTTCTTTTAATAAAAGAGCTAAAGTTCCTTCACATTTTAATTCATATAACTGCCTTTCTAAGGAATCTATTTCTTTTTGAGGTTTAGATAATTCCTCCATTAAAGAATCCACTCTTTCATTCAATCTTGCATTTTCATCACGTAAATCTTGGCGTTCAAGAGAAATCATCTCCTCCGTATGTTTTAACTGACCTTTTACTTTTGCACTCAATTCTGTATTTTCATCGTATAAATCTTTGTTCTTATTATTAAGAGCAACTATTTTATCCTTTAATTTTCTGATTTGATTACCTTTATTATTTAACTCTTTTCTCGAGTTAATTCATTTAGTTGATTATTCAATTTCTCCACTTCTTTGATTACAGCTTCTTTAGCTTCTTTTTCTAGAGTTATTTTATTTTCTAACTCTTGTACCTTACTCTCAAATTGTTGTTCTACGCTTTCTAACTTTTGCTCTTTTTCAGCAAACTTATTTTTCTCAACCTCTATTTTCTTATTATTACTAATCATCTTGCATGAAAGTGAGAGTATTAAAGTAGATAGTATAGATAAACTCAAGGCAACAGGAAGAGATACATTAAAGACTGCAACTGAAGACAAAAACTCAACATAAGGGGCAACAGCAAGTGTCCCAGATGCAAGCAACACCAAAGTAGCAAAAGCACCAGCTATAAGATATTGTGCATTGGTTTTACTATACAAATCCCTAATTCTCACAACTAATAGTGATAATAGTATGGATATCAAAGGAAGTAAAGCTATAAAAATCATTATAAGTCTATATTCACTATGTATTTCCCGTCTTCAGTTTCAAGCTCAGACTGCATCTACTCTATCATTTCCGCATTGCAAACTGCTTGTAGGTCATTCTGCGCAGATTGATTCAATTTGTCCTCTCGTAGATCTGCTTGTATCACTAATTTCTTTATCAAATGCTTAACTGATACATTATTATCTGCTTTTATCTTTCTGATAATGTTTAATATCTGCACGCAGTTGTCTCCCATTTCCTCTGAATATTTATCGTAGATAAGCTCTTCTTTGCTCGGCCAATTACTTTGATTGTGTACAGAATTATAACTATACAACTGGTGGTATATCTCTTCTGTAATGTAAGGCAAAAAAGGTGCAAATAACCGCAAAATAACATTTAACACATACGCCAAGCTTTGTTTTGCACTTAAGATTGCTTCACTGCTTTCGTATGCGCGCTTTTTTGCCAATTCCAAGTAGTTATCACAAAAGTCTTTCCAAAAAAATTCCTCTATTACGCCGAAAGCTTCGCAGTATTCAAACTGTAATAGGTTATTCGTTGCTCTTTCTATAACTTTGTATAACTTAGACAATATCCACTTATCTATTGTCTCGTGAGCAGAATTTATGCTCATTACTTGATGCTTTTCCATGAACATGGAAACAAACTTGCTAGCGTTCCAAAATTTTGTAACTAGGCGCTTGCCAATTTTAAATATATTTTCAGAGTGGACTGTATCAACTCCAAGCCTTGAGTTCGCTGCCCAATAGCGTACTATATCAGCTCCATAAGTTTCAAGTATTACATGAGGAGTGATGATGTTACCTTTTGATTTACTCATCTTTTTCTTATCATTGGTCAAACACCAACCGCTGATCATAATGTTTTTCCAAAGTAAAGAATCTGCATGATAATGTGCTTTCAAAATCGTATAAAAAGCCCAAGTTCTTATTATCTCATGGCTCTGGCTGCGCAGATCTGCAGGAAATATTGTATTAAATATATATATATATATAATAATATATATAATTTGGCAAGCTAAACTCACTGTTTACTGCCAGTGCACCTAGTTGAGGAGTAATTGAACTTGTGGCCCAGGTATCCATTATATCTTGATCTGGGATAACCTCTTCTTTGCTATAACCTTTTGGCAAATCTTTGAGTGGATCTATAGGTAGGTCCTTTATCTCAGCTAGAATAATTTTACCTTCCTCTCCCTTACGTTTGGAATACCAAGCTGGAAATGGCACACCAAAATAGCGCTGTCTTGAGATGCACCAGTCCCAATTTAGCCCTTCTATCCACACTTCCATGCGTTTACGCATATTGCTTGGATGCCAATTGCATTCTTTTGCTTTATCTAATACTTGAGCTTTTTGCTCTAAGGTCTTGATAAACCATTGATAAGTAGGCAATATCTCAAGTGGTGCACCAGACCTTTCTGCGCACTTAACAGAATGAGAGATATTAGTGCTTTCTATTAGTAACTCCTTCTCAGTTAGGATTTCGATCATCCTCTTTCTTGCTGCTGTAACTTCCAATCCATTGATTTAATTGTAGATTCCAGCGTCACGAGCTGGAATGACGCCGGGATGTGGTGGAATGACGTCTTCTTTTGTCATCTGACTAGCCCTATCTCCTGTCATCCGAGTAGCTGACACTGGGATCCATTCTTCTATTTCCTGGATTACAGTGCCACCTATGGTGTCATCCCAGTGCCCAGACACTGGGATCCATGCTCTTTCCTTCTGACCATGTGGTGGATGCAGGTTCATCCTCCCATCCTGATCGATGATAATTTTCATCGGCAGATTATGCTTTTGTTGCCAATATATGTCGAGCTCATCACCGAATGTACAACACATAACAAGCCCAGTGCCTTTATCTACTTTAACCTTATCATCAGCTATTATTGGAACTTTTTCCTTTGTTATTGGTGCTACGGCTGTTTTTCCAATCAGATGGGTATAGCGTGCATCCTATGGGTGGCAAAAAACTGCAACACATGCGGGAAGTAACTCTGGTCGCGTAGTTGCAATATTGATCTGCTCATTTTCGCGCACTAGGTCTTGCTGCTGGACTGATAACATTTACTGCACTTGAAATAGGTTAGAGATGTTAGTAATTATTGGTACAGCAGTAACATCTGCACTCGTAGTTGGTGGTATAACATATGCAGCATTACCTAGTACTCAAGTAGATAGAGCGAAAGCACAAGAAGTAAATGAGAATGGGAAAAAGAAGTAACAAAGGCACTGGGCTGATACCTTCATAAAGGAACTAGCGTCAGCTACTCGGATGACAAGAAGAGGGTACTGGGATGAAATCATTATAGAGTGAACCAGTGTCACACTACTAGGATGAAGATTAATTATTCTGCGCGGTATGACAAGAAAGGAGCAGCAGGATGACGCCTCACCATGTCATTTGAGTAGCGGACACTAGGATGGCACTTCCCGCTCATCTCCAGCAGTTTTTTCTTCTTTTGCTTCTTACATTTTAGAGCCTGGTTCTTCATGTATATCAGTCACAGGTTATTTTTCTGCTTGCATTATTTTACCTGATATATACTCCTTAGCTTGCTCAGCGAGCTTGATTACAATAGCTACTCCAATTGCAGTTGCCATCGTAAGTGCTAGTGCGTGTACTCCTACTGCAAGCAAGGACTCTAGTGCTGCTGATAAAGATGACCAGGAATCCACTTTACATATTGGAAAAGCACCACTTGCAGCGATAAAAGCTCCAGCTACAATGTTTCCAATAAACAAGCCAGCTAGACACGAAGTTTCTTTTAATGTTAACCCGCTATGACGCTCATATGGAATTGGATACAAAAGAATTGTTATGAAAGCTGCAATTAATGGCACTACATAGATGTCTCCAACACTTCCGCCTATTATCAGAGGTGAAAGACTAGTGAAACTTAGTAAGAGAACTACTAAAGTGCCTATTATAGCTCCTATTATTGCTGCCACGCCCAGCATCGCTAAATAAATTACACCCTCCATAACTTTACTCTTACTTTAACAATATTTCAATTATCACACACCATAATAAAAAAGTCAACTCCATATGTTTAGGTTTTTTTTTTATAGGATAGGGTGACAAACGAGCACACAGTCCACCTGATGGTAAGTGGTTGCTGTGGCCCATAGACATCTACATCTATCCTCAATTACGAATCAAAATGCAGATGCGTTGTCACCCGTGAGGACTAAGATGGAATGCCTCGTTTCCAGTAAAAAGGGTCTCCGGTTCTCTACACTCACCATACGAAACACAGCAGCATTAAGCTACTATTTCACGCTGGTATTCTATGAGAGCGTGGTCCTTCCCCGGTCGAGCCGACCCATTCGTGCTACAACTATACATCTAATATAACTGCAGCATGGCTCTACCACGTATTTTAAAGTATTTATTTTAAAGTATTTATTTTAAAGTATTTATTTTAAAGTATTTATTTTAAAGTATTTATTTTAAAGTATTTATATATATTGTAGGTTGTAAAATCCCAAAAAGCAGCCAAAATGGAATAAGCAAACATTTACGAATTGAATTTAGTGCAAACAAGGGTGTTGATATCAACCATACTCTGCAGAATCGCAATGTGGTATGACTACATGCTCTTCACTGATTTGATTAACATAATTAGCAGAGAGTTTTGTTTTGCAAAAGATGTCTACAGTAACATACTGAAATTATTTGGAATTGTAGGGCTAGGCGCAATTGTAAGGCCATTTAGTGCATTCATATTTGGTCACGTTGGTGACAGGTATGGAAGGAGGATAGCATTAATAATTACTATCTTACTAATATCGATACCATCAAGTCCCATTGCATTTATTCCAAGTCACAATCAAGTAGGTATCATTTCTACTATATTGCTTCTTGCAATCCATATAACACAAGGAATTGCACTTGGTAGTGAACAAGGAAGTTCTGTTTATCTTATAGAGCATTTATCCAGTAGGAAAGAGAACTTAGGGATGTATTTTGGAATAATGGGCTGTGGTCGCTCCATTGGTGTCTTGCTTTCTGCAGTGATAGTAATTATCTGCAAAAAAACTACTGATTTTTGTACCTGGGGTTGGAGATTGCCATTTATTTTCTCAGTTATTTTAGGATTAATTAGCGCGTATAGCATATACACATTGGGAGAAACTCCAGCATATAAAAAAAATCCAAAACAAAGAAATTTACCTGATTTGCCAATAATAGAGCTTATAAAGCGCCACAAGAGAGCTCTTATACTTGCTATTTTAATATCTGTACCTGTTAATGTTGCTATCGGATTTACCATATTTCTTCGAACACTCGCAAAGGAAATAGCATCAGTGGATGTGTATGTAACGACATATATCAACGAAATTGTGCTCATTATAACCAGTTTATTAATGCCGATATCTTCAATAGCGTTTGGAATGTTGGCTGATAAAGTTGGAAAAGAGCGCACTGCAATCTTATTTATAGCAATTACAATGGCACTATGTTGTCCTGCGTTATCTATTGCATATTACTACAAAAACTACCTTATAATTATGCTTAGTGTAATGGCTCTTTCTATAATAGAAAGAGGTATAGTTCCCATAGGAATAGTTGCATCTGAACTCTTTCCCACCAATGTTAGATTTAGTGGTGTGAGCTTATCACGCAACATCTCTTATGCGTTACATGGAGGATTTACTCCTATGGTTTGTATTGGTTGACTGTAACATTTCCTCAAACAAACCTTGCTGCTGGGCTTTATACAGTCTTCTGCTTGTTGGTCAGTGTAGTAGCAATATTGCAAATAAAACCGCAAGATAAAAAATGTGATTGGTCTTAGTTTTCTCTGATGTGATTTGATAGATCAGGAAAACCCGAGTAGCTGACACCATGACAACCGTCATCCCGCTGCTTGTTAGCAGGATGACGAATTTGTATCGGAAAACAAGTAGCATGACGATTTATCAAATGTTCCTTAGTTTCTCAAAAAATCCTTTAACAAAAAAGAGCATTCTGTTTCTAATATCCCACCATAAACTTCAGGTATATGGCTGCAAAATTGAAATATCTTAGCACCATTTTCAATTCCTCCACCTTTTGGATTATAAGCTCCAAAGTACAATCGCTTAATCCTGGCAAAGGAAATAGCTTGAGCACACATCGGACATGGTTCTAATGTTACGTATATGTCAGAATAATAAAGCGTTGAAGTTGAGAGCAACTCACATGCCTTCTTGATTGCTAACATCTCTGCATGTGCAGTTGGATCATTGGATATATTGTGTGCAGAAGAAACAACATTGCTTCCACTAACTATTACAGCACCTATGGGAACCTCATCATCTTTCTGAGCAAGTTTGGCTTGCTCTATGGCAAGCTCCATATATTGATACTTGAACACTTTCCTTTGCTAATCTTCTTTTTTTAAATTTTATTAACTGCTGCCTTAATAAATGATACAAAAAGAGGATGAGGAGAAAACAGCTTTGATTGAAACTCTGGATGAAACTGCACACCAATAAACCATGGATGACTCTCTAACTCCACTGCCTCTATACATGTTCCATCTTCTGATATGCCACTGCATAGCAGCCCATTTTTTTCCAAATCATCTTTATAATCTGAATTAATTATGTATCTATGCCTATGTCTCTCTGAAATAGTAGTGTTACTATATGCATCCATCATTTTAGAGCTTGCATTTGTATTACATTTATATGCCCCAAGTCTCATGGTTCCACCAAGATCGTCATCTTGATCGCCAGCTAACTTAACGATTGGATGTTTACAGTTATGAAATTCTTCAGAGTGTGCATCTTCAAGCTTAACAATATTACGAGCAAACTCAATAATTGCAAGTTCCATACCAAGGCAAATTCCGAAAAATGGGATATTATTTTTACGGGCATAATTTATTGCTAATATTTTACCCTCTACTCCGTCATCACCAAACCCCCCTGGGACAAGAATTGCATGAGAATTCTGTAACTTCTCACCTATAAGCTTTTCATTTATAGGTTTTTCTTCCTTCTCCCTTGAGTTAACCCAGTTTATCTTTACTTTGACTTTATTACTAATCGCACCATGATTTAATGCTTCAACTAGTGATTTATACGCATCAGGGAATTCTGTGTATTTTCCCACTATAGACACAGTAACTTCCTGTATTGGTTTTCTTATGGAATGCACTATTTGATCCCATTCAATCAAGCTTGGTTTTGGTTCACTTAAATGAAAGTGCTCCAAAATTTGCGTATCAAGCCCACATTGGCTATACAACACCGGCAACTTATATATTATATGACTCACATCAGGAGCAGGTACCACATTAGACAAAGAAACATTGCAAAGCTTAGCTATTTTCTCTCTCTGATTATCGAAAATTTCTTTCTCACTGCGGCATAATATAATATCTGGTTGTTTTTATGTTTAATTCTTGCGCTGCGGTAAGATATGGTATTAAAGTTAAGTGAATAAGGATAACTCTTTGTTTTCCTAATGTGTAGTTAACTTGGCGTATAGCTTCCAAAAATGGTTGGCTTTCGATGTCACCCACAGTTCCGCCTATTTCACATATTACAAAATCTAAACCTTCCGTACCATTGAAAATGAACGATTTGATTAAATCTGTCACATGAGGAATGACTTGCACAGTTTTGCCCAGATAATCACCACGCCTCTCTTTCTTCAACAACTCATTATATATCTTACCAGTTGTTATATTGTCATCTTTTGTTGCTTTAATTCCAGTAAAACGCTCATAATGCCCAAGATCCAAATCAGTTTCAGCACCATCCTCGGTAACAAATACCTCTCTGTGCTGAGTTGGGTTCATTGTCCCAGTTTTCTGATACGGATCTTAAAACCGTAAGTTTGAAGAAGCGCACCAACGCTTGTAGCAACTAAGCCTTTACCAAGCGATGACACAACTCCACCTGTGACAAAGATAAATTTAGCTTCCTTCATTAATTTTCAAATGGAACAGAAGTAGGCTCACTTTCTTGCTTTTTTTCTAATATAATTTTTTCTGCAATCGATTTTTTATGTACGTTTTTTGAATATAATCCTGACAATAGCAATGTGTTTATAATAAACAATCCAGCAACAATAGCCGTTATTCTGCTGAGCGGGTTTTCAGAAGATTTTACCGGAATCATGGAATTGACTCCCTGTTGTGTATTACTAAAACCACTTAACGAACTACTCCCAGGCGGCTGCAGGAGCACTAAAATTACTAACACAACAACCAATATTACTTGAAATATACTTAATACTGTTACGCGCTCAAGTCGACGATACACTAGCGCCATCTAGTGTCAGGAACGAGAGCGAGGGGAGCATTGAGAAAATGACATCACAAATCACTCGACCGTCAGCGCCACCCGAAGAACTAAACTTCTTGAAGTTTAAAACTCGAACTCTCGGTACCTTGCGCGTGTTTACTTGAACATTCTGGATATTTTGCTAATTTATATAAGTAGGCGCTGCAAGATGCGATCGGGCAGTGTTGTTTTGGCGAGACAAGCGAAGCTTCGGAGCGGAATAAAGTGAATTAGTGTGTTTAATTACTAATGTTTTTAACTTTAATTTGTGTAAAGTAAATTAAAGTGTTAATTTAGGTAATTCTATCGGCAATTTTTATTGTCACGAACCTCAAGCTCGTAACAATACTGCTACTGACATTATAGATAGAGCTGAAAATAAAAATTTTAGGAGCATAAAGTGCATAAGTCAAGAATATCTGTCACCCAAGTAGTTTGGAATCTAAGTATGTATTTACTGCGTACCTTATTTTGGTTAGCATATGCATAAAACTGTGGGCTTAATATGTATCACATTTTAAAATACAAAGATTATGAACCAAAAATAGACGAAAGTGCTTTCATCGCAGGTGGTTCTCATACTAGCAAGGTTGAAATAGGAAAAGATGCGAGCATCTGGTTTAATTGTGTGGTCAAAGGGGACGTTGGATCAATAAAAATAGGTGATGGAACAAATATTCAAGATGGAACGGTAATTCATGTGGATAGAAACCCAGGTGGTGATACAACTATTGGCAATATGGTAACAGTGGGACATTTTTGTATTTTGTATGCATGTATGGTGCATGATAAAGCGTTTATTGGTATGGGCTCTACCGTCATGGACCATGCAGTTGTGGAGCCTGAAGCTATGGTAGCTGCTGGCTCGCTAGTGACACATGGAAAAGTAATAAAAAGTGGGGAAATATGGTCTGGCAGGCCAGCAAAGTTCTTCAAAAAAATGTCGAATGAAGAAATTAAACATATTACACAATCAGCACAAAATTATATTATGCTAATGAAGGAATATGAAAATTAAAGTTCGCGTGAGGCTAATTTAGCCTACCAACCCTGTTGAGGGACTGCATAGACAGATTAGAAAATTCACTAAAACTAAGGGCTCATTTACTAGCTTGTACAAACAGGTATATTGTGCTATAAAAAAGGCAGAGCAAAATTGGACTATCCTAATTGGGCTTTAACTATATCTCAACTTGATATTTTCTTTCCTAGTAGATTGAAAATTGAGTTGAGTTAAAAATGCGGTTTGACACAGTTTTTTGAACATTTCCTTATTGCCTATTTTTACAATTTTGAATTGATTCCTTAGGTTATGCAAGAGGTCTACTGAGCAAATCCAATAATATCCTTGATTTCTTTTATATTATGGGTTGCAATTTCTGCTGCTTTCTTTGTACCTTTTTTTAATATTTCATGTAAATGGAATTGGTCTTTTAAAAGATCATTCATCCTCTCATGTATGGGTGATATAACACTGATAATTAAATCAGCTAACTCTTTTTTGAAGTGCTTCATGTCATGTTTGTTCACTTCTTCACACACTTTTTCCACATTTAAATTACTTAGCACTGAATAAATGTTTATCAAATTGCTTATTTCTGGTCGGCACTCTAAAGTAGCAAAATCAAAGCCTAGAATTGAATCTGTTTTTGCTTTTTCTATTTTCTTAACAATTAAGTCATCTGTATCATCAAGGTTAATGCACGAATATTCTGAAGGGTCAGATTTACTCATCTTGCTTGTACCATCTCTTAAGCTCATTATTCTTGATGTGCAATCCAAAGTTAAGATTTCAGGTGCGATGAAATAATCCAGTTTATAATGATTGTTAAAAGCTGATGCAACATCACGTGCAAGCTCCAAAGGCTGTTTTTGATCATCACCAACAGGAACGTATTTAGTTTGATACAATAATATATCTGCAGCCATAAGTACTGGATAACTATATAATCCATGAGAGACTTTTTGTTTATCACCGCCAGCTTTATCTTTAAATTGAGTCATGCGATTAAGCCAACTAATTGGTGTATAGCACCCAAGCAGCCAGCCCAGTTCTGCATGACCACTAAACGTGGACTGATTAAAAATAATGGACTTTTCTGGATCTATTCCACATGCAATATAAGCTGCTGCTGTTTTGAAAATATTACTTTTTAATTCACTTGCGGGAAGCTTGTTTGCTGTGATTGCATGTAGGTCGACAATACAAAAAAGAGATATGTATTTATCCTGTAAGTCTATCCACTGTTTGATTACACCAAGATAATTACCCAAATGTAGTACGCCACTTGGCTGGATACCTGAAAAGGCAATACTTGTCATTATACATTTACCCCATGCTAATCGCTTCCACAATCAGCAGATTTCTTAGAAAGAATAACCATTGCAGGACGCTGCAACCTATTTTTGATAGTGTAACTAGTCTGTAGTACTTCTACAATAGTGCCAGGCTCTTTTTTATTGTCGTCTCTTTCCACAACAGATTGGTGTAAATTACTATCAAAAATCTCACCAAGTGGATCTACTTCCTCTATTCCATGTTTTTTTAGATCATTCATAATTCTTTGATAAGCTACTTTGATCCCCTCATGAACAGGATCACCGTCTTTCAAAATTTCCATTACTTTTTTTAAATTGTCGCACGAGTCGATCATATCACTTGCAAATTTTGTGACTGCATAGTCACTTGTATCGCTAATTTGCTTTTGCATTATACGTTTGACATTTTCATTATCTGCAACAGCACGGCGTAAATGATCTTCAAGCTGAGCTGCACGTTCTTTTAATGTATTAAGGTCTTCATTTCAATCATCATTTTGTTGGTCGTTACCTTTCTGACTATTTACCATATCGGCACATTTCCTCTTTTTTTCTTTACTGCTAACATATCAATATCCTTAAGAATCTAATAAATATATAGCAATTAATTCGAAAATATCAAGCACCAGCTACATTTGTCTTTCTATGCTCGCATTTAGAAAGTCAATTAAAGTAATTTTATAAAAGGAATCAGGAAAAGTACTAATATCATTTAGTGCCATATTAATGTAGTATCTAGCTTTTTCCATAGAAAGCTGAATGGCATTATGGTGATTAATATAGTGTAATGCTTGGTCAAAATTGTGTCTAGCTGAAGAAAAGCATTTTTCCCAGAAGTTTTGCTCTGCTGGACTGCCCTTTTCGTATGCTATAATAGCAGGTAAGGTGGCTTTACCTTCGAAAAAGTCTTTTCCGACTTGTTTTCCAGCAGTGCCTTGATTAGCAGTATAATCGAGCATATCATCAACTATTTGAAATACCATACCAAAATTAAAACCAAAATTCTTTAGCCTCTCTGTTTCGTCATTTGTTGCACCTGATACTGTAGATGCAGCTTCACTGCATGCAGAAAATAAAGATGCTGTCTTTTCTCCATTGATATCAAAATAATTTTCCCTGACTATGTGTGGGTCAAAACGTGTTGTCATCTGTTTTATTTCACCCTTAACACGTAAATGCGATGCTTTAGATAAAATAGAGAGAATGTTTAAATTTACACACTCTATAAGCCATCTAAACGCTAGAGTCAACAATAGATCACCAACTAAAATGCTTGATTTATTCCCCGAAAACTTATTCGCTGTTTTAACTCCATGGCGTGCCTCACTTTCATCGAGCACGTCATCATGAAGTAAAGTAGCATTGTGTATAAACTCTACCGATGCAGCAACGTTGATCCTATCCTCCCCAGAATAGTTTAGCATTTTACATATAATAAAAACTAGTTTAGGCCTTATTTTTTTCCACCTGAACTAACAAGATGAGATATAATATCGGTAGCAAGCTTAACACCTTCATCATTGACATTTTTGAAGATAAAGTCCTTCATAGCTGATAAATCAGAAGATACGATGTCGCCTAATTTACCATTATTTGTTAAATCAGTATTTAGCATTTTAAAGAGACTTATGCTTCTTGTCCCTGTGCTTTCTCATTCTCTACTTTCTTCTTTTCTGTTTTCTTTGGTTCTGTTTCTAAAATTACTATGCCTTTTTTAATGAACCATAGTACTCTTTCAGTTGCTTGCGCGCCTACGCTTAGCCAATGTTTTAATCTACAGCCTTCACCACAACACGATTTTTATTGTCTTTTGGTAACATTGGATCATATTGTCCTATTTTCTCAATAAAACGCCCACCTCTTGGTGCTCGTGAATCAGCTACAACTATCCTATAAAAAGGGCGTTTCTTTGCGCCAAACCTTGCCAACCTTATTTTAACTACCATGCTAACCTTTATTTATACCTTTATTTATATTAGTCACAATTTTATACAATGAGCCGTTTTAAGTCAAATTAATTATACAACTTTTGCACCTTATAATGTAATTACCAATAATGTAGGGTGTCATTCCAGTACCGGGCACTGGAATCTAATTTGCACCATGTAGCCACTTAGTAAGTTTCTGGGTCCAAGTTCGGAGCACTGGATGCGTGAGGTAAATCAGGTTCTCATAAGGATTTAATTCTTATCTGGCTATATATCATCAAGTATAGCGTGATTAACTTCGACTTTATACTTTGATTCCAGATAGCTAATTAATTGCTCTTTTAGCGATATCATCGCACGTTTTCCGTTGTCAAGCGTGTTTAATTTACCATTTGATGAATGCATTTCTTTTAGAACACCTATTATAATTTCATTATTGTATTGAATAGGGTCTGTCACTGAACCAGTTGTTTTCATATTGAAAATCTCTTCTACAAAAGAAAAGGGGTAGTTTTGTTGATCCACTTCATTGCGTTGCATCTGCTGAACTTTAACTAATTCCACACCTTGAATTTCTTCCAAATCTGTTTTTTCTCTTAGTTGAACTGCAACCTCTTGACCAATTTTAAACATTCTTTCTTTTATAAGCTCACTACACCAAAGCTCTACCGCTAATGCCCTGCCTTCTTCAAAACTTTGCAATTTGGGTGGAACGATATCAATGATTTTTACACTAACAACAGCGTCCCCAACGCCCTTGAAATAACCTTTCTGATCCTTTTCTCGCGAAAAAATGAAATAAATGAAATCACTAGAATCTCCTACATTATTACCGCTTTGATCTTTTCCACTCGCATCTACTGGACCAATAGTTTGTATAGGTAAATTATATTCACTCAATATTTCTTCAATTTCTGAACCATTGTATATCTTATAGTTCACTTGGTTTATGAAATCATTGACTCTTTCGAAAAACTTTTGGTTAGTTAGAACTGACTTTATGTCTTTTTTTAAATCAACTAAGTCTTCATCAGAGATTTGATGCGTACTTTCCACTTTTATTATATGCCAACCAAAACTGCTTGCTAAAACTTCACTTACTTCACCTACTTTGAGAGCAAATACCTTTTCCCTCATATCTTCTGGTAAAAAATCCTTAGTTATATTATTTACTCTAGTTTCCTTAAGTTTTGCTTTGCCAAACTCTCTTACTATCTGTTCAAAGCTTGTTTTACCCTCCTCAAATATTCTTCTTGCTGTCTCAGCTTCTTCTTTGGTAGAAAATATTACATTGAATACATCTCTTTGATCTTTTAGTTCCTGTTGTTCTATTATACCATCAATTTCTTCATCTGAGATCTTGATTTGATCTTCAAAATACTTTTGGCCTAGGGAAATATATTGCGCAGTTCGATACTCAGGATAATAAAAATGGGATTTATTTCTTTCGTACAAATCAAGTAAGGCTTGATCATCTGGTTCAGGAATGTTTGTAACTGCATCTTCAGTTATTTTAATAATATCAACCACTCTAGTTTGGTAGCGACTTTTGTATATCTGCTCATCCACTCTCTCACCAAAAGTTACCGGATAATTATCTTTAAATAACGAAGTCATGAACATCATTGCGGGCAGAACTTTCTCTAGCTTTGCTATATACTCTTTCTCTGTCATATGGAGGTCATTTAGCGTTTCATGGAATTTATTTTTGTCAAATTCGCCTTTATCATTTTGAAAGTATTCGGTATTTTTAATATGGTTTTTTATAGACTCTTCTCCAACTTTCAACCCTAGCTCACTAATTAGGTTAAACAATAGTTTTTGCTCTATAAGTGCGTTAAGCAAATCATATTTCAGCTTTTTTACTTGTTCTCTACTCGCATCAGATCCAGAAATTTGCTTTTCATAGTTTTGATATAGTGATTTATACTCATCTGACGTTATAACTTCTTTTCCAACCCTAGCTACCTCTTCTTTTACATCATAACCTGATAAAAGGTTGCCAATTCCCATGAAAACTAATAAGCAAGCTAAAAGGACAACGACTGCTTTAGTGAAAAAAATTTTAACATTCATTTTAAACTCAGTTAATTAATGGTTAATTATAGAATAGTGATAATTTAATTCTTGTAAACATGTTGCTTTATTAGCCAATATATATAATATTACAATATGTTAACTTAAAATTTAACTCTTTTCTTATATAACTTAGTTAAACATATGTTTAACTAGGTTATACTATACCTTAATTGTTTAAAATATGCTTAAACGTAAGCGCATTTAATTAATTACTTGGAAAGTAACAAACAAAAAGTCATTGAATGACAAAATTAATGCTTTTTTAGTTTTAATAGCTTATATTCTAGCTGTGTATAACAGTAAGGGATTATAAATGGGAGATGCTTTTTTTATGTCAATGGAATCTTCTAAGGGCAATAACGATAGAAATAAACAGTTTCTAATGCGAATAGCTGCTTGGTTAGTAGACAACACTGGTTTAATTTTTAATCAAATAGCACAATGCTGTAGGTTGGCCCTTGAAGAAGTACAAGAAATAGCTGATGAGGAAATAGAAGTCGAAAAATATAACCCTATTATTTCTGGGGTAATTACTGAAAAAGAAATCGATGATTGCAAAAAAAAATTCAAACCGTGTACCAAATTTGATTATAAAAAATATAAAAAAAAGTAGTAAAGCGATTGGTAGCATTCCTGGCTTTGCCTCTACATCAAGGCGTAGAGATAAACCTGATACCATTTATTATTTAGTAAAAAAAATTCCTATCTTGGATAATAACGTTATAGCTAAATTAATTAGTACAACGAATTACACAGTTGAGCAAGTAAGAGATGGATCTCATCATAACATGCAAAATATAAAACCCCAAAATCCTGTACTACTTGGCTTATGTAGTCAAGAAAATTTAGAAGCAGAAGTGGAAAAAGAAAAAGCAAAAGTAGAAGAAGAGAAGCAAGAAAGGTTAAAAAATATAAAGAATAGCTATTGAAAATCCTCAAATTTTTGTGCTTTGTTAACATTAAATTAACTTGACTTGCTAGTGTTTATTAATATAATACAAGTAGAGTGCGGGATTTAATAATAATTAAGCTTAATACGCACTAAAACTAGCTCAGCCTAATTTATTATCTTATAGTAACATTTCAGGTTAGTAATCATCAATTAAAATTTTTGGAGGATTATGACAACGATCAATGAGGATGTTTTGGCAAAAGGAAAGGTTAGAGCTCAACCTGAAAAAGTGAGCAAATTCACAATAACGATACAGTAAAACAGATGGTCAATGGAGGTGCTGAGAAAAACAGAAAAACATTAGATCTAAGCGAATTAAAAGAGAAAACAGCAGAAGAATTGTTAGTGTTAGCTGAAGAAAGAAAAATTTCAACTAACGGTAAAAGCAATGGTAGAATGCTAAAGCAGGAAATGATATTCAGCTTAATGAAGAAAATGAGCGAAGAAGGAGGCATAACCACAGGGAGTGGAATAGTGGAAATATTGCCTGATGGTTTTGGTTTCTTACGTTCAGCAAGTGCAAATTATGCCCCAAGTACTGATGATGTTTATATTTCTAACGGGCAAATAAAGAAGTTTAATTTACGTACAGGAGATATGGCATGTGGAGAAATAAGGCCACCTGGTGATAAAGAAAGATATTTTACTTTAACTAAGGTTTAAAGTGTAAACTCTACTGAAGTCAGTGAATTAAGAAAGTATGTCCATTTTGATAATTTACTTCCTCTTTATCCTGAGGAAAACATAGTACTTGAGTGTAATAGTGGTGATGATAAAAAAGGCTTAAGCATGCGTGCTATAGATATAGTAGCTCCTCTTGGAAAAGGGCAAAGAGCGTTAGTAGTTGCTCCACCTCGCACAGGAAAAACTGTATTGCTTCAGCAAATGGCTAACTCTATAGCTATAAATTACCCTGAAATAGAATTAATAGTGTTACTTATAGATGAAAGACCTGAAGAAGTAACAGATATGATACGTTCTGTAAAAGGTGAGGTAGTGAGTTCTACGTTTGATGAGCCTGCTTATCGTCACGTACAGCTTGCTGAAATAGTAATAGAAAAAGCTAAAAGAATGGTTGAGCATAAAAAAGATGTGGTAATCCTACTTGACAATATTACTAGACTTGCACGTGCTTATAACGCTGTTATTCCTTCGTCTGGGAAAGTTCTAACTGGTGGTGTGGATTCAAATGCACTGCAGAGACCCAAGCGTTTTTTGGAGCGGCTCGTAATATTGAAAATGGTGGTTCTTTGAAAATCATCGCTACAGCTCTTATAGACACTGGTTCAAAAATGGATGAGGTTATTTTTGAAGAGTTTAAAGGTACAGGAAACGCTGAGATTATACTTGATAGAAAACTTTCTGATAAACGTATATTTCCAGCTATTGACATTACAAAATCCGGAACAAGGAAGGAAGAGCTATTAGTTGATAAGGCTATACTAAATAAAATATGGGTGTTGCGTAGACTACTCAATCCTATGGGATCTGTTGAGCCAATGGAATTTTTACGTGACAAGCTACTTTTAACAAAGAGCAATGCTGACTTTTTTAATTCCATGAATCACTAAAAGTAAGCCAGTTATGATGGATATGCTGAGCAAAAAGTAAAAGATTTTATCGCTTTTATAGTTAAAATAATTGTATCAGTTCAGGCAATGGCGAACTTAAGGAGCGTTAAATAAACTATACGCGTCGAGTTAAGAAGCAAAGGTAAGAAAATTCAATGAACTTAAGGTGGATTCTCTAGTCTTTCTGTATCTGTCTTTTACAGAAAATTGTGACCAGTTTGTGGTAAGTTTTTTCAGGAAAATTCTCAAATTATTAATTTTGCTGCTTAACGCTAAAAACAAGCAACCGTTCACGGATTGTGAGAATGGATAAAGAACTAAGCAGTCGTAACTTTTGGAAGGGATTTTGGCCATTGAGACTTGATGTCAAAAATATCGACAACATTCTTCCACGAACGTTTCCCCAAGTTCCAACCCGGTGAAAAAGGTATTTTACGGTAGCCGTCTAATTTGCCGTTCTGCAAGGTTGTTGATTGACTTCAGGCTTTCGTAAAAACTTCCACACCATATCCTCGGCCTTAAGATCTTAATGGCTATTCTCAAACCATTTATAAGCCTCGTCATTTCATGAAAAAACCCTTCTTTCGAATTAGTTGTGTAGCATCTTTTAATATTAACAGGGCCTATAATAGTGCAGCACTGCCTTACGTATTGCCAATCCAAATTCTAATTGCTGTAAAATAACATAATCTGCTACATCGCTGCTAATCTCAATCCCTCTATTTATTGGCCCTGGGTGCATAACAATAGCATCTGGTTTTGCGTATGATAGCTTTTGCGAATCAAGTCCATACAAATGAAAATATTCTTTCTCTGAAGGAACAAAACAACTATTATTCATGCGCTCTTTCTGCAGTCTTAAAAGCATGATTACATCAGCATCCTTTCTACCTTCAATTAATGAATAATGGACTGAATCTACTTCAGGAAAATGCTTACAAATCAAAGTTAGTGGTGCGACCAAGCTTATCTCTGCTCCAAACATTTTTAGCAACCTTATATTTGACCTTGCAACTCTGCTGTGGAGAATATCTCCACATATCACAACTAGACTGACTGACAGACGGACTGAGATCCTTTATTTGCTTTTTATGACTGCTGATTACAAGATAATCCGCAAGAGCTTGAGTTGGGTGTTCACTGCTTCCATCGCCTGCGTTGATTAGAGAGCAGCTAACATTCTGAGCCAGTATATTAACAATACTGCTATTTTTTGCCTGATTGTTATATAGTCAGGATTCATTGCATTTAATGTTTTGATCATGTCTTTTAGATCTTCTCCCTTGTTAATAGAAGAAGATCTTATTGGCAAAGTTACAACATTTGCTCCAAGGCTTTTTGCTGCTATTTCAAAAGACGCAAGTGTACGCGTTGAATCTTCAAAGAATAAATTTATTATCGTCTTATTTCCCAAGATATGACTATTTGCACCTTTTTTTTTAATGTACTGGTTAGCCAACTTAGTTATATTTTCTACATCGACTGTAAGGTCTGAGATGTTTAACAAATTCCTTCCCTTGTGCATAGTTTCCTTTTCAACTACTTGAATCTATTCTACTTTCTTATTATTGTTTTTCAATAGATCTCTTGAGCAGCAATTGTTTTGGTAAAAGAACAGAAAAAGATAGTAAAGTCAAAATTAAGTTAGAAGGAAGAAAAAGTCCAGCGAGTCAAGAGTAAGGTACATTAGCATAAATCTTTCATCCCAGTGTTAAGTGGCACTGGGGATTACTTCCACTTACACTCATCCGCTATCATAACAGCCTCAAAAAGATGCTTCTCAAGTTCACTTAGAGGTAAATCACTTTGTGGATAATTTCCCCAAGACTTTAGTATATCTGAAGTTTCAACGCCTTCAATAACAGGGTATTCTTGGTTTTTTTAGCGCATAGCTCTTGAGCATGCTTGCTTACTAAAAATTCCAATAAGACTATAGCATTTTTCCTGTTTTTTTGCGTTTTTTGTTACTGCTGTACCACTGATGTTTAACATTACGCCGTGATCATTGCAATTAGGAAAAAAGCCCCTAGCTTGTCTATAACATTCTTTTTATTTTCTGATGAAAGAATTCTTGCAAAGTAATAACTATTTACTATTGCAACATCTCCTTCACCAGCAGCTACAGCTTAAATTTGGTCAGTATCACCACCACTTGGTTTTCTTGCCATATTACTCACAATACCACTTACCCATTCTTTCGTCTTTTCAAAACCATTATTTGCAATCATAAAAGCAATTAATGAACGGTTATATGGACTTGTAGAAGAACGCACTAATATTTTTCCTTTCCATTTTTCATTTGCTAAATCTTCATAAGTACTTAATTCTTTAGGATTTACAGACTCTTTATTATAAACCAATATTCTGGTTCTTTTTGTAAGGCCAAACCAATAATCTTCACTATCTCTAAATTTTGCAGGTATAACACTTTTTAAAATCTCTGAATCCACTTGAGATAAAAGCCCTCTTTTCTTTGCCAAAATCAGGTTCAATGCATCTGCAGTTAAAAGTAAGTCAGCTTCAGCGCCATTTTCTATGCGTGAAAGTAGCTGAGAATAATCATCAATGATGTAACGTACTTTAATGCCTGTATTTTTTGTAAATTCATCAAATAAAGTACGTACTAATTCTTCTTTGCGCGATGAATAGACATTCACTACTTGTGAATTGTCAGCCCCGCTGTTTTTATACAAAAAAGTAATGACTATTAACACAACTGCTATTAAGAATGTGAGTATAAAGGCTTTTTTCATATTGGATAAAAAAATAACTTCTTTAGGTTAAAGATACTCAAATAGCGCAATCTTAGCAAGTGTAAAATTCGTTAGATGTAGCTAATATAATATCGATTTACCGAAGTCAATGTATGAAATAATCGAAATTATTATTCTAGCGCGTGACGCTAGGCCATAAAACCTACTTGACAAACTTCGCTAGCCCCCTTATCATGAAACTGAAGTTATTCAGTTATGTTCATCTGTGCAGATTGAACAGCAAAAAAACAACGTGGTTGGCGTCTTATTTTTAATTTTTTGCGCTATTTGCACCTTATGTCTTCACAACATTTCTATCCATATAAGCTGAAACGCGTTATATAGCGTTTAAGACGGTATAGTACGCCAATTTGCAGGATTAGAGAGTTAAATCTAGCTAACAAGGGATTTCTTTTGCCTTTTTTTTCTATTTAGTAAGTTTCTTAAATATTTGAACTAAGGTGAGCTGCACATAAAAGCAGCTAAATTGCAGTGTTTAAGACTTAAAAAAACGCCAATACAGAAAATAGACAATGACCAGTGCCTCTTTTGCCTTTTTTTTGTTTGGGAAGTTTCTTAAACATTTATGGCTAAACGACAATCGTCATCCCTGTAAAGTTCAAGTATCCCACTACTTGTTAGCGGGATCTAGAGATACCACGGCGGTATGACGTAGGGAAATCTTACTTATTATAGGTATAGTTCTACATGAATTACAAAAGTAATATTTATTAGATCTTAATATTTTAGATCTATATTTTAATAAATAATGAGCTGTAATTAGTATGAATCATCCATTTAAAAGTGAGAACCATACAAAAATCTCGACTCCTTGATAGAAGCTATAAAGCTGAAAAATATTAGTAAACAATATAATAAAACAGTGAGAGATTTATCCCAGACATTAGAGAGTTTTACAGATAAGGCAGAAAATGTAGCTAAGTTTGTTATATGCAGTGACTTGAATAAGTATATATAACGGTAAACAAAAAGCCATCAGATTTTTTGGAATATTCAAGGAAACATTTAATAAAATCTTGGGAAAAGATGCTTCAATTCAGGATAACGATATAAGAAATTTTGCTAATGGTAAATTGCCTAGTCTTGCTGAAATAATAACATTCGAATACCTAAATATTTTAAAGAAAATTTCAGATTTAGAGCAAAGTAAAAAAAAATCTGGAGGAACATAGATTGTATGGAGTGAACTTAGAGGATAGAACAGCATCAAAGCAAGAAGAAAATCCTTTATATGAGCTACAAGGAGTAGATTCAGGCTATGAAGTTCATTAAATGAAGAGCATGAATATGAAGACATATCACATTATCAAGAGAAGAAGAGTAAAATTTTAATAGAAAATTTGCAGAGTACAAAATCGCCCAAAGAAGAGCCAATTTATGCAACAGTTTCTAAAGAACATATAGAAGCAAAAAGAGAACGTAAGCAGAAACAATAACCCTCAATCCCTCGTACTACCAAAACCACCAAGAGCACCGCAAGTGCCAAAAAAATGTTTACTAGTGGTCAAGAAGTTAGAAAAGAATCGAAAGTGGTAGTCAAAGATAAACCTGCAGTACTGATCGAAAAGTAAGCACAGAGCAAAAGTAGTAGAAGTAATTCTTAAAAAATCAGCTGAAAGTAAACCTACAGTACCACTAAAATCTGAAAATCAAGACAATAGGAAATCAGCACAAAAAGCTGCTGGCAAGGCAATACCAAAAGTAGCATCAGCTACTATGAAAGGAGGAGCTAATCGCGAGATGCGCAGTAAATTAAAGGCATTAAAGGAAAAATTTGAGCAAAATCAAACAAAAGGAAATGCTAATGTACGGCTTGCTGAAAGCAAAACTACCCCAGCAGCACAAGCGGATATCGATGTGAAGAAAAAACAATCTCATTCATTTCTAACAGAGAATAAAAGATCTGCAACGAAACACATAACAGCAAAATCTGATCCAAAATCTCATCTCAGCAAAAATCCTCCTTCCACACAAGTAAGTGTTAAGGAAATTGTTGCACAAATTGAGAAAGGAAAAGGAGGAAGATAGTAATATTTGGGAAAAAACATATGTTCAAGTCAAGAGAGTGTGAGGAAACTCCGAGGAAAACCGTCATTCCGCTACTAGTTAGCGCCGCGGCGGTATGACGTAGGAAAACCTTTCTTGGGTTAGCTATAGACAGCAATTTTCTGTATTTATTTTAAATTGAAGAAAGCTCAAATAAAAGATCATGTTTTGCTAAAAATCACAGAATGCAGTCTGGTTACTATTTAAAAGGATATGTTCAAAAAACTGTGTCAAATCAATTCATACACTTCATTATCAACTTCATGATGAAGTTCTGCAGTTGGATGGAAATAATCAAAAAAGAAATAATCCTTTAGTGTTTCTTTGCTACACCCAGGGTTATAGTGAACGTCAAGTTCCCCTTTAAATATCAACTTTAAGAGTATTTTTATATTTTCTTTAAATTTCCCAATTTGGTCTGCAATGTTCGATGTGCATGCGTCTTGACAATTTAAACCTTTGCTTTTGTATTCACTAAGCATACTTTTCATTTTAGAGTTAAGATCAAATGCTTTTATTTCAAGATTTGTACTTTTCTTCATATAATCTAAGCCATTAGCCAATTTTGCATTGAAACTCTCTGTGAGCTTCGTAGCTAGTTCTCTTGCTTCTTCATCTCTATTAAAATCTGGTATTGATTCGACTTCAGATGCGTTTGCGACAACTACATGCTTAACACCATGTTCATTTAGAACCTGAAGTGCATTACATATTTCACTCACTGCTTGTTCCAATACTTCTTCCGCTTTAGTATCGTCATAAACAGTGGCAACCATAACATCATTTCCACCGATTATGATGCAAAATAAATCTTCTTCACCTATATCTGGATGATGTTTAATTACCGCATCTAGCTGGTTAGCTAAACGAAATTTATTGAAGAAATAAGAAAAAATAGGGTCAAAAATTTCAGACACTGTTGCACATGAAACTGCATAGTTTTGAACTTGCTATTCGTGGCATCTACCAAAAATAACTCCACCCAGGTTTAAATTCGTCTAAATCTAAATATTTTGCTACATATTCAACAGCAGTAGGGCCATTGCTAAAAGATCCTCCTTGGTAAAAAGGGTCATCAAACTTTACGCTTTTTGCAAAGGATAAGTTATTTAAAATTCCAATGATTGCGCCATTATCGGATAAACTATCACCCAGAACATAAAAATTTCTATACTTTGAATTAGAATTGTCATTTTTGTTTGTAATAATATTTACCGTAGATTAGCATGTTGTTTCATTAGATTCATAAAAAAATAGCGGTGCAACTTTTTTACAACCCCCATTTTAAACTTTATTGTGCATTATGATTTCTTATATTTACGCGAACACTACACATTGAAATAATACCAGTTTTTACGGAATTTATCGCGTATATTTAACTTTTATTGTGCATTTCCTTCATATCATACCTTTTTGAAAAAAAGTTTTATTTTAAAAACGCTCTGACTTTTTCTCCACTTTTTCCTGGCAAAATCAGCTTCTTCTTAACTTGACACGTACACTTAAAAGAAGCCTCTAAGTTTTCTAGCGCGGCTTGGATGCTTCAACTTGCGCAGTGCTTTTGCCTCTATTTGCCTAATTCTCTCACGTGTTACATTAAAAAAATTTCCTACTTCTTCTAACGTATGCTCCTGCCCATCTTTATCAAGGCCAAAACTCATTCTTAGAATTCTTTCTTCCTTTGGTGTTAAAGTTGCAAGAACATTGGTTGTAATGCCACGCAAGTCAGCAAGTATTGCAGCATCCTCTGGTCTGGAGACTCTCTTATCTTCTATACAATCACCGAAGGTACTACTATCATCCTTTCCTGTTGAAGCTTCAAGACTTAATGGGTCCCTTGCTATTTTCATAACTTTGCGTATTCTTTCCAGTGGCATTGTCAGTTCTACACTTAATTCCTCTAACGTAGGCTCTCTTCCCATCTCATGAGTCATTTTTCTTAATGCTCTGTTGATTTTACTGATAATTTCTACCATATGAACTGGTATTCTAACTACTTTAGACTGCTCAGGTATTGCCCTAGTGATTGATTGTCTTACCCATCAAGTGCCATAAGTTGAAAATTTATATCCACGTTTGTAATCAAACTTATCCACGGCCTTCATAAGACCAATATTGCTTTCTTGTATCAAATCAAGCAGATCAAGGCCTCTTTTTGAATACTTCTTAGCAATGGAAACTACTAGCCTTAAGTTAGCCTTAATCATCTCTTGCTTTGCTTCAGAGACTTCTCGTTCGTGTTTTTGTATCCTCCTGATTAGCTCCTTAAATTCTTGCACGTTATCTTCCTGTATATGCTGCTTAATACCGTTCAAAGTACTAGCTATATGTTCAGAGTTATCGTCTATATATAAACCTTGAAAATTTGTTTTTTAGTTCACCTGTAGAAGAGGACTGATTTTCATTGATCTTTAAAAGACTTATCTTTTTCAATTCGTGCTTTAAAAGCACTTCATCATAAACTTTATAGAAACTTTCTCTATCGATATCGTATTTTCTAGCCTCAGCAATAAGATTAGCCTCTTCAAGCATAATTGATCTATTTATCTTATAAAGTTCTTGTGTAATTCTGGCAACAGCAACATCACTTAACTTAATTTGTAATGCTATAGACCATATTTGACTATATAAATTCTCTAGTTCATCAGAGAAATCTTAAGAATTTTTTCTTAATACCAACGCTTCATTTGTTAAAGTAATTATCTCATCCAATGCAACTATGACCTTTGGCAATAAGTCGCTTTCCATTTCAAGAATAGAAACATTTAAATTCGTTGAATTTATATCTTCATTATCACCGTCTTTCTCATCATCACTTTTTTTACTATCTTTCTTGTCATCACTACAGTACCCAGCATCTTCAGAAACATCCTCAACATCTTCAGCACATTCTTCACTCTCTTCTTTGGGTGCCACATTAAAGTCAGAGTTATAAATTGCATCCAGATATATAATTTCTCTCAGTAAGAGAGCTCCACTACTTAAATCATCACGCCATACTTTTATCGCCTTTAATGTTACTGATGTTTCAATTATTGCACGTAACATGTTATGCTTTTTAGATTCAATTTTTTTTGCTATCTCGATTTCATCTGCCCTTGACAAAAGCTTTACAGAGCTCATGTCTTGTATATAAATCCTCACTGGATCATCATTTTTTACTAAAGTTGCATTAACATTTGGCGATGTGTCATCATCATCAAGTTTACTATCATCACTGTTGGAAGGAATATCTTCTTCATCTTCGCTACTTTCAAGCACATTAATTCCGGAATCCTGCAATAAAGATATAGCATCATATATGAAATCAGACGAAAAATTTTCATCTGATAGTTCATTATTTATATCATCAAAGGTGACAAAACCACCTTTTTTATACTTTTAGTTACAAGATCTCTGATAATATTTTTCTTATCTTTTGCATCATTAATAGTTGACATCATTACCTTTATAGTTTATAATTTTATTTCTTATTCACAAATAAACTTACAACGAGCAAGTCTATAATTTTACTTTTAACTTGTGGCTATTTGTTACTTCATATAGTTTAAGATACTGTTAATTTATGTACACTTGTCTTGATCAATTGTTCCATACTTTTCTTCCATTTTTACTGCTATGGACAATCCAACTGAAAATGTTGCAATTCCAACCACTATAGCAGTAAGCATTAAAACATGAGGTATAGGATTGCTATATGAATAAAAATTTGAAACCAATATAGGAGGCAAAGAACTTTTTATATATCCTAGAGATATGTAAAACAACAAAACAGATGCTTGGAAGATGCTTACCCCTATCATTTTCTTGATTAAATTTGTATCGTTTATAATGATATATAAACCTAGCACCATTAATAAAATAATAATCGTATAATTATATAAAGTCATTGTTTTTTCCTACGAGAAAAATTCATATATATAATTAACATAGAGGAGCAGACAGTAAATGCTACACCTAATTCCACCAAAAAAATACCCAATTTTTGACCGTTTCTATTATTGGCTGACAAGATATCATAAGATAAAAAATTTTGGCCAAGTAAAGTTGTTGCAATGCCCGTTCCTCCATAAATTAAAATACCTAACACGTTAGTCAATCTAATCACAGAATAAGGTATTGCTTTTAGAATTGTAGATATACCAAATAGCATTGAATATAATATTATCCCGGAGGCAATAATTATTCCTGCTTGAAAACCTCCACCCGGAGTGTAATCACCGTGAAATTGTATGTATAAACCAAATAAAATGATAAAAGGCATCATCAAAAATGTTACTGCATTTAATATCGGATCTTTAATCATTGTCTTTTTCTTCTTTTAATATCAATGTTATACAAAGCGCAGCAGTAAAAACTACTATAGTTTCTCCAAACGTGTCATAACCACGAAAGCTTGCCAAAACAGCTGTCACTATATTAGTAATACCGGTAGCTTTTTCGGTATTTTCCACATAATAAGGAGCAACATGCAAGTGGACCGGAGCATTGTGGCTGCCAAAATCTGGCAATTGAATTATAAAATATGACAAACATACAGCCAGAAATAACATAAAAAAAGCGTTATAGGGTTATGCGATAGATTTACTTTATGATTCTTTATCAAGGAGAGTGCTGTAAACGTAAAAATCGTACTGAGCCCCGCACCAACAGAAGCTTCAGTAATTGCAACATCAGGTGCATTCATAATTAACTATATAAGCGCAATAAATACACACATTAGAACAGCACTTACGACTAAATGTCGCGAGAAGACTATAAAAACCGTAACTGTTAGTAACAACAAAAGTAGCACTACATTTAATATTTCTAACACCTTAACCTTCTTTAACAGTTTTTTTTCTTAACTTTATAACAAATGCGTGCTAAAATATAGCCATTAGTTGAGCTAGCTACCCATATTATAAGAATTAATAATATTATTTTAACAGTATTGATTGAAAATCCATTCTGCAAAGCAAAACCAATTAACAATAGCGTTGCACCGCTAGAATCTGTAATACCTCCTGCATGTAACCTAGTATAGAAATCAGGAAATCTAATCACTCCCACACTTGAAATGATTACTGAACAAATGCCTAAAAATATAAGAACGGATCCTATCATAAATTATTAAAACAACATCAATCTCATTAGTGATATAGTTGATATAAAGCTAACGCTAGCATACAACAATGCTATATCAATTAAAAAAAATATTCAGAACGATTGACATTGCTATTATGAGTACAACTACTTGCGTTGAGAAATTATTGAACGCTAAAACCTTATTGTACACATCACTTGACTTAGACACTATGCGGCACAACATTACACTCATACAGAACAATAGTGTACAGATAGCAATGTGAAGCATTTAAAGACTATGTAACTTCAGTAGATTTCTAAACTGATACTTATTCATCGCTATCTTGATTATCTATTTCATCATCTATTTCACCATCCACTTCATAATCTTGCTTTCACGACTTGCATCAAGATCTTCTTTAAATTGACCATCAGAAAAATCTAATAAATTCGCTAGCTTACTTGTATTACTTCTGTAAGCATTATTCATATTTCCTTTCATGTACTCCTTGCATCTACCTACCAAAAGGTTAAATAGCTCATGAGTATCCACCTGTTTTTATGCTATTTCATATAAGGAAACCATGTTGTTTTTATGGTCTTTAAACTGTTTGAACTGGATTACTTGCTCCTGTATTTAAATCATGTGTTCTTTGACTTGCCAATAGAACCAATTTGAAACGGTTACCTACCTGTTCCGTACACTTTTCTACAACAGACTCAGCCATAAGTACCACCTTAATAAGTTTTATACTATATCACAAAAAACAAGTTGTCAACTTTGTATCTATTGCGATTCAACTTCATGTTTTACTTTTTCTGCCTCAGGTTTTATTTCTTGGCTTTCTGTCATCGTGATTGTTATTTCATGATCAAGGTTTTTTAGAAATCCTAACAATCGCTCTAAAGAAAAACCATCTCTTTACCATTTTTAATTTGTGATACCTTTGGCTGATCAATACCAAGTTTCTCAGCTGCAAAAGCATGAGTTCAAGCATTTTTTTCTATAATTTTATTTATTATATAAAGCAACTTTGTTTTTATTGCTGCATTGTCTAGGTTATTTAACGATATTATTTCCATAATTCTTACACTCACATATCAATTAACTTTATTAAACATTATAGCATAATATTTAATAATAAATAAAATATTAATATCGTATAACTTGTCAATAACAATAATTATATGATATCAAATTTAAAACTTTAAGTTTATATATTGATATTTCAATCAAATTTCTAGTAATTTTAAATTATCATTTTACCATCAGACTCTCTGAAAAAATCATTTACAGAGAGAACAAGTTAAAATTACAAAGCTTGAAATACAAAAATAATTATTTTATAAATTTATCTTACATAAGAAGTTTATATCGCTATATCTTAACATAGATATTTATTTAAATTTTTAAAATTTCTATTTTAACGAGAATTCTATATACTACATTTATAATGTAACTTAAATATTTGTTGCTTTTTAGCTGGAACACTATTTATTTAGGAAGTAAAATTGTGTTGAATATGACAAAAATAAAAAAAGATGTTGCTGTTATTATGGGAAGTGAGTCAGATTATACCACTATGGTCCATACCGTCGATATGCTAAAAGCATTAGAAGTTTCACATGACATATTCATAATATCTGCACATAGAACACCAGAAAGGCTCTTTAATTTTACTAAATCTGCATAAGAAGAAGGTTTTAAGGTTATTATAGCTGGTGCAGGAGGTGCAGCTCATTTACCCGGTATGGTTGCGTCATTAACTTGTTTACCAGTTATCGGCGTTCCTGTGCATAGTAAACAATTAAATGGGCTGGATAGTCTACTCTCTATAGTTCAAATGCCAAAGGGTGTTCCAGTTGCAACCATGTCTATAGGAGAAAATGGAGCATATAATGCTGTCATTACCGCCGTATCTATATTGTCAATTTCCAACAGTGAAATTGCAGGTAAGTTAAAAAAGTGGAGAGAGAGACAGACCAAAGAAGTAAAAGAAAAACCAGTTTCATAATAAATCTATGGCAATAATCCTTCTAGACACAAAAACCATAAACCTTATAGCAGCAGGGGAGGTAATAGAAAGGCCAGCAAGTGTAGTAAAAGAATTAGTGGAAAATGCAATAGATGCTGGAAGTTTAGAAATAGAAATCAAAATAGAAAGTGGTGGGCGTAACCTTATTATTGTGACAGATGATGGTAACGGAGTAGAAAAAAACGATTTAGAACTTGCGTTTATGCACCATGCTACTTCAAAATTGCATCTCAAAATCAAGCATCTTGGCTTTAGAGGAGAAGCTCTGCCTTCAATAGCAGCAGTAAGTAGGATAAAATTATCGTCTAAAGCAAGCGGAGCAAGTGAAGCATGGTCTATAAGTTATGAGGGTGGAGAAAAGATGGGGGAGCTAACTCTTTACTCTTTATCACAAGGGACACATATTGAAGTACGAGATTTGTTTTTCGCTACCCCAAATAGACTAAAATTTCTAAAAACCGAAAGAGCAGAAACTCAAAGCATTGTTGATATTGTAAACAACCTAGCAATGGTTAACTATCATATAGGTTTTACTCTCACTTCAGGTAATAAAAAGCTCTTAAAATACGCTAAGCAGACTTCGTTGTTTCGTAGATTGTGTGAAGTAGAAGAAGAATTTCAGGGCAATTCTTTGGAGGTCAATGAAGAAGAAGACGGCATTAAACTTACGGGACACATCTGTAGGCCAACCGTCAATCGTGGTAAGTACACTCAGATCTATACATTTGTTAATGGAAGGCCAATTAAAGATAATTTACTTATTGGTGCGGTTAGGTATGCATATCATGATTTTATTCCAAGCAATAGGTATCCTTTTGCAGCGTTACATTTAGAGATACCTTATGATCAAGTAGATGTAAATGTGCATCCAAATAAGTCAGAAGTAAGGTTTCAGAATAAGAAGCTCATATATGAGATAGTGACAAGAGGATTAATCAATGCATTGTCAAGAAGGATAGGCACCTTTGATGTCATTCCAGCTAGTGACCATAAAACTACTAATACAATAGAGGGTTTTTTGAAAGGTTCATTATCAGATTCTTTTGATAAATCTGATGTTCAAAATGAATTTTATGAAAGAAGGCTAAGTCCTTTTGAAAATCAACTAATAAAAGAATTTGCTTCTCAAAATGAAAAAGCAAAAGACTTATCAGAACAATTAAAATCGTTTGATTATACCGGCATACAGAAATCCCCATCACAAGCGGAAATTATGGTTCTAGAAAAAAAGGTGTTAGAGCAAGTTGATTTGATAGAGAGCCACACGCTCGGGTTTGCACGCTGTCAGGTCTTTAATACTTACAATATTACCGCGGTAAGAGACAAATTGATTATAGTTGATTAGCATGCAGCCCATGAGAGATTAGTGTATGAATGCCTAAAACAAAAATCAAGTATAAAAAGATAAAAACTACTTCTTCCTGAAACGGTTGAAATCAAAAATCAAGCTGGAATGGAGATGATTGAAATCTACAAAGATAAGTTATTTGAAATGGGTTTTGATATTGAAATCAAATCAGAGAATAAAGTGATAGTAAAAGAAATCCCTGCAATTTTGGGAGCAATAGATGTGAAAGAGATGCTAATTAATATAGCAGGTAGATTAACGGAAATAGAAGATACATTGCCAGTAGAAGATAAAGTGAACAAGATATTGGCTACTATCGCTTGTCATGGATCAATTAGGGCAGGGAGGAAAATGAGGTTAGAGGAGATGGATGAGCTGCTGAGACAAATGGAAAAAACTCCATATTCCGGGCAATGCAACCACGGAAGACCAACTTATATAGAAATGAAACTCAGTGATATTGAAAAACTTTTTGAGCGCCGGTAATGAGGTTGCCATAAATATGTAAGTGCTCTTTCCTCTTCATCCAAGTAGCTCATAGAAACGGATTAAACGATAAACGACTTGATAAACTACGCCAGCTCCCTTATCGTGATAATAAGTGTATTTATGACTCAAAACTTGTTTTTTACCTGCAGGCTCAATGACAAAATTCAGTAAAAAAACTCAGGTATTTATTGGCGGATTACATAAAATTATAGCAGCTGCATGTCTTTTAAATTTTTTCTACATTCGGCCAAACCACGCTTATTTTAAGCGTTAGCACATTATTACAGCGCCACTTACAGTAATAGAGAGTCAAAACCAGCTACTAGGGGGGGGGTTCTTTGCCTTTTTTAAATTAGTAAATTTCTCAATATTTATAGTTAATATATTTAAGAATAAACTTCACTAGTAGTATGTCATTCCAGTATTGGAATCCAGCTTTTCATTAAACCTCATCAAAAAAATTCATTTAGTGTAAGATCGGCTACTTTCCATACTAGTTTGCTTGTTCACAAGCAAAACTTTTCTGGATCCCATTACTGGGATGACACCACTATAAAGTAGATTCCAGTGTCACGCACTGGAATGACACCACAGAGGCTACTTGGATGATGGTAAAGAGTACTGGGATGAGAGGGAAAGGAGCACCGGAATGACAGATTAAGACGATAAGAAGGGTCTACCTGATAGGAGGTGATAACATGAATTTTTTAAAATTTATTGAACTATGCTTTAAAATGGTAATGCCGGGGTGTGAGTATAACAATTATCAGTATATAAAAATTATAGCAGACAGACTTGAAGCGGCAAATGTTGGCAAAATAAGGCAAATAATATTCAATATGCCTCCGCGTTCGATGAAGTCCATGTGCGTGAGTATTGAATGGCCTGCATGGATACTGGGAAACCAACCGCGAGAATAATAGTTGCAAGTTATTCTCAGCGGCTCAGCGAAAAGCACTCACTCAACATCAGGTGCGTGATGCAGTCTAGTTGTTATAGAGCGCTATTTCCAGAGGTAGAACTATCCAAAGACCAAAATACCAAACATAAATTTCAAACAGCGCACAGAGGGTAAAGAATAGCAACATCAGTTGATGGAGCACTAACTGGTGAAGGTGGTGATTTTATCATCGTTGATGATCCGCTTAGTTCTACTGAAGCTTTGAGTGAAACGTTTAGAAAACGAACCACAAACTGGTTTGATCAGACTTTAGTAACCAGGCTCAACGACAGAAAAAAAGGAGCAAATGTTCTTTGATGTATAGGCTACATCAGGAAGATTTGACCGGATACCTTCTCTCGAAACCGAAAAACATATGGAACCATACTTGTTTACGGATGATATCTGAAAATTAGGAGATTATCTATTCAATCAAAAAGCCAGCTCCTCCTTTTCTTGTTCCTGTCACCCAAGTAAATACAAATGAGTACAAAAGCTGGATTACAGCATCAAGTACTAGAATGACACCACCCGTAATATTATACTCAAGAGAAGAAGGTCAGTTGCTATATCCCCTAGATGGAGGAAAAGAAGAAATTGAGATGATAAAGGCTGAACTTGGGAGCTATGCTTTTGCTGCCCAATATCAACAAAACCCTCTACCGCTTTCAAGTGGTATAGTCAAACGAGAGTGGCTAAAGCGCTATAAAAATGTTCTTGATAATCTCTCGCATGTAACAAAAGTTGGAACACTGAGGTTTCAATAAGCGATTCTCGCGGCTTTAGCGTTTGTACCACCTGGGCAAAAGCGGATAATAAATTCTATTTACTTGATGTATATTGTGCAAAGCTTGAGTATCCAAAACTTAAAGAACAAGTTCTGTCACTAGCTGCAAGGTGGAAGCCACATGCAATTTTAATCGAAGCAAAAATGAGTGGTCAGCAATTGATTCAAGAGCTAAAGGCAAATAGTGACCTACCTGTTATCAAGATAGTGCCACATAGTGGCAAACTTGCTCGACCAAATTGTCCCAATAATAGAGTCTGGGAAGGTTTTTCTGCCACACCAAGCAGTATGGCTCAACGATTTTAAGTATGAAATTTTTATGTTTCCAGAAACGCGCTAAGATGACCAAGTAGACAGTTCGTACAATATCTGCAGTGAGTGAGAGATAGTAGCTCTAGGGTCGCAGCTGTACGGGCATTGTGATTTGAGCCTACCAGATCCCAGTTCCCAGACACTAGCTGAGTTGGTGAATGTAAAAGTAGCTAATTTTGTCTTTAAATGCAGCGTTTTTGATGATCATGCATTTTGATTCGTAATCGAGGATAGATGTAGATGTCTATGGGCCACAGCAACCACTTACCATCAGGTGGACTGTGTGCTCGTTTGTCACCCTATCCTATAAAAAAATCATAGATGCCAGTGTCAGCTACTTGCATGACACCCTCTGCTACGCAAATTACCTACAAATCATAAGGTTCATGTGTCAAGCACTGGTATGACAAAAGAGGAAATCTTACCTTTGTTAGCTACAATACTCAAATTAAAGGAAGAACTTCCTTTAATTCCTTGCCTATCACCGAAATACCATTTTTCTTATGCTAATTCTCAATAAGAAGGTTCTTGAGCTATGAATGTAGCTAGGGATATAATTGTTCCACTTTCCAATTGCTTTCTTCAATAAGAGTATATCTCAACCTAGTTTGTCTCCTATATTCACCTTCTTGCCAAAATTCAATTACTTTTTGGATTACGCAAAATCCCAACCAAAAGTCAGGACGAGAAACTTGTGTATTGTAAAATTCTTTCTCCTTCAATTTTATAGCTTGCTTAAAATCTTGCCAACCTTTCAGAATGCTCGATTGTTTTGAGCACCATGCGCTAATTTGACTATCGCGTGCTCGAGAAGAGAAGTATTTGTCAGTTCTTTCATCGTTTAGAAGTTTAACATCTCCTTCAATTCGCACTTGCCTAGCAAATTCTATCCAGTGAAACACTAATGCAGCTTTAGGGTTCTCGGTCAATTCTTTTCCTTTTCTACTATTTATGTTAGTGAAGAACACAAAACCTTCTTTGCTGTATTCCTTTAGTAATACTACTCTTGCAGATGGAATGCAGTCTTTGCTACAAGTTGCCAGCGTCATTGCAGTTGGTTGTTTACAAGGAGAATTAAGTACTTCTTCATACCACTTTGAAAATAAGTTAATCGGATCTTTTTCAGGTAAAAATGTCATATTCAAAAATAAAATCTTAATTCTGACATATGTTGCAGAAATAAGTGCTACGGCCATTTTGTCGTATAAGTGTTATGATATTGTTGCAGATTTTGCAAGGTTTTTGAACTTTACCATATACGTAAAAGTTATTTTGAAAGTATCCAGCAGATCCAGATGGCTGTGCATAATCTTTCAGTGCTGAACCGCCTGCAGCAATTGCATCACTGAGAGTATTTTTTACTTCAGCAGCAAGTTTTTCGCACTCTCTATAGGTCAAGCCTTTTGCTGACCTGAGTGGTGATATGCGAGCTCTAAACAAGCTCTCAGAAGCATATATATTGCCTACGCCAACTATTAATTTATTGTCCATTAAAGCTGATTTGATATTCACTTTTTTGTTTTTCAGCAACTCCTGTAAATATTCTCCACTGAATTCATCCGTGAGGGGCTCTATTCCAAAACCATCAAAAAAAATTATTTCTTGTTCTTTGCTTAAAATAATAACTAATCCAAATCTTCTTGGATCATTAAAAATTATTGAAGTATTATCGGAAAATAAAAATACCACGTGATCGTGCTTATTCCACACTTGATCATGGTCAGCATATATAAGCTCCGCTCATGCCAAGATGTATGATTACAGCCATACTACCATCTGTATTCCAGATCGTATACTTACCTCTACGCTTGATGTTGCGTATGACTTTGCCCTTTAGCATATCATCAATAGTTTTTGTTATTGGGGCACGTAAATTCCAATTATTAACTATAACATTACTAATTTGCTTGTTTTTAATTTTATCAAGCAAAAAGTTAGAGATTATTTCTACTTCTGGTAGTTCTGGCATCTTGTCTACTCTGTTGCTGCTTTTTTCTTTTCAAAATATTTTGCATTAAAGCTTTCGCTAATCTTTTTTTCTTCTCTTCTTTTTCCTTATTTCTTTTTGTATTATTCATTATCATAATATATAAACTTGCGGTTGTAGCTCAGGTGGTAGAGTACGTCATTGGTAATGACGAGGTCCCAAGTTTGAGTCTTGATAACGGCACACTGATTACACTTATAATATTGCATAACTTGCAAGCAAGGCCTAAAAGAAAGTTACAGAGGTAAGTTGTCATGCTTTTTCCATATCCTTTCTACTTTCTTGTTTTTGAGTAGCTCTAATCTTTACAAAAGTAATACCTTGTTTTACTTGGCACTATAATGTCATCAATGTATCCATATGATGCAGCAAAAAATGGATTAGCAAATTTCTCTTTATATTCTTTGATTAACGTTTGCTGGTCTTTTTCATGCCTAAATATAATTTCAACTGCACTTTCAGGTCCCATTACAGCTATTTCAGCAGTTGGCCAAGCATAATTTATGTGACCTTTTAAATGTTTCGAGTTCATAACAATATATGCACCACCATACGCTTTTCTAGAGATAAGGCTAATATTTGGCACGGTCGCTTCAGCGTAAGCGTAAAGCAACTTTGCTCCGTGTTGTATTATATTATTGTATTCTTGATTTGTACCAAACACAAAACCCCGGAATATCAATAAGTGTGATGATAGGAATGTTAAATGCGTCACAAAACCTTACAAATCTTGCAGCTTTTCTTGAAGAATCAATATCCAAACATCCTGCAAGGTGCATGGGTTGATTTGCAACAATACCAACAGTATTTCCTCCAATTCTACTAAAACCAATTATAATGTTACGAGCAAAATCAGGTTTTAGTTCAAAGAATTTCTTCTCATCACAAACTTTTTCAATGAGTTCATACATGTCATAAGGAGTGTTAGTATTGTTAGGAACTAGAGTGTTTAAGGATTCATCAATCTCATTAACATCATTACAGGTTGGTACAGATTTCGGTGGTTCTTGATTATTTGCTGGTAAAAACGTAAGGAATTCACGCATTTTGAGTAGCATCTCAACATCATTATTGAATGCAAAATCTGCCACTCCTGTTTTGCTTGTATGCATTTTTGCTCCACCGAGGTCTTCGAAGCTTACATCTTCATAGGTAACCTTTTTTACTACATCTGGTCTGGTTATAAACATGTATGAACTATTCTTTACCATGAAAGTAAAATCAGTTAATGCTGGAGAATAAACAGCCCCTCCTGCACATGGACCCATAATTAAAGAGATTTGTGGTATAACGCCCGATGCATTTACGTTGCTTTGGAAAACTTCTCCATAACCAGCAAGAGAATTTACTCCTTCTTGAGTTCTGGCTCCACCAGAATCATTTATTCCGATAATTGGAACCCTGGCCATTGCCATATCCATAATTTTGCATATTTTTTTGCACGTGATGCACCAAGTGATCCACAAAAGACAGTAAAGTCCTGAGAATAAACAAAAACTTTCTTGTCGAAGATAGTACCAAGACCAATCACTACTCCATCACCTAAAAAATTAGCATTTTGCATGCCAAAATCAGTTGCATGATGCTTCACGAATTTATCGTATTCTTCGAACGAATTTTCATCAAGCAATATACTGAGCCTTTCTCTAGCAGTTAATTTCCCTTTTTCGTGTTGTTTATTGATTCTGTTAGAACCGCCTCCTTCTTCAGCTTCTAGTGCTTTGGTTTTTAGATTTTCTAGTATTTCAAAATCTTGCATACAATAAAGTAGTTTTCAAATTAGTTGTAGACTTTATTAAGTTTACAAACCCTATTAACTATACACATACACTATTGCTATATGCAACAGTGTATGTCATGTACATAACCATTAAAACTTTAACCTAAAGATGATGATTACAGTGAGCGCACTTGAATGCACTAACTTCTTCCAGAACACTAAATGGCTCAATTTGTTTTCCTTTTTTCTCTTCGATAAAACTTTTGGCTCTACCAATGATCTTTTCTATACGTGGTTGCTTTTTTAGAGTTTCATAATGTTTTAAGAAAACTTCACAACTTTTATCATCCATATGCACCATTATTGTGCCAAAATTTTATGCGTTGTTTTCAGGTTCATGAGCTTTTTTAAAGAATAAAGACATCTCGAGCTTCTCATCTCATCAAGTTTAAAAGTCATTTTTATTCTACCTTTCATATCATGATATTGCCCATTTCGTGTCCGAATTATATTATCTCCTTCTCCCATTCGCAATGCACCATATTTTAAATCCTTGAATTCCAGAGAATTCATAAACTTTGCAGGAGTGATCACACTTTCTTCTGGACATTTTACACAATAAAACTTATTGTCTCTTTCTACTACAATTCCTTCTTTTTTGTCATTTTCAATGTTGTCACACAGAGCTTTCTCTAGGCTCAATAAGTAGCTGTTACGCTTTGCTTCTGGAGCCGAATCTATTGGTATATTATTGCGACACAAGTCCAAGATTTTTTTACTCACATACGTGCCTGTTGAAATTAAATGTTATTTTTGAGCAAAGAGAATACAACTTTTCTTTTTCACTATTTTCAAGGCTTAAATTTTGTCTTTTGATTAGGTCTATATTTTTTATCAAGTACCCTATCAGTTATATTTCTTTTGCTGCTCGTTCTTTTTCTTCATTAGATAGTATACCATGCACCAAACCATACGGCATACCAAACATAATTTGGTCCTGATATGCAAGCTTTACAATTTCTAGTAATGCGTCAACCATTTTTCCGCAGCTTGACTATCAGAAAGCACTTTATATTTTTCTCCTATATCTTCTACTTGCTTTAGGATCTTTTTCCGCTTCTCTCTCAATTTGTTTATATAATGTCCTACTTAATAGGAATTCATCCGTATTTTTTGGACGCTTTATATCTTTATATGAACGCTATTGTGACCCTTATTGTTCTAATTCTTCGTTATCTACACTTTCTATTTGCTCTAGCCCTAACATAACTCTTCTATTTCACATAATAAAGTTAAGATAAAATATCTTGACTTGAGGATATTGATATAACCTACAAAGTCAATAGTTAAATTGAAAAATTTTGATTATAATTTACTTTACATAGAAGATGCCCTTGAATTATACTAAAAATCGCTATAGTAGGCCTACAAAATGCTGGTAAATCAACTCTTTTTAATAGATTGGTGGGAAGAAAAGCAGCGGTGGTCAACAATATTCCAGGGGTTACACGAGATAGAAGAGAAGGAATAGGCAGAATTAGCAATTTAGAGTTTAAAGTTATAGATACAGGAGGATGGAATGACCAAACTAGTTTTTCACTACAAGTTATTGAGCAAATAGAGTTTTCTTTATTAAGTGCAGATATAATTTTCTTTCTTGTTGACGCAAAAGTGCAAAATGAGCGAAACAAAGAATTTGCAAAGTGGCTAAAGAGAAAAATGAATAAACCTGTAATCCTCATAGCAAATAAATGTGAGAGTCATAAATCCGAAAATGTTGATTATTTAGAGTTTTTTGATTTTCTTGGCCCGGTGTATATCTCTGCCGAACATAATCTTGGTATAGTTGATCTTTATGATGTATTAGCTGGTATTATTGAAAATTTGAACGAAAACATCTGATCTATTGGGCAGTGAGTCCAGTAAACTTAGAATTGCAATCATCGGTCGCCCGAATGTCGGAAAATCAACTTTTTTAAATAGCTTGCTTACAGAAAACAGAGTAATAGTGAATTCAGAGCCAGGCACCACACGTGATTCTGTAGATATTGTATATGATCATAATGGGGAGCTAATTACTCTCATTGATACTGCAGGAATCCGCAGAAAGGCGAATGTTATAAATGACTTAGAATCAAGATTTGTTGAAAAAAGCTTAGAATCAATCAAGCGCTCTCATGTGGTAGTTTTAATGCTAGACTCCCTAGTTGGTATTGAGCATCAGGATTTATCGATTGGTGAAGCTGCAATTAAGGGAGGGAAAGGGATTATTGTTGTTTTAAATAAGTGGGATTTAATAGGTAAAGATGACAGAAGTAAGTTAATGAAATTTGTCAAACAACAGGAAGTGACTCGGTTATTCTTGGAAGTGCCAACTGTAACAATTTCTGCATTGAAAGGCATGCGCTGCGGCGATGTGATAGATAAGTGTCTTGAAGTGAGTGAATCTTTGAACAAGAAAGTCAGCACTGCAAAACTGAATAAGTGGCTAATTAATGCTTTAGATAGACACTCTCACCCGCTTGTAAAAGGCAAAGCAGTTAAAATGAAGTATATCGCTCAAATTGGTACTAAACCTCCAGCTTTTTCTTTGATATGCAACATACCTGAAAGTGTTGATGAAAGTTACAAACGCTATTTAATTAATGATCTTAGAAAAATTTCTTCGTAGATGGTGTGTCAGTCAGATTAGTTTTGAAAAAAAAAAATAAAAATCCCTATGCAAAATGAATACTCAGCTTTATACTTTCAGGGGTCTTTATAATAATTTACTTAAAGTCGTGTGTAATAACTCCAGAATTCCTACAATCTTTCTACTATTAAGTGCTTTTGCTCTAATTTTTGCATATGTGCTAGAATATTTTTTCAACATGTTGCCATGCAAGTTATGTAAATACGAGCGGTTAGTTTACTATGTTGCAGGTTTACTTGCAGTAGTATGCATGCTTAAAGACAACAAAATTCTAATCTATGCAATGTTTTGCAGCTACCTCATAGGTGCAGTAATGTCTTCTTATCATGTAGGTCTTGAACTCCTCTTACTTCATGATGTTTTAGGTTGTACAGAGCAAGCAAGTGGTAACGTTAGTATAGAAGATCTCAGAAATAATCTATTAAATCGTAATTACTCTCCATCTTGTGACAGGCCTCATTACTTTCTAGGTGTTTCCTTAGCAACAAAGAATTTAATTTATCTCATAGCAGCTCTGTTCGTATCAGGTAAGGTGTATTATGGAGGAAGAAAGAAATCTAAATAATTTAAGGTACAGCAACAATCAGTTCTTGCAACAGGCAATTAGAGTAAATCATGCTGGTGAATATGGAGCTATTTGCATTTATTCTGGTCAAAAATTTATTGTTAAAAAATCTTCTATAATCAATGAAATAATTGAAATGGAAGAGCAGTAAAAAAAGCATTTTCACTATTTTAATGAGAAAATCAAAGAGCAAAAAGTTTGTCCTACTGTTTTGTTGCCAGTTTGGCGTGTTTTAGGAGTGTCACTTGGCGTTGCAACTGCCATTATGGGCGAAAAAGCTGCTATGGCTTGCACTGCTGCAGTTAAAGAAGTTATAGGGGAGCATTACAAGATGGGCAACCAATTAGATCATTTGGACCAGAAAGTCATTTAATAACAAAAAAGAATGTACCACCTATGGGCGGAATAATAATACTGATTTCTTCTTTATTACCAATTTTGCTTCGGGCTCAGTTGACAATAGAAATTTTGCTGCTGATATTGATAACTCAATTTTTTGCTCTACTTGGATTTATTGATGATTATTTAAAATTGAACACAAATCACTATCGAGGTTTAAGTGCAAAAACTAAAATACTTATTCAGTTTATTGTAACTTTGGTTAGTATGTCTATACTTAAGCTATACTCTGCTGAAGGTTTTACAAAAACGTCTCTATTTAAAGGAGCAATAATCGACTTTGGCTTTCTATATGTTCCGTTTGCTGCATTTGTAATTGTCGGCTCTGCTAATGCTGTGAATCTCACAGATAATTTGGATGGCCTTGCTGCAACTCAAGTTATCACTTCCTTTGCTTTTTTGGGGCTAATTGCTTATATAACTCAGGCTGATATGAATATTACTTTATTCTGCATTGCATTTATAGGAGCTATTTTAAGTTTCTTGTGGTTTAACACACATCCAGCAAAAATATTTATGGGTGATGTTGGAAGCCTGTCAATTGGTGCAGCTTTAGGGTTAACTAGCGTTTTAATGAAGAGAGAAGTGCTTTTTGCTTTTATTGGAGTAATTTTTGTAATAGAGACTCTATCTGTGATTACTCAGATATCATATTTTAAATATACAAAGTTTAAATATGGAGAAGGAAAAGGGTTTTTCTTATGGCACCAATACATCATCACTTTGAGAAGAAGGCATGTTCAGAAAATGTAATCGTTATGAAATTTTGGATAATTTCTATTATCTGTTCAGTTTTTACTATAACTTTCTTATTATAAAATCCTATGAAATACCCAGACTTTACATTAGAAAATAAATTATCAGGAGTGATAGCAGGAGTGGATGAAGTTGGAAGAGGTCCGCTAGCTGGTCCAGTAATATCCGCAGCCGTAGTGTTTATTGATAGAAATACGAGTACAATTATTGATGGAATTAACGACTCGAAAAAGTTGACTCCTCAATGTAGGCAAGTCCTATATGAAAAAATAATATCCGTTGCAAAATTTGGTATAGGAATGGCAAGCGTGGAAGAAATAAATTCATACAATATCTTGCAAGCAACAAAACTTTCAATGAAACGTGCATTGATAGACCTGGACCTAGAATTAGATTATGTGCTAGTTGATGGTAATCAACCACCTGAAGTGAAATGGCAAGTGAAATCCATATTAAATTGTGATAATTTGAGTACATCAATTGCAGTAGCTTCAATCGTTGCAAAAGTTACGAGAGATCGGCTTATGCAAGAATTGCACAATAAGCATCCTGAATATAATTTGTATAAAAATAAAGGATATGGGACAAAAGAGCACCTTAACGCCATTGGCCTTTATGGAATTACAGAACATCATAGAAAAAACTTTGCACCCATATCTCGGGCATTATATCCTTTAGATAGTAATCACTTACCTTTTTTTGAAAGGCATGTTTTCATTAAATAGGCAAACTGTACTTGATCCATTCCTTAAGGTAAACACTGAACTCACCCTTTCGATTATCAGGTAGTTGTCAGCTGTACGGAAGTTTACTAAAGACTCATACCCTGCAGAATCAACCATAAAAACTGCCGGGAAATCAGAGTTTGTTTTATTGAATTGTAAATATGTAAATTTTCCGTCATCAAAAACCTTAATTGGTATTATTGACTGACTGCCTTTAACGTGCGAGATGGAATAATTAAAATTTAAGCCCTTCTTTACAACTTCAATGTCGTTTATATCAGGAATAATGTTGTGACTAGCTTGTTCGAAGATATCGCCGTTATTCGTTGTGTGAATCTCATCACCGTTAAATAATGGATAAAGAAACCTTACTTCATATCCTAATTTTGGATCATCTAGTCCAGTTGCTTCTTCAGTATGAAGTTCAAAGTAATAAACTCTTTTATTGGTAATTATAGTTGCGTTAGTATCGGCAATATCATCTATAGGCTTAATAAACAATCTGTTATCTTGAGAAAGGAGTTGCCAACCAGTTGAATCACCCATTGAAAGGTTTTGTATTACCTCCCCTGGTTCAAACAATATGCTGGACTGATAACCATAAAAACCCGTATACTTATGTATAGCTTGTGGGTATAATTTATTACCTTTATGTGATTATCTCCAGCTATTGAACGTGGCTCCTGTTTTGCAAGTGCATCACTACCACAAAAAACCAACAGTATGGCAAACAGTAAACCAATCATAATATCAAAATAAATTAGTCTTAATTTTATCATTGATAGACGTGCATTGCAACTGTTAAGCTGTACTATAAACCCCAATTATAGGTTAGCAAGGGGTAGAAAAGGCAAGAAATAAGGTAAACTCCTTAAATACTTTAGAACTACAGAAGGCTTCACCTGAACGGATATACTTGGAATCCTGCCATTTTTACTTCATAAACATACCAAGAATTCTGTCCATTATTCCACCCATATTTGCTTCAGCTTGAGTATACTCTATTTTACCACCGTACAAGATTAGTTTAATATCTGATCCAGGTGATATATTAACAAATTTACTGCCAACAACTCCACTGCTAGTGATCAGAGCTGAGCTATCAACTGGCACCTTTATATCTCGGCTTACGCACATATCGATTCGTGCTACATAGGTAGCTTTGTCAAGTGACACACCGGTTATTCTTCCAACGTCCACACCAGAGATCTTGACACTATCACCAACTCCTATACCGTTAGCGTTAGCAAAAAGACCATATATTTTATAGCAATCCTTATAGTCTTTCTTTATGTAAGATAGCTTATCAATAGCAAAGAAAATCAGAAAAATATTGAAAACTAATAGAAATAATCCAGCGGTTATTTCAAGTATATTTGACCTTCTCATCTTTAGTTATCAGGACTCCAGCTTTTATAGTAATTTTTCACTTTTTGGTTTGGATAGTATGCATCTTTTGTACCCGTTAAATTAGGAGTATGTTTTACTTTTCTTTTTTTATTATTAACTGGTACTACATTATCAGTATAGTGAAGCCATATATGCCATTCCGGAGGCACTGTTGTAGGCTCAGAAACATTGCTATACATAATCCACCTTTTCCCTTTACTTGATTCATAGTAAGAATTTCCATTTTCATCTCTTCCTACAAATTTATCTTCTCTTCGTAATAGGCGTTTTATTGCGTTACAAATTTTAGATAACATAAGAGTATTAAAACAAAAAGTATTATATATAATAATACTTTAACGATATATTAACAACAATTTAATGCAATTACCAATTTTACAAGTTATTATACCAATAATTGCATCAATGTTTTGCTTTCTTACCAAGAAACACAAGGTATCTTGCTTTATATTTCTTTTATTGCAATAACAATCACTCTTATCATTTCATCAATACTACTCATAAAAACATATAGAGGCGAGATTATAACTTATCACCTTCACCTTGGAAATTGGTCTCCTCCGCATGGAATAGAGTTAAGAATCGACGTGTTAAACTCCTTGGTTCTAACTTTGGTGAATTTTATAGCGCTGATTAGCATGCTTTATGGCTTTTATATTAACGAAAAAGAAATTAGCAAAAACAAAATCACTGGTTTTTACTCTCTATTTCTACTGTGCTTAAGCGGACTGCTCGGGATTCTAGTAACAAACGACATATTCAATCTTTGTTTTTTTGGAAATTTCGTCTCTTTCTTCTTATGTATTAGTTTCAATGGGAAGGGATAAAAAAGCCTTGGTTGCAGCATTTGAATATCTAATTAGTGGCACTATAGGAGCAACGTTTTACTTGTTTGGTGTTGGGCTTTTGTACTCCATGACAGGAACGCTCAATATGTCTGACATGGCTGAAAGAATAGTTCCATTATACGATAACAACATCATAAAACTTGGCACATTGTTCATTTTTGTTGGTCTCTCAATTAAAATGGCACTGTTTCCATTAAGCAGGTGGCTGATTGATGCATATAGTGAGGCGCCAAGTTTCATTAGCATATTCTTTTCAGGCACAGTGACAAAAGTGATGATATATGTTTTCATTAGGATCTTCTATACTGTTTTCCATCAGAATTTCTTCTTATTTAAACCATCACTAAGCAACGTGATAATTATCCTCGCACTTTGCGCTGTTATATTTGGGTCAATATCTGCAATAACTGCAAAAGATATAAGAAGACTCCTTGCTAATTCTAGTGTCAGCCAAATTGGTTATATAATTTTAGCACTGAGTTTTAACTCAAAAACAGGTGTATTTGCAGCAATTCTTCACATAGTAAACCACAGCATAATAAAAATATCTTTATTCATGGCTGCAGGATGTATTTCTTACAAATTTGATACAACAAAAGTAGAGAATTTATCGGGAATCAAGAAATCAATGCCTTATACAGCACTTGCGTTTACTCTACTTAGTTTAGCATTAGTCGGTGTGCCGCTAACAAATGGCTTTGTAAGCAAATGGTATATAATGAAAGCAGTTATAGAATCTCGCGCGTGGATTTCCCTGATAGCCTGTGCTGCCGGTTCTTTTCTTGCACTAATATACATGTGGAAGACGGTAGAGAAAATGTATTTTGAAAATAGTGCAGCATCAAGCGCTGGAATGACACCGGAAAAAATTAATGATGTGCCATTTCCTATGCTTTTCTGCCTATTGTTTATGGCAGCTTTAACAATAGTAACTGGAATATATAGCACTACTACTAGGTTAGTAGTTGAGAAGTTGGTTTTTTGATTTTTATCTTTGTTTCATATTTTACTATACTTTAAGTTTATAAGTGTGGATAGGCTGAAGAAGATTCATTGGTTATTAGTCATTAACGTGATAGTGCTGTTTTGCGTTGGCATTGCTGTTCAATACTCTTCTGCTGGAGGAAAGTGGGTACCATTTGCAATTCACCAAATAGTCATATTTTCCTTCTTTTTCCTACTAGCTATAGCTATGTCATTCATAGAGATAGATTTTTATTTGACGCACGCCTACTTTTTTATATAGCAGAAGCGATTTCGCTATTAGCAGTAAATTTTTTTGGCTCGCACATAATGGGTGCGACGAGGTGGAAAAGAATTGGTTCAATTAGTTTGCAACCATCAGAATTTGCAAAAGTAGGCTTAATACTTGCGCTTGCTCGTTATTTTGATAAGCAAATTGTGTATAAAATGATGGAATTTAAAAGATTGCTTAAGGCGGTAATAATTATTTTCTTGCCAGTATTCTTGGTGTTAAAGCAACCTTATTTAGGCACAGCTGTGATAATGTTGTTTATAGGAGCATCAATTATATTCACAGCAGTAATAAAAAGAGCTCATTTAGTAATTTGTGGGACGCTTGGCATTTTTGCAGTACCTGCTATTTGGCCTTTTTTACGTTCTTATCACAAGCAAAGGATATTGTCGTTTGTGGATTCATCATTGGATCCACTTGGCATAGGTTATAATGCGCAGCAATCTCAGATAGCTATTGGTTCAGGTTTGCTTGGTAAGGGCTTTGTTAACGGAAGTCAAACTCAACTTGGATTTTTGCCGGAGAAACGTACGGATTTTGCTTTTGCAGTTCTGAGTGAGGAGTGAGGCTTTTTAGGTAGCATGGCTTTAATTTTGCTTTATACCTCATTACTTGGCATAATTTTCTCTATCGCTTATAGGTCGAAAAATTATTTTTCTAAGTTAGTATCTATCGGGATTTTTGCTGTTTTTGGCGCTCATTTTTTTATAAACATTGGAATGTCAATAGGCCTCTTGCCTGTGATAGGCGATCCACTGCCATTTCTTTCCTATGGAGGAAGTACAACTGCTGCAAGCTTGATATGCATGGGATTATTGCTGGCAATAAAAGCAGATGAACAACAAAATGCTTGTATTTCACCTATGCTAAAGTAAAATTAAACTTTACTTAATAGTTTTTATGCTAGATGAAATGCGTGAGGAATGTGGAGTATTTGGTATAAGCTGCAATAACGATGCTGCATTTAACTCTATACTTGCTCTCCACGCTTTGCAGCATAGAGGTCAAGAGTCTTTTGGCGTAGTAACCAGTAACAACTATAAGTTGCACTCTTATCACTTTCAAGCTCAAGTGAACAGCGTATTTGATAATATAGATGAAATAAAGAAATCCTTACCTGGAGATTGTGCAATAGGTTACGTTTGATACTCAACAAGTGGTAATAAATTTGGAGTGCAGCCAATGCTTGGCAAAAGTGGCAAATTTAGGGATTTTGCAATAGCACATAATGGTAATTTAATTAATATTTCTCCGATACGCGAACAAATAATTAAACAAGAGTGCGTTTTTCAGTCAGATATTGATACAGAGGTAGTAGTGCATCTGACAGCAAGCGATGAAAAAGATAGCTTTTTAGAGAGTTTTATATATGCATTAAAGCAAATACAAGGTGCTTATTCTTTTGTGGTAATCAATCAAGAAGTAATTATTAGAGTACGTGATCCATCTGGAATTAGACCTCTTGTTTTTGGAAAATTAAACAGTTCTTACGTTCTTGCATCTGAAACTTGTGCTCTTGATATAATAAATGCAGAGTTTATTAGAGAAATAGAACCAGGAGAATTAGTTACCATAAGTTCAGATAGCAAGCTAGCCTCAATGTTTCCTTTCCCACAGCAAAAATCAAGTTTTTGTATTTTTGAATACGTTTACTTTTCGAGACCAGACAGCATAATGGAGAATAGGTCCATATATGATATAAGAAAAGAAATAGGAAGAATACTTGTAGAAGAGAGCCCACCAAAAAACAATGTAAATATGGTTGTACCAATACCTGATTCTGGTATACCTGCAGCTATTGGATATGCAAAGCATTCAGGATTACCTATGGAACTGGGGATAATTCGTAATCATTACATAGGAAGAACTTTTATACAACCAACCGCTGAAGTACGTAAAGTTAGAATAAAATTAAAATTCAATGCTAATAAGCACACTTTGAAAGGTAAAAACATAATTTTAATAGATGATAGTATAGTGCGTGGTAGTACGCTCAGAAATATAATAGTGATGCTAAAGGGTGCCAGAGTAAAAGAGATTCACCTCAAAATTTCAAGCCCACCAATTAAGCATTCTTGTTTTTATGGAATAGATACGCCAGGGTGCAAAGATTTCATTCTCGGGGCCTCCGCCTCCATCATGGCGGCTGCGGAGGCCAACTTTGTTGGGGCCGGGCCTAATGCGGACGAGGTGGCGAAGCTGCGGGCGGACGTGGCCCGCCTGACGTCTGCCATGGAGACTCTCCAGAAGGAGAACGAGCAGCTCCGCGCAGACCTGGCCAGTCTACGTGAGCCTGTCCCTCACGCGGCGCCCCAGACGCAGCGCCCAAGCCAGCCCGTGCCGGTGGAGAACCAGGTTCTGAACCTGGTCCGGCAGGCGCTGGCTGCCTTCCAGCACCGGTTTTCCGTGCTAGAGGGCATCGTCCTGCGCCCCCCCCCTGGGGGCAAACAAGACGGCGGCGAGGCCGGCAACGTACGCGGCGGTCACGGCTACCGCATCCAGGCCGGGGCCGTCCAGTCAGCCCTCGGGCGGGGCCGCAGTTGCTCCTCCCCCTGAAAAGCCGGCTCCGGCAAAACCGGTACCGGCTGAACCGGCTCCGGCTAAGCCGGCGACGGGAAAGAGAGGCAAGACGAAGGCGAAAAAGGGCAAGGCGCAGCACAGATGGTGGCTGCACCAGCCCCAGTGCTTGCGGCGAATGTGCCAGCGCCAGCGGCAAGCCAGCTGCCGCCGCCGTCACCGCCCCCCAGATCCCTACACCTCCCGCGGCTGAAGCCGGTTGGCAGGTGGTCGGGGATAAAAAGAAGGGGAAGAAGGCAGCCAAAAAGGCCAAAGAGCAAGAGCGGCAGCGCCAGTTCAGGGGCGCGCTAGATCGCGGCTAGGCTCCGCGCCCCGAAGACCGCAGCTGTAGTGATTACACTACAGCCGGACGCGGAAAAGAAGGGCGTTACCTACCGCGATCTGCTCGCGAAGGCGAAGGAGGCGGTGGACCTCGGGGAGCTCGGGATCACTGGGGGCCTCCGGCTCAAAGTCACCCAGACGGGGGCCCGTATGCTGGAGGTCCCCGGGGAATCCAGTGGCGCGACCGCGGACGCTCTGGCTGCGAAGCTCAGAGCGTCTCTGGACGCGGACGAGGCCCGAGTGTCAAGGCCCGTCAGATGCGCAGACCTGCGCATCATGGGTCTGGACGACTCGGTATTGGAGGAAGAGTTGGTGGCCGCCGTCGCCAGGTCCGGGGGTGCACTACTGACCAGGTCAGGTCAGGCGCCATACGCCCGGACCAACAGGGTATGCATGCCGCTACGGTGCGCTGCCCTGTTACGGCGGCCAAAACCATAGTGGAGGGCCGAAGGCTTCTGGTGGGCTGGGTCTCAGCGCAGGTTAAGCTGCTGGAGCCCAGATCTCTGAGGTGCTATCGCTGTCTCGTGGGGCACCACGTATCAGTGAGATGCGCCTCGGAGGTTGACCGTAGTGGCCTTTGCTTCCGCTGCTGTCAGCCCGGACACATATCGGCGACCTGCTGCGCCACGCCGCACTGTGATGCATGTGCGGCGACCGGCAAGCCAGCCGATCACCGGGCCGGAAGCAAGGCCTGCGTGCCACCCGCCAAGGCCAAGGCCGCGGGTAGGGTAGGGGCCAAAGCCGCCACCGCCTCTGTGGCCTCCGTCGCAGCCGCAACTGCCACCGCCACCGCTGTCACGGTCGCCGCCGCCGCCGCCGCGACACCGACGCCCGCAGAGGGGCCCCCCGTGGAGGAAGCTGAAATGGAATGCCTATAACGGCCCCATTAAGCTTCCTCCAGGCGAATATTAACCACTGCGCCTGCGCTCAGGATCTGTTGCTCCAGAGCATGGCGCAGTGGTCGATTAACATCCCTGTGGTCGCTGAGCCGTATTTTGTCTGGCCTAGTGAGGACTGGGTGGCGGACCTTAACGGTTCAGTGGCCATCATCTCTTCGGCCGCCGCCGGTACCCCGACCCTTGAAGGTGTCAGGAGGGGTCAGGGGTGCGTAGCAGCACGGTTCGGGGAGTTCGTCGTTGTGGGAGTGTACTTCTCCCCGAACCGATCTCTCGCCGAGCTCCACAACTCTCTTGCAGAGCTGAGAGCAGTCGTCGTCGGAAGTTATCCCCTCCCCGTACTTGTCCTCGGGGACTTCAATGCCAAGAACTTGGCTTGGGGTTCTCGTCGTACAGATGTGCGGGGTAGGATGGTGGAAGACTGGGCTCTGGAGACAGGCCTGGTCGTCCTAAATCGGGGTTCTGTCCCCACGTGTGTGCGGATGCGGGGCGAGTCGGTGGTGGACATCTCGTTCGCTAGCCCCGCTCTGTCGCCGCGTGCCATTGACTGGCGCCCGTCGCCGCGCGGCACCTGTACACCAGACATCGCAGGCTCCGCATTCGTCCACCGAATGCGGCAGCCATTGAGGCGGAGCTGTACCAGGGATACAGAGCGGCGAAGAACGCCCTCCGGGAGGCTGTCCTGCGGGCCCGGGATCGGGCCCGTGAGGAGATGCTGGAGACTCTCAACAGAGATCCGTGGGGGCGCCCTTACAAGATGGTGCGGGATAAACTCCGCATCTGGGCCCCCCCGCTGACGCAAAGTCTCCGGCCCCAGCTCGTGGAGGGCGTGGTGAGCGCTCTGTTCCCTGCGCGACGGGAACATCCGCCCCCGCCTATGGCTCCGCCACCTGCGGTGCCGGACCGCCAGGACGACGACGACGACATCCCGGAAGGGGCCGGAGTAGACCTGAGAGTGGCGGTACGTAGGCTCAAGGCCAGGAATACCGCCCCAGGACCCGATGGCTTGCCTGGCAAAGCCTGGGTCCTGGCCTCGGAGGCTCGCGGGCCCCGACTGGAGGGGCTCCTAAGCGCATGCTTGGAGAGAGGGCCAATTCCCGCTTCGTTGGAAGACGGGGAAGCTGGTCCTCATTCGGAAGCCAGGGCGCCCTGCGGACTCTCCGTCCGCATACCGGCCCATGGTGCTGCTCGACGAGGTGGGCAAGCTCTTTGAAAGAGTCATTGCAAACCGCCTCGCCGAGCACCTTGCGGGGACGGGGGCCGGATCTTGCGGAACACCAGTTTGGTTTCCGCAAGAGGCGCTCTACGGTGGACGCCATCATGCGCGTGAGAGCCCTCACGACGGGGGATGCAGTGGCCAGAGGGGGGTTGTCTTGGCGGTGTCTCTCGACATCGCCAACGCCTTCAACTCCATGCCCTGGAGCTGCATTAGGGAGGCACTCCGGTATCACCGGGTGCCGACCTATCTCCGTCGTATAGTCGGGGACTACCTGACGGACAGGGCCGTCATCTACCCCGGTCGCAACGGTGAGTGGAACCGGCGAGAGATGTCGTGCGGTGTCCCACAGGGTTCGGTTCTGGGGCCACCTCTGTGGAACATCGGTTACGACTGGGTGCTGCGCGCCGACCTCCCTACCGGCGTCAGCGTAGTTTGCTACGCTGACGACACGCTGGTACTGGCACAAGGAGGGTCGTACGAGGCGGCGGCGGAAAATATGACACGCGGGGTTGCGATAGTCGTTGAGAGGATTCGGCAACTGGGTCTCGAGGTGGCTCTGCACAAGTCCGAGGCCATGCACTTCCATGGTCCTCGGAACAGGCCACCACCGGGATCCTCAGTGATGGTAGGAGGGGTATCCATCGGCGTCGAGTCGACGCTGAAGTACCTAGGACTCGTCCTCGACGGCCGATGGAACTTCGTTGAGCACTTCCGACGTTTGGCTCCCAAACTGGAACGGACCGGGGCTGCCTTCAGGCGGCTCCTGCCGAACCTGGGAGGGCCAAACGCCTCCTGCCGGGGGCTCTACGCGGGGATCGTGCGGTCCATGGCCCTTTACAGGGCCCCGGTGTGGGCGCGTGGTTTGGCGCGGCTTGCCGTCCACCACCTGAACGCGCCCCAAAGGGTGATAGCCGTGAAAATGGTTCGCGGCTACCGCACGATCTCCCGCGAGGCGGCGAGCCTCCTTGCCGGATTGCCGCCATGGGATCTGGAGGCGATAGTCCTCGCGCGCCTGCACGAATGGCGTGCGGAGGCACTATGCCGTGGGGAAACCCCGCTGCCGCGGCAAGTTGTCGCGCAGCGGACGGACTTCCGGCACGATCTCATGGCGACATGGAGACAGCGACTGTCGCAACCCCGTGCTGGGCACGCCACTATAGCGGCGGTAAGACCCCTCTTTGAGGAGTGGCTTGAGAGACGCCACGGCATCCTCACCTTCCGCCTGACGCAGGTCCTCACCGGACACGGTGTGTTTGGGAGGTTCCTGCACCGAATCGGGCGGGAGGAAACGCCCGGGTGCTCCCACTGCGAGGATGGACCGGAGGACACGGTGGAACACACCGTGGAGGTGTGCCCTGCTTGGGCGGAGCACCGCCGTGTCCTCGTAGCGGCGATAGGCGGCGGCGACCTCTCGCGTCCGGCCCTGGTCGAAGCCATGGTCCGGAGCGAGACGGAATGGGATGCCGTCACCACCTTCTGCGAAGCAGTGATGCTAGCGAAGGAGGTGGCGGAGCGGGAGAAGGAGAGAGCAGCAGCTTTCCTCCCCGGCCGCCGCGGGAGACGCCCCGGGCGTCGGGGGCTACGTCGTGGCCCCCGGCCACCGTAGGCGCGGGCCTGTGGACGGCGAGCAATGGGTAGCTCGTCGTCCGTCCGTCTAATGACGACAGGCCGTGTCGACGGCGCGTTTTGTTCCACGCGCGCCTCAAAGAGCTGTCAGCAGCGTGAAGGGGCCCGCAAGGGCCGACGCCTTCCGGGGCTGCGGGCTGTTCGAAAGAGATACCGCGGCTCCGGAACGTAAGGGCACTGAAGGAACACGGGTGGTTTTTAGTCAGTAAAAGTCTGACACTCCCTTACGCTCCACCCAGAGCGAAAGGGGTCATTAGATGATTTTCCATCCGCAAAAAAAAAAAAAGGGTGCAAAGATTTAATTGCTGCAAATAAATCTGTAGAGGAAATTAAGGAAGTTACAGGAGTAGATAGCCTAGCCTTCTTGAGTATTGATGGACTATATCAGGCTGTTAAAGGAGAGGTGCGTAACAATGATACACCACAATATTGCGTTGCTTGTTTTACTGATGATTATCCGATTGGCAAATAGTATACGCAAGATCTTAAATTTAGAAAATCTTAAACCGCCAAAATTTCTCTCGGCCTTTACTAATTCCGATTCTCGTAGTGCACATATAATCCGGGTTGATGTGAGATTCATAAATACAAAATTTATGGCTTATAGTAAGGTACAGTTTATTGTGTTCTTTTTTAATGTTTAATCTTTTGCACAATATTCCTGGTCCGCCCAAGTTTGCTTCAAGCGTTTCAATGAGCTTTAATCCCCGTATTAACACTGCTGCTGGGAACCCTTCTGCTTCTGTTACAATATTTAAACAGTAATACATTCCATATATAAAATACACGTATGAAAACTCCGGCATACCAAACATTACTGAGATTCGGTTAGTATAGCCTCTTGCCGCGTGACAAGCTGGGTCATTCATTCCTATATAGGCTTCAACTTCGGTTATTATTCCGCTAAAGTTAGAAAATTTGAGGACTTTTTCCAATAACTCTCCAGCTACAGTTAAGGTCGGCCACTCGTAGAAATTTCTTGGTAGTATTATGTTACTCATTATAAGAGTATAAGTTACTTGCAAATGCAAGCAACTTATACTGAATTTTCACTACTTTACCTATTTTGAGCAGCAGAAGCTTGATGCTTTTATGGTGCGCCACTCAAGTCTTCTACATTTGTTGAAGGCTGCTACAAAAATTTTACTTCTTCAGAGCTTTGTTGTAATTGTGTTTGTTGCAATTGTGATGCTAATGCTTCATGTAAAGGCTTTGCTTCATATTGCCTTCCTATTTTTACCTCTTTATTCGCACGTAGCTGTTCTTCAGTAACACTATTACTCTCAAGAAGTTCTACAGAACCATTATCATGAATATTAATTTTAATATTACATTCTTTTCCTTGAGCATTCCACTTTAAAGTCATTTGATATGACCCATTAGCTACTTCATAAATTCTTGTTTCATGTTCATCAACCCGGCAACGTAGCCCACTTGCTTTACTTTGAGGTAGCAATAATGTAATTGCTTTCACGCCATATTGTTCATATTGACATTCATCCAATCAATGAAGATGCCCTTTCAGCATTGATCAATCTTGGGTATGAAAAAATGAAAGCCTATGATACGATAAAAAAATACAAGGCGAATCGTCAAATCTGGATACCAAGGATATTATTCGCATGGCGCTTAAAAGAGCTCTCAACATTATGAAATCAATATCGTGCAGTAAATAATATACTGAAGATGCGCGCAATATCAACATCAGGCCTGAGCAACTTGATGATTTTGTCGGACAAAAAGACTTAATACAAAATTTAAAAGTGTTTATAAATGCTGCAAAGACGAGAACTGAAGCTTTAGATCACGTTTTATTGTATGGTCCCCCAGGACTTGGCAAAACAACTTTAGCACAAATTGTTTCTAAAGAATTAAGGATCAGCTTCCGTGCAACTTCTGGTCCTTTACTTAGTAAAACTGGTGACTTGGCTGCAGTGCTTACCACTTTAAATGCAAAATATGTTCTATTTATCGACGAAATCCATAGATTAAATCGCAGCATCGAAGAAGTTGTATATACTGCTATGGAAGATTTTTTGCTTGGACACATTAGTAGGTGAAGGTCCATCTGCTCGCACTTTAAGGATAGATCTACCACCATTTACGTTAATCGGAGCAACTACACGGCTTGGATTACTTTCTGCGCCACTCAGAGATCGTTTTGGCATTCCCTTGCATCTTGAGTTTTATTCTTTTGAAGAACTGGTTAATATTATAAAAAGAGGCGCAAGAGTTCTTTCTAATGAAATTGAAGAAAATTCAGCACGGGAAATTGCCTGCCGTGCACGTGGCACTCCAAGAATTGCTTTGAGGTTACTCAGAAGAATAAGGGATTTTGTTGAAGTGAAAGATGATAAAAAAATCACTTATGAAGTCACTGATTCTGTATTGCTAAAATTGGGTGTAGACAAAATGGGACTCAATAAACTTGATATGCATTATCTAAGATTTTTATTTAACACCTCAGGACCTGTTGGAATTGGCACTATATCTATTGCGCTATCCGAGGATGTTGGCAATATTGAAGAAACAGTATAACCTTATTTAATCAAAATTAGTTTTGTAAAGCGCACACCAAGAGGGCGCGTTCTAACCGATCAAGCAAAGGAGTATTTGAGCATTCAACATTAAACATCATAATTTATATTGACTAGTTGGCGTGGTATCTATATGCTAAAGTTTATATATTAAAAATAATGGAGGCATATATATTAACTAATAGCACTGAAACTGTATCTTTAATTGAAACTTCTTCTAATCTAAATATCAGTCCTTCTGATAATAATTCGATTTCGGATACTAAAAATATGCCTAAATACGTCACTCTTAATAATGCAGAAGAATAGAATGAGTTCTTTATAATGCAGAACAACACTTCTACTAATATCACTATAAAAAAGAAACCAAAACCTTATATTCATAAGGATAGTAATAGTATATGTACATATACTGCTCGGGATGAGAATAAATATGGTGGTAAGAACATTATAGGCAAAATTGCTGAACAAATTAAAGAAGAGATATCTAAAATATAGAAAATAATGATATAGAATTTATAAAACTTAAAGAAAGCAAAAATGAAGATAATATTATTGAGCCTGCTGTAAGAATTGCGATAGGTAGTAATACAAAAGAAATAAGCATGAGTGTCATTCTAAATAACGATTTGTGTAAACAATATGGCGTGAAAGCAATTACATTATTGCTACCTCAAAGTAAAGCAAGTGGGCTACGTTGCCGGGTTGATGAACATGAAACAAGAATTTATGAAGTAGCTAATGGGTCATATCAAATGACTTTAAAGTGGAATGCTCAAGGAAAAGAATGTAATATTAAAATTAATATTCATGATAATGGTTCTGTAGAACTTCTTGAGAGTAATAGTGTTACTGAAGAACAGCTACGTGCGAATAAAGAGGTAATAATAGGAAGGCAATATGAAGCAAAGCCTTTACATGAAGCATTAGCATCACAATTGCAACAAACACAATTACAACAAAGCTCTGAAGAAGTAAAATTTTTTGTAGCAGCCTTCAACAAATGTAGAAGACTTGAGTGGCCCACCATAAAAGCATCAAGCTTCTGCTGCTCAAAGTAGGTAAAGTAGTGAAAATTCAGTATAAGTTGCTTGCATTTGCATTTGCAAGTTCATCATTCATCATTATTTTCTATATTTTAGATATCTCTTCTTTAATTTGTTCAGCAATTTTGCCTATAATGTTCTTACCACCATATTTATTCTCATCCCGAGCAGTATATGTACATATACTATTACTATCCTTATGAATATAAGGTTTTGGTTTCTTTTTATAGTGATATTAGTAGAAGTGTTGTTCTGCATTATAAAGAACTCATTCTATTCTTCTGCATTATTAAGAGTGACGTATTTAGGCATATTTTTAGTATCCGAAATCGAATTATTATCAGAAGGACTGATATTTAGATTAGAAGAAGTTTCAATTAAAGATACAGTTTCAGTGCTATTAGTTAATATATATGCCTCCATTATTTTTAATATATAAACTTTAGCATATAGATACCACGCCAACTAGTCAATATAAATTGTGATGTTTAATGTTGAATGCTCAAATACTCCTTTGCTTGATCGGTTAGAACGCGCCCTCTTGGTGTGCGCTTTACAAAACTAATTTTGATTAAATAAGGTTATACTGTTTCTTCAATATTGCCAACATCCTCGGATAGCGCAATAGATATAGTGCCAATTCCAACAGGTCCTGAGGTGTTAAATAAAAATCTTAGATAATGCATATCAAGTTTATTGAGTCCCATTTTGTCTACACCCAATTTTAGCAATACAGAATCAGTGACTTCATAAGTGATTTTTTTATCATCTTTCACTTCAACAAAATCCCTTATTCTTCTGAGTAACCTCAAAGCAATTCTTGGAGTGCCACGTGCACGGCAGACAATTTCCCGTGCTGAATTTTCTTCAATTTCATTAGAAAGAACTCTTGTGCCTCTTTTTTATAATATTAACCAGTTCTTCAAAAGAATAAAACTCAAGATGCAAGGGAATGCCAAAACGATCTCTGAGTGGCGCAGAAAGTAATCCAAGCCGTGTAGTTGCTCCGATTAACGTAAATGGTGGTAGATCTATCCTTAAAGTGCGAGCAGATGGACCTTCACCTACTAATGTGTCCAAGCAAAAATCTTCCATAGCAGTATATAAAACTTCTTCGATGCTGCGATTTAATCTATGGATTTCGTCGATAAATAGAACATATTTTGCATTTAAAGTGGTAAGCACTGCAGCCAAGTCACCAGTTTTACTAAGTAAAGGACCAGAAGTTGCACGGAAGCTGATCCTTAATTCTTTAGAAACAATTTGTGCTAAAGTTGTTTTGCCAAGTCCTGGGGGACCATACAATAAAACGTGATCTAAAGCTTCAGTTCTCGTCTTTGCAGCATTTATAAACACTTTTAAATTTTGTATTAAGTCTTTTTGTCCGACAAAATCATCAAGTTGCTCAGGCCTGATGTTGATATTGCGCGCATCTTCAGTATATTATTTACTGCACGATATTGATTTCATAATGTTGAGAGCTCCTTAAGCGCCATGCGAATAATATCCTTGGTATCCAGATTTGACGATTCGCCTTGTATTTTTTTATCGTATCATAAGCTTTCATTTTTTCATACCCAAGATTGATCAATGCTGAAAGGGCATCTTCATTGATTGGATGAAAATTATTGTTATTTATTTCTAATTTATTCACTTTGCCACTTAATTCAGTGATGATTCAATTTATGATTTTCATGCCAAGTCCATTTCCAAGTCATCTTGAGTGCTACTTTATCTTCATTCATAATTGCCAAAAACAGCTGTTCTGGAGTTAATTTACTCAAAATTGACATTGCAGTTTTATAGCTAACACCACTTACTTTAACAAGCAACCTCAAGCACTGCTGTTCTTCTTTGCTTATAAAACCATATAGCTGAGCAACATTTTCTCTGTTATTTGCATAGGTTTCGATAAGTAATTTAACTCTACTTCCGAGGGAACATGCATTTAAAGTTTTGGCTGAGAGATACACCATATAGCCAACATCATTTACATTCAGGATTATGTGATCACTGCGCACTTCATCAACTATTCCGCTTAGATTTCCTATCATTTTTAGCACTGTATAGGGTTCAGTCTAAATACTCCTGGATCTTAGGTCAAGCAAACGAACATTATAACAGAGAGCCAAGTAGCTCATAGAAACTAAAAACTTCCTTGACACATTTTGCCAACATTTGCCCCTTCAAGTCTGTTTGCTACGACTTTTATATATTGATAATCATTATACTCACACTCCGGTACCACCGTTTGAAAGCACAATTCAATGAATTTTAAAAAGTTTATTTTGTCCATGATATAATGTTGAAAGATGTCATCCGAGTAGCTTGACTACTTGGATCCAGGAAACTTAATTGCAAGTAATGCATTAGTTTTAGTGAGTATAAAAGTGTTATGTTATGGCTAACGCTGGCTAGGTGTTTTCCTGCATCATACTGCCGCGGTATTTCTAGATCCCGCTAACAAGTAGCGGGATTACGATTGTCAGGGTGTCATTCCAGCGCCCCTATAATGTCATCCCATTACTCCTATAATGTCATCCCAGTGCGTGATACTGGGATCTCATTTCACTCTATAATAGTATCATTCCAGTGCTCCTTTCTTGTCATCCCAGTACTGATTAGCTATAAAATTTATGAAGATATTTAAGAAATTACCAAGCGAAAAAAAAGGCAAAAGAAGCCCCGTGGTGCGAGTTTTGAACTCTATATTACTGTAAGTGACGCTGTAATAATGTGCTAATGCTTAAAATAAGCGCGATTTGGCTGAATGTAGAAAAAATAAAAAAGACATGCAGCCACCATAATTTTATGTAATCCACCAAAAAATACCCTGAGTTTTTTACTGAATTTTTTCATTGAGCCTGCAGGTCAAAAACAAGTTTTGAGTCATGAATACCACTACTATCATAATAAGAGGGCTGGCGGAGTTTGTCAAGCAAGTTTTATGGCCTAGCGTCACACGCTAGAATGACACCGGATCTCACATTCATTCTACTGCAACGCAGAAAATTTGTACAATTGTGCATGATGTATGATTTCTGGCTACATTTTTCTATTAAACTCACCTTTCCTCTATGTAACAGATTTCGTATTAAATTTTAAATTTAATGCGCCTAGATATACAAGCATTCCTAGCAAAACCATAGGTATAGAAAGCAACTGCCCCATAGTTAAATCAAGCCACAAATAGCCAATTTGATAGTCTGGTTCGCGAAAAAACTCAACGAAAAAACGTGCTATTCCGTACCACATAACTGCAATACCAGTTAACGCAGCCTGATACAGTCTTATTCTAGTCAAGAAAAACAGTGAATTTGCAATTGCAAAAAGTAGCAGTCCTTAAAAAAGTGCCTCATAAAGCTGGCTTGGATGACGCAGCAAATTATCACCACTTTCTGGAAATACCATACCCCATGGCATAGTTGTAACTCTGCCAAATAACTCTCCATTTATAAAATTGCCTATGCGACCTAAAAATAAACCTATGGAAACTCCGCAAGAGACTAGGTCCAGTGCATAAAATATAGGAATTTTATGTCTTTTACACGAAATTATTACTGCAAGCAAAACTCCTATAGCACCACCATGAAATGACATTCCTCCTTCCCAGGTCTTCAATATCTCGATAGGGTTGCTTATATAAAGAACTGGATCATACATCAATAAGTAGCCAAGTCTACCTCCAAGGATAATGCCTACAATAGTGGCTGTTAATAACGAATCGTAAAAATTCTTAGTAAATATTTTTTGGTCGTCTAGCTTGTTGAATAAAACTAAATTTACGGATTTTATCGCGTTTATTTCACTACTTTTACTTATTTTTAATTCCCGACGTTTCGGGTGCTTTACAGCAACCATGGTCACGGAGGGGACTGAGATGTTTGACGTCCCAATGTCATAGTTAGTCCGGCTACCTTCAGTTTTTGAATATTAATTTTCGGTCCGATTTACGCAAATTAAAAAAAATTAATAAAAAAAAAATTAAAAAATTAATATTCAAAAACTGAAGGTAGCCGGACTAACTATGACATTGGGACGTCAAACATCTCAGTCCCCTCCGTGACCATGGTTGCTGTAAAGCACCCGAAACGTCGGGAATTAAAAATAAGTAAAAGTAGTGAAATAAACGCTATAAAATCCGTAAATTTAGTTTTATTCAATGTGTAGTGTTCGCGTAAATTTAAGAAATCATCGTCTAGCTTGTGTAAATACCAACATGCAAACACTATACCCAAAACGTAAGCTAAGGAATACCAATATATAGAAACAGGACCGATGCTGAAAATTACTGGACTTAAAGACATATTTTGCTATAAATTATTCTTAGACAATCTACTTTTTTCACGATCCCACTCTTTCTGTTTTATGGTTGCTCTCTTATCGTAGAGTTTTTTTCCTTTTACAATGGCAATTTTAGTTTTTGCAAATCCTTTAACATTAACGTAATAAGCGGTACAACAGGTATCCCAGCGTTTTTGATTTGACCAATCAGTTTATTTATCTCTTTTTTATGCAAAAGCAGTTTACGTTCCCTTTTTGGTTTATGATTTTTTCGGTTTGCAGCTTTATATTCTGCAATATGAATATTGTGCAGCCATATTTCGCTATTCTTTTCAATAACGTAGGCGTCGGAAATATTTACTTTTCTTTCTCTTAGCGATTTAACTTCACTGCTTAATAAGACCATACCCGCTTCAAATTCTTCTAAGATGAAATATTCAAACCTTGCTTTCCTATTTTCTGTAATAACTTCCATATCTAAAGATATCTCTAAGCTTCAATATGTTACAGAGTTTTTGACTTAATTCATAATATATCCTTCCTTAAAAAAATATTTAAGTTATACTGCAAACCATGAAACTTAGGCAAGAAATCAAGTTTTTTTCTCTATTATTTGTAATTTTATTTTCTCTATGGACTGTATTGTCTGGTTATTTTGAGCCATTTTTATTTTTTGTGGAGTGTTTTCCTCTATATTCACATTATTTATCTTTAGAAGGTTGATAAACGCTGAAAGAGCTCTTAGCCAGATTTTAAATGGTACTAGTAGACTGTCGTTTTATAAGTTAGTAAGTTATATACCATGGTTAGTGTACCAAATTATTTTTCAAGTGTTTATGTAACAAAAAAGGTGCTACAACTCAAATCTAAGCTTGAGCCAATCATTATTCTAAGAAAATGCAAAGTATATAATGATGAAAGTATTGCGTTATTTGCCAATTCGGTTACAATCACTCCTGGAACTTTAACTATCAATGTTGAAAGTAAGCAGAAAACATATTTCTCTACCATGCATCTGATAGATAAAGATCTTGAAAGCTGCATTTCTGAAATAGAAAATAAGATCTTAAAAATACTATGTTCAGTTAATTATTGCTTTAAATAAGCTAACAGTATCCTTATATTCCCTTACAAGACTTTCAAGCATCTCTTTTGGTAGGTTATTGTTAACAATAGAACATAAATAATTATGTAAATCTTCTAACCTTAGTATGTTATTTCTCTTCTTACTGTTGAATTTATGCGGAAAAATACCTTCTATAACTTCAATAGTAGTAGCCTTGTTTAAAAATACATTTTCACTTGTTACGCTTATTCTTGCTAAAATAGTGTTAATTTCAGGTTCTTCATTTGTATAAAAATCTGATAGCCGAGTTATTCTAATAACGTATAAAGTTACTATTTTTGATAAGCAATTATCAGCATATTCACAATTTTTATTACCTCCCACTGAGTAACCTGTGATTTGCCTATTTTTGCATTGTTCGGTAATTTACTCATTCAACTTTCTCCATTTAATCCAGTAGATAGATTATACTAATACTTTGTTAAATAAATGATAACGCAATCATAAAAATATATATTCATAATAGCATGTTATGTAAAATAGTACGATATCTAGACATTAAAGTTGATTTAGGCTGGTTTATATTGGGCACCTCTTATTTCTGCATTACCTAAGCAATCTAAGCTGTAAAATGACAGTTGGACATTAACTCATAACAGGAGCACTGTGAAATATATCTAACCAAGAAAGGTTTTCCCACGTCATACCGCGATTCATTTGCGTTATCTCAACATAGATTCCTCTAACGAGTAGCGGAATGACGAATTTGTTGTTTTTCAAATCGTTGGTAAACCTAAGTCACTTTAGCTATAGATTTACTTTTTGAGTTATTTTGTTAACATTAATTATTACACCAAATCAATTGCACAAAATGAAAAAGGTGAAACTTGGGATACTGATTTCAGGCAGGGGATCAAATATGCAGGCCTTGATAGAGGCATGTCAAAATCGTAATTTTCCTGCAGAAGTTGTGTGCGCTATCACAAATAATAGCGAAGCTGCTGGCCTAAAAATAGCAGAACAAGCAGGAGTGCCAGCGTTTATTGTTAGAGATAAACCACTTGATGCTGATAAAATTCACGAAATATTTGTTCAACATAAGGTTGATTTAATTTGCCTTGCAGGGTTTATGAGAATCCTGCAAGCTAATTTTCTCAGTAAATGGAATAACAAGGTGATAAATATTCATCCCTCTCTACTTCCGTCCTTTAAGGGCCTAAATGCTCAAGAGCAAGCTCTAAAAGCAGGAGTAAAAATCGCAGGATGTACTGTACATTACGTCACTCCTGAAATTGATGCTGGAGCCATAATTGCTCAAATTGCTGTGCCAGTGTTACCAGCTGATGATATTCAAAGCCTCTCAGAACGCATTCTGGCTGAGGAGCATAAGTGTTACGTAGAAGCAGTAAGATCAATAGCAGAAAATATTAATTATTGACCTTAAGTTTTTCTCCCAACTTCAACAAAAAATAAATTTTCTGGTTCCAGTAAAGAGCTTGCCAGTTCGTTGACTTTCTCTAATTTAACGTCATTAATATAGCTCACAAAATCATTTATATGGTTAATATCGCGGTTGTTTGTCTGAACATTTAGTTTTGCAACTATGTTGTTATTATTAAACATAGAGAAAACATAAGAATTTACCATACTAATTTTTTATCCCGAAACAACTGCTCATCAATTCCTTCCTTTTTTATCCTGCTAAATGTATCTTTTACTGCTGATATAGCTTTGCCAGCAGTAGAACTATCAGTATTAATACTTCCAGCTATAACTTTCCCATGTTTATTGGAAATAATATTTGCATAAACACCATAAGTAATACCCAAATTTTGTCTCAATTCTTTCATTAATATTGAATTTAGCCCCATGCCGCCAAGTGCATTAATTAAGACGCTTGCGTTGTAATAATAAGGATCTTCATAAGCTATACCTTTTAGAGCAAAAAATATTACACTCTGTGGTGTATCCATAAAAATGTTTTTATTCTCTGCAGGACCAAAATCATTTTTCACAGGTATTTTTCTAACTTTTGATCTTTTTGACGGCAATTTAGATAAATATTTATCTAATAATGTAATAATTTCTTCTTTTTTTGCACAACCAGCAACACTGATAACTATGTTATCTTTAGCAAAATTACGCTTTATGTATGTTAAAACATCATCTCTAGTAATGCTCATTACAGTGTCAAGCGTTCCATATTCACTTTTTGAGTAAGGATGCTTTTTAAACAATAACGTATTCAATTCTTCTCCAGCAATAAAAAAAGGATTTTTTTCAAGATTATTAAAATAAACTTTGGCTTTCTCGAAAACTCTATTCAACCCTTCAGGGTCAACTTTAGGACGCATTATAGCGTCGCTCAATAATGAAATACCTTCTTCAAGATTTTCTGATAAAGCATCTAATGAAACTCTAAATGCTTCTAAACCAGCAATAAAATTTAAACTAATCCCTTTATCTTCTAGCCTTTTTGCAAAATCTTTGGCATCATTTTTTCCTGCCCCTTCTTGAATTATAAGAGAAGCAAACCAGGCAAGTCCTTGTTTTTCTACATTTTCATATGCATAACCTGCATCTTTGAATGATATATTAAGTGAAATTTTTGGTAAATCGTGGTTTTCAACAAATAGAAACCTAAATCCTTCATGTGTAGTAACCTTCTCTATATTTAGGTTAACACTTGCCTGTAAATTAAAGCCTAGACAAACAAAAAATAGGAGTACAAATTTATTTATTCTCATTATCATCTCCTTTTGGCAACAAACGACCAATTAACTTATTAGCAGAAAACATAGCACGGATTTTATTATTTACATCCTCTAAATTGACATCATTAATCTTGCTATATGAAATATCTATTTCATCAAGTGGAATACCAAGTGCAAGGCGTGGCACATAAAACATTGATATATGAGTTAAGTCAGATAGATCATCAAACTGTGCTACTTTGTATCTATACTTCGAGCTTTGCAGTTCCTCATCCGTTATCCCTTTAGACATGAAGTTATTAATAGCATTGTCTAACTCTCTTTCAACAATATCTAAATTAATTCCGCTTTTTGGAATTATTTTAATATCAATGTAGCCATCACTAAAAGTTAAACTATTGTAATAAGCAGATACTGATACTGCCACATCTTTATCTAACACCAAATTTTTATACAGTTTGCTGGATTTGCCGCCACCTAAAATGTCAACCGCTAAATGAGCAGCAGAGGTTTCACTTGTGTGCTTAAATAAAGAAACACGATAACGAAAATATAAAACTGTTTCTTTTACTTCAGTGCTCTCTAAAATCACCGATAAACCTGCATTATGAGCTGGATCCTGATTTGGGTAATGTCTCATTACAGGCTTAGCTTTAATTTGGCCATATTTTTCTTCTGCTAGCTTCACTACTTCATCAAATTCCACATCACCCACAATAAGTAATATTGCATTGCCGGGGTGATAATAGTTATCATGAAACCTCGTTATGTCATCCTGATTGTAAGTTGTGATATCGCTCTCCCAGTCAATAACAGACCTGCCATAGCCAGTACGGTAAAATGCACTATCCATTTCTTCCCGCAACAAGCTGTTAGGATAATTATCAAATCTCATCTTCCTCTCTTCCAGTACAATGTTTTTTTCTCCTTCTATTTTATCTTGGGTAACATTGAAATTGCCCATTCTGTCTGCTTCAACTTCCATTGCCATTGGTAAGTCATTTTTAAGGACTAATTCGTAGTAACAGGTATATTCCTTAGTAGTAAACGCATTAAACTGGGCCCCAATGCTACTCATAGTGGCTTCTATATCTGTGAACTTCCCTGTAGTTTCAAACATTAAATGTTCAAAGTAGTGAGCCAATCCTGCTTTGCCAATTGGATCATCCATTCCCCCAACTTTGTATATTACTGCATGTAAAACGGCTGGAATCCGATGATTAGGAACAACATAGACATCCAGCCCGTTACCGAGTTTAGCATGTTTTATGTCGTGCTCTATGCTTAAAGACTTCAAAGAAATTGGGTAAGTAAAAAAGAGTGCAGGTAGTATAAGAAAACTAAAAAACTTATGAAGCATTATTTCGACCTAATATAAAAACAATTATTTTATTCCTCATTTTGTTTAGAAATAAACATATCGTATATATACCACATATATAATAATATAAAAATTCCACAAACTATAGATAAATCTGCTAAATTAAAAGCTGGCCAATACCAATCATCAATATGAAAATATATGAAATCATATACAGGTCCCCAATAAATCCTATCAACTACGTTTCTGATTGCTCCACTAATCATCAGAGAAAACCCAAGGTAAGTTGACTGATCATCAGACTTGTATATTAAATATGCAAGTATACCAATTATTAGTATTGAAAATGCTGAAAAAAAGAAACCGCCATGCGGTAAAGCACTACATATTCCAAAACTAATGCCTGAATTCCAAACTTCAACTAGCTTTATAAAGCTAGCGATCTCAATTGATCCTCAATTGATCCCTATCATCAATCAATGAGTTTATGTACAATTTGCTCGTTTGGTCAATTCATGTACAATTTGCTCAGGTCAGTTTATGTACAATTTGCTCGTTTGGTCAATTGCATGTTTGGTCGTTTGGTCAATGCATTTGCATCGCCAAGCCAAAAATTGATTGGTGGATCAAAAATTGTATTCAGAGGATATTTGGTTTGCATAGTCAGAAAAAGAAGCAGTGCCTTTATCTGCTGCAACTACCAAGTATGGATCATCCTCATCATACCTAATCACATTCTCTGGTGGAATTATTTTGCCATTAACTACATTATCAGTAATGTCAAGCATTCCCCTGATAAAACTCTTATAGCATTCAACGCCTTTCTCTCTTAAAATATCTTTGTCTTTATAAACTTGCTTAATTACAAACCCACCCTTTGCGCCAACAGGTACAATAACCGCATTTTTTGTCATCTGAGCTTTCATGAGCCCCAAAACTTCAGTGCGAAAATCTTCCGTCCTATCCGACCACCTTAAGCCACCACGGGCCAATTTCCCTCCTCTTAGATGTATTCCCTCAAAAAGATTTGAATAAATATACAATTTACGATATGGACGAGGATCAGGCAAACCATTTATTTTATTTGAGTGAAATTTTGTAGATAAATATGGTTTATCGTCTTGATAATAACTAGTCTTTAAAATAGCCATTATCAAGTTAAATATCGAGCGCAAAACGTAATCATGTGAAACATTGCTGATCTCTTTTAGAAGTTCTTCAATTTTTTCCATGAAAATGTCCGTGGTTTCTGCTCTATCAATGTCTATGCTAGGATCAAATCTTGCATGAAATAGTTGTATCAAATACTTTACTATTTTTGGATACTCTGGGACTACCTTTTGGATATATTCTGGATTGTAATTAAATGTCCAGCAATAACGACCAAACTATTGAAATAATCATTTTTAATTTCCTTTCTAAACACTTTCGCAAGTGTTATTTCAAATTGCTCTTTGAAATAACACTTGCGAAATTCAATAATGTTGTCTATTAATTCATCGACTCTTGACAACACAAAATGGTGTATCCATATTCCGCCGTTAATTTCTATGTAATAGCCATTATGAGATAGAATCTTAGCTCCCAAATTCTTAGTAACTCTCAATATCTTCGATAATTCAAGACCTCCGTTGCTCGAAGTGTAAACCTTTAATTGATAATTAAGATTATCACAAGTAAGTCTTAAATCGACCTCGCTAACTCCTTTTTTCCTCACTATCTCCAATTTTTTCATATCGTAATATGCGTCATGAGGTTCGAAACTCTCTTGATAGCTTATTGGAAATGCCTTGCAATAACGGATAAATATATCCTCAACAGTACTAAAAGTATTATATAAATTGTCTATAAAACGATCTTCCCACTTTTCCGTAATGTTCCTCAATTTGTTTTCGATACGCAAAAATTCGTCATCAGGAACACTAGCATTTTTGGTCTTTAGCACTACATGCAATTCCATCAAATCATACTCATTGATAATGTGATTGTTATAAATATCTAAACTTTCTGCACTTGTCTCATACTTCAATATGTCACGTATCTTGAACATTAGCCTAGCGCTAGCATAACGCATTGGTATCAGCACTATGCAACTAATAAAATCCCTTACTCTTCTTAAAAATAATCTGACCCTTGGCCTAATCGCAAGAGACATGATCGAAATGCAAATTTTAAATAATTCATCTTCATTTGATTGGAATAATTCATCACAAGAGAATACTTGTAAAATAGAAATTAAAGCTTTGTTATTGTGTCCCCCGGTTACAAACTCTGCATTTTTTTCTATAAATTTAACTTTATCTCTTATTATTGGAATAGTTCGAATATCTTGGACCTCCGCTACAGAAGTAAATAGCCCGAAAAAACGCCTTTCCTTTACTACATTACCCTGATCATCAAATTCTTTTACTCCTATACAATTCATGTATGTACACCGATGGACTATTGAGATTAGATCTGATCTCAATATGTATAGGGAATCAAGGTTTGCAGAAGGAATCAACGTACTTTGACCTACTCTTATCAGACCAAGGTCCTTTTTGCTATCACAGACGAGTTTTTCATCTTTACCAGCAATATATTCTTGATAACCTAGAAATACAGAATTATTGTTTTTTAACCAATCTAAGAAATCTTTTCATGGTGTCACTCCAGAGTTCGACGCTGGCTGCTCGATGGCAAAAAGAAGACTTTTTGCTTCATCAAGTTTCTTGAGCATTAAGTGCCAATCTTTCACAACGCAATTAACTGTTTTCAGCGTTTTTTGTAGAGATTCTTTTAATGTATCAACAAAACTGTCACTTATACCTTTGATAATTACATATATAACTGATTCTTTGACTCCATTGCTTTCTTCCAAGGAGTAAATCTCATCTATTAGGCCATCTTTTCTTTTAATGTTAATTATGCTGTTGCTGTAATAGCACATGATTAAATTGTGCGATTTAATAGTTGCAATAACAGAATCAACCAAAAATGGCATATTATTGTTTGTTATCTTAATCGTGGTAAAATCGCCTTCTATTCCTGGTATATCATCTATATTGCTCACCACTAACTTACTTTCATCTTTCTCTTTTTGATAAACAAAATTGTAAGCATCGTTTACAATATATAGCAAAAACTTATCGTTGGCTTTTAGGTCGCTTTTATAAACAAAACTATAAAAATTCTTAATAAATTTTTTAACTTTTTCTTTATCTTGCTGATTTCCTTGATCAACTAACTCAAATAAAGACTCAGTGTCAACATTATGATCTATACACATTTTTTAACAAAAATACACAGTGAGCTTAAACCTTTTTAACTAAGATTTCGTTATCAAGAACGTACACTATTAGCTCATCATTTTCTACTACTTCCGCTGATAAAACTAATTTAGCAAAATTATTTTGAATACACTCTTGTATAACCCTTTTTAGGGGCCTTGCTCCATATTCAGGGTAATAGCCAGTTTGTGCTATTAGTTCTTTAGCTTCCTGCGACAAACTTATACTCAGTTTACGCTTAGCAAGTGTTTTTTGTAAATAAGAAAATTGAACATCTATAATTTTATAGATGTCATCTCTGGTTAAACTGTGGAATATAATAATTTCATCCAGCCTGTTTAAAAATTCTGGACGAAATGCTGATTTAACTATTTGCATCACTTCGCATTTTACAGAGTTAGCAACTCCTCCTTCCGATATCATTCCAGCACGAGACGCTGAAATCTGCATCTGGATTCCAGTGTCAGCTACTTGGATGACAGGAAGTAGAGTCTTATTTTCTGTAACTCCCTTAAGCATTATCTCTGCACCAAGGTTAGGAGTTAAGATCAGTATGGTGTTGCGAAAATCAACTAATTTGCCACGACTATCAGTGAGTCTACCCTCATCCAAGATTTGCAGCAATAAATTAAATATATCTGGATTTGCCTTCTCTATTTCATCAAATAGAATAACCTGATATGGCCTTCTTCTTACTGCTTCGGTCAATCTGCCACCTTGCTCATAGCCAACATACCCTGGAGGCGCGCCAATTAGCTTTGAAACAGAATGTTTTTCCATATATTCTGACATATCAAAACGCAAAAGCGCTGATAGATCGTCAAACAGAAATTCAGCAAGGGCTTTTGCCAGTTCTGTTTTTCCAACCCCGGTTGGGCCTAAGAATAAAAATGAACCGAAAGGTCGATTAGTATCTTGCTCACCAGAGCGAGAGCGCCTAACTGCATTACTTATTGCTTCTATCGCGCCTTTTTGCCCTATTACTCTTCTTCTTATTTCGTTCTCCATGTTAAGAAGTTTTTCCTTTTCGCTGTGCATCATGTTATGAACTGGAATTCCTGTCCACTTCGAAACAATGTTTGCAATATCATCTCCAGTCACTTCTTTCTTTAAGAAAATATCAGTAACCTTTTCCTGTTTTTTTAATTCATTCTCAAGCTGAGGGATCACACCATACATCAGCTCTCCTGCTTTTCCTAAATTTCCACTACGCTGAGCCAATTCCAGCTCTTTCCTGGCGTTATCTAATTTTTCAACTGTTTCTTGTATTCTAGCTATTTTATTCTTTTCCATCTGCCATTTGCTTTTCAAGTCAGCAAATTTACTGTTTAGACTTTCGATCTCTTCATTTATTTTTTTAAACGCTGTTTAGAATTTTCATTACTTTCTTTTTTTAGGGTTTCTGCTGCAATCTTTAGCTGTATAACCTTTCTCTCAAGTTCGTCAATAACTTCAGGCTTGCTATCCATTTCAATTCTCACCCTACTTGCTGCTTCATCAATTAAATCAATTGCTTTGTCAGGTAAAAACCTATCTGTTATATATCTATTGGACAACGTTGCAGCAGCAATTATTGCACCGTCTGTAATTCTTATACCATGATGCACTTCATATCTTTCCCTCAAACCTCTAAGTATTGAAATGGTATCAGTTTCAGTTGGTTGAGAGATAAACACAGGCTGGAAACGCCGTGCAAGTGCAGGATCTTTTTCTATATGTTCACGATATTCATCTAAAGTTGTGACTCCTATACAGCGAATTTCTCCACGCGCAAGAGCAGGCTTAAGCAGATTCGAGGCATCCATTGCACCGCTTATTGCTCCTGCTCCAACTAAAGTATGAAGCTCATCTATAAACAAGATAACTTTTCCCTCTGTTTTTCAAATTTCATTAATCACTGCTTTTAACCTTTCTTCAAATTCTCCTCTAAACTTCTTCCAGCGATTAATGCACCACGATCCAAAGCTAAAACCTTTGCATCACGCAAACCAAGTGGCACATCGTTTGCAACAATTCTGTTTGCAAGCCCCTCAACTATTGCAGTTTTTCCAACACCAGGTTCACCTATCAGCACTGGATTATTTTTTGTTAGCCTCCGTGATACCTGCATAGTTCTTCTAATCTCTTCATCACGACCAATTACAGGGTCAAGCTTGCCTTGCATAGCAAGCCCTGTAACATCTTTTGTATATTTCTTTGCCGCGTTTAATTATTCTTCACTGTTTGGTGAGTCCGCACTGCTACCTTTCCTCATGTCTGTAACAACTGAAATTAATTTTTGCGGTGTAACACCATTCTCTGCCAGAATTTTGCCTACAGTATCATCATTTTGTGCAGTGAGGCCCTGCAGTAAACGCTCAACAGCAACAAATGAATCTTTATTTCTCTTTGAAATACCAATTGAATCTTCAAAAACTTTTGATGTTTCTCTGACCTTCAACTACTGGAAACTTTTTTATTGCGCTATCCACAGCATCAGAAATACTTTGCACATTTCCACCACAAGCGTTTATCAAATCTTGAACTAAACCTAATTCATCCTCAAGCATCACTTTGAGTAAATACTCAGGCATAAAAATCTGATGCCCAGCTCCCAACGCTTTCATCTGAGCACTTTGAATTAGAATTTTTGCTTGTTCGGTAAATTTATTTAAGTCCATAACACTACTTAAATTAGTATTTGCTGACAACTAATTTCATAAATTTAAACCTAAAGTTGCTTATTTTTAGGTATGGTCTGCAAAAATTTAAACTTTCTTGAGGACCTGTTTAAAATCTTCGTAATAGAAGAGGAATGAAGGAAAGGACAATCATTTGCAAGCTGGTATTGAGTTTATGTCCGCAATTTTCCATAACCACCTACACTTTTCCAACCAAGCAAAAGAGCGCTAAACGGCCCTTCTCTTTGGCAATACAACAAAGGTCACTGGAATCCAGAAAAGTTTGATTGTTTATAAGCAAACTAGCATGGGAAGTAGCCGATCTTACACTAAATGAATGTTTTTGATGAGGTTGCATAGAAGCTGGATCCAGTGTCAAGCAATGGAATGACAGCAGTCCCACGTCATGCTGCCGCGAACCGTCATACCGCCGTGAATTAACCGTCATAGCGTCACGGTATCTCTTTACATAGATCCCTCTGCGAGATGACGAATTACTATACCACCGCGAACCTTCATACCGTGATTCATTAACGGTATCTCTTAGCCGCTAACAAGCAGCGGGACGACGATTGTCGTTTAGCTACAAACGTAAAAAAAGGCAAAAGAAGCCCAGTGGTTAGCTAGTTACTTACATTATACTTTCAAGTATGGCGTTTTTTTATTCTAAACACTTAATAACCGCGATTCAGCTGCTTTTAAATGCAACTAACCTAAATTATAAACGTTAAGAAATTTATTAAACAGAAAAAAAGGTAAAAGAAACCCTAGGGTAGCTTTTAAGGTGGCGTTTTTTAATGTTTTAAATGCTTTATAAGCGTATTTCAGCTTGTATAGGTAAAAACCCAGAAATTTGATAAAGACATAAGGTGCACATAGTGCAAAAATTAAACATGAGACGCTAGATAAGTTGAATTTTTTTGTCATTTAATCTGTACAGAGAAGATAAATAAATAGCTTCAGTTTCATGATAAGGTTGCTAGAGGAGTTTGTTAAGGAAGTTTCTATATAATATTTTCTAAAATAAAAGGACTTCTCGCATCCAATTTCGTCAGCGCGTGACACACAACTGCAATGACAAGGTGTTGTAAGATATTACCACAAACGTCATATTCACACGAAATACTTGACTTCATTTGTACTAAGAAGCATTTTATATATGTTGTGTGCCCGTAGCTCAGCTGGATAGAGCAACAGCCTTCTAAACTGTGGGTCGTAGGTTCGAATCCTACCGGGCACACTCTTCTATCAATATTTTCTATAAATCTTCAAGTATTCTGGTACCACATTTTCAATTGCTAATGTTCGAACCTTTATTGTTTCAAGGTCAGCTGACTTTTCGATTGAGCTATTCATCATAACTTTCACCTGATCTTGAGTAAGCACAGGGTTAGTATCTCCGGTTATTGGTTTTAGCAGCATAGAAATAATTTTATTTTCTAAAAAGAAAGCGTTGGAAAAGATACATTGATCAACAAACACTTTCTGTTAATAACATTCAGAATAAACTTCAATAAGCTTTTGAAAGAGTAAACCTTTGGTCCACCCATGTTATAAATTTTCTTGTCTTGTTTATTAAAACTGATAATACGATATACTACTTCAGCTAAGTCTGTCACACATATTGGCTGAAATTTAGTCGTCCCATTGCCAATTAGAGGCAAAAAAGGAAGAACAGTTGCTAATCTTGCAAATTTATTAAAGAAGTTATCTTCTTTACCAAATACAATAAATTTAATAATAAGGCCTAATTATTATTGCTTCTTGAAATGCTGAAGTTACAGCTTTTTCACCTTCCAATTTAATTTTTGCATATTTTGACAACTTGCTATTTTCTATTCCCATAGCGGAAAAATGTATCATCATAGGTACATTTTTCATTTTTTCAGCTTTTGCTATCCTTTCAGCTATTTTAACGTGAACAGCGTAAAAATCGTGCTTTTTGCTTCATATAATATTCCCACTAAGTTTATGGCTACATCACATTCTTCCATAACCTCTAGAACTGATTTTTTGTCAAAAAATCGCCTTTTAATATTGATATTTATCCCAAATTGCCACACAATTTTAAACAAGCAGCTTTTTCCTGATTACGAGTGAATATCCTTATTAAATATCCTTCTGCTGCCAAGCGTCTTACGATGTGTTTCCCCATAAAACCCGTTCCACCAAAAATAATTACACGTTTTGTCACGATTAAAGTTCCTAATAATTTGTTACTGTAAATTAATACAATGATTTTGCTTAATATTCTATTATGAATTCCTGTACAATAAGTCCATTTTCATTCTTCGTGAGCCTTTAACTAGAATTGCGTCATTATTCTGAATAATTTTAGCTAAATCACTTTTCAATTGATTAAAATCATTAAAATGCGCGCCTCTTATATTATCTGGCAAAAGCTCATGCAATTCTAACATAAATTTACCAACTGTATAAATTTTATCTATATTATTTTCTGTGACAATCTTAACCAAATTTGTATGAAATTATATGCTTTTATCACCAAGTTCCAACATATCACCAAGCAAAGCTACTTTTCTCTGATTAGAATATGTACTCAAAGTTTTTATTGCAGTTTTCATAGAAGAACGGCTGGCGTGATAGGAGTCATCAATTAAATGTATATATTTTTTATTGTATTTGACCTTATGAATATTGCCTCTATCTTTCGTTACACTAAAATTCTTAAGTGCAAGTGGTAATTTTGATAAATCAAGTCCTAGGCTCTGCACAACTGCTGCAACAAAAAGTAGCGAATAAGCAAAATGCTCACCTTGCACAGGTAAATTACAGTTTGTAGTTTGATTATCACTCAGCCTGATTTTTAAATTTAGTCCGTCATCATTTCTTATTAGGTCTAACAAACAAACTTCAGCATTTTTATCTTTACTGAGGCTTATTGTATTTCTATTGGCGCGTGATGAGAGATAATCATAATATTTATTATCTCTGTTCAAGAATAAAGTACCATTACTTTTTATACCGTATAGAATTTCCAACTTCGCTTGTGCAACGTCAAATAGTGATGAAAATTTTTCAGTATGTGCAGGTTTAATGTTGGTAATAACTGCAATATTTGGATTACTAATCTTTGGTAAATCTTTTATTTCATCAGCTTTATTCATTCCCATTTCAAGGATTAAGTACTGGCAGTTTTTTGGAGCATTTAGAATTTTCAAAGGCAATCCTATATTAATATTTAAGTTGCCTTTGTTTGCATGGGACAATCCATATTGCGATAAAACAGTGTGCAGCATATCATTTGTAGTGGTTTTACCGACACTGCCTGTAATTGCAATAACTTTAGCATCAACAAGGATATTTCTAATATAGTATGATGCCATATCGTGCAAAGCTTTCAGGGTATCTTGTACAATAATGAAAGGGAGATTTTTATATTTACCCTCACTTACTATTGCAGCTGTAGCCCCTTTTAAAAACTCTTCATGCAAAAAATTATGGCCATCAAAATTCTTTCCCTTGAGTGCAATAAATAAATCACCATTTTTATGCTTCTTGTGTCCGTTGAAATATTTGAGCTATATATCCAATTACAACCATTTAAGCCTCTTCCACCAGTTGCATCAATGATATTATTTGTATTCCATTTAAACATAATTTAGAGAGCACTCTCTAAAGTAAATTGAATAAAGTAGCAAATACCATATGTTTTAGACAATGTATAAATAATGTTTGCAATCCCTATAATCCTACCTTATAATAGACATAGAAGTTTAAATTTTTTCGTCTATAATTAGATATGTTGTAGAAACTAACTAGGTATTTATGTTAACAGGAAATGAAAAATCTACTTCTATACTAGCTAAAGTTGGTGATGCAGCTTCGGGAGTAGGAAATTTTCTGGGTAGAGGTGTAAAAGTCCTAGTCAAGGGTGCGGTATACCCTATACAGCCAAAAAACTGGTTTAAGTCTCAGGCCGAAATGTGGCACGACATAAAAAATGGCGGGCGCTATGTTATTGGCAGCGAGCTTGAAAAATATGATCCAACCATAGAAACCACACAAGCTAGTGAGAATCTTGGTGTAGAAATAACAGAGCAAAAGGAAGGGAAAGGAAAGGTAGCTTCTTTAGCGTCAAGGACTCTAACAGGAGATATACTTTATTTGAACGATGAAAAATTAGGTCAAATAAAGAAGGACCTGCCAAATGTAACTGTTTTTAGATAAGAAAACAAAATTGTAATTGAAATTAACGTTGAGGAAATACCTAACACTATTAAAACTAATCCTGATAATAAAGGCAAGAGCAAGAAAGAAATAGAAGAGCTTGTTCTTAAATGAATTGCTAATAAAGTTGACGAAGACCTTAAGAAGCTTGCAGGAATTACTGGTGGAGAATTTAAAATTCATACAGACTTAAAATTGCTGAATGATATTGCAGAAAAATTGTATCGAGAATATGATAACCAGAACAAACCATCAAAAAATCTAGGGCAAGCACAAACTGGAAAGTCACCAGGGCAGTCTTCAGAAACTGTTACAAGTACAGATGAATTAGTAAAATCTTTTAACATTACTAATCCTAATGATTTTCCTTTTGGTAAAAGCAAAGAAGCTGTTTCTCCTATATAAAATATGCAATTATCAGAACGAGATATCAAAAAGCAAGCAGAAGGATTGGGAGGTGCTTTTTTGAATTTTGAAGATGCCACTTTTGAAATAATAAAACCACTATCTACTCCTGATGTAGAAAGAAATGAAGGAAGAGGGAAAGTTCGCTCTTAAAAGATGAACAATGAAGTTTATGATAGCAATAACATCTTTGCTCAAATATTAAGAGGTGAGTTGCCTTATGAGAAGGTATATGAAAATGAAAATGTACTGGCTTTTCGTGATAAGTACCTTTTTTTTTTTGCGGATGGAAAATCATCTAATGACCCCTTTCGCTCTGGGTGGAGCGTAAGGGAGTGTCAGACTTTTACTGACTAAAAACCATCCGTGTTCCTTCAGTGCCCTTACGTTCCGGAGCCGCGGTATCTCTTTCGAACAGCCCGCAGCCCCGGCAGGCGTCGGCCCTTGCGGGCCCCTTCACGCTGCTGACAGCTCTTTGAGGCGCGCGTGGAACAAAACGCGCCGTCGACACGGCCTGTCGTCATTAGACGGACGGACGACGAGCTACCCATTGCTCGCCGTCCACAGGCCCGCGCCTACGGTGGCCGGGGGCCACGACGTAGCCCCCGACGCCCGGGGCGTCTCCCGCGGCGGCCGGGGAGGAAAGCTGCTGCTCTCTCCTTCTCCCGCTCCGCCACCTCCTTCGCTAGCATCACTGCTTCGCAGAAAGTGGTGACGGCATCCCATTCCGTCTCGCTCCGGACTATGGCTTCAACCAGGGCCGGACGCGAGAGGTCGCCGCCGCCTATCGCCGCTACGAGGACACGGCGGTGCTCCGCCCAAGCAGGGCACACCTCCACGGTGTGTTCCACCGTGTCCTCCGGTCCATCCTCGCAGTGGGAGCACCCGGGCGTTTCCTCCCGCCCGATTCGGTGCAGGAACCTCTCGAACACACCGTGTCCTGTGAGGACCTGCGTCAGGCGGAAGGTGAGGATGTCGTGGCGTCTCTCAAGCCACTCCTCAAAGAGGGGTCTTACCGCCGCTATAGTGGCGTGCCCAGCACGGGGTTGCGACAGTCGCTGTCTCCATGTCGCCATGAGATCGTGCCGGAAGTCTGTCCGCTGCGCGACAACTTGCCGCGGCAGCGGGGTTTCCCCACGGCACAGTGCCTCCGCACGCCATTCGTGCAGGCGCGCGAGGACTATCGCCTCCAGATCCCATGGCGGCAATCCGGCAAGGAGGCTCGCCGCCTCGCGGGAGATCGTGCGGTAGCCGCGAACCATTTTCACGGCTATCACCCTTTGGGGCGCGTTCAGGTGGTGGACGGCAAGCCGCGCCAAACCACGCGCCCACACCGGGGCCCCGTAAAGGGCCATGGACCGCACGATCCCCGCGTAGAGCCTCCGGCAGGAGGCGTTTGGCCCTCCCAGGTTCGGCAGGAGCCGCCTGAAGGCAGCCCCGGTCCGTTCCAGTTTGGGAGCCAAACGTCGGAAGTCCTCAACAAAGTTCCATAGGCCGTCGAGGACGAGTCCTAGGTACTTCAGCGTCGACTCGACGCCGATGGATACCCCTCCTACCATCACTGAGGATCCCGGTGGTGGCCTGTTCCGAGGACCATGGAAGTGCATGGCCTCGGACTTGTGCAGAGCCACCTCGAGACCCAGTTGCCGAATCCTCTCAACGACTATCGCAACCCCGCGTGTCATATTTTCCGCCGCCGCCTCGTACGACCCCCCTTGTGCCAGTACCAGCGTGTCGTCAGCGTAGCAAACTACGCTGACGCCGGTAGGGAGGTCGGCGCGCAGCACCCAGTCGTAACCGATGTTCCACAGAGGTGGCCCCAGAACCGAACCCTGTGGGACACCGCACGACATCTCTCGCCGGTTCCACTCACCGTTGCGACCGGGGTAGATGACGGCCCTGTCCGTCAGGTAGTCCCCGACTATACGACGGAGATAGGTCGGCACCCGATGATACCGGAGTGCCTCCCTAATGCAGCTCCAGGGCATGGAGTTGAAGGCGTTGGCGATGTCGAGAGACACCGCCAAGACAACCTCCCCTCTGGCCACTGCATCCCCCGTCGTGAGGGCTCTCACGCGCATGATGGCGTCCACCGTAGAGCGCCTCTTGCGGAAACCAAACTGGTGTTCCGCAAGATCCGGCCCCGTCCCCGCAAGGTGCTCGGCGAGGCGGTTTGCAATGACTCTTTCAAAGAGCTTGCCCACCTCGTCGAGCAGCACCACGGGCGGTATGCGGACGGAGAGTCCGCAGGGCGCCCCGGCTTCCGAATGAGGACCAGCTTCCCCGTCTTCCAACGAAGCGGGAATTGGCCTCTCTCCAAGCATGCGCTTAGGAGCCCCTCCAGTCGGGGCCCGAGAGCCTCCGAGGCCAGGACCCAGGCTTTGCCAGGCAAGCCATCGGGTCCTGGGGCGGTATTCCTGGCCTTGAGCCTACGTACCGCCACTCTCAGGTCTACCCCGGTCCCTTCCGGGATGTCGTCGTCGTCGTCCTGGTGGTCCACTTCCGGCACCGCAGGTGGCGGAGCCATATGCGGGGGCGGATGTTCCCGGTGATAAGTACCCTGACGCACCAGTTCACATTTTAGTTATACCAAAAAGTCAATATATTTCATACGATGATTTTATTCTAAAAGCTTCTGAAGAGGAGATAGTAAGTTTTTTCAAAATTATCAGGGAAATAGCACATAAGTATAATTTAGAAAAAACGGGGTATAGATTAGTCACTAACCACGGTAAAAATGGAGAGCAGGTTGTACCACACTTTCACGTGCATATTTTACGTGGTAAAAAGTTAGGAAAGCATGTAAACTCATAGTGTTATATGTTTTGTTAAATGAGCGAATATCTAACCATAGTAATCTTTATCTGCGTATCAATTGTAGTATCTTTTACTTTTTTAATTGTAGTATCACTATCCAGTGCAAGAAAAAATTTTGACATTAAATTTTACCTAGTTTCAATATTATTTATAATATTTGACTTAGAAATCGTTTTTCTTTTTCCTTGGGCTTTTTCTTTATATAAGATAACCTATGGTGGATTTTGGTCTATGGTGGTATTTCTTGCAATACTCACTATAGGTTTTATCTATGAATGGTGTAAAGGTGCATTAGAGTGGGAGTAGTTCATCACAAATCAAATTCTATCTAATGATGACTGGGGTCGTTATAAAAAAGAAGGGTTTCTTGTTACTAAATTTGGTGATTTAATAGATTATGTAATGAATTGGGCAAGGTCTGGTTCATTGTGGCCAATGACATTTGGTCTTGCATGTTGCGTAGTTGAGATGATGCATACTGCATCCAGCCGTTATGATCTTGATAGATATGGCATAATGTTTCGTGCAAGCCCACGTCAATCAGATGTGATGATTGTTGCTGGCACACTAACTAATAAAATGGCATCAGCCTTGCGCAAGGTTTATGATCAAATGGCAGACCCGAAGTATGTTGTTTCTATGGGAAGTTGTGCAAGTGGTGGTGGTTATTACCATTATTCTTATTCAGTAGTCCGAGGCTGTGATAGAATTGTGCCAGTTGACGTGTATGTCCCTGGATGCCCACCAACTGCTAAGGCGTTGCTATATGGAATGCTATACCTACAAAACAAAATAAAACGAACTCAGAATATAAAGCATGGATAAAACTGCAAGGCATATACAAAAAAAGACCAAGTGTGAGTGCATTCAAAAAGATGACGGCATTATTGTAAAATATTCAACTTAAGATAAAATTAAAGAGCACCTATCCTTACTACGTGATGATGAAAAGTGTAGGTTTGAAATATTAGTTGATATTTTTGCGGTTGAATATTCAGATCGAGAAAAGCGCTTTGAGTTAGTGTACAATTTACTCAGCATTGTGCATAATATTAGAGTACAAATAAAACTTCAATTATGTGAGGGCGATACGCCTCCAAGCATAGCAAAGGTATTTAGCACAGCTTCGTGGTTTGAGCGTGAAGTGTTTGATATGTATGGAATAGAATTCTATGATCACCCTGATTTGCGTAGGATTCTAACAGACTATGGATTCAAAGGTCATCCAATGTTAAAAGATTTCCCTCTCACTGGTTATGAGGAAGTAAGTTACGATATAGAGGCAAAAAAGGTTGTATATAATCCTATAGATTTGTCGCAAGATTTTCGTATGCTTGATAGCCTATCGCCTTGGGAAGGTGAAACCATAAAAGTAAATACAAAGGAGTAGAAATAAAGGTACAAAGAAAAAATATCTTTAATCGGTGCAGGAAATATCGGTGGAACTCTTGCCCATATGATTGCACTAAGGGAACTCGGCAATCTTGTTTTACTTGATATTAGTGATGAAATACCGCAAGGTAAAGCTCTCGACATAGCAGAATCATCCCCTGTTGATGGATTTAATTCTGGTTTAACTGGAACTAATCAATACAAAGATATAGAAAATTCTGATGCAATCATCATAACAGCAGGCATTGCTAGAAAACCTGGAATGAGCAGGGATGACCTCCTGCAGACCAATGCTAAAGTAATGAAGGAGGTTGGTGAAAATATTAAGAAGTATTCTCAAAATGCGTTTGTAATAGTGGTTACCAACCCTTTGGATGCCATGGTTTCAGTGTCGCATAAATTTTCAAACCTTCCAGCTAATATGGTTGTTGGAATGGCAGGAGTGCTCGATTCTTCCCGTTTCCGTTATTTTCTTGCAAGTGAATTAAATATTTCAGTTGAAGATATATCTGCTTTTGTGCTTGGAGGACATGATGACACTATGGTACCACTCATTAATTGCACTTCTATCGCTGGCATTCCACTTACCCAAGTTATCGATATGGGTCTCATTACGCAGAAAAAAGTTGATGAAATAGTTGAACGCACTCGCAATGGAGGTAAAGAAATAGTTGATCTGCTTAAGTCTGGATCATGCATGTTAGAGTCAAATTTAAAAGATAAAAGGCGTATATTACTATGTGCTGCTTACCTTAATGGTGAATATGGTGTAAAAGATTTGTTTATTGGTGTTCCTGTAATTATTGGAAAAAATGGAGTTGAAAAGGTCCTAGAAGTTAAGATGGATAATAGTGAACGAGAAATGTTCAATAAATCTGTGAATGCAGTGAAAGAACTATTTAGGCCCATAAGCAAATCAATGGTTTTATAGAATTTCCTTGTAGCTCAAGTTTCGTAAACAGCCTAAAAAAGTTGCTTGTAGTTATTTCTGCTACTTTGTCAGGTGACTCGTTCCATAACTCTACCAAACAATCTACAACATACTTTACCATTGCTGGTTCGTTCTTTTTTCCTCTGTAAGGCTCAGGTGATAGATAAGGTGCATCAGTTTTAACCAAAACACGTTCGCGTGGTAAACCTTGTGCAATTCCTCTGAGTAAGCTCGCATTTTTAAAAGTAATGATTCCAGAAAATGAAATATATAACCCTAAATCTATAGCTTGATAAGCAAGCTCTTTAGAGGAAGCAAAGCAGTGCATTACTCCACTAAAAGCACAGGTTTGCATTTCTGACTTTAACATATCGATCATCTCACTATCAGTACTCCTAGTGTGAGTAACTAAAGGTAACCCTTTTATTCTTGCTGCTTCTATGTGTGATCCAAAACATTTTTTCTGATTGTCTTTGTTGTCAGATTTATAAAAATCTAACCCGGTTTCACCGATACTAATTACCTTTTGATTCTTAGTAAATTCAACTAATTCATCAGCATGTATACACTCACCGTTTTCTATAGCAGCATCAAGTGGATGTATACCAACAGAGAAGTAGACTTGATCTTAGGATGAAGAAATTTTTAATAATTTAGGTATATATATATATCATCAATGCTTACGCATATGTTATGCAAAATTTTTACACCATTTTGCTCTGCCCTTGAAATTACTTTTGGTATTTCATCATCGGAAAAATAAATCAAGTGGCAATGAGAATCTACTATCATGAGCTTATTGTTGGGGCTTTTATTATAGAAGAAAACTCTTCTATCACTGTCTTATAAACTTCTTTTTTAAATGATATAGCATTGGCTACTAAATCATCTATACTTTGCCAACGCCACTCTTTGAACTCTGGATGATCAGTATAATTAATATCAACATCCTTATCCTCTCCATAAAATTTCATTAAGAACCTCCTTTGCTTTTGACCAGAATATTTCCCATTCCAGCACTTTGGTATGACTTCTTCAGGCAAGTTGTAGTATATCCAATCCTTACTTTTAGTTATAACCTTTACTTTATTAGTACCAACTTCCTCTAGCAACTCACGTAATGCTGCTTGTTCCAGTTCCTCATCATCATCAACACCTCCTTGTGGCATCTGCCAGTAAGAGTCGCTATCAAAGCGTTTTCCAATAAAGGCATGTCCTTGTCTGTTAAATAGCATTATGCCAACACAAGGACGATACTCATCTTTCTGTTCAAACACGAGTACGCTCTGTTTTTAAATGATTTGTTACAGAAGTTTTAATTAATTTTCCATTTTTTTCTTTCTTCATCTCTTCAACAATTTTCTTTGCAACTTCTTTTGCACTTAAGTTTGAGTTATCAATTTCAAGTGTACCTTCCGTTATAAATAGCCTTTTTTCTTCAATTCTTTTCATAACAAAATCTGAACCAATAATTTTATTTTTCCGTCATCTCTCCTTTGAGTGAATACGCCTTGCTAGTTCTTCGTCACTACAATGTATCACTACAGGAAGAATTTCCATATCCATTTTTTTTACTTAAATTTACCACAGAGTTGTATATTCTCTGATCGCAGGTGTCACCCTCTATCAATTCATTTGTAAATATATAATGTTTTGATTTTATGTAGTGATTTTCTAGTATTGCTAATATATTTTCCCTAACTGCAAAAATTTTTTTCCATAGTTCACCCGGAACTTCAGCATCCTGCAATTTAACAATATCAAATATAATATTACTGAATAGATTATTGCTTACTATTACTGTATCAATGATTTTACACAGTTCCTTTGCAGTAGTAAACTTACCACTGACTGGAAAGACGATTAAGTAGATGAGAGTCTTGTCCATAATGAATACTAGTGCAAAGCTATTTTTAATTATATATAAAAGTATATACATTGTACATGCTAAAAACATAATGTTAAATAAAATGCAGGTAATACCTTTTTAAAGAACAGTCGCGTTGAAAATAGTTCATATTTAGAGATTTTGAGTGTATAATTATAAGTAAATTAAATAATTTAAGATGATGACTCCAGTGATACAGAATCAATAAAAAGCATGATTGTAAGTATAATAGATCAAAATAAAGGTCACGATATAGTTACTCTCGATGTGCAGAACAGAACCATTATTGCAAAATATATGATTATTGCATCTGGTGATTCAAGTCGCCATGTTAAAGCGTTAGCTGAACACGTAATAAAAAGTCTCGAGCGACATGATAAAATAGATCTAGAAGGTATGGATGAAGGCAATTGGGTGATTTTGAATTTTCAAGGCATAATGGTTCACATATTCAGGTCAGAAGTAAGGGAGTATTATAGAAGTAAGGGAGTATGTAGAAGAGTTATGGAACTGATTGCCTGGATAGCTGGTGCACAACTGCACAAACGTTGTAATTTTAAAGGCAACTGCTGCACAGGTGGTGTCATTCCAGTGTTTGACAATGGAATCCAATTTCTCATGCAATTTCATCGAAAACGTTATATAGTGTGCTCGTTTATAATTAAGTTTTCTGGATCCCAGTGTCTGGGTACTGGGATGAAATCTTTCCCTATTAGGGTTACCTTTGGCATTAATGACAGGATAGACTGGGGTTTATAAAATGAAACACAAGTCCGAGTTTTTAAATTTTATCCAAGAAAGAGGGTGCCTCTACCAATGTACAAATATTGAAGGGTTAGATCAGCTATTATCCGAAAATAATCATATAGTCTCATACATTGGTTTTGATTGCACAGCACCAAGTCTTCATGCTGGTCACCTAATTCAGATTATGATGCTCCGTCACCTGCAGAAATTTGGTTATAAGCCGATAGTCTTACTTGGAGGTGGTACAACAAAAATTGGTGACCCATCCTTCAAAGACAAAGCAAGAAGCATCTTGCCAGTAGAGAACATCAATCAAAATACATCCAGCATAAGGAGAATATTAGAGAAAATGGTGTCTTTTAATGACAGCAAGACTGGTGCAATGATAGTAAATAACGCAGATTGGTTGGATAACATAAAATACATAGATTTTTGCGTGATATAGGAGCTTATTTTTCTGTAAATCGTATGCTAAGTTTTGATAGTGTGAAAACCAGGCTGGATAGAGAGCAAACCTTAAGCTTTCTGGAATTTAATTACATGCTATTGCAGGCTTATGATTTTGTTGAGTTGAATAAAAAGCATGGCTGTCGTCTGCAGATTGAAGGGTCAGACCAGTGGGGGAATATAGTAAACGGAATTGAGCTTGGAAAAAAGTTGAATTTACCTGAGCTGTTTGGCCTTACTGCTCCTCTTTTATTGAATGCTCAAGGGGTGAAAATGGGCAAAACTGAAAGTAGAGCAGTGTAGCTTGATGATAATATGCTAAAGCCTTACGACTACTGGCAATATTTTCGCAACGTTGATGATCAAGATGTTGGACGTTTTTTGAGATTGCTTACTGATGTGTCAATTGATGAGATCAAAAAGTTAGAATCCTTAAAAGATCAGGAAATAAATGAAGCAAAAAAAGTTTTAGCAACAGAGGTAACAAAAATATGTCATGGTGACAAAGAAGCGGAACTTGCACTATCTGCTGCAGTCTCTGCTTTTGAGAATGAAGATAGCTCACTACTTCCTGATTACATCATAAAAAAGTACAAGTTACAGGCGGCATATCCTTAGTAAACCTACTGCGTGACACCGGTTTTGAACCTTCAAAAGGCGCAGCAAAGCGTTTAATACAGGGCAACGGGTGCAAAGTTAATGATAATATTATAAATGACGTTAACTATATAATAAATTTCGAGAGCTTTAAAGGTCAGCCATTTATAAAATTTCAGGATTTTTCATTTATAAAATCTGCAGGAAAGAAGCGCCATATTAAAGTTTTGGTAGATTAGGTATCGAAGTAAGAAAACAAATTTTATACAAGTGAAAAATTAGATATGGAGCAAATTTTCAAAATTCGATAATAGCTGATCCAAGGAAGAAATCGTACCACCGCGGCGCTAACGAGTAGCAGAATGACGAGGATGCCGCCGCGAACCTTCATACTGCCGCAGAATGTCATATATCCGCAGCGGTATCTCAGCCGCTAACAAGTAGCGGGATGATGGTTGTCAGGCTAGCTGTCATCCCGTTGCCCAGACTACTTGGATCCAGAAAACTTAACTTTAAATAAGTGGCTGCATAATAAAGACTAGATTCCATCGTCACGAGCTGGAATGACACCATTTTCGGTCTCTGAAATTGCTTCAGCTATAAACATTAAAAAATTTACCAAATGAAAAAAAAGGCAAAGAACTCCCGTGGTGAGAGTTTTGACTCTATATTATTGTAAGTGGCGCTGTAATAATGTGTTGACGCTTAGTTTAAGAGTGGTTTGGCTGAATGTAGAAAAAATTTAAAAGACATGCAGCCGCTATAATTTTATGTAATCCGCCAAAAAACACCCTAAGTTTTTTACTGAATTTTGTCATTGAGCCTGTAGGTCAAAAACAAGTCACTCAAAAAGTCATAAATACCCTCGCCGTCATAATAAGTGGGCTGGCGGAGTTTGTAAAGGAAGTTTTTTCGCTTCTGCGGACTACTTGAATAACGGCTACAATGTTTGTACAGCTATGTACATAGTGCTGAACCCAAAAAAAGAACCAAGTAGCTTGAATACTTGGATAACAGAAGGTATTACAAGAAGTATATTGGCTCTCGTATACCTTAATGAAATTTAACAAGTTTATATATAGTTTTAGTGATGATTCTTGGAGTATCCGGAGAAACTGCTGAGCTCAGCTTATTTAACCGCTCTATAGCAAACTCGCTGTTCTCATTTGCTATGAAATCACATAAAATATTTTCTATATCCTTAGTAATACTTTCATGCTTTCTCAGAGGATGATTATGTGGATACCTACTGATGGTTTTGATACTGGAATATTCAACAAAAGCTTGATCCTTAAAAGCAAGTTGTCTCAATTTCTCTTTGAATTTTCCTTCTTCCTCTTTTGCTAAAAGGCGAGACTTTATCAGTGATTTTATAATCAAATTTATAGCTTGATGTATTTCAGAATGCACTATAACTTTAATGGTATTTTCTTCTACTATACAATCATAAATATTTTTTTCGCTCTGTAACGACTCTATTAATGTCTTGCTACTTTGTGAATTCAATTCCAAATTCTCTTCACTCATAGGAGTTATTATGAATGTGTTCTTACTCACTCTGATGTTAAATTGTGGAGAGCCTTCAGAAAAAGAAAATGCTACATTCTTAGATTCAAGTGCGTGATTACATGCAGCAAAAAGGGTGTGTGCCATAACACTCCTGGGCACCTTCATTCCATGTTTACTCAGGTAGTTCAACACATTTTCAACCTCATGATATGTAAAGTCTGTATCTTTTAGCAATTTAACAACTTCTTTGCCGTTGTGCTGTTTATACTTTATTCTCACTTCTTCTGCAAAAAGTGTTTTAGCTGCTATATGTTTATCAAGCACTGTGAAAATCTTGATGAAATTCTCTAAATCTTGTTTGTTAACTAATTCGATACTAATTAATTTTCTGTTAATAATTGAAATGTTTTTTGTGATTTTTTCCCACTAAAAAACTCACTAAATGAATTGTATTTTTAATTCATTAAGAATTGTTTAAAGTGAGCATACTAGTTTTCATTTACGTATTACACGACAAAACAAGATAAAAAGTTACATAAAATCATCATGTGGTATAACACACTCTACCCCATTCATCATTGCTGTTTGTGTAGGTTGTGACATCAGTGTGATTGTCATTATTATTTAGCATATCATCCAACTTTACTTCTTTTTCAAGATCCATCAATTTGTCACACCCTCCAATGTGCTTATCGTTAATAAAGATCTGTGAAACTGTTCTAACGTTATACTTTGATTTTATGTCATTAAATAGATCTGAGTATTTGAGCACATCGATTTCTTCATATTTCATACCTTTTTTATCCAGTAACTCTTTTGCTTTTTTGCAGAATGGGCAGTGATGCTTTACATATATTATAACTTTTCCTTTAGTATTTGTCACAATTTATCCCCGTAGCTTGCTAAAATATAGTTATTATATACAAGAAACATGTTAAAACATCAAATCGCATGAAAATTATTTATAATTGTGAGCAAGGGATGGAAAATAATGTAGCACTAACCTTCGGAAATTTCGATGGCATTCATTTAGGACATGAATTTGCAATTTCCACTCTAAAGAAGGTAACACAAGAAAGAGGATTACCCTCTGCAGTTTTAACTTTTGAGCCTCACCCATCAACTGTTTTGTTTGGTAGAAACAATTTTAGGTTAATAGAACAAGAACAAGAAAAGGAACTAATCAGCAGCTATGGTATAGATTGCTTGTATATTATTAATTTTAGTAGAGGTTTTTCTGAGGTTAGCTGCGATGACTTCATCAGTGAGATTTTAATAGATAAATATGGCGCTAAACACATAATTGTCGGAGAAAATTGCACTTTTGGTCATAAAAGATTGGGTGATATATTAACTCTAGAGAAATATTCTGAAACATATGGATACTCTTTGACTAAATTAGAGCCATTAATAATTGACGGCAAAATTTGCTCTTCTTCTTCAATCAGAGAGTATGTACAGAAAGGTGAAATAGACATTGCTAATAAATTACTTGGTAGACCTTATCAAGTTTCTGGTGTTGTGACAAAGGGTGCGTGTAGAGGTAGAGAAATAGGATTCCCAACCATAAATATTCCTATAAAAGATTGCATGATAAAACCAAAATTTGGTACATATTACGCTAAAGTGATGTGTTCTTATGATAACCCAAACTGGTTATATGGAGTAGTCAATATTGGTATGAGACCTACATTTAAGGATCTGAAAAAGCCTATAATAGAAATGCACATATTCGATTTTGATGAAGACGTATATAATCATAAAGTTAATATACAACTTTTAAAATTCATAAGGTCAGAAAAAAAATTCCATAGTATTGAGGAATTAACAACACAGATAAATTATGATATACTTAAAATTTGTAGGTTAAAGGCAAATTCATGAACAAGTTATTCTTAATTGTTATACTAATTATAGTAGTGAAATTGAGTGGTTACTGGCTATAGCTAAAGTGGCTTAAGTTTACCGACAACCGTCATTTCGCTACTCTTTAGCGTAGTCTATGCTGAGATACCGCGAATGAATCCCGGTATGACGCGTTGCTTGGGTTAGCTATAGATTTCTGAAATGATTTAAAAAAAATGATAACTAAGGTTAAAGTGACGATATGAGGTTTCTCAGCTCTGGAAATTTCATGTTTAAATGCAAAAATAGATACTTATTTAAAAAATATCCTGTGACTTTCAGTCTTAACTGAAATTCTTGGAATGAGTTTTGTAGGTTATTATTGTATACATCATGCAACATTTGTGGAAAAGGTAGGAGTTTATCTGCATAATAATCTCCTGCTTTTGACACTGCTCTACCAGTTTTTAGAGAAATAAATTGTAAGTTTTTCTTAACACCTGTTGCAGCACATTTGGATAAGTCTAACTTGAATCCCAATTGCGTAAGAAGCAGAAGCTCTAAGTTAAGATAATGGCTTTGCCAAGACTGATTGTCATGTTTAATTACATCGATGAAATATCGAAAATTGTCATACAGCACGGCATAGGGTTCACTTTCTGGAAGCACTTTTTCTAAAATAGAGGAGAAAGAGACAATAGTAATGCTTTTTAACCTATCTTGAAAAAAATGATGGAATGGAGATTCGATTAATTTGCACTTTAAAAAACCCAGATTGTCAGGTGACTTAGCACTCCATTCTGCATGTAATAGATTACTTATCTGAAACTTATAATTGCTATTGTTTGTTAGCTTAGTTAATCCCTGTGCTTTCCATGATTTTTTGTAAACAGAGAATGAATTAAGTTTTTATCGCCGTATTTTTTAGCAGTTATAATGATGCCTTCATCTTTCCATCTCATTTAGAGTATATTGACCTTATGATATTATAGGATAGTACACCTAGAGCATGTAATCCATAAAAATCACTTACTCTGTTACTGTTTGCTTCCAAAGTTTCAAGGCTATGAGAGAGTAAGTTATTGGCGGCCACTCTTCTTCCTGAGCCTGATGCATTTCGTACTGAGCCTTTGGTTTTTGGTTTGCTAAATAATTGTTTGAATGATTTTAGTAACATTACTTTTCCTCATCTGAAATTTTGGATAATTCAGCTTCTAATTCTTCTATTATCGGTAAAGATGTTTTTATGTTCTCTGGTAGATTTTCAGTTATTCGGTATTCTGCAAGACCTATTGGCTTTGTCATGTCTTGCAGTGTATATTCCGCCAGTACATTATTTTTTGATTTACATAAAATTAATCCTATAGATGGCTGTTCTGTTGAGTGTTTTAGCAAATTATTCACTGCAGAAAGATAAAAATTCATTTTTCCAGCATATTCTGGTTTGAATTTATTATCTTTCAACTCAATCACTATAAAGCAACGTAATTTTAAATGGTAGAATAATAAATCAATATAAAAGTCTTCATCTCCAACATCTAAGTGAAATTATCTTCCAACAAAAGCAAATCCTTCACCGAGTTCTAACAGAAATTTTTCTATATGTCCTACGAGTCCTTTTTCTACTTCTCTTTCATGAGCATACTTACCTATACTTAAAAATCAAAAATATACGGAACTTTTAATGTATAATGTGCTAAATCTGATTGAGAGGATGGTAATTTTTCTTTAAAGTTAGTAATAACTTTCCCTTGACGTTTATGTAGTCCAAGCTCTATCTGCATAACCATAATGTTACATGAACAGCCATGTTCAACAGTTTTTTTACATAAAATAATCTTATTTCATGACTTTCTATTTTTTCCAAAAGAGTGATATTGTGATACCAAGTTAATTGTGCATGAGGCTCCTGCACAAATTCAACATCAGGATATTCTTCGGCAAAATTACGCATATACTTCAGATTTCTCGTGCTGAAGCCTTTCATTTCTGGAAATGTACTTCTCAAATCATTACTATATTGATCAATTACCTTATCTCCCCATGCATGTTCTTTTTGGCGTTTTAGGATCTCTGTACCAATATGGTTAAAGCAAAATAAGCTTACTATTTACTGCAAGTGCTGCTTTATAATGACTAGTAGCGATATGTTCTTTCAACTGCTCTAAAAATTCTGTATATTCTTTTGCTATAATTTTTGTCATACGGTTCCTTTTAATCCATTATACAATTCCTTTGTCTGTCAAGAAGACAATCTTTCGCTTGCCTGCAACTTTGAAGGGATTCCTTATTTACTTCAAACTCTTCCATCAACTAAAATATATTGACTTTATGTGCAATATAAGCTTTAAACCAGTAAAACAAACTGCCTAACATATGCGTTTTTTCTATTCTGATTACATTCTTTTTTTATCTTTATGTTGTTTTCTGCTTTTTTCGTTACCTTCAACAAAAGCCCAAACGAATGATACGTCAGTTGTTCCTATACCACAAAGGAAAAAAGAAACATTTGAGCACACTGTTGTAGCACAACCGAGGCAAATTATCGAAATGCAAGAAGAAGTCATTATTAACGAGGGTAAAGAATTTATTCCAGTTCCAAAAAGAAAAAAAGTGTAGGGAAGAAACCAAGAAGGGATGTTAGAGAGGCAAAGAATGAAGTAGGAAATGAAAAAAGCGTTGAGAATAAAAAAGGATGAATTGGTTGTAAAAGAAATTATTAACTCTATAAGAGACAAACTTACAAAATGCTGGATAATTCCTGAAAGCATAGCTTACAAAGAAAATTTTAATATAAAAATTAACTTATTATTATCCAGTCAAGGCAAGATAATTATGGCCGATGTAGCAGACAGTGATTGCTATCGAAATAATCCACTTTTCAGGTCGATAGCAGATAATGCAATGCGTGCAGTATATAAATGTAGCCCATTGACTGTCTTGCCTACTCAGCACTACCACATTTGGCGTGAAGTAACACTAGACTTTATTCTAAATGGGTAAAATATTACAATAGACCTCTTATATTACCTTCTGTCATCCAAGTAGTCAGGCTACTTGGATGACAGAAGGAGGCATTTCACATTATCATTCCAGCGCTCCTCTCTTGTCATGCCAGTGCTTGACAATGGCATCCAGAAAAAAATAGATCCCAGTGTCTTTGCACTGGGATGACGTAATACGTTTCTTGGATGACAAAGAAGAGCGGGAAAAACTCTGTAGTCAGCAGATTTTCAATCAGAAAAAGCCAAAGGTCTCTCTAAGATGTCAGTTTCTTTTGTATCTACAACTTTACCGTTCTGATCAAATGAAATTTGCAGGGACTTACTGCTATACTTCCTTTTTCCTAAGAAGTTAGCTTGTTTAATTTTATATGCGACATAGTACCAAACATTTCCATCGAACTTTGATACTAATATTGGTGATCCTAAAGTGTGAACCACTTTTTCTTTATCGTCACCTACTTTTATCTTGCTCCACAATTCAACACTAATGGCAGGAGCTCCTCGGTTGTGAATATTGTGTGTGCAGCTCACTGTAAATAATAAAATAAAATATATTAATACTCGCATTTCTGTTGATAAATTACTCGAAGCTATAATACACTAATAAATTACCTGCCGTCAAATTTCAAAAAATTAAATTGAACGATTCTCAATATCACTTAATATAATATTTACTTTAGAGGATAATATGTGTCTTATGTCATTGTTAGAAGCAGATCCAATATACGAACCTTTTAATTACCCTTGGGCGTATGATGCGTGGCTGCAGCAACAAAGAATCCATTGGATACCTGAGGAAGTTCCTCTTGCTGATGACGTGAAGGATTGGAAAACTAAACTTTCAAACGTAGAGAAAAATATACTAACTCAGATTTTTAGATTCTTTACTCAAGCGGACATTGAAGTAAATAACTGCTATATGAGGCATTATTCAAATATATTTAAGCCAACAGAAATATGCATGATGCTTGCAAGTTTTTCCAATATGGAAACCATACACATTGCAGCTTATTCTTATCTTTTAGACACAATTGGCATGCCAGAAAGCGAGTATCAAGCATTTTTAAAGTATGATGCTATGAGAAAGAAATATGAATACATGCTGGAATTTGAGCATTTACCGAGGGGTTGCAGTTGTTCGCATCGTTTGCAATTTTGCTCAATTTCCAACGCTTTGGAAAAATGAAAGTCATGGGGCAGATAATCGCCTGGTCAGCCCGTGATGAAACTTTGCACACCAATTCAATTATTATGTTATTTAATACATTTATTAAAGAGAATAATGAAATTTGGGACAACGAGTTTAAAGAGGAATTATATTCTGCATGCCGCACTATTGTTGAGCTTGAGGACGAATTCATAAAGCTTGCCTTTGATTTAGGAGATGTTAAAGGACTATCCGCAGAAGAAGTGCGCAATTATATACGCTACATAGCAAACAGACGGTTAATGCAATTAGGTCTTGATTCCACATATGATGTCAATGATAATCCTATTCCACAGCTTGATGAAATACTAAATGACGTTGAACATACAAATTTCTTTGAAAATAGAGTAACAGAGTATAGTCGTGCAGCAATTCAAGGCACATGGGAGGAGGCTTTTACTGAAAACGACACGAATAATAGGTGAGTGCTAATTTCACTCTTCTTTGTCATGCAAGTAGCTGACACTGGAATCAGTTTTTTGATCGAGAATGTTGTATAGTGCATAATCAATTTTCCTGGATCGAATTAGTCAAGGCACTGGGATCTAATAGATAATATTCGTGCAGTACGCGCGGGAGTAACAAAAGCTGCTTGTCTTTCATAATGTTTCGTAGCAATAGGCAGTTTTGCTTTACTTAACAACTAACTTACCATATATATGTCCACAGGACATTGGTATATAAGAACGTGCTACAACTATTAATCTTACTCACGGTCATCACTTCAGTTGCATTCTTTGGTCATTTAGTTCCAATGGAAGCAAAAACCTTCTTGTACTCAACGAGCCTGAGTATAAAAGAGGTTTTGCTATTTATAGTGCCTTTCATTATTTCTGCGTTAATCTTTAGCAGTATTAACAATCTTAAGCAGTCAGCTATAAAGTTTATATTGTTACTTATTGTAATGATATTCTTATCGAATCTAGCTTCAAGTTTAATAGCTTATTCTGTTGGGCATTTTATCATACAAAACACTTATTCAATACAAGATATAACGTATGAAGAAACAGTTGTTCCTTTATGGTCGTTTAGGCTTCCGCTACTCCTTTCTAACTTTCATGCTCTTGCTTTTGGATTTGTGTCCAGCATAGTAGTTTCTATAAACCTAAAAAAGGCAAAGAGCTTTCGAACAAAATGTTAGATTTAAATCTCTTTATTTTGAAGACGTTTTTGACGCCGATTATTCCAATATTTGTACTTGGGCTTGCTTTAAAAATGAAGCATGTTCAAGTTTTATCTATAATATTTAAGGATTACTCAATTTTTATTATTATAGCATCTGCAACCTACCTTTATGTTTTCCTCTTAAATGAAGCAGCAAATTAATTCAAGATCACAAGCTGGATAGCTAGTATAAGCAATATGATACCGGCATTTATTACTGCGATGAGCGCAATGTCTAGTAATACAACTATTCCGCTTACTCTTGAATGAAGCAAAAAAAATGTTAAGCAACCTGATATAGCATCGTCTGTTATACCAATAACTGCTAGCTTCCATTTAGTAGGTGATTGCTTTTTTGTTATAATATTATCAATGGTAATTACTTATGGTTATTTATTGTCCACAACGGACTATGTAACTTTTCTTCTCTATTTTTTGTTATTTAAGTTTGCTATCGTTGCAGTGCCTGCAGGAGGAATTATAGTAATGCTACCTATTCTTGAGAAATACCTCAAATTTTCTCCAGAAATGCTTTCGTTAATCACAGCCTTGTATATAATGTTTGATCCAATAATCACTCCAGCAAATGTTATGGGTAATGATGCCTTTACTATAATGTTTACAAAACTCTATAATAAGCTTAAGTAATGTCTATTTTAGCGATTGAAATTGTAGGTGCTGTTAGTTCAATAGCAATAGTTGATTATGATGGTAATTGTTTTGTGGAGCACAATTCCGCCAGAAACAATCATGTAGAATCATTTTCTGAATACTTTGTTTGATAAGCATAGTTATAATTATGATAAAATAGATCATTTAGTGGTAGTAGTTGGACCAGGAAGTTTCACTGGAATTAGAGTTGGTATATCAGCAGCACAAGGTATAAATCTTGCTACAAATAAGCCATTATACGGAGTTAATGCGCTGGAAGTTTAAGCTTACAAAATATCTTTGCTTTGTACGAATAGCAAAAAAAAATATTAGATCTATAATCAAAAATGCTCAAGGGTTTTATACGCAGTTATTTGATTTCAATTTATTGCCGCTATCTGGTCCAACTGCAGCACGTGACCCTGGATCCAAGTGTTACGCTACAAGCAGTGACTGCATTACACATATGGATTGCAATTTAAATGCTAGCCACGCAGGACTATTGGTTCATTATAGACTGAAAAACAAGCAAAAATTAAATGAAGTTGAGGCTCTATATTTAAATGAGCCTCAGTATATGAAATCATTATAGACCATTCTTTCGCGTACATAAGATGTAGCTAAGCCTTTGCATCTGGTTTACTATCTCTTGAGCTACTTCTTTTATACTCATATCTGAATTTTCTATCTCTATGGCACTCGGTGGTATAAATAAATTGTTAATCCTAAATTGCTCTGTTATGCTATTTACATTAGCCACCTTCCTATTTTTTCTTTGCCTTTTTAATGCAATACGCTTTTGTAATGTCAGTAGATCACACCTAAGTACCACAGGAAGGATTTCTGTGTTCATTATTTTACTAAGCCTTACTATTGAATCATAAATCCTCATGTTCTGGTCATTATTTTCCATCAACTCATCAATAAATATGTAATTTTTTGAGTGAATCGGATAATTTTCTATTACCTGAAGCATAATTTGCATAATATCATATATTTTATCTTGAACTTCTTTAGGTATTTGATCACGTTCAAAGACACCATTGTATATGGAGCAAACTTGAACATTGTTATAGAACTTACTATTTATAATTAATGCGTCTATCATATCGGACAATTCTATTGCTGTGGAAAGTTTACCACTTCCTGAAAGACCAGAGAGATATATGAAAAATCCTGCTGGCTGTTTTTTTGTGTTAATACTTACCATATTATTTTCAATCTTGAAACTTACATTTATAATAACATAAAAACAAAGCTTTAAAACATATGAAACATGACATAGAAAATTATTTTTATAGTTAAGATATTATGTAATTTAGAAACATCAATTTTGTATATAAACTCTATAATAACGGTAACTATTTTTAAGCAAGCTACAACACAAAAGTGTTTGGTATTCAGAAAGCAAGACAGAGTGGCATAGACTTATTAGTTTACTACAAGCCTTTTTTTCGTGTATAAATATTAAGAAGGTTCTAGCAGAGGATTGTGTTGTTAATAAAGAGCAGAGTAAAAAGGGATCTATTCTGTGCCTATCAGATTTTGTCTTACCTTAAACTTGATGACCATACATATACTCACCTCTCGGTATGTTCTGAAGATCAAAAGTCTTTTTAAATTTACCCATTTGGTATACGCTGTGACGAAGTCAATGAAAATTCATCGATAAGAGTATCACTAGATGGAAATGTAATTGAGGGTACAGAATATCAATATAATAAAACTGGCTATATAATTCATGTTTTTGTTTATCAAGCAAGGAAAGACATTCAAGCAATTTTTCACCTGCATACACCTTTTATTGTAGCAGTTTCTTCTCTAAAAGATGAACTACTTCCAATAAGTCAATGGGCACTGCACTTTTACAATAAAATCTCTTACCATAATTATAATTCCCTAGCACTTAGCAATACAGAAGGAAAAAGGTTAATAGCTTATCTGAAAGAAAATTTTGTCATGTTAATGTGCAATCATGGATCTATAACGTGTGGTCGGACTATACAAGAAGCAATGTTTTGCGCGTATTATTTAGAACGAGCGTGGAAAACTCAATGTTTAACGTTAGCAATGAATAGGTAGTTATCAATTCCAAGTGAAGAAATTTGCTCAAAAGCTGTAAAGGATCTCCTATCTCTTGTAAGCAATCTTGGTGAGAGGGATTGGCACGTATCGGCTAGACTAAAAGTAAGTTGTAAGAGGCTTTTGCACTACTATCTGTCATCCAAGTAGTGAGTCATATGCGTCAAGTTAAGAGTTTATGAGCAAATTTAGACAGGTTAAAGTGGATACTCTGACTTTACCCAGAAAAAGTAGAGAGAAAGTTAAGACGTTTTTGGAGTAAAATAAAACGTTTTTTCAAAATATGGCAAATAGAAGGGAATGTACAGCAGGATTCAAATTAGAAGCTGTTAAGCTGGTTAAAGAAACAGAAGTAAAAAAAATAGCAAAAGATCTAGGCATAGATGGCAGTATGTTAAGCAAATGGGTAAGAAAATATGATGGAAAAATGTCAGAAGCATACGCGTTTCCAGACAAAGGCTCCTTATGATAAAGAAAGATTTGATCTAAAAAAAAGAACTAGCAGGAGTAACAAGAGAAAGAGACATTAAAAAAAGCCCTGACCAAACAAAAAGAGTAAAGTATTCTTTTATATAGAAATTGCTATAAAATACAGGAACTATGTAGGGTTTTGGACATATCTGGTGGTGGTTATTATAAATGGGTTGCTAAGGGAAAAATCAGTAAGGAATTAGCAAGAGATGTGCTTCTAGCAGATATTCAAAAAAAGTACCCAAATGCAGATCACTAAAATTCACGCTGAATGAAAAGCTTTAGGCAAAAATTATAACATCAAAACAGTACAAAGTGTTATGCAAGAAAATGGCATTAAAGCCAAACTTAGACGAAGGTTCAAAAATAAAAAACAGCACGTAAGCAACCGAGTTGTGGCTCCGAAAACATTGGATCAAAAATTCACCACTGATCAGCAAAATAAAGTTTGGGTAAACGATATTACTTATATAAAAACTAAGGAAGGTTGTTGGCAGCAATAATTGACCTATATTTACGTATGGTAGTTGGCTCGTCAATGAGTAGCTCAATAAATAAACAATTGGTTGTTGACTTTTTATTGATGACCGTTAATAAGCGCAAACCCGATAAAATCTGCTGTTTCATAGCGATCAAGGGTCACAATATACTTCGCAAGGTTATCAATATCTCTTATCCATAAAAAACATAGATGAGTCATAAAGGTTGTTGTTACGACAATTATGTCGTGTAAAAGTTCTCTAAAAAGGGAGTTACCAATAGACACCTCTCTGCACTCTAAACTGTATATTAAAACTGATATATTTGAATATATAGAAATTTTTTATAACAAACAACATAGGCATTCTACTATTAATTATTGCATTCCTGCACAATTTGATGCATCATTCTCATGACAAAGACTTTCTTTTTTCTAACTTTTTCTTTTTTTTAACTTTCTTTCCACTTTTTCTGGGTATGGTCAGATAAATTAAAACCACCAAGTGAAAAATATATGCTAATTAGTACAACGTCAGAGCTGGAAGATACGTGTGAAGAATTGATAGCAAAAAAGCCGAAATTTATAGCAGTTGACACGGAGTTCATTAGAAATAATTTAACCTACTACCCAAAATTATCGTTAATTCAAATTTCTTGTGGAGAAAAGAGTTTTATTGTAGACGCATTAGTGCCAGAAATTGATTTATCATTCATTAAGAAAATAATGCTAAATCAGGGGATAACCAAAGTGTTTCATAGCTGCAGGCAGGATATAGAATCCCTACTCACTGTGTTTAAATGTATTCCCACTCCCATTTTTGATACCCAAGTTGCCGCTATGTTTTGTCATTATTATCATGACTTTATTGGTTACTCAAAAGTAGTAGAGCAATATCAAGGAGTAGTGCTGGATAAAATTAAAACTAAAAATTCAGATTGGTTAAGGTGTCCATTGTCCGGGGATCAGTGATTTATGCAATAAACGTCGTGGTACACCTATACTCCTTATACTAAATATTGTGCAATAAACTTGAAGAAAATAATAGGTTGTGTTGGTTTCAAGAAGAGATGGAATCAATAGTTAATATAAATAAGTATTTACATAGTTCAAAAGATGCATGGAAGAGAATTAAATTTAATTATGAAGCAAATCCAAGATTGGTATTAACTGTTAAAGCAGTTAGTGAATGGCAAGAGAACTTAGCACAGCGCTATAATATGAATCGTAATAAAGTAATTAATAATGCTGTAATAGCTGGTTTTATTGAAAAAAATGTAGAGCATGTTGATGACATTTTAGATAATCTCAAGAGTAATGCAAAAATATAAAAGAGGCAGATTTACTAGAGTTCGTGAATATTTTTAATGAAAATGAAAAGAATTGGATGCAGCAAAACAATATCTTACCGAATAATTATGACAAATCTGTATTCGATATACTCTCAATTATTTTAGAGAGTAAATGTAAAGAAAGTAACATATCAAGGAAATTAGTTTCTTCAAAAGATGAGTTAACCGGTTCAATATCTGGGCAGATAGCTAAACTATTCAAGGGGTGGAGATACGATTTTTTTGGCAGGTCAGTTGAATCATTTTTGAACACAAGCTCAAAATTTGAGATTTCAGCAGTGAAATCCGCAAATAATACAACTAAAATTCGGAGTAATTTGGTGGAGAATAACTGTTAATAAATAAATAAATGTGAATAAATAATTAACTAAAGTAACTTAGATTTATCGACAATCGTCATTCTGCTGCTTGTTAGAGGGATCTAGAGATACCGCGGCAGTATGAAGATAACCTCGTCATCCCGCTGCTTGTTAGCGGCCAAGAGATACTGCGGCGGTATGATGTAGAGCTACGTGTTGAGGTTTAATGAATCCACTATTTTTTTTATTTGAGACAAAACATACTCTTTGCTTACACTGTTACCGATAATAAAGTCACTCATCTTCCTTTTCTCCTCAATAGATAACTGAGCATGGAAGATTAAATTTAGCTTTTCTTTATCTATTTTGCGTTCGTTAAGTCTTTGAGCTTGCACAACGCTATCTGCATAGATAAAAATAATAAGGTCACAGTATGAATGAAATTTTGTTTCTAATAGAAGTGGCACATCTAAAACTAAAAGCTTTCTATCGATCTTTTTTTCACGTAGCACAGCAGAGTGAACCAAAGATTGAAATTTTTTCCAATTTTCATCGTAGGCTAAGAAATATTTAGACAGTACTGTTCTACCTATTTCACCATTTACTATCACTCCAGGAAAAAATTTTTCTGCATAACTTATTATGCTTTTATCCACTTTATAAAGTTAGTGTACAACAGAATCAGCATCAAACACAGCAGCACCAAACTCTTGAAAGCAATTAGCTACAAAGCTCTTTCCTACCCCAATTCCCCCCTGTTAGACCTATAATCATATAGCAAAACACATTAGACTTCTTTCGAAACTATATTACAGTAGCTGATGTGTCTACTCAAAACCCAAATTTGGCTATGCAGAGGCTCTGATGATATAAGAAAAAATAAACAGCTATTATTTTTTTAGTAATTAAGTAAAATAGAGTGAAAGATTGCGAGGAAGTTTTGAAAAATAAGATAAAAAAGATAGTAATTTCAGGAAAGGAAGTGTGGCCAATCATTGAGGACGGCAACGGCATCGCAATTAGTGATGGAAGGTCAAGTGGAGCATTTGCTGCAGCAGATACTGTGGGTACGTTTTCTGGTGCAAATGCTAAGCTTATTGATGATAATGGTGAGTTAGTGCCGCTGATTTACAAAGGCAAAACAAGAAATGAAAAACACAGTGAATTGATTGAGTATAGTATTAAAGCTGGAATCAATCAGGCAAAAATAGGTAATGAAATATCAAAAGGTCATGGAAGAATACATATGAATGTGCTTTCGGAGATGGGAGCAGCAGAACGCGTGCTACATGGCATATTAGAAAAAGCAAAAGGCTTAGTTCATGGTATTACCTGCGGTGCTGGTATGCCTTATAGGCTTGGAGAAATTGCAGCTAAATATCAGGTTTATTATTACCCTATTGTCTCATCGGTGCGTGCTTTTTAAGCATTATGGAAGCGTGCTTACCAAAGAATATCTTCCTGTTTGCTTGGTGGAGTAGTGTATGAAGATCCATGGCTTGCTGGAGGACACAATGGACTCAGTAACAGTGAAGACCCAGAGCTACCACAGGCTCCATTTGAAAGAGTTGCAGAGCTTAGATCTTTCATGAACGAGATCGGTCTTTCAGAAACACCAATTGTTATGGCAGGACGAGTGTGGCATTTGAAAGATTGGGAACATTGTTTTGACAATCTGCAAATTGGACCAATAGCTTTTCAGTTTGGCACTCGTCCACTTTTGACGAAAGAAAGCCCAATTTCTGCAGAGTGGAAAAAAAAGCTACTCACTTTAGAAGAAGGTGATGTATTTTTTAATAAATTCAGTCCAACAGGGTTTTACTCATCTGCAGTAAAAAATAACTTCATACGTGAGTTGCAGAAACGGAATTCACGTAAAATGAAGTTTTCAGAAAATGCCAGCGAAGAATTTAGTAGTGAATTTGCAATGGGTGGCAGAGGTAGGAAGATCTACCTTACTACAAAAGACAAAGAGCTGGCAAATACATGGACTAAAGCAGGGTATACAGAAGCAATGAAAACTCCAGATACAACTGTTATTTTTGTGACGCCAGGCAAATTTGCAGAGATAAGACAAGATGAAATCAATTGTATGGGATGTTTAAGTCATTGTTTGTTTAGCAATTGGAAGGATCACGGCGACCATTCAACAGGACGAAAGCCAGATCCACGGAGTTTTTGTAAAAAAAAAATACTGCAAAACATTATACATAAAAGAAATATTGAAAGTGAACTCATGTTTTCCGGGCACAATGTGTACAAATTTAAGCAAGATCCGTTTTATGAGAATGGCTACGTACCGACAGTAAAAGAGCTGATGGAAAAGATATTAACTGGGTATTAAGTTATGGTTGATTTGACAAGAAGAAGTTACTTTATTATAATAAGTATTTATTAATTTAGTCTTAACTTAAGAGGGTATTTATGGTAGCAAGTGATAGTGTTTTAAAAAGGTATGCGTTAGCCTATATAAAGAAATCAGGTGGTAACAGTGATGTTAAAGAGTTTTTGCGGTATTTTAACAATACAAGGAATTTAACTTGGGACGAGGATACATTTGCAGAGGCGTATAAAGAGCATACACGTCTAAACTCAACTGATAGAAGCAATACAGAAAACAGAAATAATCATTATAACGCAGGTAATAACAGGCAACCTACAGGCCCTCAGGTTACACACGTACATGTACACAATGATAGAGGTTTAGATTTTTGGGATTGATTACTACTTCGCAGCCTGTTTGGTGGTCACACTACAGTTATAAATAACCCTGGTTTCAGTAGTGGTAGCCATCAAAGCAGAGAAGATAAGAAAAAAGACTCGGAAGACAGTAGAAAGCTATTAGCTTTAGGTACAGTACAGGTAGCTGCAGTTGTGCGTGTTGTTTTCCATGTTGGTATGTGTTTTTGGTATAACAGCAGCAGAAAAACGGCTAGAAAAGAAGAAAAAATAGATTATCTTGACAATAAGCTTAAGATGCTTAGGAATGTAGAATTTGCGTTTGGTGCTGTTTCTTTAGCGGCTTTGCTAGCTTGTGCTGTTTATCCAGTGTTACCAGTGTGGGGTTCAGTTAGCCTTGGCGTTAATTCTCTCGTATGTTTCGCTGGTGGTTTAGCTTTTCATATGAAGCATGAGGAAGAATCAGATAATATTGAGAAGGCTAAAGGAGCGGTAAGAAGCTATCTTCAGGATACTTCTCCAAGTGCTCCTCTTTATAATTATGTGGGGGGGGTTTGGGAATTGAAGGGGTGCTAAACCCATAACTGTAAGAACATTTTGATTTGGGCCCATCAAGAGGGTGTCATTCCAGTGCCCATACAATGGGATCCAGCTAAGTTAGTGAGTGTAAAAGTAGCCAACCTTACGTTAAAACACAATGTTCTTGATGAGATTGCATAAAAACTGGATTTCTTACATCATAGAGGCATTGCCATTATAGAGTAAAATGAGATCCCAGTGTCTGGGTACTGGGATGACAGCTAGCCTGACAACCTTCATACCGCTACTTGTTAGCGGGATCTAGAGATACCGCAGCGGTATGACGAGTGAGAACAGTCAATGGCGTCAACTTAAGAACTTACATTAGCAAACTCTCCTAAAGACATGATGGCGTTTAGGCTTATCTACTTTATCGCGGCTATACAATCTTCCCGGTCGGATCTTAACTTTAGCGCGTATACTTGCTCTATCAAAAAGGGCTTGAAAATCTTTTGGCCCAACAAGCACTTGTTGATAAAGTTTCTGTCTCATCACACCAAATAAAACTGAAAAATTTAAACGATACTCAGCAATTTGATCTGGATTCCAAGGCCCTTGTGCATCACACATATGAAGCGATAATATATTGCACATGAACAAGTTTGTCCAAAATTCTTGTAATACAGCCTCTCCAGAAAAATTCTCTAACTCTGCTCCTACTTTGAGTCGTTTATAGCACTCCTCTATGTGCCAGCTTAATACATAAACCTTACTGATATCTTCCAAAGTCTCGATCGAAAAGTGAAGTCCTCTGTTTCTCCGTTGGCTAACGTCAGCTCTTACTTTCTGTCCTTTCATTTTATTTTTTAGCTTTTCATTTTCCAATATAAAATCAAAATCTAATTCGCCAGCGTTCCCATAGCTTGCTATAATTTCTTTTTTGCAAGCGAAAAATAAAAGCTACTTCCAAATCATCATGCTGCTGAATGAATTTTACTGAAGACGATTATAAATAAATAATAATTTCTCTTCATTTAATAAACGCATTTGAGTGATAACTTCGGTTAGTTGCTCTTCAGCCAACGTTTGTTTACCTATATTGCAAGCCGCAAGACGAGCAATACAAATCAGCGAAGTACACAAATCAACAAACAAATTGCCAATGGTGGCATTGTGCCTGTTGTTCCATTTGGTTTAAAGCGGCCAAACTTGGATACAATTTCCTCAGAGCTGAATACCAGAATCATCTGCTGCAATAAGTCTATAGCCTCTCGAAGTTCCATACTAAGGTTTATCCTGATAGGCTGTTTGGATGCTTAAATTCTTGAAAGCCTGTATGGCAAATCTTATACCTTGCTTTAGAAAAAGCTTGCTTTGAGTGTAAATGTCAACGGTTCCATAAGTTCACATTCTATTTCCAAACCTTTTTTTAACTAATTTTAAAATCATAGAAAATACTGTCGAAAAAGGAAGTTTTCTTGTTCGTGTAAAACTCAACACAATGGATTTTCTGAAAAGTTTTCGAGTATATTTCATTCTTAATTTGTAAGATAAGATCTTTTCCTTTTTACATGCCTTACCTAAAAATGACACGTTTTAAACTTTTTTGTTGCAATAAAATAGAAACAAAAGTGCTTTCTCTAGTAGTATTTTACTCCTTAACATCTCTTAAGTTGACGCCATTGCCTGAACGGATACAATTATTCAACCATATTTTTGAAGATAGCTAGTTTCCGTATTTATTTTAAATTGAAGAAAGCTCAAATGAAAGATCGTGTTTTGCTAAAATCACAGAATGCAGTGTGGTTACATTACTCTAACTACACTCAACAATTTTACTTTCAACAATTTTATTAGCAATAATACGACTTTCACAATCAATATTTATTATATCAGATAGTGAATTAATATCATTGTAACTATCAAAACTTTCCATTGTTGATTCCACTACCTCTACTATTTTTAAAAAGCCAATTCGTGACTTCAAAAATTAATTAATAGCTATTTCATTTGCAGCATTGAGCACAGTACTGTTTGTTTGTGTAGCAGAAGAGTTTAACACTGTCATGCTAAGCCTTAGCGCAGGAAAAAGCTTATGTTCTGGTTCTTGAAAGGTCAATTTTCCTTGCTTTGTTAAATCTAATTTACGATTTAAAGCTGATCTTTCCGGCCAAGACAAAGCATATGAAATAGGAATTGCCATGTCAGTTTCTGCAAGCACAGAAAAGTTGAACCCATCCTTATAAGTTACGATTCCATGTACTATTGACTCAGGATGCACTATTGCTTCAATTTTATCCGGGCTGATGTTAAACAAGTTATGTGCTTCTATAATCTCTAGTGACTTATTCATCATTGTTGCACTATCAACTGAGATTTTCCTTCCCATATTCCAAGTGGGGTGACTAAGCGCCTGATCTACCGCGACATTTCTTAATTGCTCATAACTATAGTTTCAGAATGGTCCACCAGAAACAGTAAGTATGATCTTTTCTACGTATTTGTCGTCATTTTGCAAAACTTGAAAAATTGCGTTGTGTTCAGAGTCGACAGGGATTATTTGTACGTTTTTTTCTTTAGCTTTTTTGAGTAATAACTTTCCACCACAAACAATGCTTTCTTTGTTTGCTAGTGCAATGACTTTAGTACCGCTTTCTATGACGTGCATAACTGGTTCAAGTCCTGCAATGCCAATTATTGCAACAACTGGGAGATCGACAGGTATGGTAGCAATATTTGTAGCGCCAATTGCTATTTTTACATCTATACCAAGTAGGTTTTCTCTTAAATCTTTGTAAAACCTTTCATCTGAGATAGCAACGTATTTTGCATTCAGCAGTTTTGCTTGGTATGACAGTAGAGCAAAGTCTGAGTGGGCACTTAGTGCTTCCACTTGGTATTCTTCTTTTCTCCTTGAGAGCAAATCTACAGTCTTTTTTTCAACACTTCCTGTTGATCCTAAAACTGAAACCTTTTTCACTAAGACAAACCCATAACAATAGCAACTTTTCTTATTAGGCCTTCTCGCATACTATTCAGCAGTTTTTAAGCGTTTAACCAAGTTCATGCCCTTGATCATCACCAACAGATGGTGAAGGACCAGGTGAAAAAGATTGACCATGGTGGTCACCTGCATCATGCATGTCTTGCAAACCATCATCATTATGAGCCATTTCATTATTGGCATGAGGGTAATCATCTGAATTAGGTACATCATCCCCATGAGCCACGTCCATTCCTTCCGATGGCATATCTCCCCGCCTCCACCAGAAAAATGTTCTGCAATGCTTTCAAGAAATTTTATGCCAAACATATTACCTGATTTTCCAAACAGTGTTACTAGACTACTACCACTCACCAAACCTTCAAACACATTACTATAAGCAGCAATTGCCCCCTCATGAAAGTTGAACAACAATTTCATTCCATCGACAACTGTTGAAACAGAGTCACTATGACCAAGACCAAAACCACTTTTCTCACCAACAGCCTCTTGGTGGTGCTGCTGCGCCTGCCATTCTGCAATATTTGGACCTTGAGCTTCACTCATAAATTTTTACTCTCAACCTTAAGCTACTATTTTATCACAAATACTACAAAATATCAATAGAGCTTTTGAATATAGCTAATACAAGTAATTTTTGCCATCCTATATAGAATCCAGTTTGAAAAAATCCGAATTCCAATGTCTGCTACCTTATATAACGAATGAATTTCTTTATATATTCGTTATTAGTATTTTGTATTTCCTGAACAGTTCCATGAGAAATGATCTCCTCTTCATGTAATACTGCTATTTTATCAGCTATTTTAAATGCGCTATGAATATCATGTGTAATCGTGATAATTGTAGTGTTAAGATCTTTAGATAATTTTATTATTATCTCGTTTACTATATCTGTCGTATCATAAATGGGTCCAATGCTGAAGTTGGCTCATCTAATACGATAATTTCTGGATTATGTGCAATCGCCCTTGCAAGTGCTACTCTTTTTTTCATTCCACCTGATAGCTCTATTGGAAACATATCTGCTATGCTTTCCTCCATTCTAACATCATTTAACTTCTCGATTGCTAGCTGTTTTGCCTCTTTTTTGCTGATATTAAAGCGCTTTTTATAATTAAAAGATATATTTTCCCACACTGTAACGTAGTCAAATAAAGCGGAATTTTGAAATAAAACCCCAAATTTATTTTTGCTTTTACTATTTATTTTAACAGACCCTGAGTCTGGAGCAAGCAAGGCGATAATTGTTTTTGTCAGTACAGATTTGCCGCTTCCTGAGCCGCCAAGTATGACTAATGATTCCCCTTTTAATAAATCGAAACTTAGATCATTTAGTATCTGTCCTATCATCAAAAGATAAGCTTAAGTTCAATATTAATATTATGGGGTTACGCATGTATCAAAGTAATCATGTAGTTTGCTAAAATGATCAGTATGGACGATAAAACAACAGTTGATGTGTAGCAACACCTACTCCTCGTGCACCTTCTTTGCAATGATAACCGTAATAGCAACTTGAGACAGAAATTATGGCGCCAAATGCAGTTGCTTTAGCTAGCCCAGTTATAAGATCGTACGTATTAAAGAACTGAGCTGTTTATTTAATATATATATATATATTTAAATTGTGGTTAAATTTGAAGACTGCAGTGATACATCCTCCAAATATTCCTATTAGATCTGTACATAATGTAAGTATGTGAAATACTATGATTGACGCTAAAATCCTTGGTGCAATTAAGTACTTGGAAGGGTTGATGTTGAAAGTTGTAAGGGCATCTATTTGCTCGGTGATGCGCATTGTACCAATTTCTGCTGCAATTGATGATCCGACCTTCCCTACCATTATTAAGCTGATCAAAACTGGTCCTAACTCTTTAATGATAGTGATCGTAACAAGTTTAGGTATTATCTGCTCTTGGTTAATTAATGAGTCACTCAAGCTGATTTGTAAAACTATCGCCGCTCCTATAAAAATTCCAGTGAGCCCAACAATTGGCAGAGAGAAAAAGCCTATCTCTATAATTTGTTTTGCTACGTTGCTAAAATAATATGGTGGCACAAAGCAGTGGTATAGAGATTGAATAAAAAATATTAATGCACTACCAAGCCTTAACAAAAAATTGATAAAGTACCTACCAATTATTCTAACACTATTTATACCAAAAAAGCTCACTTTGTATTCATTTTAGCTAGATGTTAATCTTACTGATTTTATTAAAATTTTTATTAACTTCACCGCAAAGTATAGCTGAGATATGCTTTAAGTTCAACATACTTGATGTTTTAATTTAAAGCTCATATAGCTAACCTAAGAAAGGTTTCCCTACGTCATACTGACGCGGCGCTAACTAGTAGAGGAATGAATGTTTTTCAGATTGTAGGTAAACCTAAGCCACTTTAGCTATAGGACTCAATTACATAAGCAAACCTTACTTATTTTATTATCCCTGTTTACTTCTTGTAAAAAACATGTTATTAATGAATTGAATTTTGTAGTAGAATGGAGGAAGTTTAGGCAGTTCCAAAAAGAAAAAAATCGAAGTCAAGGCGTAATATGCATCGTTCTCATCATGCTATTGAGCCTAAGAATGTTGTGGTATGTTCAACAACTGGAGAATTCATGTTGCCTCATAATGTAGCGGTAGATAACAGTTACAAAGGAAAACGAGTTTTCATTAAGCAACAGGTGGAATGACTATTATTGTATGTTACCTACGGTCAATAATCGCATAGTTATTGCACTTGACGCCTTTGGGGATGATTTTGCTCCTCTTTCCGTAATTCAGGGTGCTGGTTTTTTTTTGGATAACCTTGTTGATTCAGGCATTAAAGTTCTTTTTCATATTTATGGAGATAAGGAAAAAGTATCTCCTTTGCTTTTGAAATATAAAAAAGTAAGTAACAATTCTGAGTTTACTCATTGTTCTGACAATGTTCTTGCAAATGATAAGCCATCTTTTGCACTGAGACATCGTAAAGACTCAAGTATGAAAGCTGCAATTGTTGCAGTGAGAGAAGGTAAAGCTTTAGGAGTGGTATCTTCAGGCAACACCGGGGCATTGATGGTAATTTCCAGATTTATTTTAGGAACATTACCAAATATTTATCGTCCTGCTATTGTCTCTATCTGTCCAACTAAGACAAAAAGCTTCGCTTTGCTTGACCTTGGTGCAAATATCGATTGTAATGCCGATTCGTTATTCCAATTTGCATTAATGGGAAGTATATTTGCAAAAGTAGCGCTAAAAATTGACAATCCTGAGGTTGCTTTGCTAAATATCGGTACAGAAGAAGTTAAAGGTAATGACTCAGTGCGCGACGCTTTTGAGTTGCTTAAAAACGCTCCAGGCATTAATTACAAAGGGTATATAGAGGCAAGTGAATTTTTAGAGGGTAATATAGATTTGATTGTTGCTGATGGTTTTGTTGGCAATGTAATGCACAAAACAGCTGAGGCAACCGCTAGTACTTTTATCAATCTAATAAAGCAGGAAGTATTCAACTCGTGGATAGCGAGAATGCTTATTGGTATATTGTTAAAATCTAAACTAAATAAAGCATTAACGCGTTTTAATCCCAAAATTAGAAGTGGAGATATGTTTTTAGGGCTGAATGGTATCATCATTAAAAGTCATGGAAATTCTGATGTTATTTCTTTTGCCTATGCTATAAAATTTGCAGTAAATGCAATTAGTGAAAATTTAAATCAAAAGATAATTAACAGGGTAAGTCATATTGAATAAAAATTTCATATTAAGCACTGAATCTTATCTACCAAGAAAAACGTTGAGTAACAATGAAATTGCATCGATAGTTGAAACAAGCGATAAATGGATAAGGCAGAGAACAGGAATAGTTCAAAGGCATATAGCAGATGAAGGAGAATTAACTTCAGATCTAGCTGTTGCTGCTGATTCGCTCTTAAAATCTAGCAATAGAATTAAATATGCGCTCCTTATTGGTGCTGAAATAATGTCTAGGATTGTTGACTGGGAAGATAGGTCAACTTGTGTACTCTTTGGTGATGGTGCTGTTGCAGTGATAATAAAATCGGAAATGGTTAGCAGCGTCATCACATCAACAAACTTACACTCTGATGGCAATGTGGACATATTATGTACGAACGTAGGGGTATCCTCTACTGATGATTCTGGAAAAATGTGCATGAATGGAAGAGAAATGTTTAAACATGCAGTGGATAAGTTAACAGCCTCAGTAGAGGAAACACTAAGATTCAATAATTTGAAAATCACTGATATTGACTGGTTAATTCCCCATCAAGCAAACATTCGTATTATTGAAGCAGTAGTAAAGAAATTAGATTTTCCTATAGAGAAAGTGATTAATACCGTTGATAAGCATGCAAACACCTCAGCAGCGTCAATTCCACTGGCTTTAGACTATGCAATACAAGAATCAAAAATAAAATCAGGAAATCTGGTACTGCTGATTGCAATAGGTGCAGGTCTCACATGGGGTTCCGTGTTATTGCGCTATTAGACTTCTTGCATTACCTCATGTCTCACCCAACTCGTAGAACATCACACCCATAGGGCACATCATAACTATATGAACATTGTGATTTGAGTCCACCAGATCTAAGTAGCTTGACTACTTGATTGGATGCTGAGGTTGGTGAGTATAAAAGTATAGCTAACGCTGTCATACCGCCCACAACGTTCGTACAGTTGTAGTTGAAACCAGCGCGTGACGCTGGGATGAAAAAAAGGAGCACTGGAATGACGCCTCTCTTGGGCTCTTTTAGCTATAAATATTAAGAAATTTACCAAATAAAAAAAAGGTAAAGAAGTCCTGTGTTTACTACAGCGATAGCTTCTTGGCTTGAATAAGGATACACTGCACTTGATTCTAAATTATCAATTTTATCTTTGTTTATTTTTTCACCGTTAGAGTGAAGTAAGCTCATTACCTCTAAATATTGTGCTAACTCACGCAAAACATTAGGAGCATCTTTATCATCTGCCAAATCATTATAAATAGATGCTGTGTTGCTTTGAATCTGAGATATGATTGAATGCGTGTTCAAAATTTGCTAAATACCCCCAATTTGAATCTATTTCTTCTAGCAGCGGCTTATTACCTTTTTTAAAGAATAATACTTCGTAAAACTTATCACCCGCAGTTATAGATTGTTTTGTGTTATCAATGTTGCGCAATAAGTACAATGTGATGCCAACTAACATTGGTGCGAGTGCAAGCAGAAAGATGTATTTTTTCATGGTAATATTCCAACTAGTTATATATTTATACATTAATGCTTTTGATTTGCAAAAACATATTGACATAGTGATTATATCACATAATAATATTCTCAAAGTTGTTTGAATAGTTGGAGATTAAAATATTTCTAAAGTAGAAATAAAGACAGCAGTATCAAGCTAAATTATTTTTATCGGATTTATCCGATGTACCCTCAACCTTTTATAGGTTGAAGTCTAAATTTGAGAGTTTGATCCTGGCTCAGAATGAACGCTGGCGGCAGGCCTAACACATGCAAGTCGAACGGGGTTATATTATAGCTTGCTATGGTATAACTTAGTGGCAGACGGGTGAGTAATATGTAGGAATCTACCTAGTAGTACGGAATAATTGTTGGAAACGGCAACTAATACCGTATACGCCCTAAGGGGGAAAAATTTATTGCTATTAGATGAGCCTATATTAGATTAGCTAGTTGGTAGGGTAACAGCCTACCAAGGCAATGATCTATAGCTGATCTGAGAGGATGATCAGCCACACTGGAACTGAGATACGGTCCAGACTCCTACGGGAGGCAGCAGTGGGGAATATTGGACAATGCGCGAAAGCCTGATCCAGCCATGTCGCATGAGTGAAGAAGGCCTTTGGGTTGTAAAGCTCTTTTAGTGAGCAAGATAATGACGGTACTCACAGAAGAAGTCCTGGCTAACTCCGTGCCAGCAGCCGCGGTAATACGGAGAGGGCTAGCTAGCGTTATTCGGAATTATTGGGCGTAAAGGGCGCGTAGGCTGGTTAGTAAGTTAAAAGTGAAATCCCGAGGCTTAACCTTTGAACTGCTTTTAAAACTGCTAATCTAGAGATTGAAAGAGGATAAAGGAATTCCTAGTGTAGAGGTGAAATTCGTAAATATTAGGAGGAACACCAGTGGCGAAGGCGTCTATCTGGTTCAAATCTGACGCTGAGGCGCGAAGGCGTGGGGAGCAAACAGGATTAGATACCCTGGTAGTCCACGCTGTAAACGATGAATGTTAAATATGGGAAGTTTACTTTCTGTATTACAGCTAACGCGTTAAACATTCCGCCTGGGGACTACGGTCGCAAGATTAAAACTCAAAGGAATTGACGGGGACCCGCACAAGCGGTGGAGCATGTGGTTTAATTCGATGCAACGCGAAAAACCTTACCACTCCTTGACATGGAAATTATACCTATTCGAAGGGATAGGGTCGGTTCGGCCGGATTTCACACAGGTGTTGCACGGCTGTCGTCAGCACGTGTCGTGAGATGTTGGGTTAAGTCCCGCAACGAGCGCAACCCTCATCCTTAGTTACCATCAGGTAATGCTGGGGACTTTAAGGAAACTGCCAGTGATAAATTGGGGGAAGGTGGGGATGATGTCAAGTCATCATGGCCCTTATGGAGTGGGCTACACACGTGCTACAATGGTGGCTACAATGGGCTGCAAAGTCGCGAGGCTAAGCTAATCCCTTAAAAGCCATCTCAGTTCGGATTGTACTCTGCAACTCGAGTGCATGAAGTTGGAATCGCTAGTAATCGTGGATCAGCATGCCACGGTGAATACGTTCTCGGGTCTTGTACACACTGCCCGTCACGCCATGGGAATTGTTTTCATTCGAAGCTAACGACCTAACCGCAAGGAGGGTGTTATTTAAAGTGGGATCGGTGACTAGGGTGAAGTCGTAACAAGGTAGCAGTAGGGGAATCTGCAGCTGGATTACCTCCTTGGGCTTTGCGCATAACTTACCATTTTTAATGGTGGTCTTGTTATGTGCTGTACTGCTGTCTTTACTTCTACTTTATTTTAATTTCACAATAACGGAATTTTATGAGTGATAGGGCTCTTTCTCCACATTTACAAATATATAAAGTACAAGTTACTAGTTTTTTCTCTATTATGCACAGATTGACTGGTATCTTGCTATTCCTTTTATTAATAATACTTTTTTGGTATTTCATATTACATGTTTACTTTCCTGAGTTACTTATAGTAAGGTGCTTAAATGCATTATTATTCACTCTTGTTGCTAAATTAGCTTACGTCCTGTGTTTTATAAGTTTTGTATATAATTTTTTAATGGTATTCGTCATTTATTGTGGGATGTTGGGCTTAATTTAGAAATTAATGGCGTTTCAAGGAGTGCTATACTGCTAACAGTAACGCTACTTCTTTCTACTATTGCTTTTTTATTTATGTTTATATGAGTCAATCTGGAAATTCAGTATATCATTGGTGGGTCCAGCGTGTTTCTGCTGTAATTTTACTGCTCCTGTTTCCTTGGTTTATCTATTCATTTTCTTGCGCATTTTATACTGATAGCTCTTTGTCTTTTAGTGAAAAATGTATTAATCACCCTCTAGAGCTGTTATTTTTTGTTGTATTGTTGTTTTGCATTTTTGGGCACGCAGTTCTTGGAATTCAGGTAGTGTGTGAAGATTATATACACAGCGTATCTCTAAGGATTTTCACAATTACATGCTTAAAGTACTTATCAAGCGTTACTTATATAACCTTCGCTTTTACAATCTTTGTCTTCTACAGGCATATTTTCTTGTAAAATTGCCAATTCTGTGTTAGTATATTACCAGTGTACTAGTTTTATCATTGAACTATAGCGATTTTGGTTTAGCAGTATGTTAGAGACATTGAAAAAGTGGGGAATAGACCTTACGCTAAAGGTGAAGGATCTATTTAGTTCATCTGAGTCTCAAGTTTATGTCAAAGGACTTAGAAAGGTAATGATATATGAGGATAGTCGAAAGTGTCAATATCCAAAAAATTATGATCAGATTGTAGATTCTGGGAGAGTTGTAAAAAAAATGACAAGCTTGTAAAAGATAAAGACGTAAATCCAGAGTACCAGCTTATATATAATAAATACAAATTTGATCTAGCCTTGGTTAAGGAAATTGATAAAAAATCTTACTTCACAATTTGCTTTTTAGTTAGTAAAGGTAGGCGTGAGGTTAATGATTATAGTAAATTTTATAAGCCATTTAAGTTTTCAAAAAGAGATCTTGAAAAACACTTGCCGGTCTTTGAGGTTGATACTAAGTTACTTAGGTTAACTAATTCTTCTTTTCTTGCCAAAAAAGGTTGCTTCATCAATGATGACAAGGGAGAAGTTGATGAGAAAGATATAGATGAAAAAGGAAGAAATGGAAAATTACTATACGCTAGTGATTACAGGAAGCTAAGCACCCATTTCTCAGAAATTAGAGATCAGGATGGTAATCTAGAGCTAGATAAAAGTCTTATATCTGTTCCTATCGTTTTTGCTACAAGCTTGGCTAAAGTTTGTACTAAATTGTTGACCTCTCTTCCTATAAAGTTAGGGGAGTATTTAATAAGCGAGCAAAACACAATTGCAAAGTCTTTTGGCTATTTTTTGTTCATCCCTACAATGGCAGTAAAAAATTTAGTGAATATGGGAGCTACCATACTTAAGGCTCCAATTTTATTATTTGCAGCAGATGATAAGAAGTATGGTGATGCTTACTTCACTATGTGGAAACACCAATTGAAAGAATGTTGGGAAGAAGCAAAAAGTGACTTTAATGTTATTAAAGGTGGAGAAATGCTAAAGCCAGGGCAAAAGGATCATAAGCCACTTAGTATAGTGGGCACATGTGATGAGCTTAACGCTAGAAGGCCAGGTGTTGAAAAAGACTTAGAGAAGCCGTCAAATAAAAGTAGTGAAAGTATAGATAAATCTAGAGAACCAGATATTGGAAAAAGCTTAAAGAAGGAGAAGTTGCAAAACAAAAGTAATGAGAAAATAGCTGCGTCTAAAAAAGCAGATGTTGAAAAAGTGAGTGATACTCCACATGTTAGTGAAGTACTAAGCAGGCGGAGTTCATTGTCAGACGAAAAATTTCAATTACTTCCTCGCTAACCGGCCACTACTTTAAATTAACATTTACTTTCTTTATTAACTATTCTACAACAAAAACTTGCATGCATTTTACTATTAGTATAAGATGTTAATTATTTAATTAATTTTCTTGACTATATGCACCCTATAATACTATGTGGTGGTAGTGGCAGCAGACTTTGGCCTTTATCGAATCCAAAGCAATTTCAAAAAATATTTAGCCATAACACTATTTTTCTGAACACTTTATTGAGGCTTAAAAGTGGTTATATGCCACCCGTAATTGCCACAAATATACAGTACGAGTCGTTAGTGAAGAAGGAGTTGCATGTGCTGCGAGAATATAAAGTGATTTTCGAACCAGTGAAAATTGGAACAGCAGCAGAGATATTCATTGCTGCGCTTCTCTGCAATGAAAACGAGATAATGTTAATTTTGCCTTCAGACCATTTTATAGGTGATTTGAATAATTTTTATGCTTATGCTCATAAAGCATCTCAGCTAGCTTCTGAAACTGACTCTACAGTTGCGTTTGGAGTTGAGCCTCATGAATTCAATTCTGAATACGGCTATATAAATGTAGTTTATTATCATAAGGAAAAGTATCATATATTAAAGGATTTCATAGAGAAACCTGAGCATGTATTAAGCAATGATTATTATTGGAATTCTGGAATATTTGTGTTCAAAGCAAAACGCCATATATATGAGATCAAAAAATCTGCCCCGACTCTTTATAATTTATGTTTTGCAAGTGTGAAACATTTCACACCGCAAGAGAGATTTCTGTATTTAAAACAACGAGATTTTGCAGGAATTGAATGCGTCTCTATTGATTGCTTGGTAATGGAAAAAGCAAAAAACGTTGCAATGATAGAAGCTAATTTCGATTGGCCGGACGTTGGAACTTGGAATTCAGTTTTAGAATTGAGTGAGAAGTTTACGTCGTCATTCCGACATGTAACAAAAAAAAGAGAGCCGGTTTCAACGACAGAAAGTAATAAAAATTTATTGGTTGGATCTTAGCAGCCAAACAAAAGACTAATATCGTTTGTTAATAAGGTTAAGAAAGCAAAAGCGATAAGAAGAGAAATCAAGCTATGGGTATTTTATAGTATAATTTTAATGAGCGAAAATTTTCTTATAAAATATTTTTTTATAAATCCATTAAGCTGCACTTCTAAGCAATTCCATCACTATAGAGATGAATACCATATAGTGCTATCGGGAGTTAGGTATGTTAGTTTAGGCGACAAAGAATATGCTATAGTAAAAGACCATATGATAGAAATCCCAAGGGAAATTTCCCATAGGATTGAAAATAGAAGCACAAGCTCTCCACTTGAAATAGTTGAATTTCAGATAGGAGAACATTTATCTGATAATGATATAGTGAGATTGGATAATGTATATGGAAGATTTTGAAATTCTAATGTTAAAGATACTCTATAAGTCTGCTAAATTTAAAGGAGTAAAAATATCTAGTTTTCAAATAAAGAAAAGTCTACAATTATACGAAGTTTCAAGAATATAATGTTTAGCCTCAAAATATTTTGTAATGTCCATCACCTTTGAAATTACTATGGCTGCTTGCTATTTGCGAGCAAAAAATGCCAGATTTTGCTCTATAACGACTTTGTTCTCTATTATCGGCATTGGCCTTGGAGTTGCAACACTAACAGTGGTGATGTCTGTAATGAATGGATTCAGAGCAAAGTTGCTTGACTCAATACTTGGCATTGATTGCCATATTAATGTTTATTTTGATAGGAACATAAATTCAGATTACTGCACAGTTTCAAAATCTATTGAGAAAATTCCTGGTATATTAAAAGCTACTCCTATGACCAATGATCACGTTATTATTGTAGCAAATGGTAAAATTGCAGGTAGCGTAGTGCGAGGCGTATCAACTAAAGATTTGCTTGATAGTACTACCATTACAAATAATGTAATTATAGGTGATGTAAAAAAATTTGATGAAGGGATAATAATAGGAGCACGATTGGCAGAAGCTTTGAACGTTGACTATGGCGACAAAATTACGTTTATATCATCTGAAGAATTTGGTGCATTACTTGGCGAAATGCCGCGAATGAAAAAATATAAAGTTATAGCAATATTTGATATGGGTATGTTTGAGTATGATAATACCTTGATATATATGCCCCTAAAATCAGCACAAGCCTTTTTTAATTATGAAAATAGGATAAAAAATATAGAAGTACTTGTTTACGACGTTACTAGAGCTGGTAAGCTTGCAGATGCTATAGAAAAAGAAATAGGAATGAAAGCTGAAAGTTGGCAATCACAGCAAAGCCATTATTTTAGTGCTTTAAAAACTGAAAGAAATGTGATGTTTTTAATTCTTACTTTGATTATAGTTGTAGCAGCGTTTAATATTATCTCAAATTTAATGATGATAGTGCAAGAAAAGAAATCCGCGATTGCAATTATGCGTACATTTGGTGCAACAAGTGTAAGTATTATGCGTATATTTTGCGCTTGTGGTCTATTAATCGGTTTTACGGGAACTTGTCTTGGCTGTATTATAGGTGTCGTTTTTTTCTCTTAATATCGAAAGTATTAGAGTGTTTTTAGAAAACATTACTAACGTCAAGCTGTTTGATCCTATGATACACTTCTTTTCAAGTTTACCGGTGATATTAGTACCTCAAGATGTAGTAAGTATTTCTGCACTTGCTTTACTCTTATCATTTTAGCAACAATTGCTCCTGCATTGCAGGCAGCTGCACAAGATCCTGCAGAGATACTACGTTATGAATGATACTCAGCAAAAGCACACAGGTTGGTTCTTAATTGTATTGTTATTTACCGGTTACATCACAATAAATAACATAATCGTTTCAAAAATAAGTCAGCAAGAAAGCGAAGACAATATAAATGTTTTAATGGAAAAAATAGATGAATTCAGAATGTCACTTGAAGTTAATCAATCCAGGGTAGAAAAAAGATATTTGACTTAAAGAGAGGTCTGCACACTCAATGTGAGCAAGGTGATAGTAGCTCAAGGTATAAGAACCTCGCAAGATTGCTGCTACTTGTAGTTAAAATGAAGAATTCGTTATTGCGAGAAACAAAATTTGATAATCATATAAATTCAATAAAGCCTTTGATATCAGAGCTTGATGATCCAGAGATAGAAAATGCAGTAAATGAATTGGAAAGTTTGAAAGAGGAGATACTTTACGTGAGTTGAAGTTATCTTTTGAGAAGACCATTGCTGTTACTAACTACAATAAAAGTACATTGTCTAAAAAAATCATTTCAAACTGGATTAGAATACAAGATAAAAATGACCCATTAAGGGCAAAATTTGCAGAAATTGAGGAGTCAATAAACGATAATGATTGGCAAAATATAACTGTTACAGTAAGCAATTTAACGCATTCAGAATTCAAGCCATGGCTAAATAAATTGAATGGTTTTATTGTAGCTTCTAAGAATATTTCAACAATATATCATCACTTATTACAATATATCTCATGATTTATTTCATAATTTTAGCTCTTTCGTTTTTATTTGGCATATGGGTCAAGGTAAGTGGTGAAGTAATAAAATTGGAATTAGGTAATTACACTATAAGTATTGATCTATATTTCATTATTTTTACTTGCGTAGTTTTATTATTTTTATTAATTATACTTGTACGCTTTTTTTCCTTTATTTTATCAACATTTGCCAACATAAGAAATAGAAGAAGGGATAGGGAAGAATTGCTTCTCTTTGAAGCTTTCTTTAGCATAGACTTAAATAATATAGAGAATGCCGAAAAGGTAGTTAAAAGTCTAAATGAGAAGAGCGATAGGTTATCTTTAATAAAGCTCTTTAACTCAGGTAAAACGGGAAATTACAGCATTTTCAGTAACGGTTTAGCAAATATTGCAAATAAAAATCGTAAATTAGCTCTACTTCTGGCCAATAAGCTGATTGTTCACCTCAAACTAAAAGTAGTCTTTCAAAAATTTATAGAATATTGCTCTAGTTCAATTAATGATAAAATGCTATCTATTCCCTTTCAAATAGAGCATTGCATATTGAAAGAAGATTGGATTAATGCAATTTTGAAGTTGAGGGAGGCAGTTAAGTTCAATATTTTTCTTCCCTTTGACCATAAAGAAATGTTTGCAGTTTTTTATTGTGCTTTGGCAAAACAATATGAAAGTAAAAGGGATTTTAAAGGGGCTATAAAGTCTTTACTCAGAGCACAAAGTTATTATGCAACTTTTCTGCCCATTAATTATTTAAAGGCAGAATTATATATTAAACTTGGAAAAATCAGAAAAGCTTCCGCAGTGCTAGAGGCAGAATATGCAGTGAATCCTACTCCTCAGTCAGCTAAAATGTACATCAATTTAAATAGTAAAGGTGCTGAAAGACAATACAACTTACGCCCTAATTATTATTTTAGTTACTATTTACTTGCTTTGTCCTCAATGAGTACAGGTAAATATGATCTTTCAAGTCAATATTTAGACACTGCTATGAAAAAGGCTAATTACATGTCAATCTATCTTATTGTAATACAACTTAAGGTTACATTGCAAGAACACGACAAGGTAATTTATTGGCTAAACAAGATGGGCTCAGAAGCTTTGCCTAATCCGGGCTGGAAGTGTAAAAATTGTAACAGAGAACTCAAGCAATGGGATCATAAATGTTCAAATTGCAAGTTTTAATTGCGTTTATTATACATTATAAGGTTCCACAAGGTGTGATGATAATAGTATATGGGAAATTACCATCAAAGACCTCTATTGAGCAATTTTTGGAGTAGATCTCTTAATATAAACCTTATTTCAAAATAATAAACCTGCAAGTTTTTTAGTTAGACTTGGTTCTAATGTCAAAAAAACTTGCTTTTAGACACTAACAATTATATATTTTAATAAATCAGGGTTGTATACACAATGAAGAGCTTAAAGGAATTGTCCTTAAGAATTAAGAATATTAGGTCTGTAAAAAACCACGAAAATAATGCAAATGGTTTCTGAAGCAAAGTTATTACAAAGCCAAAAGAAATTATCAAATTCAAAATTATATATATCTAAGCTGCATAGCGTTATTTCTTCATTAATGCTATCAGTTGATCAGTTGAAAAATTACTGGCAAAAATTCTAAATATCAGTAATGACGTTTCTTACCTAGTATTCATTGTTGCTTCTGATCGTGGCTTGTGCGGCAACTTTAACTCTTCTATTATCAAATTTAGTCAAGAGCGTGTAAATAAGTCAATCGCAAGTGGCAAAAAAGTAGATATTGTATTTCTTGGTAAAAAAGCTTTTGATATAGGTAAAAATAGGTTTGACTCTAAAAGTATCTTAAAAATTGAAAATAGTAAGGGGGTCACGTTAAAGCACGTAGAAGCTTTGGTTAATGGTGTAGATTTAAGTAAATACGATAAAGTTACAGTTTTTTATAGTAAATTCTATAATACCTTCACACAAAAACCAATGTTGGAAACAATAAAACCATGGGGTGAAAACTCATCCTTGATTGACAACTCTCTGGCTCGTCCAATAATAGATTACAGCTATGAGTATGAACCACAAAATATTGAATTTATTTTAAAATATTTGGTTCAAGATTACGTTGTAATTGCTCTTTACTCTGCTTTGCTTGAAAGTGCAACAAGTGAGAACAGTGCTAGGATGGTTGCTATGGAATCAGCAAACAGAAACACTAAAGAGATGCTGAACAAACTAGAATTGCTTTATAATCGTTCTCGTCAAGCAGCAATTTCAACTGATTTAATTGAAGTTATAGGTGGTACAGAGTCTTTATAAAAATCTAAGGAATAGAAAATGAATATATTAAATATTGCAGCAGGTATCACTAAATTAATAAAAAAGCAGAATCAAGATGCGGAAGTTACAATATATGAAACTAATAAGACTTCAGTTTCTCAGCGTCTATCAAAAATTGAGCAAATCTAAAAATTGCACTGTAGGAATCAGAGCTATAGCAGGTAAAAACAAAGCTGCGTATATTTCTACAAACGATTTGAATAATCTTAGTGATACGGTAAGCCAAGTGGTAGAAATGGCTAAGAATGCGCCAGAAGATCCTTGCATTAATTTTGCTGTAAATGGTAGTAATTATATCTCTTCTGCTAATAGATAATAATGTTGTAACCGTTGATAACCTAAAGGAAATTGCTGAAGCTGCAGAAAATTCAGCCCTTGCACATAAGAGTATCACTAATTCTGAAGGAGCCTTTTCTTCATACGCTTTAGTGAATACAGTATTATCGACTGCTTCTGGTTTTATTGGCTCGTTTAGTAAATCAACCTTTGCTAATCAGGTCTCTGTTGTTGCTGGAAGAGAAAGTGAAATGAAGGTTGGTTGCGATTATGATATAGCATGTAATTTTAGTGATTTAAAGTTGCCAGAGTTAATAGGAAAAGAAGCGGCAAAAAGAGCAGTTGATCAATTGAATTCACGTACAATTAAAACTGGTAAATTTCCAGTTATTTTTGAAAAAAGAGCAGCAAAAGGGCTAGTAAAAATTTTTGCTTCTGCTATAAATGGAGGCAGTATTATAAGCACCAGTTCTTTCTTGAGTGGTAGTTTAAACGCTCAGATTTTTAACGATAGAATTAATATTATCGATGATCCATTGATGATTGCCAAGAGGCATAGCATCGAGACCATTTGATGGAGAAGGGATAACTAGCAAGAAAAATATATTTGTAAAAAAAGGAATATTACAAAATTGGATTTTAGACTTATATTCGGCTAGAAAACTAGACTCAGAAACAACCGGAAGTGCAGCTCGTGCAAGTAATGCTGCAGTTATTCCTGCAGCTAGTAACCTCTACATTAAAAATGGTAGTGTATCGTTTGAAGAATTAATTCAGGAAGTGAAAGAGGGAATATACTCGTATGTAACTGATTTATTTGGTTTTGGTGTTAATTTAATTAATGGCGCTTCCAGATTTTTTATAGAAAATGGAAAAATAACGTATTCAATACATGAGATTACCATTGCTAGCAATTTGAAGGATATGTTTAGCAATTTAGTCGTTGCAGATGATCTAACTTTTTGTGGGCAATTTAATTCAGCAACGATTAAAGTTACCAAAATGACGGTTGCAGGTTCGCTTAACGATTAAAAAATTTATTTGCATTAAGTAAAACAATTGTGTATTATTGTCATGTAATGTTAAGAATAGACTATGGAGTATAAAGGTTTAGTTTCAATAGCTAAGCTTAAAGCATTCTCAATCGTAATTTCAAAGTTTTTCGTCACATTAGTAATGTTAATTAATAATTTAGGAGTTGTTTAAATGGAATTTGGTAATGTAAAATGGTTTAATGCCGAGAAAGGTTATGGTTTCATCAAGCCAGAAGGTAAAGGGGGTGACATTTTTGTACATATTAGCACGTTGGAACTTTCAGGAATAAGGCCTGAGACACTTAAAGGAAGAATAAAGAGAAGGGCATAAAAGGAGAGAGGGTGAGTTATGAGGTTAAAGAGGAGCGCGGTAGAAACGGAGAAGATAAAAAATCTGCAATAAATTTAAGATTGAAAGATTAATCTATTATGAAGTCTTTTAATAGGGTTAACGTATTATGAATAATTTTTATGAGATGGGTCTCCCAGCTTCGCTTACACAAGCTCTAGATAAAAATAATCTTTTCGTCCCAACTCCGATTCAAATACAAGCGATTCCCTTAGCGCTACAAGGTAAAGATGTTCTTGGGTCTGCTCAAACGGGAACTGGAAAAACTTTGGTGTTTGCTATTCCGTTGGTTGATAAGTTGCTGAATGAGCCTAACACTGGTTCAGCTTTGGTCATCGTGCCAAACAGGGAGCTTGCGCATCAGGTAACAAATGAGATAAGAAAACTCTTATTTCAAAATTCTGCACTAAGGGTTGCTTTATTGGTTGGTGGTGAGCCTATTTTTAGGCAGCTAGATCAGCTTCAGAAAAAACCGCAAATTGTAATAGGTACTCCTGGTCGTGTTATAGACCATATTGAGCGTAAAACTGATTACTCGCAATGTTAGCATTCTTGTGCTTGATGAAACGGATCGTATATTTGATATGGGCTTTGGAATTCAAATTGAAGGGATCATGAAATATCTGCCAAAAATACGGCACTTATGTTTTCTGCAACTATTCCTAGTGACATAGTTAAACTTACTGAGAAGTACCTTAATCGACCAGAACGTATTTCTGTTGATTGTGAGAATACAACTTCTATAAAAGATGAGGAAATTCTACAAAGTTATTGTAAAAATTTAAATGATTATGCGAGAAGCAAAAAAATAGATTATGTCATTGGTCGTGATTGTGAATTAAATCGCACTATAGAAATATTATTGAGGCGTAGAAAAAACAACCCTTTATATATTGGAGACCCAGGTGTTGGCAAAACAACAATAGTTGAGGGTTTGGTACTCAAGATCATTGAAGGCAGTGTTCCGAGTGCGCTCAGGTCCAGTATAATTTATGCTTTGGATTTAGGATCACTCCTTGCAGGGACACGCTACAGAGGTGATTTTGAAGAGAGAATAAAATCTATAATAAAAACGATTGAGGTAAAACCAGGTGCTATCCTGTTTATTGACGAAATACACACTATCATTGGAGCAGGTTCTACAAGTGGTAGCTTTCTTGACGCAGGTAACCTACTCAAACTTGCGCTTGCAAGAGGTACACTACGTTTTATAGGTGCAACTACATATAGAGAATACAGCACTAGTTTTGAAAAAGATAAAGCACTAGCAAGAAGGTTTCAAAAAATTAATGTTAAAGAATCTTCTGTTAATGAAACGATAAGGATACTAGATGGCATAAAGCACTACTATGAAGGGTATCATGGGGTATATTATACAAAGAATGCCATTAGGTCTGCTGTTGAACTTTCGCATAAGTATATTACTGGGCGAATATTACCTGATAAAGCGGTTGATGTTATTGATGAGGCAGGGGTATATTGTAAATTACTAAGAAACAGGGGTAAAATTGTAAATAGTAGAGATATTAAGAATACCATTACCAGAATTATGTAAATGTACCAAATGTGCCTTGCGGATCTGAATCTGATGATTTGCAGAAAGTAAAGTCTTTAAAAGCCAATCTAGAAAAGGTGATTTTTGGCCAAGAGAAGGCAATAGAATCTCTTGTTAATTCTATTAAAATTGCTAAATCTGGGTTGAGAAATTACAATAAGCCTTTAGCAAATTATCTTTTTGCAGGGCCAACTGGTGTTGGTAAAACCGAGCTAGCAAAACAATTAGCAGAAAGCATGGGCATGAATCTTATACGCTTTGATATGTCCGAATATATTGAATCTCATGCGATATCAAGGATGATTGGTTCTCCTCCTGGATATGTAGGTTATGATCAGGGTGGATTACTCACAGAGTCTGTATCTAACAATCAATATAGTGTTGTGCTGCTTGATGAAATTGAAAAGGCCCATAGCGATATCTATAATATATTGCTACAAATTATGGATTATGGGTGTATTACAGACACTTACGGACGTAAAGTTAACTTTTCCAATATAATTTTAATTATGACAACTAATGCAGGAGCAGTTGAACGTAGTAAAAGTTTTGTTGGCTCTGGGCATAAAAATTTTAACATTGGTGATAGCGAAAAAGCAATAGAACAGGTTTTTAGCCCTGAATTTCGTAATCGTCTTGATGCGATTATTTCTTTTTCTGACTTAAGTACGAATGTGATTTTGCATATTGTGGATAAATTTGTCTTAGAACTGAAAAAGCAACTGACGCAAAAATGCATAAACTGCTTGGTAAAGGTAAAGTGAAATCTTATCTTGTACAAATGGTTTATAGTAAGGAAATGGGAGCACGTCCGATAGAGAGACATTGAAAAAGAGATAAAAAGTTACTTAGCAGAAGAAATACTGAATCGTAAATTAATAAAAGGAAAGAAATTAAGAATCTATATGAAAAAAGTAGAAAATAAAATTGTTTTTGATATAGTTTAAAATCCTTGTATTGAACTTCATCTTTGTTACAATTTATAACTTAAATTTAATTTGAATTATAGTGATAAGTGATAAAGTAAAACAAGTCCTAAGCTACTACGAAAGTGAAAACCCAGGGGTAAAAGCGAGGCCCCGACTGGAGGGGCTCCTAAGCGCATGCTTGGAGAGAGGCCAATTCCCGCTTCGTTGGAAGACGGGGAAGCTGGTCCTCATTCGGAAGCCGGGGCGCCCTGCGGACTCTCCGTCCGCATACCGGCCCGTGGTGCTGCTCGACGAGGTGGGCAAGCTCTTTGAAAGAGTCATTGCAAACCGCCTCGCCGAGCACCTTGCGGGGACGGGGCCGGATCTTGCGGAACACCAGTTTGGTTTCCGCAAGAGGCGCTCTACGGTGGAAGCCATCATGCGCGTGAGAGCCCTCACGACGGGGGATGCAGTGGCCAGAGGGGGGGTTGTCTTGGCGGTGTCTCTTGACATCGCCAACGCCTTCAACTCCATGCCCTGGAGCTGCATTAGGGAGGCACTCCGGTATCACCGGGTGCCGACCTATCTCCGTCGTATAGTCGGGGACTATCTGACGGACAGGGCCGTCATCTACCCCGGTCGCAACGGTGAGTGGAACCGGCGAGAGATGTCGTGCGGTGTCCCACAGGGTTCGGTTCTGGGGCCACCTCTGTGGAACATCGGTTATGACTGGGTGCTGCGCGCCGACCTCCCTACCGGCGTCAGCGTAATTTGCTACGCTGACGACACGCTGGTACTGGCACAAGGGGGGTCGTACGAGGCGGCGGCGGAAACTATGACACGCGGGGTTGCGATAGTCGTTGAGAGGATTCGGCAACTGGGTCTCGAGGTGGCTCTGCACAAGTCCGAGGCCATGCACTTCCATGGTCCTCGGAACAGGCCACCACCGGGATCCTCAGTAATGGTAGGAGGGGTATCCATCGGCGTCGAGTCGACGCTGAAGTACCTAGGACTCGTCCTCGACGGCCGATGGAACTTCGTTGAGCACTTCCGACGTTTGGCTCCCAAACTGGAACGGACCGGGGCTGCCTTCAGGCGACTCCTGCCGAACCTGGGGGGGGCCAAACGCCTCCTGCCGGAGGCTCTACGCGGGGATCGTGCGATCCATGGCCCTTTACGGGGCCCCGGTGTGGGCGCGTGGTTTGGCGCGGCTTGCCGTCCACCACCTGAACGCGCCCCAAAGGGTGGTCGCCGTTAAAATGGTTCGCGGCTACCGCACGATCTCCCGCGAGGCGGCGAGCCTCCTTGCCGGATTGCCGCCATGGGATCTGGAGGCGGTAGTCCTCGCACGCCTGCACGAATGGCGCGCGGAGGCACTATGCCGGGGGGAAACCCCGCTGCCACGGCAAGTTGTCGCGCAGCGGACAGTCTTCCGGCACGATCTCATGGCGACATGGAGAGAGCGACTGTCGCAACCCCGTGCTGGGCACGCCACTATAGCGGCGATAAGACCCCTCTTTGAGGAGTGGCTTGAGAGACGCCACGGCATCCTCACCTTCCGCCTGACTCAGGTCCTCACCGGACACGGTGTGTTCGGGAGGTTCCTGCACCGAATCGGGCGGGAGGAAACGCCCGGGTGCTCCCACTGCGAGGATGGACCGGAGGACACGGTGGAACACACCGTGGAGGTGTGCCCTGCTTGGGCGGAGCACCGCCGTGTCCTCGTAGCGGCGATAGGCGGCGGCGACCTCTCGCGTCCGGCCCTGGTCGAAGCCATGGTCCGGAGCGAGACGGAATGGGATGCCGTCACCACCTTCTGCGAAGCAGTGATGCTAGCGAAGGAGGTGGCGGAGCGGGAGAAGGAAAGAGCAGCAGCTTTCCTCCCAGGCCGCCGCGGGAGACGCCCCGGGCGTCGGGGGCTACGTCGTGGCCCCCGGCCACCGTAGGCGCGGGCCTGTGGACGGCGAGCAATGGGTAGCTCGTCGTCCGTCCGTCTAACGACGACAGGCCGTGTCGACGGCGCGTTTTGTTCCACGCGCGCCTCAAAGAGCTGTCAGCAGCGTGATGGGGCCCGCAAGGGCCGACGCCTGCCGGGGCTGCGGGCTATTCGAAAGAGATACCGCGGCTCCGGAACGTAAGGGCACTGAAGGAACACGGATGGTTTTTAGTCAGTAAAAGTCTGACACTCCCTTACGCTCCACCCAGAGCGAAAGGGGTCATTAGATGATTTTCCATCCGCAAAAAAAAAAAAAAAAAAAAAAAGGGGTAAAAGCGAATCTTACCCGTATTCTCATGCATGGAAAGCTTGGCGGTACTGGCAAGTTAGTGATTCTGCCAGTAGATCAAGGATTTGAGCACGGGCCAATAAAAAGCTTTGAAGTTAACCCTGATGCTTATGACCCACATTATCATTTTCAGCTTGCAGTTGATTCGGGAGTAAGTGCATATGCTGCTCCAGTTGGTATGATTGAAGCTGGTGCTTCAATTTATGCTGGAATGCTTCCACTTATTTTGAAACTTAATAGTTTCAACTCCTTACATTCAAAAAATCTGACTTCTGATCAAGCAATAACCTCTTCTGTGAAAGATGCACTGCGTTTGGGCTGCTTGGCTGTTGGATTTACTATATATCCTGGTTCTGCTAAGTGTTTTGATATGATGGAAGAAGCCCGTGAAATCGTAGCTGAAGCCAAATCTTATGGGCTTGCAGTAGTGCTATGGTCTTATCCACGTGGTGAAGTAATTTCCAAAGAAGGTGAAACAGCGGTTGATGTTATTGCCTATGCTGCGCACATAGCAGCTTTACTTAGCGCTAGTATAATCAAAGTAAAACTTCCAACTAAATATTTGGAAAGGGAGGAAATAGAAACAGAAAATATTGAATCATTATCTAAAAGAATTACTCGTAAATATGTTAAAAGATCTTGTTTTGCAGGGAAAAGAATAGTAGTTTTTTCTGGTGGCGAATCGAAATCAGTGAATGAAATATGCAATGAAGCGAAAGAAATTAAGCAGGGTGGTGGTAATGGTTCAATCATTGGACGTAACACTTTTCAACGCAAAAGGGAGGAAGCTTTATCTATGCTAAAAGATATAATGGATATCTGCACATAAAAAATGGCTGGGTGGCAGAATGGCTTATGCGGAGGACTGCAAATCCTTTTATACCGGTTCAATTCCGGTCCCGGCCTCTTACTTTGATTAGATCATTTTCTCTTCTGAAGCTTTAGCAGGATGTGCAGATTTTAATATATAAGAAGATGAGATATTATATTTAAAATGTGAGTAATAAAATGCCAAAGGGATTAATAAAAGCTTTATTAAATTAGTTTACCCTTCTTGCTTATCGGCTGTGGCTTCCACTATTTACTAAAGAGCTCATATACTTATCTTGCACCAGAAAAATATCCTTCATCCAACAAACAGCCAGTTTACGTTGTACAGCTTAAAGTGCTCAGACTATGCACGATACATTATTTAATGATTTTCTATTGATAGACAAATCATCTTTTACAGCAGAACATGAGCGCGCTAGCGAATATATTAACTATGGAAAAGAAGTTGGAGCAGATGTGGTAGTCGTGTCGTTTCAAAATATACAAAAAGTTGAAGAGCATTTTAGCATCACAGAACTACTATTATGGAACACAAGCTTGACAACATTTTATACAGAGACCATTGTAAATTTTGACCAGGATGTGCTTTTTCTGAAAAGAATAGGTAATACAAGAGCTCCATGGGAATATGTCCAAGAGGAATTCGAGCTTGATAAAAGAAACGATACTGATCCATATTTAGGCATTTGGGTGGACTATAAAACATGTAAGGTCGAAATATATTCTACAGAAAATGAATATCTAGGATTTATAAACGAAGCTAATTGTAAGGAGAAATCTACAATAAATAAAATGCTTGCTTGGAAAAATGGAGATATAAAGTTGCGCATTAATAAACAATCCAAACAGGGATTTTATTTAAATCGAGATAAGATCCCTATACTAATACAATCTCATTTGGTCACCTTGAGTTAGTGGATAAAAATACTGATCAAGTTGTGGTTTCCCTTCAGAAAAATTAGTTTTTACTACTCATAGAAACTATATACTTACTATTTCCTTAGTTTAATCATTTTTCTAAGTTATTATTGTTGCATGGTAAAAAATAAACTAAAAATAAGCAAAGTGTTTTACAAAATGATATTACGTAATTAATTGTTTTTACTGCCGCCTGAAGTTGCTCACTCTTTGGTAATCATGGCATTAAAGAAAATACCTTATAAGAATCCTATAGAGCTACCAGAATCTTTGAGTGTGAATTTTTTTGGTAATATGCTCAGAAGCCCCGTGGGCCTGGCTGCAGGTTTTGACAAGAATGCAGAAGTTATAAGGCCTATGCTTTCATTTGGTTTTGGGTTTATTGAAACTGGTACTGTAACTCGTAATCCACAATATGGAAACAAAAAACCAAGAATTTTTCGGTTAGTTAAAGATCAAGGGGTAATTAACAGATTGGCATTTAACAATAAAGGAATAGACTATTTTCTTAAACAAATAGATGAAACCAAGCTTGATGACTGCATTTTTGGCATAAATTTTAGGAAAAAATAGTGCATCGAAAGACCAAATTATTGATTATGTTGATTTAATAAAGATGGTATATGGAAAAAGCAATTATATAGTGCTCAACATCTCGTCTCCAAACACACATAATTTACGCAATCTGCACAATAAGCAAGAATTATCGAAATTGTTGAAATCCATAACTCTAACCCGTAAATCAATTGATAATTCCGCAATAATATTAAAAATCTCACCCGATATAGATCAGCAAACGAAAGAAAATATCGCTGACCTTGCGTTGGAATATAAGATTGACGGATTAACAGTAAGCAACACTACGGTAAGTAGAGATAATCTGCATTCTCACCACAACGAAAGTGGCGGATTGAGTGGCAAACCACTGTTCAAACTTTCAACCGAGTTATTGGGCGATATGTACAAATTTACTAAGGGCAAAATATTATTAATAGGGTGCGGAGGAATCTCAAGTGGTGCTGATGCATATAAAAAAATAAAGGCAGGAGCCTCTTTGGTGCAGTTGTACACTGCTCTCGTATACCACGGACCTCAAGTTGTAAACAAAATTAATCTAGAACTTGCAGAACTAATAAGGAGAGATGGATTTAGTAACATTAGTGAGGTAGTGGGTTGTATACATTAATTTTGGAAGTTGATGGTATTATTTTAATAAAATAAGACTAATTCTCTGATATAAAGGTGGTAGAAAGTGCTTTTCTTTTAAATAATGGGTATGAAGAGTTTGAATGATGCAATATCTAAGATCATTGATTATAAATTTACAAATTATGCAATATCAGAAGAGGCACTAACTCACCCAAGCGTAAATAAAAGGAATAGCAAAAACCAGATTGTAAGCTACGAAAGACTAGAGTTTTTAGGCGATAGTGTTTTGAATATGTTCGTATCTGCCATACTGTTTAAACTATTTCCTGAAGAAAAAGAAGGAGCATTGGCAAAAAGAAAGATGGATTTAGTTTGTGGCAACACCATTGCTAACGTTGCTAAATAAATAAAATTAGGCAGCTTTATCATCATGAATAATAGTGAACGCTGCAATGGAGGGAGATGTAATCTAAAAAATTTAGAAAACTCGCTTGAAGCACTAATAGGTGCAATTTATATTGATGGCGAACTTGAAAATGTTGAAAAATGTATTACCCAATATTGGGAAAAGCTGGCTAAAAGCATGCTTGACCCCCCTCAAGATCCTAAAACCTCACTGCAAGAGTGGACTCAGAAAAACAAATTGCCTTTACCGGAGTATGAGCTTGTAAAACAAACTGGACCAGCGCACAATCCTGAATTTACTATATCAGTTTGCATAGAAGATTATGGTAAAGTTTATGCATGCGCTTCTAGTAAAAAGATTGCTGAACAAAAAGCTGCTGAGTTGATGCTAGAAAAAATTGGAAAAGACGCTTCAGTTTAGGCAAAATAGGCATTAATAGACTTCTTTCAAAATTTATATAAGGAGCTCAAAATTGTGGATACCAGCAATCAAATTAAATCTTAAACCAAAACGTTTTCGTTGGTTTCTATGTCTATCGGAAATGATTTCGAACCTTTTCAATGACGTTTTCAACTATTGGCCTTTGGATCATAAGTGTTCTGTTCTCTTTTTTTTGTTCTTTGCTTAACGGATTCTTTTTCGTTTTCCTGTGAGGTAATACAACATTTTTGTGTATCTTCTGCATTTCCCTGTAGCCGGAATCAGCTAAGATTTTAGTTTGTGGCAATACTGCTACATTTGATTTTCTAAACATCCGAAAATCATGTTTTCTACCATTCGCTCAAATGTTGCCTTTTTTACCCCTGTTAAACGTCAAAACTTTTCTCCTTCTAACTTTTCTATTTCCTTATATTTCATGCTTTCAAATACTTGATCTTACACTCCTTCTAACAATTTTGAAAGAAGTCTAGTGAATGGTCACGTTAAAACATGTTTTTAAATTTTTGCCAAAATCCTGGTTTATTATCATTAACCTTTGTAAATGTTATATTCAAACTGTATTTCGGATCATTTGGCACGTCGTATTTTATGCTAAATGTTGAAACTTTATCGTTATTGTAAATATGTACATCATCATATGATAGCTTTGTTGTGTAACACTTTATATGCTTTTGCTTATCATACACTAAATCACCTGACTCCCTTTCTAGTTCCACAAATTTCGGTTTTTTCTGACATTCCTTCATTTTTATTAAATCCTTATCTAGTGATATTGAAACTGGCAACGTATTTCCAGCATATTCTTTAGCTAAAGGTTCACTTTGGGGATACATTTTTATTTCCCTTCCAAAATGTGAGTCTATGAAATTATTACTCCAAAATTTATCGCCAGAATGCACGTACCCATCAGTAGCATACGGCACCCCACCATAACTGCATTGAACTTTGTAATCTCCAACACCGTTGTTTTGAAAAAAATCATGAATGGTAGTGTAGCTACTTGCAACATCATTTATATAATCCATTACTTTATTCCTTAAACTTTTAGTTCGTTATATCATAATCATTATGCCAATCAATCAAAAAAGCTCTTTCTTGCTGTTTTTAGAACTGATTTTAAGCAAGCGCTCTCGATTAGTTGGGAGCGTATTTATAAGATTGTGACATTCTTGCCTCCCAGTTTTTCACATACTGCTGAATCAATTCAGGATAATCTGTAATAATTAATAAATTTTCAGCATTTCCTTTTTTAGCTGTCTTACTAAGGTTAAATGACCCTGTGATGACTTTTTGATTGTCAACAATCATTATCTTATTATGAGCAATCTTTGGCTTATCATCGATCCAACTTAGTACTCCACCTGAAAATAATTCATTTATAACACTATATTTTGAGTAGTTGCCATTTATCTAAGATAACTTTAACATCAACACCGCGTTCTTTAGCATTAATCAAAGATTTTGCAACTTGTTCCAAGGTTAAATGTATATTCTTGAACTAAGATAGATTTTTAGACTGATCTATTAGGCTAATTATCGGTACAGCACATCTTCTCCAGGTGAATAGCAAAACGTAGCTTTTGGGCAGGGCGAAAATATAAAACCCGCATAGTAATACAGAGAAAAACACATTAACAAGAATAAAAAGTGAAAAAGCCTCACAACAACCCACCCCAGGATATACAGCGATAGGCTACATCATAATTTAATCACCTGTCAATCCATATTCTTCCCACTTCTCCTTGACTTTTCTTACTATTTCCTCACTCATTTTCAGGCGGGATTTTATTTGTTGCATCAAATCCCATCTTACCTCCCAGGCCACTTTCAGGGGAAGCAAAGTCTAAATAATCAATAGGTGTATTTTCTATCATGATTGTATCACGCACAGGGTCCATTCTCGTTGATATTGCCCATATCACTTCCTTCCAATCGCGTATATTTATATCATCATCAACAACGATAGTAAACTTCGTGTATAAAAATTGCTTTAGAAAGGAAAGTATGGCCATAACAATTCTTTTTGCCTGCCCTGGATAAGACTTTTTTATCGATATCACCGCTATTCTATATGAACAACCTTCTGGTGGTAGGTAAAAATCCACTATCTCTGGAAATTGATTGATAAGAATGGGCACAAAGATTTCATTGAGCGCTTCATCAAGAATTGATGTTTCATCAGGTGGCTTGCCAGTGAAAGTGCTGAGATAAATTGGATTTTTGCGCATAGTAATTGCAGTAATATTAAATTCTGGAAATTGCTCAACAGAATTATAGTAGCCGGTGTGATCTCCGTATGTCCCTTCATCTTGATATCTATCCAAACTTACATAGCCTTCCGGAACAATCTCTGCATGAGCTGGCACTTGAAGCGGAATAGTCTTACAATTTACAAGCTCAAGCGGTTTTTTGCGCAGTAACCCAGCAAATTGGTATTCTGACAATGTTTCTGGCACTGGAGTTACCGCAGCAATAATTGTTGCAGGATCACTACCGATCGCAGCAGCAGCAGGAAATTTCATATTTTGTTCCTTCTGTTTCCATCGTTTGTGGTGACCTGCACCACCACGATGTGCAAGCCAGCGCATTATAGTCGTTTTTTTATCTATAACCTGCATACGATATATTCCAATATTGAAATTATCTTGCTTGTCTTCCGTTGGGCCTTTTGTCACCACAATTGGCCAGGTGATAAGTGGTGCAGGTTCATTTGGCCAGCATTTTTGAATAGATAGCAAACTAAGATCCACCTCATCCCCAGTTAGCACCACTTCTTGACATGGAGCCTTGCTCACAACTTTACTTCGCATCGACAATACAACTTTTAGTAAAGGAAACATTTTCACAGCATCTTTGAAGTTTTTTGGTAGCTCAGGTGATCGCAAAAATGCTAAAAGTTTACCAAGATCTCTTAGTTCACCAGGGTTTATGTTCAAACCCAATGCAATCCTCTTAATAGTACCAAATAAATTCACCAAAACAGGGATCGAGCTTTTACCATTTTCTTTAACAACATTCTCAAAAATTATAGCTGGCCCTTTGTTTGACAAAACTCTGCGGTGAATTTCTGTCATTTCAAGAACTGTTGAAACTTCCTCCTTAATCCTAATCAGATCTTTTTTTCTTCTAAGGCTTTAATGAAGTCGCGTAAGTTGTTGTACATATTTGAGTATTTAAGTCTACTAAGTAGTGCTTTTCCCCAGATTCCATCACAATAAGTACATAAGATAATTATCTATTCACTGATTACTATAGAGGCCTTACAAAAATTATTCTCCAGCTCGCTTTTTAAGTTTTTATATTCAGCAGTCTTTAACTTTTCATTAGTAATAAAACTTTTCTTTATAGCTATTACATTGCTAAATTCAGTTCCATCATTTTTATATTTACAGAACCTATTTACATATAACCAAGGAGTATCTATTTTAAAATTCAAACTTTCACAGTTTTTAATTTTAATATCTTTTATTATCATATGACTTTCCTTCGTTTTAGGAATACCGATAAAAAGTTCTGATACTTGATCAGAAGCTGTATTCACAGCATCATTAAGCCAATTATTTCCTAAATTCAAAGCAGGACCTAGATTTGTCTTAAAAACTTATTTTTTTGCTGAAATTCATACTTAATTGTAAGACCATCTACACTACGCAAAGTAAGATCAGGTAACTCTAAGAACTTCTTTTCTTCTTCATCAAGATATACTCCACTAATCATAAGAAAAACAGAATCTCTTAATTGTTCGTTTGAATAATATAATCCAACACCTGTTAAGACTAGAGTTGAATTCCATTGAACAGTAAGCCATCAGCGTTCACTTACAACATTATCTTTTATAGTTAATTTACTATAGGCTATCACTTTTGAGTTTTCAGCTTGTACAGCAGGAATTTTTATGTAACTATCTTCCTCAGAATCCAGTACTATAGCATTTCTATTAGCAATGTCTGGGAAAATACCCTGAGCCATACTGACAGTATTAGTTGGATCAATCCAATATATTTTTCCACCTTTATTGTTTACTCAGCTACTAAGCATCACATGATTAAAATTATCCATATTAGGTAACGCTTCAGGATTGGAAATGCCAGTAGTTCTTGTAAAATAGCAGACGTGCTGGCAGAAAAGTCTTTGCAATACCCGACTTGAGAATCAGCAATTTTCTCTAAATCTCTCAGAAAATACTTTCCTGATAACGTACGCCAATCTCCCATGTATTGGATTTTTTCGTTCAATAAAGAAGTAACAGCATTAATTTTCTCCTCATCAGTATTCTTATTGGCAGCAGATCCTACTATAGCTGTAAAAGTTGCAGGAAGTGGCTGATTAATGACGCTATGATATCCAGGCGCTAATTTTTTAGCTAAATCCTCCCATTTAGATAAGCTTGACAATGATACCCAAGTACTATGTTTAATAATCAATATTCCATTATGTGGCTCATTTATTATGTTTTCATAAACTGCTTTTTTAAAAGTAATACTTTTAGAATGTACATCATTCTTTTTTTTCTCGTCGATCTTTAATACGTTTCTTGGATCATTAACTTTAATCTCTAGAGGTAATTTAGAATTGATTTTAGTATTTTCTGCTTGGACGTAATTCCCATAATAAGAAAAGCTCAAGCTATAAAAATTACCAACAGGGACTTTTTTGTTAATACCTTTATATCTTAAATATACTTCGGTACCAATTTCTATTTTAGAAAATGATATGGTTACTTGCCTTAACTGATCGAAACTTTCGCCAGGACCAGCCAATAGTCTATCCTCCATCATGTCTTCAGTGACTATATATTCCTCTCCGTTATAAGCTGTTTTAGCATCTAAAACAGTCAAGTCTGCACTATCACCATTATAAATAACACTATACGGAGAGAATCTGCTACGCTCAGATTCCTTGAGTATTTTCACTAGTTGTTCAACTTCCACTTCATAGGTACCATCCTTATTAACACTAATGTTAACATTAGAAAATTTGACCTCAACGGAAGCATCTTCATACTTGCTCCACCTCGCTTCAGCTGTAGAAGCTACAAAAAGTACTAATAATGCTAAGTTAAAGAGAGTTTTCAAAAACTTCATTACGACATCATATTTACTGAAAAATCATTTTATTATACTTATATAATTCTGCCTATAATACAAATAGTCAGATGATTAGGAGAGAAGTTTACTTTCTAGGATGGTTGTTTCTTTACCAATCATTCATATAATTTACCGCCGCATTTACCAGTATTATATGCGGCAATTACATGATAATCAACTTTTTACTACCACACTTACAATTGCTAGACGTGACGGTAAAGACCATCCAAATCTCTCAAATCTACAACTCTGCAAAAGTTTTCATCACCAAATCTTCTAATGAACTTTACAACAATATGCTTAAATTTCACTTTATAAAGTTTGCATTTCTTGATATAAATATTTTTATATCTTAAGATTGAACATTTATTTAATATAATTTTTCTGATTATTCTTTAAGTAAGTGTGTGTCTCGAATATCTTTTTTATTGATACTTATACTGGCAGTAGCAACTTTACCAGTAATAAACAATTGGCTTTCAAATCGCAGCCAAATGCTAAGCGATGATTATATAGGTGAGAAATTAGATAATTACTTATGTAGAAATTTTGATAAGATCGTAAAAATTCTCAAAGAGGAGTCGATTAAAAGTAGTTACGCTGCTCGAGATAATGTGAACAAAAGTAAAATTTCACAATACGAGGATCAAATATTTGACCTTACTTATCCTTACTCCAGAAATGAAAATAGTAGTGTTATAGTTGTAGGTTTCTTTGACTATTCTTGTGGATATTGCAAGACTATAAAAGACGATATAAAACAGTTAATTAACGAACGTAAAATTAAGTATATCTTTAGGGATGCTCCAATACTTGGTAATGACTCTTTAAGGGCAGCAAAAAGCGCTTTAGCTGTTTACTTTATTGATAAAGAAAAATATTTAGACTTTCACTATTCTGCTTTAAGTCACAAAGGAGGATTTTCAGACGAAAGCATATTGGATATAGTGAAAAGCATAGGGATTGATGAGGACGATTTTAATAATTCCATGAAAAATAACGCGGACAAAATTGAAGAAATGATAAATGGCAATAAGCTCCTAGTAAGAGATTTGGGAGTAGGGGGCACACCTTTTTTTAATAATTGGGGATAGTCTGTTTGTAGGAGCAACTGATTTGAATGTATTACGCAAAAAAGTAGATGAATTAAATCGCAAGCAAAAACTAGCTTCAGCGATTAATTTGCTATAAAATTTTATTTTTTTACTTGACAATATAAACGAGCCTGAATGCAATGTACCGTGGGTGTGGTGCTTAAATTATACTTAAGATACCATTCAATTAGCAAGTTTTCTCTCAAGCACAGACATCAATAATTGTACTTTTTAATCAGGATGACCTAGTGTTATTTAGCTAAAATTACTTTAATTTTACTTTCATAGGAGGACATATGTCATTCACAGAAATTAGATTTCCAGAAAATATATCTTATAGTTCCACTGGATGAACGGAATTTTCCACTGACGTTGTAACAACTCATAACGGTTGTGAGCAGCGCAACATCAATTGGTCTCATGCACGAACTAGATACAACATAGCTTACGGGGTCAGATCAAACGAGCAGCTAACAGAACTCATAACATTTTTTCATGCACGAAAAGGGAAAGCAATAGGGTTTCATTTTAAGAATTGGACAGATTTTATAGCCATTAATCAAAAAATTGGTATAGGAGATAACAAAAAAACGACTTTCAGCTAATCAAAACTTATGTAATTGGGGAAGGTAAGCATATATGCATGATCAAAAAGCCAGTACATGGGAAAGTAAAGATTTATTTAAATGGTAAAGAAGAGAGTGAATATTCAGTAAATTATTCAACGGGAGAAATAACATTTATGAAACCACCAGTAAAATATACGATAACCAGTAAAATATGCGAGCTTCGCATTTAATGCGCCCGTGCGCTTTGATACAGATTACTTAAACGCTTCTACTGATGACTATGGAAGCAATAGCTGGAATAACATTCCACTAGTAGAGGTAAAGTTTAATTAAGCTGCTTTAAAATTTCCTCCTGTTGCTGAGTGTGAACACTAGCATAACCACATGCAGGAGATACAGCAGCAGGTATTGCGATAAACTGGTCTTTTTGCTTGAATATTGAGGTCAGATAATACCTCTTCTATCAATGGGTTGACAAAAAACCATCCCCCCATATTTTTTGGTTCTTCTTGACACCATATAATTTCAGCGTTCTTGTACTTTTCAAGTTCGCTGCTTAATTTATCGTCCGGAAACGGATAGAATTGTTCTAAACGTATCACTTCTATATCGTTTATTTTTTGTGTTTCAAGCATTGCAATTACATCGTAATAAACTTTACCACTGCATATTACAACTTTACGTGTTTCATTATTTGAAACTAAACCTGTTCTACATTCTGGAATTACTGTGAGGAATTTTCCTGCAAAGTCAGATAGGTTAGAAACTGCTCTTTTATGACGCAATAGTGATTTAGGTGTAAACACTACTAAAGGCTTACGAACGTCTCTAAGCATTTGTCTGCGTAAGACATGGAAGTAATTCGCCGGAGTGGAACAATTAACTACCTGCATATTATCCTCTGCGCAGAGTTGCAAAAATCTCTCTATACGTGCGGAGCTATGCTCAGGTCCTTGCCCTTCATAACCGTGGGGCAACAATAGCACTAGACCGCTCGATCGCAACCACTTTGTTTGTGCAGATGCGATAAACTGGTCAATTATAATTTGTGCACCATTTGCAAAATCACCAAATTGTCCTTCCCAGAGTACCAGTGAATACGGAGAATCAAGACTATATCCATATTCAAAGCCCATTACAGCATACTCTGATAAAGCGCTATCTATGACCTCAAAGTGAGCTTGCTTTTCATTTATATTGTTTAGCGGAATAAACGCTTCTTCTGTTGTCTGATCAATAAGCCTTGAATGACGGTGCGAGAAAGTTCCACGACCAGAATCTTGTCCTGATAAACGCACTCCTATTCCTTCTGTAAGCAGTGACGCAAATGCAAGACTTTCGGCAGTTGCCCAGTCTATATTGCTACTAGAATTTATGCTGTCTATTCTTCTATCGAGTATTTTTTAACCTTATTGTTAATGTTAAAGCTAATTGGAATATTGCTATTTATATGCATACACAATTTTTTCAACTCATCTGGCGGAACACCAGAATCCGTGTAGTATTCGCTCAAATCGTTTAGCTTTGCTCTTCTTAATTTTGACCACACTCCACCGAACCAGTCAGCTTTTTTGGAGTGTAATTCACTGATTCAGCAAGACTTTTATCTAATTTTGCCCTGAACTCACTGCGCAATTTATTTACTTCATCGTCATCTAATACTTTTTCTACAGTCAATTTTTCTTCATACAATGTTCCAGGAGTTTTATGTTTTGATATCAGCTTATACATAAGTGGCTGAGTGAAATTAGGTTCATCGCCTTCATTATGGCCGTATTTGCGGTAGCATATTATATCAATCACTACGTCCTTTTTGAATTTTTGCCTATATTCCATCGCCAGACTTGCAGCAAAACTCACAGCTTCCGGGTTATCTCCATTCACATGGAAAACCGGAGCTTCTATTGATTTTGCTATGTCAGTGCAATAAAAAGAAATCTTGCGCAGCATGGGTTAGTAGTAAAACCAACTTGATTGTTTATAACAATGTGCATAATACCACCTATGCACGACGCAAGCGACGAGATACCTGCTTAGTGTAACCAGCACTGGTTGAGCAACTCAGGGGCGGTGGGCGGAGCCACGGGGGTCGCGACCAGCGAGGTTCGACAACTAGCGAGGGTGCATACAACAACACAGAAAAACAGCCGTAGTCTTGGTTATTGTATTTAATTTGTTAAATATATATAACTTATATTAATATAAGATTTAGAATAAGATAATAAAGAAAGAATGATGTTGTAACTATGCAAATAACTCTCCCAATAAAGGCATCGAATAAATAACGAGAGTTAGCATAGATTTTAAAATATAAATTGTACTCTTATAGTTAATTTACCTTTGTAGCATATCACCTTTATTGTATACATATTACCATTCATATAAATTACGTTTCTTAAGATAATTATAACATTATCAGGGCATGTTATCGTGATGCGGCCGCGAAATTAATGAAGCTACGCGTAGGGCATCACGACGTTTTATATTTATAGTGCTGAGGTGCGGGGCAGGGTTCTCAGCTTAAAAATTGTAAATTACAAGGTTTAAAACCTTTTAGAGTATAAGATAATTATTGTGTACATAATAGTATAAGAATTAGATGTAAAAATATTATATAATTAAATATGATTGTTAATAAATAAAAATTTTAAAGAAATAAAAAAAGGCGCGGGGGTGAGGCAAGGGTCCGCTGGCCAGCCGTGGCCGAATCATATAAAAGACGGACCGGCCGGTAGGGTCCGTCGTCGCTCTCCAGCCACTGAAAAGGCACTACAAGAAGAAAAAAAGTACAAGTTCCTCCTCACCGCCGCTTGCCTCCTATATAAGCAAGAACAACGCGTTTTATTCATTTTTCGAACGGCGTTACGGCGATCCGTAACATTAATGGTCCTTCGAAGAGCCGAATTAAGAAGCAAACCGCAAGAACGAAAAAATATTATTTTGAAGAAAAATGGTGATTACGCGTAGTAACAGCGGAGAATCATCGAAGCGTCGTAAGGATGAACAGACGACCCTGGGGGCCACGGAAGAGACCTCCGGGGGCGAATCAGCCGCAAGTGGCTCATCAAACACCACTAGCGAAACCACAACGGGCAGCGATACAACTGCTACCTCTGCGACCGATAAAACGTCTGCAACGGAAGAAACCCAGCAAGAGAGTGATCAAAGATCACAGCGTACATTAAAGCCGGGCGAGACTAGGTCACGCCGCTCCGTAGTCTCACGCAAGAGACTCCTCGCGGAGTTAGAGGCGAAAGAGCGGCTAGCCGAACTCAAGCTCGAGCAGGCCCGATTGCAAGCAAGAACGGAACTGCAAGAAATACACGTGCAGCGACTACAAGCAGAAGCCGGATCAACCGAGGACGAAGAAGAAGAAATAGAGGACGACTTAGCATCAGTACGCATTAGTACATGGTTACAAGAAAAACCCACATCACAACCCGCGCCGCAACCCGTGTCACAACCCGCGCCGCAACCTGCACCACAACCCACGTCGCACTCCGCATCGCAACCCGCTCCGCAGTCTGCAACACAACCCGCGCCGCAACCCGCGTCGTACTTTACGTCGCAACCAGCACCGCAGATCGCACCACCCGTACTTCAACAATATGCACCGCAATACGTTCCACAACATACCGCGCCGCAGAAAGAAGACTATGGACAGGCGCAGCAACAAATCGACCTCGCTACCTTAGCCGCTGCTCTATCACAAGCAGTACGAAGCACAAGGGAGCCGCCGAAATATTTGCAAGAGCTGCCCACATTCAATGGTAGCAGCAAAGAATGGCTCAGCTTCAAAACAACGTACGTAGAATCTTCAAAGTACTTCACGATGAACGAAAACATAGCAAGAATACGCCGAAGCTTAAAAGGGATAGCAAAAGAGGCCGCAAGCTGCCTACTTATAAGCCAATCAGACCCCAAAATAATAATAGAAGCTTTGGAAAGGAGATTCGGACGACCAGAAGCATTAATTCACTTAGAAATAGAGAAGCTGAAGCTGCTGAACAAAGTTACGGACAATCCCAGGGAGTTATGCATATTCGCCAATCGCATAGCAAACGTAAAGCACACTATCTGCATAGTCCGGAGATGACGAGAGTTATCACAGACAAACTCACGCCCATATTAAAAAGCAAATGGTACGACTATGCGGCCAGGAAAAAATAAGATATCCCAGAGCTTAAGAAAATATCAATCTTCCTAAACGAAGAAGCGGATAAATGCAGCGCGTATGCCTTGCCGGAATTCATCACGGAGGACAACGAACCGAGAGAGCGATGGCCGAGAAAAATAGAACGCGCCTTCACCACAAGCAAGAAACAATATGAAGAACGCTGCCCTCAATGCAAACAAGAACACAAACTGCCCGATTGCAAGTCATACGCCGCTCTGTCCACAAATGACAGATGGGAAGTAGCGAAGAAGTATAATATCTGCTATCGCTGTCTGCGAGGCAAACATCGCCGATTGCTGTGTAAAGCTCCACCGTGCGGAAAAAGCGGATGCATGATGAAACACCATAAATTGCTGCATCACGACAGAAAAGCAGAAACTGAAAAAGAACCCGCTATGGAAACTGCAACATCGGCAAGGGAGGTCATCACAACGACTCAACCATACAAACACCGCCGCGCCTACTTAAAGATTGCGCCCGTAACAATAAAGGGACCGCTAAGTTGCGTCGAAACATATGCATTATTGGATGAAGGAAGCACGGTCACCTTAGTCGACGCCTCGATCGCTGACGTCATCGGCGCCGACGGCCCAGCCCACGCAATGTGGATACAAGGGGTTGGCTCGGAGGTGAAGCATGAGAAGAGCAAGATCGTCAGCCTTAAAATAAGAGGAAAGCACGCACAAGAGGAACACAACATAGAAGCAGCGCGTACTGTAGAGCGGTTGGACTTCGCGCCAGAATCCGTGAATGAAAATCACTTGAAGAATTGCCAACATCTGCTAGATATCAAAGAGGATATCACCTACGAACGCGCCTCACCGAAAATACTAATCGGGCAAGATAACTGGCACCTCATAGTGTCTAGAAAACTGCGCGTCGGTCGTCGAGATCAACCAGTCGCCTCATACACCAACCTGGGCTGGGTTCTACATGGCTGTCATAGCTCATTGACATCGACGGTCACCTTCTGCGGCAGACTACATCAAAGGGAAGAAGCACAGCCAATAGAAGAAGAAATAAAAAATTATTTCAAATTAGAATCACTGCGCATCGAGCCAAGAAGACCGAAAGAAGATCCCGAGCAGCGAGCTATGCAAATATTGAGGGAGACCAGCAGAAGGTCGGCGGACGGCAGATTCGAGACAGGGTTGCTGTGGAAAGAAAAGGATTTCCAAATACCAAATAATTACAAAGACGCGGAAAGACGTCTGCACACTTTAGAGAAGATGCTCGACCGAGACAGCAATCTCAAGCTACAATACGAAGAACGCATACAGAACCTCTTCAACTCGGGTTACGCAGAACGCGCACCCATGCCACCGCCACAAGGAAAGACATGGTATCTGCCACACTTCCCAGTCATCGACCCTGCGAAACCTAACAAGCCGCCGAGATTGGTACACGACGCCGCCGCGAAGACAGCAGGAATATGTCTCAACGATATGCTTCACTCGGGGCCGGACTTATTACAATCATTGCCCGGAGTAATCATGAGATTCCGACAGTATCCGTATGCAGTGAGCGCCGACATAAAAGAAATGTTTATGCAGATCAAAGTGCGCAAAGAAGATAGAGACGTTTTACGTTTCTTGTGGAGAGGCAAGCGGCGGGAGGGCCAACCGGAGGAATATAGGATGACATCGATCATCTTTGGAGCGACATCATCACCATGCACAGCATTATACATCAAAAATAAAAATGCTGAAGAACATTCAGAGGCATACCCTGAAGCTGCGGTCGCCATAAAAAGAAATCACTATATGGACGACTACTTGCAGAGCTTCCACTCTATCACGGAAGCTCAACAAACTGTAAAAGCAGTCGATCACGTCCACAAACAAGCGGGATTCGTACTCAGCGGGTGGACATCGAACGAAGAAAAAACAATAGAAGAGATAACGACAGAGCATAAACAAAACGACGCGACCGTGCGCCTGGGCGGAAAAGAAACTGAGAAGACGCTCGGCCTGCTCTGGCATGTACAAAGCGATCATATTGGATTTAATACAAACAATATGAAGATGCCGATCGACGTAAAAGAGAAACAACGCTTGCCAACTAAACGTGAAGCGCTGAGCATAATAATGGCATTATTTGACCCGCTGGGGTTAATATCACCAGTGACTACCCCAGCGAAGAGAATATTCCAAGACACATGGCGTTACAAGGCGGAATGGGACGACCCTCTGCCAATAGAGTTAAAAGAAAAATGGGAAGACTGGATTACTTCACTTCACGCCCTAGAACAATTGAGAATACCGCGATGCTACGATTACAACCCAGTGTCAACGCGACAACTACACACATTCGTCGACGCAAGCGAGGAGGCCTACGCAGCCGCCGTGTATTGGAGAACGGAGCGAGCAGACGGCAGCGTCAACATATCATTGGCCGCCGCCAAGAGCCGCGTGACACCACTGAAACCAGTCTCCATACCACGGCTCGAGTTACAAGCAGCACTACTGGGAGCTCGTCTTGCGCAGACCGTGATTAGTGAGCACGATGACGATATGGCGGGCAAGACATACTGGTGCGACTCTCGCACTGCACTAGTGTGGATAAGGTCGGAGCCCCGCGCGTACAAAGCTTTCGTCGCTCATCGCCTGGCGGAGATAGAAGATACGACCAAAAAGAACGAATGGCGTTGGCTACCGTCCAAAGAAAACGTGGCAGACGACGCGACCCGAACCACGCCAGAAAGGTTCGACGAGTCGCACCGGTGGTTCCGAGGGCCCCCGTTTCTACAACGTCCACCGGCCGAATGGCCGCAGGAAGAAAAAACGACACAATACGACACCGGAGAAGAACGAGAAATATGTAACATCACAGTTAAAAATGAAGACTCGCCAACAACACATCTGCCACAAATAGAAAGATTTTCAAAATGGATTCGCCTCATAAGGGCGACAGCGAGAGTTCTCCTATTCATTGACATGTGCAGACCAAACAAGCACGTGGTGAAGGCTGGGCGCAAACGCAACAAAGCAAGACAAGATAGCGACCCCGGCTGGCAAAGAACAAACCGACGCAACAACCCCACCAAGGAGAAAAGGGCAACACCTACTGTCTCATCGCTTGTAGGAATACCAGCCGCTTATCATATAAGAGCCGAACAACTGTGGGTGCAAGCCAGTCAGCGGGAAAGCTTCACGAAGGAGCTCAAGAGGATCGCCAACAGAAGTGTTCCAGGAGGTGATGACAAACTAGGCCACCTGAGCACATATATCGACGAAGAGGGGACCCTACGCCTCAGAGGTCGAATAAAAGCAGCATCAGAGGTAGAGGAGGACACGTATGACCCTCCCATACTAGACGGGAAGCACGCATACACTCGTCTGTACATAGCACACGTACACGAGAGATTACATCACGGAGGCGTGGAAACAGTCGTGAACGAATTAAGACAGAGATTGTACATAAGAAAAATACGTCCAGTAGTAAAAACTGTCATCAAAGGCTGCCTACCGTGCCGTCTAAGAAAAGCCAAGCCTGCATCACCGTCTACAGGAAACTTGCCGTCCGCGCGTCTCGCTCATCACGCACGTCCGTTTACATACACCGGACTGGACTACTTCGGGCCAATAGAAGTCACAGTGGGACGACATCGTGAAAAACGGTATGGCTCGTTATTTACCTGCATGACGTCGCGAGCAATACATATAGAGGTGGCCCATTCGTTAAGCGCCGACTCAGCTGTGTCAGCGCTTAGGCGTTTCATGAGCAGAAGAGGATGCCCAAAAGAAATCTGGAGTGACAACGCTACGTGTTTTAAGGCAGCCGACAAGGAGCTGGCCGAAGCAGCACTTGCAGCCCTCGAGAACGAAACCACATGTCGACAAATTGTGTGGAAGTACATACCACCATCAGCACCATTCATGGGCGGCGCCTGGGAGCAAATGGTTCGCTCCGTGAAAGAAGCCCTACGCGTCACCCTCAACGAACGCTATCCCAGTGACGAGACACTGGTGACCCTGCTCGCCGAGGTCGAAAACACGGTCAATTCAAGTCCTCTTACATACGTCTCAGTTGACCCAGGAGACCCGGAAGCCATCATGCCGAATCACATCCTCATCGGTCCCAACTCACATGTACCTGCACCGGGACACTTCAGCAAGAGCGACGTGACGGCCCGCCAGCAGTGGAAACGAGCTCAAGCCCTAGCAGACATATTTTGGCGAAGATGGGTGAAGGAATACTTGCCCCTACTCCAACACCGGCGGGAGCCCAGCAGCATAGGCGCATCACCGAAGATTGGAGACCTGGTCATCATTTGTGACTCCAATCTACCGCGCAAAATCTGGCCCAGGGGAAAAATAAGCAACGTGTATCCCGGCGTCGACGGAGAGGTACGAGTAGTGGACGTAACCACTAGCAGTGGGCATGTACTACGCAGACCAACAAAGAAGATCGTCGTGCTACCCGAGGGATCGCAGCGTGGCGACGGCGGGAGAATATGCACGACGCAAGCGACGAGATACCTGCTTAGTGTAACCAGCACTGGTTGAGCAACTCAGGGGCGGTGGACGGAGCGACGGGGGTCGCGACCAGCGAGGTTCGACAACTAGCGAGGGTGCATACAACAACACAGAAAAACAGCCGTAGTCTTGGTTATTGTATTTAATTTGTTAAATATATATAACTTATATTAATATAAGATTTAGAATAAGATAATAAAGAAAGAATGATGTTGTAACTATGCAAATAACTCTCCCAATAAAGGCATCGAATAAATAACGAGAGTTAGCATAGATTTTAAAATATAAATTGTACTCTTATAGTTAATTTACCTTTGTAGCATATCACCTTTATTGTATACATATTACCATTCATATAAATTACCTTTCTTAAGATAATTATAACATTATCAGGGCATGTTATCGTGATACGGCCGCGAAATTAATGAAGCTACGCGTAGGGCATCACGACGTTTTATATTTATAGTGCTGAGGTGCGGGGCAGGGTTCTCAGCTTAAAAATTGTAAATTACAAGGTTTAAAACCTTTTAGAGTATAAGATAATTATTGTGTACATAATAGTATAAGAATTAGATGTAAAAATATTATATAATTAAATATGATTGTTAATAAATAAAAATTTTAAAGAAATAAATAAAGGCGCGGGGGTGAGGCAAGGGTCCGCTGGCCAGCCGTGGCCGAATCATATAAAAGACGGACCGGCCGGTAGGGTCCGTCGTCGCTCTCCAGCCACTGAAAAGGCACTACAAGAAGAAAAAAAGTACAAGTTCCTCCTCACCGCCGCTTGCCTCCTATATAAGCAAGAACAACGCGTTTTATTCATTTTTCGAACGGCGTTACGGCGATCCGTAACACCACCCACTTTATAACCTTCAATGTTGAGATGAGAATGAATGAGAAATGTCACGGCGGATGTGTGTCATGCAAACATTAACTGCGTATATTAAATTCGTATAACTATAACAAATTAATTTTACAAGTGCTAAAATATTTTCAATAGTGACAGTGAACTCTAATCTCCACGTGTAAGTGAAATTAAACTGTTTCAAACAACCAGTGAATATATAAATTGTTAATAAACATACCGAGTATACACAACAGTCATTAATAATGGATAAAATACTATAGTTCTTAATAATAAAATAAGTTTATCGTGATATATGAGCAAAATCAAGCACCTTCAACCGAAACTACGTAAGTTTACTTAAAAAAAAACACTAAACAAATTGTGTACTAATATTAAAGAAAGACTTTGATTTTTAATACTGACGGTGAATCGAAAAAGTATCCGACGACAAAATTACCGGTCTAATTACAAACAGTGAGAGTTTGACAATATACACAGCATATTACTCAAATTCGCCAATATAACTTAATGTAGTGATGGCGTAGTGGTTTCGCCGTTCGGTATCTCACTCGATTCCTGAGGTGTAGATGGTTCAAATCAAGTCGGATAAACAAAGCGTATCTTTTTCTACATTTTCAATAAACATTAAGACAGATTTAGTTGTAAGCCAGATTCAGTTCTAAAGGAGACAGATTATAAACGACAGGAGATTGAAAACGAATGTATAGAAGCAGTAAAGAACTGCGACATCTATCGTAAGAAAAATCTTTAAATATTTTATAAATTATATATAATATCAACGTTAAATTTCTATGATGCCTAACCAAAGTCTTTCAAAAAATAGCAGCCGTAAGATGTCATCACTTGTAAGTTGTAATAAATGTAAAAAAACTATTGAAGCTAAAAATTTACTGCTATGTTTAATATGTAAAAAATATTATGAATTTGACTGTATTGGCTATTCTGAAAAACTTTATCGCTTAAAGGATATAGAAAGTAGAAAAAATTGGAAATGTAAAGCATGTAAGCAAATGTCTACTGGGCAATCTACACCTACTGGTGATCCATCCTACGTTACATTTAGAAAAAAATACTCACATAGTTCGAGTGGAAATATGACACCTACAACAGTGGTAGCAAAAATGAGTGAATCGCCGATAAATGACTCCCACATATTAACCACTCTTCACTCATCTGACGATTCCCAGGCTACACCTAGTCAAATATTATCACGGAGCTTTGACTTCACAATTACTGATTCTATTACGGTGCAGGAAATGAAGGACACTATAAATAATTTACGGTCAGAGATCACAAGTACGCAAAATGAGCTGGATAATACTATAATTGAGAACAAGGACCTTCGGAGACAAATCACAAAATTAACACAAGAAAATAACCTACTAAAAACTCTATGTCAATCACCAATAAATGATATCCAAATGAAACACCAAAACATAATAAAAGAGAAAAATATTCATTCTGCTCACTTCAAAGTTTTATATTCGCCAACCGCCTCTACGCCCTCAAAACTATCTGAAAGGAAAAAAATAGAAAAGGTATTTGATGCGGAGATAGCTATTATCTTAAAACAAAGGATTTCGGAATTAGAAAACCAACTAAAGAGCGCTGAAAACGAAATTAAAATTCTTAATGAAAAAATTCATCAAAAAATATAGGGTCTTCAATAGAACTTACACAAGACTCTAATACCGTAATTTCAGACATCAGAAAACAATATTTTAACTGCGATAAAATATTTATCTTTGGCACACAAAAATGCATTGGCCTAGCCTCTGCTTTAATACGCCAAGAGCAAATATGGCTTATGAAAAATATAACATTTACTCGGAGATAAAACCGTATGCACTTACGCCTGATGTGCTAAAAAATATCCATAATACACAAGTAGCCTCGAACGATAAAATCATAGTGTGTGTGGAAGAAAATGATTACGACCTGAAAATACTGTCTTCAAAAATATGCACATTAATTAACTGGTACAAGTTAAATAGTATACTAGTATTACGTTTGTTTAAAAATAAGTACATATGTGTTAACCATTTAAATAATACTTTAGAAAATATTTGTAATAAATTTGAAAACTGTCATTACGTGAATTGTATGTCCAATAATTTATATTCTATGTGTAAATCAATAAATTCCGTAATTGACTATATTGATTATAAAAACAAATTTCTAAGTGCCAAGCAATTAAAAAAGTTTATATTACGCTGTAATAATAAATCGATATTATTATCTGATAAATCCAGCAGCTCCAAATATAAAAAAGGAACAATTCCCTATTATTTTGCTCGAATGCAATCGAGTACAACTGTTTCGGGAGCGACTAATATTAATAATTTTAATGATATAAATACCGCGCCTAAAGGTACAATACCGTATTACTTTAAACTATTAAATAAAAACTATCTTTTTCGTGAATAAGAATACTACAAATAAGATGCTTTTAAAAATATTACATCAAAATATCGCTAGTATATTACCAAAACAAGGTGTATTAATGTTAACATTGGATGAACTAGATATGGCAGGAAACGCCCCAGATGTTATATGTCTTTCAGAAACTTTCTTGCGTACTGATCATGAAAAATACCTAAACATTAATAATTATGAATTAGCCAGTTCGTTCTGTAGGGATGAGTTTAAATAAGATAAATAGTTTAGCAACGCAAAAGTTACTTGAAGTTTGTGGTATTGAGATTCCTCTTTATAATTTGCTAATAATTTGTCTCTATAGGACTCCCTCTACAGACGCAATTCTGTTTTTGGACAAGTTAGACGGGATGTTACGTGAAATATTTAAAAACAATAATACCAATACTAAACTTGTAATTACTGGTGATTTAAATATTAATACTCTTAAACCAGGAAAAGCCAACACTTATCTTCACAATTTATGTCTTAATTACTGTCTTAAAATTCATATTAATGTTCCAACTAGAAAGGAGACATGTATAGACCATATTCTAAGTAATATAGAGAATGCTTCTGCAACAGTATTGCCTTTGTTTCTGTCAGACCATGATACAGCTCAGTTATTAAGCTTCCAGGTTCAACAAAATAAATCAATAAACAAGATATGTTTTAAATACAAAAGAGATTATAATTTAAGCAATATTCGGAAATTCAAGGAATGTCTAAATAATCTACCATGGTGTGAAACATATTTAGAAACCGACTTGAACATTGCGTTTAATAATGTTTATGATTTATTTTGCTTATTTTATAACCTATGTTTCCCAAGAATAAAAATACTAATACAAAATAGTAATCAAAATAATTGGATTAGTAAAGGTTTGAAAAATAGTTGTAGAACAAAAAGAGCACTGCGGTATCGATACTATAAAAATAAAAATAAAATAAATAAGGATACTTATAAAAAATATTCTTATTTATTGAAAAAATGTATCTACCAATCCAAGAAGAATTGTAATATAAAATTTATAAGTAAGAGTAAAAATAAATACAGAGCAACATGGTCCGTAATAAAAAAAGAAATTTCAAATACAAAATTGGATAATATTAAGGAGCTAAAACTAAATGATAAAAACCTAACGAACCCTTACGATATAGCAACCGTTTTTAATGACTATTTTATTGACATGACTAATTATATTATAACTAATAATGATAGCATGGAAAATATTACACCTAATAATACAATATCACTATCAAACTCAATGTTTCTTAAACCCATGTCGAAAGATGAGGTGAGTAAAGAGATCATGTCCTTAAATAACACTGCCTCGGAAGGTTACGACGGAATTAATACCAGAATAATTAAAGCTTGTGTATGCGAACTTGTTGACATTATGACTTATTTAATTAATTTATCATTTTTGACAGGAAAATTTCCCGACAATTTAAAAATTTCAATTGTAAAACCACTGCACAAAAAAAGATAAAAAGACGATATCAACAATTACCGACCGATTACTCTTATACCCATAATATCAAAAGTTTTTGAGAAATGTGTTTATAAGAGATTAATGGAATTTTCTGAGAGGTTTAACATAATCAAAACAGAACAATATGCCTTCCAGAAAAAGAAATCTACAACGCTAGCAACTTTTAATCTTATAAAAACAATAATTTCTAGCATAAATAATAACCTACTAACAACAGGATTATTCTTTGATTTAAGTAAAGCCTTTGACTTTGTCACACATGGTTTTCTTTTAAGTAAATTAGATTTGGTTGGAATTAGAGGGATAGCTCTAGAGTGGATTTCATCTTATTTATCAAATCGACGGCAGTGTGTCGTTATTGATAAAATGGTAAAAAATGAAATATTATCCTTCTCATCTAAGTACAGAGAAAAAAAATATGGTATTCCTCAAGGTAGTGTTTTAGTGCCGGTATTATTTCTTTTATACATAAATGATATAACTCTGGCGACAAATCACAAATGTATATTGTATGCGGACAATATTTCCGTAGTTGTAACATCTCAAAATATCCACTACCCCATATCTTCCCGTGGGTGTCGTAAAAGGCGACAGAGGGAGACAGGCAGGAGATGGGCAGCAGCATCTTCCTGATAACAACTGTGACGTAATAAAAAACTGCGGTTGCCAACCCGCTCGCCAAGCGTGGCAACTATGGCAAATACCCCCCAATGAATAAATACACAAACAGACGGCCCCCAGTCCCCGGCGGCCCCGCTATTCCTGGCTACGGTGGCGACCATGGTAACGGCGGGGCAGGGGGTGCTAAGAATCTCCGGTGGAGGTTCGGTTGCCACCTACGACGACTCGACCTGGCAACATATAACGCACGCACCCTGAGGACTGACGAGAAGATACTAGAGCTGGAAGAAGAGGTAGACAAGTTGCGCTGGCATATTATTGGATTATCCGAGGTCCGAAGAGAGGGGGAGGACACGGCAATCCTCGAGTCCGGCAACTTGTTCTATCACCGGGAGGGCGACCATCTGTCCCAAGGAGGTGTCGGATTTATCGTCCACAAGTCTCTCGTCAGCAACGTTGTAAAGATTGGGAGTGTGTCGACGAGGGTCGCGTACCTCATACTCAGAATCACCAAACGGTATTCGCTGAAGGTCATTCAGGTTTACGCACCAACCTCGGCACATCCCGATGAGGAGGTGGAGGAAATGTATGAGGATATTTCCAGAGCCATACATTCCTCCAAAACCCACTACACGGTGCTGATGGGAGACTTCAACGCAAAACTAGGCACAAGAGAAAGCGGTGAGCTGAAGGTAGGGAAATTTGGAGTAGGGCAACGGAACCGAAGGGGCCAGCAGCTGGCCGACTTTATGGAGAAAGAGGGACTCTTTATGATGAACTCTTTCTTCCAGAAGCGGCCCCACAGGAAGTGGACCTGGTCAAGCCCCGACGGTTCGACAAAAAATGAGATTGACTTCATTATGACGACCAGACGCCAACTGTTCAGTGATGTCTCAGTGATCGCAAGGGTGAAAACTGGCAGCGATCACCGAATGGTTAGAGGCACACTGAACCTAAACGTTAAGTTGGAGAGGTCTCGTCTAATGAAGTCAACGCTCCGTCCCCCTCGTGCTCTAATCCAGAATCCCGAAACCTTTCAGCTCGAGTTACGTAACCGCTTCCAGTGCCTAGAAGATTGCAATGCAGTGGACGATATGAACGACAAGCTCGTGGAAACTGTCCATGCGGTCGGAGCTAAGTTCTGCAAGACCCGCCGCAGAAGAACACAAAAACTCTCCGATCACACTCTTAATCTCATGGCTGTTAGACGGGAGATGAGGCTGCAATCGTCAACAGATTTGACAGCATACAGGCAACTGAACAGACAGATCTCCAAATGCATGCGGCGAGACTTACGCAACTTTAATACTTCTCGTATTAAAGAAGCGATCGAGCGGAACCAGGGCTCCAAAGTCTTTGCCAGAGATCTGTCTGCCAGAAAGAGCCAACTGTCAAAGCTGAAGACTGAGTGTGGCAACATCGTTTCCGGGACACCTGAGATTTCGAGTGAGATTGAGAGGTTCTATGGGCAGCTGTACACATCATCGTTGGAGCCACACGTAAGTGTGAGTAACGATCCAAGAGCAAGTCTTATCCGACACTATTCCGATGATATCCCGGACGTCAGTCTGAGCGAGATTAGAATGGCTCTCCACCACCTTAAAAACGGCAAGGCCCCGGGCGAGGATGGAATTACAGCGGAGCTTCTGAAAGCGGGTGGAAAACCGGTACTTGAAGTCCTTCGGAAGCTCTTCAATTCCGTCCTCCATGGTGGCACTACTCCGGAGGCGTGGAGCAGAAGCGCGGTGGTTTTGTTCTTTAAGAAAGGCGACAACGCTCTCTTGAAGAACTACAGACCGATTTCCCTTCTGAGCCGCGTCTACATGCTATTTTCGAGAGTCATTACGAATCGTCTCGCACGCAGACTCGACGACTTCCAGCCTCCCGAACAAGCCGGTTTCCGAAAAGGCTTCAGTACCATAGACCACATACATACCCTGCGGCAGATTGTACAGAAGACCGAAGAGTACAATCTGCCACTTTGCCTGGCATATGTGGACTATGAGAAAGCCTTTGATTCCGTCGAAATTTGGGCGGTGCTACAGTCCCTTCAGCGGTGCCAAGTTGACTGTCGGTACATCGAAGTGCTGAAGTGTTTGTACAGTAGGGCTACGATGGCTATCCGAGTACAGAACCAGAGTTCGAAACCTATCCAACTGCAGAGAGGTGTAAGACAGGGTGATGTTATATCCCCGAAACTCTTCACCGCTGCGTTGGAAGACGTTTTCAAGCTACTGGACTGGAAAGGATACGGTATTAACATCAATGGCGAGTACATCACTCACCTTCGATTTGCCGACGATATAGTCATTATGGCAGAATCGCTGGAGGACTTAAGCATTATGCTCAATGACCTCAATAGTGCCTCCCAACGGATAGGTCTTAAGATGAACATGGACAAAACAAAGATCATGTTTAATGTCCATGTCACACCTATGCCGGTAGTTGTTGGGAGCACTATGCTCGAAGTTGTTGACGAGTACGTTTACTCGTTTACGTTTACTTTAGTCCGACTAGGTAAGTCCAACTTCGACCGAGAGGTCAATCGACGGATTCAACTCGGCTGGGCAGCGTTCGGGAAATTACGACACATCTTCTCGTCAGGTATACCTCAATCTCTGAAAACTAAAGTGTACAACCAGTGCGTGTTGCCAGTGATGACTTACGGATCTGAGACGTGGTCCTTCACTGCTGGCCGTATGAGGACGCTTAAGGTCGCTCAGCGAGCTATGGAAAGGGCTATGCTTGGAGTTTCTCTGCGTGATAGACTCAGAAATGAGGATATCCGCAGTAAAACCAGAGTGATCGACATAGCCCAACGGATTAGTAAGCTGAAGTGGCAATGGGCCGGCCATATAGCTCGAAGAACCGATAACCGATGGGGAAGAAAGGTTCTCGAGTGGCAGCCTCGTACCGGTAGGCGTAGTGTAGGGCGACCCCCACTAGATGGAGTGACGACCTGGTAAGACATGCAGGAAGTCGATGGATGCAGGTGGCTCAGGACCGTGCTTTGTGGCATTACTTGGGGGAGGCCTATGTTCAGCAGTGGACTTGTGAGGGGCTGTAATGATGATGATGATGATGAACATCTCAAAAAAACAGTAATTCATTATATAATCATGAAAAGGAAATAAAGGATACAATCGATAATATAACTAATTGGCTGCATAGAAACAATATGAAAATAAACCTAGATAAATCAAATTACATACATTTTAATAAAATAAAAACTAATTCTTGTCTAAACATCAATAAAATTAAGGAAATAGAACAAATTAAATTTCTTGGTGTTATTATAGATCGAAATTTAGACTGGAAAATACATATAGATGACCTATGTCAAAGAATTAATCGTTTTGTGTATGCACTACGTACCATAAAAAAAGCTAACTAATAAAAAACGGCCCTATTATGCTATCGGGCGTTTATTGAATCTATACTTCGATATGGTATAATAATGTGGGGGCAATAGCATAGATTGGCGTAGGGAATTTATCGCGCAAAAGAAGTGTATAAGGACGATATGTGGTATACCAACTAGAGAATCCTGTAAGCCAATGTTCAGGAATCTGTCTTTACTAACTATGTCCTCGTTATATATTTTTGAGATAGGTAAATTTGTAAAACAGCATACATATTTATTTAAAAAGTCATCTGATATTAATCCTAGGCTTAAAAGAAATCCAAATAGATTAGTTCTAAGCGAAGTTCCGAAGTCAGCTAAATATAGTAAATGCTGTTTATCAATGTGTGTACGTATATACAACAAAATACCTGATGAAATTAAAATACTACATAATATGAACGTATTTAAAAAAAGATTGTACCATTGGTTAATTGACAAAAATATTTATGACACTAATGAATTTCTGACATTTTAAACTAGATTTTGACATTGTAAAACATAATTATAATTTAAATAAACATGTTTAATTTGTTAATTTTAATACTATATAGGTTATCTTGATTTAAATGTAATTTGCATGCTATATTATATTAAAATAGCAAAACATGTGGGCATAATAAGACTCTGAAACATCTGTATAATTACCATGTTTTATGCAAATAAAGACTATTATTATTATTATTATTAATGTTGCTTAGGCTCAAGGTCTCGGCAACGACACCTTGGCCGATGAAAGCTGCATCACCATGAATTGATATGCCAAGCACAGACCTTATATTCTGTTTTGCTCTTATTCTTCCAGCCAAAACCGGATTCACCGCTTCAAGGTGAGATGGGTTAGGGCATAAACTTAAATTTATTTTTTTGCCACTTGTAAGTGCTCGATCAGAAGAATAACCAAGGTGATATTTAACATCACCAGACACCTCAAGACCACTTGGGTATGCAAGGTTGCCTTGAAATTCAGATAGCATTGCCGCATATTCTTTCCCCATAACTTTGGTCAGAACATTAAGTCGTCCGCGGTGAGCCATGCCAAGAACTACTTCTTCAATGCCAAAAGCCGCAGAATCACTAATAATTCTCTCAATCGCAACGATAGCTAACTCTCCACCTTCTATAGAAAAACGCTTATATCCAGGAAATTTCACATGGAGAATTTGCTCGAACGTCTTAGATTCAATCAAGTGCCTCAGGACTTCCTTTTTATCTTGTGAACTCAGCGTATAGGTTTGATTTTCGATCTTTTCCTGCAGCCATATTCTCTCTTCATAAGAGGAGATATGCACAAATTCAAAACCGATATTTTTGCAGTAAATATCTCTATAGATTTCAGCTTCACTTGCCGGAGGTAGATTTGAATGTTATTGGTAATCTATTTCTTGATTTTCACTTGGTGACAATGGGTTTAAGTCTGCAAAAAAGTGACCATAGGACCTGAAGAAATTTGCTAAACTAGAAACTGAATTATCTACCTTAGTTGAATTGCAGGACTCCGCTTTATTAACTTCTAAATTGCTTGAAAAAATTCTATACCAATCTTCCCCGATTGGTTTATCGCCCTGCAGATAACGGCTATACATTTCTTCCACAAATTCTGCATTATCGCCATAAAGGCAGCCTAAACTCGACATAATTACTATATAAAATATCAAACAATTATAAGTATAACTTAAGTTTTTTAAAAAAGAACTTTTTTAGTTTCTATGGCTAAACATGTCATACCGTGATTTATTCACGGTATCCCATCCGCTAACAAGTAGCGGAATGACGGTAAACCTAGATTACTTTAGCTATAATTATTAAGCTGCACCTGCTGGATTTTGTGATTGACTATTAAGAAATTCTGCTCTAGCTTCGGTAAAATCAGGCAATGGTCCTGGTGAAAAAATAGAGTTTTTATTGCGTAGTACGTACAACATAATGCAACAGCAGCCACAACTGCTGCTTGCAGTTGTGGCTGCTGTTGCATTGTATGTTTGGTGTTCTACTCTTGAGTAGAACACCAAACTTTACCTATGTATGCGTCGGCAACCCCAGAAATCAAGGCAATACTACCTGCTGTAGTCAATAGTGCAACAGCCACAAGCGAGGTTGCTTTATTATAATCAATAGCACCAAATAGTTTTCCAACATCACTGTAAGGAGAAACAAGATCTATCGGCTTTTTGCCATCTTTATCCTTCCAGTCTGGATCAGCCACCCACCTCAAAAGCAATTTTGCAATTTCAACACTACCATCTTTGTAATACTTTCTACACAAGTAATGTAACTATGCCCTACCCAGATCATCCTGCATATTAGGGTTAGCACCTTTATCCAAAAACAATTCTACAACTTTATAATGATCGTCTATTCTATAGCTATCAATAATATAATAGAATAGTGATCTGCCTTTTTGATCTTTTACATCAGGATTTGCATCATGTTCCAAAAGTAGATCTACAATGCTATCACGCCCTTCAGAGCACGCTTCATACAATGGAGATCCACCATGTTCATTTTTATATTAGGATCAGCATTATGCTTCAAAAACAGCTTTACAATTCTAACTTTACTGTCACACAGAAATCGATCTTTAAGTACACAGCGTAGTAGTGACTTACCTTCTTGATCTTTCATATTAGGGTCGGCACCATGCTCCAAGAGCAGTTTCACAATGTTATCAAGCCCTTCAGATCACGCTTTACGTAATAGAGATTGAACACGTTCACTTTTTATATCAGAACTAGCACTATGCTCTAAGAAAAGTTTTACAATGTCATCACGTTTTTCAGAATAAGCTTTATATAATAGAGACTCACCGCATTTATTTTATATATAGGGATTTGCACCCCTTTTGAGAAGCAGCTTCGCAATTTCAACACGATCTTAAATGCTGTCTTCCAATAAGTAATGCAACAGAGTTTTACCTTGACTATCTTTTGCATTAGGGTCAGCACCTTTATTTAAAATTGATTCAGTAACTTTGTGGCAAAAACGCCATCACTATTATTAATAACACAGTGTAATGATGATTTGCCTTCTCGGTTTTTTGTATTAGGACCAGCACCATGCTTCAAAAGTAATGTTATGGCATTAACCCTTAACACATGTTTGTATGTATATCCAAGCGCGAAGTTTAATGGTATACTGCCACACACAGTACCTTCTGTATTCAAATAGTTAAATTAACATCATTTTTCACTGTCTCTAGCAACAACTTCAAAAAATCCAGTTTATCGTCTTCAATGGCTGATATTACAAGGTCCGAAAAAACTTTTTCTGATCTCGGTAATCTTCAGTAAGCAATTTCCATGCTTCTGTTTTTTTTCGACAGTTCATCTGTTTTACCCTTTTCTAAAGGGCGTGACAACATTGTAAAATTGTTCTTATACAATTTATTAAGTTGTTGTTTAGCTTATTCATAAACCTCATGATCAGAAAGACTCGTTATTCTCAAGATTTTTAAAGCTTCTTCTTCGTTCATGGCAATTCTTTGTCATCCCAGTGCCCAGACACTGGGATCTAGTTTTCCATAAATGGTGCATTTTAACATAACTTTTATACTTGATAAAATACCTGGATTCCAGCATCAAGTGCTGGAATGACACCTCTCTTTGAGCTATAAACATTAAGAAATTTACTAAACTAAAAAAGGCAAAAGAAGACACGAGTAGCGAGTGTTGACTCCATATTACTGTAAGTGGCGCTGTAATAATGTGCTGACGCTTAGTTTAAGCGCGATTTGGCTGAATGTAGAAAAATTTTAAAAGACATGCAGCCGCTATAATTTTATATAATCCGCCAATAAATACTTTAAGTTTTTTACTGAATTTTTGTCATTGGAACCGCGCGGATCAAAAACAAGCTTTGAGTCGAAAAACAAACTTGTCATCATGGTAATGGGTTTGGCGGAATTTGTCAAGTAAGTTTTGGTTTCTATGAGCTGCCTGAAACCGCAATATTCACACAGTTGGAAAATGGTTGCGGGAGTAGGATTTGAACCTACGGCCTTCAGGTTATGAGCCTGACGAGCTACCGAGCTGCTCCATCCCGCTTCGTTGTTTATTTAGCTATTATACTTGCAATTATAGGATATACAAGGATAAAATCCGCTATGGGTCGTATATTAGTATATTTATTAACTCTTTTTGACATAATAGTTAGCTATATACGTCATTACCTACGTAATGAAAAATATAACTTGATACTGTGGTTTCCTGTGTGTCAGTGTGTAGGGATTTTAGCCTCTTTTTCCCTAAGTTTTGAACCAAGCTGTATTTTCACTATATCTATTTTTCTTTTGCTTCCACCTACACTAACTCTGATTGCGATACTGCACAAAAGGTACACAATACTATGCATTGCTTTAATTGCAGTGCTTATAGGATTTACAGCTAGTAAATTAAGAACAGCTTTAGTTGATACTCAAATTCTTGATAAAGAGAGATACGTAAAAGATATAATTGCTACATTGAAGGACATTAATGACAGGGTCTCATACAAACAATTTCTGCTTTCTGTTACAAAACCCTCTACTATCTCAAAATCCTCTCCTGTCATCCCAGTACTTGATACTGGGATCCAGAAAAAAAAAAGATATGGATTCGAGCGTTACGCGCTGGAATAAAAACGGATAGAGCTCTAGATAACATCAGAATATCAGTTAGAACCAAAGTGGAAAAAGCGCCATTTATAGAGCGCCCAATTGACAGTATCTTGTATATAAAAATAATGCAATCGCTAGTCTTCAGTATTTGGTTATTCCCATACGTACTTTTCCTGCCTCATGAATTATTATCATAAAACTTGGTTTATTGTGGCTGTGCTTGTGGGAAAGAAATTGGCATTTCTTTGGAATTTTCTTTATTGTACTAGGTATTTGCTTTAGCAATGCATATCAAACAAGAGAGCGGAGCAACTTTTGCAGATGAAAGACTGCCTAACGTACCTAATAACCCCAACCCTCAACAAAATGGGCAAGGAAGCAGTAGTCAATCTAATACTGATCGATCTGCAAATAAAGATATGCAAACTAGTACTAATGAATTTGCAGATCAAGAGATACAGATACAGTTATTAGAAGAACACAACCGACCAAGTGAGCCTGATAATGAAGATAATACTGATCAATTAGTAGATGAAGAGAAGGAGCTACAAGAACAAATGTCAGTCTTAAAAAATCAAGACAGAGTAAGGCAGCTGAAAAAAGATTTATTTGAACGAGAAAGAACAGATGAATGGAAAGAAAAAATCAACGGCAAACCAAGTGACTTTCTATATTATTTATTAGAATCTATTAAGCTAGAAGAAAAAGATGATAAAGAAAAAAAATTTGGGGCAACATTACGAAATTTTGATAATAAAATAATAATTCACTGGAAAAATTGCTCTCAAACAATTTTTCATATTAAAAAACAAGGTGATCTCCAAATTGAGTCTAGTGCAAAAATGTTTACAGACACAAATGTTCAAGCAGCATGGGAAAAAGTGCGGGGGTAAATCGCTATAGATCACTCAGTAATAAACTTAAGTGTTAATAATGATAAAGAGAAATTCAGGTTAGACAACTATATAGCTGGAAAATGCAATATATCACGCAGTAAAGCGCAAAGATTGATACAGAATGAGCAGGTGAAATTACTTGGCATACCGATAATTAATAATGACCACATAGTAAAACCAGATGAAGAGTATGTGGTGCATCTCGTTCAACCTGATATATCCACATCAATTGAGCCTAATTATGACATAAAACTTGATATCGTCTATGAAGATGAGGACATTATAGTTCTGAGTAAACAAAGTGGATTAACAGTGCACCCAGGTGCTGGGACAACCAATGATACGCTCTTAAATGCAGTTATGGCTCACCTTGATGTAAGACCAAGAATTGTTCATAGACTCGATAAAGATACCAGTGGGCTGATGGTAATTGCAAAAAATGAGGAAGCCCATAGTTTTTTGTCTGAGTTGTTATCAAATCGTAAAGTAAAGCGGGAATACTTAGCAGTAGTTTGAGGAACATTGCCTACTCAACAAGGAACTATAAAAACTAACATTGCTCCCAAACGCGGTAATAAAGAAATGATGTGTGTAACAAATCTCACAGGCGAATTATCAATCACTTACTATTTAGTGCAAGAAGTTATAGGACAAGCAAGCCTGATTAAATGCACTTTAGAGACAGGCAGAACACACCAAATTCGAGTCCACATGAGCCACATAGGACATTCCATAGTTGGTGATCAAATTTATGGAAAAAATAGTAGTAAAAGCACAAAATATCTAGTTTTATTCATAATTTCAATAGGCAAGCACTACATGCTTATACACTTGGCTTGTACCACCCAAAAAGTAATAAATACATGGAATTTGTCTCTGATTTACCGCAAGATATAAAAACTTTAATTGGTGAGTTTGAAAATATACCTAAGAAAGGTTTACCTGATTTTTGAAGTATAAACCGACAATTTGAAAAACCGTCATTCCTTTATTAGTTAGAGGATGATATACCGCGGGTGTTGCTTGGGTCATCATAAATTGGCTATAACATTTTTATCATTTGTTCACCCTATTGGTTTTGAAATTAAGATTTATTGCAACTACAATTAGTACTCTTATCATCACATTTTGGAGTTAAATCGGGATAGAAAGTGAGTATAGCATCATTCTTTCTTACAAACACTGATTGATAATTGTCATCTTCCATTTCATATAGGCACATTCCATCTTTTCCTAATTCCTTGAACGCCTTAGTTGCAGAAATTAAAATATCATCGGCATGCAGGTTATATGCGTATCCATTTGGGCATTTAACTTTCCCATACTTACTTACCCAAATATTTCATTCCAAATGTATAAACTAGTGGCTTAATATCTGATTTATTGCATAGGGACTTATCATTCCAAATTGCACCTGCCCATTTATCTTCTTGAGCATCAATATATCTACCTACAAAATGCATATCACCTAATTTATCGTTTGGCTCACCACAAAAAATATGTCCAAACCAACAAAAAGGTTCTTTTTCACTTTCACTATTTGTAAACCAAATGTTAGCCAGTTCATCTTTAAATAACTCCAAATCCGCATCTAGCGTAATCAATTGATGATCAAGCTTATCATATATTCCTTTCACTACTTCTTGATGCTGCGGACAACTAAGTCTTCAAGGAATCAAGGAAATCTTCTTTATCTGGATGTGCTACCCAATCTCGCAAACTTTCGACACTCCTCTATCGAAGTCAGTTAATTCTGGAAATGGTGGTATATAACCTGGTTGTGAACTGAAAAATGGTTCAAAATTGACCTTAACATTTTCTTCTACATAACTGGTGTGAAAATAATGATCCCTAATATAAAAAATAAATCCTATTATTGGTATTATTAAACACAAAATTAGTTTAACTGTCTTAGACATAATCACCTTCACGAAAAAGCTAGCTTATAAGAAACAATTTGAAAAAGTTTTAATCTAATGTTGAGTGCATTTTTGCAGAACAGCAAATCCCGGCATTTCATCACCACCCAGCCAACTTAAAAACGCTCCTCCACCAGTGGAAATATATGTAAAATCCTTATCGGCAAGGCCTGCAGCGCTTATTGCAGATAGACTATCACCTCCCCCTATTATGCTGGTTAACTTTCCTTTGTGCGTTAAGTCACTTACGACTTTCATTACCTCTATTGTACCACTTGCAAAAGCTGAATGTTCAAAAACACCAATAGCTCCATTCCAAAGCAGAGTCTCTCTGCTTGCTATTATATTGCTTATTGTACTCAAAGTTTGTGGTCCGATATCCAAAATTATATCACCGTCCAAAATGGACTCAGTTCTTCTTGAAATACTAGTGCTATAATCAGGGTTTACTGCAACCAGAACGTCTTCTGGCACAACTATTTCGCAATTGCTTTTAATTGCTGTTTTAACAACATTATGTAGAAGGTCGTCAACACCATTTTGAAAGAAAGATTTTCCTATATTTACTTTGCTAAATAACAAAAAATTATTAGTAATTGCACCTCCGAGAACTAGGTAATCAACCTTTTCTGTTAGCTTTATAAGCTTTTTTATCTTAGTTGACATTTTGGCTCCCCCAACTATCGCAGTAATAGGTCTAGCTTTAAATGATACAGCTTTTTCAAGATACTTTAGCTCATCTTGTAAGCAAAATCCCGCGTAGGAAGGTAAAAACTCTGTAGTGCGTGAAATAGAAGCGTGAGCTCTGTGAGAGCAAGAAAATGCATCATTTACATATATATATCAGCTAGAGATGCTAGTTGTTCCTCTTTATAAAATCTTAGATTCTCTAGTAATATTATATCTCTTGCATCCATAGCACTCACTGCTTTTTGCACTTTTTCACCAACGCAATCATCAATGAATTTCACTTTTTTATTTAGTAACTGCGATAAAGTGTCAACTACATTTTTTAGCGACAGATTATTGTCTCTAGCCTTTAGGCATCCGAAATGCGATATAATAATAATCTTTGCACTTGCATTCACTAAATACTCAATAGTAGGCAATGCTCTCAAAATACGAGTGACGTCAAGAATTTCTCCATCTTTTATAGGAACATTGAAGTCAACTCTGAGTAAGACGGTTTTATTGTGAAGATCACAATTTTCTATACTAGGTATATTCATTGTAACACTAAAGCTATAAAGCCACTATACAGCAGTTTGACCTAAAGTAAAGTTTTAAGTTTACGAACGTTTAAGGAAATTTGCATCCAGATGGTGTCAGATACTTTCATCTGCCACCTGCAAATTGCAATGTTCGTAGAGTTATGTGTCACGCTAATTGGATGACACCGTTGAAAGAAATGAACCGCCTTTGCAAAATTGTTTTGGATGGAGGAATAACATTAACAAGTAAAATTTCATATTACCATTTTTTTAATTTATGTACTCGTATAAAATTTTGAAAAATAAAGTTGGAAAAGTTGCAAGAACTAAGCAAAAACTGGGTGATAAGAACGGGAAGATTTTTATCTTCATTGTTTTTTTTTACTGTTGATTGCGCTATCAATACGTAGTTTTTTATTCGAGCCATTTCATATACCTTCTGGTTCAATGTAAAGCAGCCTACTTGAAGGAGATTACATTTTTACTAGTAAATATTCATACGGTTACAGTAAACACTCATTTCCATTTTCTCCAAACATTTTTAGCGGCAGGATTTTTTATACCCCTCCAGAGCGTGGCGACATAGTAGTTTTCAAACCCACAAGAAATGACAGCAGGTTTGTTAAGCGAGTAATAGGGACACCAGGTGACAAAGTGCAGATGATAGAGGGAGAATTATACCTAAATGATCAGAAAGTAGAGCGAAGGCAAATTGAAAGTTTTTTTGATTATGAGTCAAATCGTAACATACCAAGATATATGGAAACGCTTTTAAGTGGCAAGGAGCATGAGATTTTGTTAGATAACATTTCTAATAAGCTATCATATAACACTCCGGTTTATTATGTACCTAACGATAATTTTTTTGTTATGGGAGACAATAGAAATAATTCTTTGGATAGCAGGTTTCCTGAAGTTGGTTTTATACCAATGGAAAATATCATTGGGCGTGTAAGTATAGTTGGTTTATCGTTTAAATTGGGGAAGGTCGATTGGTTACCATTTAATTTCAGACTACCTGTTGCTCTGAGATTAAATATAGTATTGCACAAGGTTGTGTAAGCTTTTTCTACCTATTTGTTAATTCACACAACTCTAAAGAAGAATTCTAACTCAGCGATAGCGTTGTTAATTTCATTCAAGTCATCGCCTTGTAAAGCGTTTTTTGCGTTTTGTAATAGGTTTTTCAACTTTTGATCAGTGGAAACATTTTCAACTAGATGTATGAGCTTGTTACCGTTAATTTTAGCCTCTGCAACGGAACGAGCCTTCATATCTTCATCAGAGCTGTTTATTGACTGGTTAACCATATTTTGAACATCAGCTTCACTCAAGCCAAAATTTGAATTTACTTCAACTGTCTGCTCAATTCCAGTAGCTTTTTCTCTTGCAGTAACAGTCAAGATTCCGTCAACGTTAATTGTAAATTCTATTTCAATTCTTGCAGAACCTGCAGGTAGTGGTGGTATACATTTTAGTTCAAACTGCGCTAGAGATTTATTATCCTCTATCATTTCCCGTTCTCCTTGACAAACGTGAATTTTCATTGCTGGTTGCCCATCAACATAGGTTGTAAACTCTTTTATCTCTGAAACTGGTAGTGGTGTATTTCTTGGTATGATTTTTTCAACTATGCCTCCCATAGTTTCTATGCCAAGTGATAAAGGTAGAACATCAAGGAGAACAGAATGAGCCTGCAAAGCTGCTCCAATGACCACTGCTTTATCTGGATCTGCGTCACTTAGTACTTTATTTCCAAAGAGCTTGACTAGTGAATTTTGAACCAATGGTGTTCTAGTTGCACCACCAACTAAAATTACTCCTTTTATATCATCAATTTTAAGATCTATATCACTTACAGTACGAGTGACTATATTGATAGTCTTCTTAACTAAAGGACTTATTACCTGTTCGAACTTCTCTCTAGTTATTTCACATTCAAATGGCTTGCCGTTAATGTTAAAGCCAAAAGTGCCTGAGATATTTTCACTTAAGTATTCTTTCGCGGTACGGATATTGGAGGTTCCAGCGTTATGTGTTGGAATGACATTAAGGTGTGTTGTCGACTCCTTGATTAAACCTGCTTTTTCTCTATACTTATCAAGTACAATTGAACTTAGTAGGTGATCAAAATCATCACCGCCGAGTTTGGTATCACCACCAACCGCAAGTACTTGAAACACTCCTTGATGTAATTTCAATATTGAAATATCAAATTTTCCTCGACCGAGGTCGTAAACTACATATATTCCGCTGCTGTTGTTCTTTTCAATGGAGTAAGAAAGTGCAGCAGCAGTTGGTTCATTAACGAGACGAAGAACTTCTATGCCAGCTAATTTTGCTGCATATTTAGTTGCGTTACGTGCTGAATCGTCAAAGTAAGCTGGCACAGTGATCACTGCTTTTTTTACTTCCATTCCTGTAGACTTTTTCACCCTCTCGCATAAAGCTTTTAATATTTCAGCAGAAATCTCAACAGGAGTAAGATACTTCTCCTCTGAGCATTTTACTCTAATAACTTTTTTACTTTCGTTATCTATTTCAAAATTGAGGCCTTCTTTATTTAATTCTTTAACACTTTTACCCATTAAACGCTTTATTGAGTAGATTGCATTTTGACCGACGTCACAGCCAGTCTTCAATGTATTATTTTCATACGAAATAACAGAAGGCAGTAGCTCTCTTCCCTGCTCATCTTTAAATATCTCCACGTTGCCAGCTTTATTTACCATAGCAATTAAAGAGTTAGTAGTGCTAAGATCTATACCAAAAACTACCTCATTTGAACTTGGTTCAGAAATTTGAATTGGTTGCATTCTTTTTTACCTCCTCAAAGGACTTATATAAATATTTCAATCTTAAGACTTGTGTAGCAGCTCCATCAAAATTCTTTACAGCAAAAGTGTTAATTAGGTTTTTAACGCAATCTTTTATTTTTTCATCAACCATCCTACTTGCAAATTGTAGATCATCGCAGTCCAGCAAATATTCTCTTATTTCGATTGATTCATTTAATATTTCATAATTTGGATGATCCTTTTGGCTTTTCATACCAAAAAGATTCAACAAATGTTCGGCACGTTTTAAAGGTGACTTTAGCACCTGATAAGCTTTGTTAATATTAATTATATTTTTAGATTGTCCTTCGTTTATATCAGTCCTGCTTAGCTCAATATATTTTTTTCTCTAACTCATCAAAGCTGATATTGAAAGTTGGTTCAATTTCAAATAATGCAAAATAGTTGCTAGACATGAAAACTCTCTCCACAACCACATTTTCCTTTCTCATTAGGATTTTTGAAAACAAAACCCGATGAAAATTTTTCTTCTACATAATCCATTTCAGAGCCAAGAATAAACATGACAGATTTTGGATCGATCAACACTTTTAACTTTTTGGTCATCACTGCAGTTTTCCTCAATTATCGACTGTAAAGGACGAGTATCATACGCATATTCAATATCATATTTTAAACCAGAACATCCTTTTTGTTTAATTAGCACTCTTATTCCTATTGCTTCTTCCGGTTTATCAAGGTTAATACGCTTCTTTTGGTCCAATAAATACCTTATCCTTTCTACTGCTTTCGCAGTTATAGTAATAAGTTTTTATCTTTTTTTATACCGGTTACTCCTTGATATTCACTCATGCTTTAGTTCTCAATGTCCACCTTTACTTTGTTTGCTTTGATAATCATGAATAGCAGCCTTTATAGCATCTTCAGCAAGCACCGAGCAGTGTATCTTCACTGGAGGTAAAGACAACTCTTTCACTATTTGAGTATTCTTTATCTGTGTAACGTCACTGATGGTTCTTCCCTTTATCATCTCTGTTAACAAGGAACTTGAAGCAATGGCAGAACCACAACCAAAAGTTTTAAATTTTGCATCTTCAATAACACCTTTGTCATTGACCTTTATCTGCAATTTCATTACATCACCGCACGATGGTGCACCAACTAAACCAGTACCAACATTTGGATCATTTTTATCCAGAGAGCCAACATTCCTTGGAATTTCGTAATGATCTAAAATTTTCTCATTATAACTCATAAAATTACCTATAAACCACTGTCCTACATTGTAACATATTTGGGTTAAAACTCAAGGAAAACAGTTGTTTTACGTGTATTTTACTTTCAAAATTCCCATAAAACTACTGTTTAACTTTACAAATACACATAATACGTGTATTTCTCTACAATCAGCGTCTCTATGTTGCCATTAAGTTTATAATTTAAAAAGGAGTATTCCCTTGAGTTTGTTTAGTAAACTTTATAAAGGCTTGTTAAAAACTTCTTCTCGCTTTAGCGACGGGGTGAAAAGTATTTTTTCTGGCAAAAAAAAATTAGATCAGTCGCTTTTAGATGAGCTAGAAGAATTGCTAATTACCATGGATATTGGTCATAAAACTTCCAAGTTGATTATTGACAGGCTCACAAGCATCAAGTTCGACAAGGAAGTTGAACATAACATTATCACACAGCAGTTAATGAACGAAATAGAAGCTATATTAAACCCTGTCGTGCAACCGTTAATTTTAAACAGAAAACCACATATAATAATGGTATGTGGAGTAAATGGTAATGGTAAAACCACAACTATAGGTAAGCTCGCATATAAATATAAGGAGATGGGAAAATCCGTTATGCTTGTTGCATGTGATACATTTAGAGCTGCTGCTAGTGAACAATTAAACATTTGGGCAGAACGTTCTGATTGCTTAATTGTTACTAGAGAGCACGATAGCGATTCTGCGAGTGTGGCATATAGAGCTGTAAGTCAAGCTGTAAAAGATAACGTTGATGTTGTTCTAATTGACACAGCAGGAAGGCTGCAAAATAATATGAACCTTATGGAGGAGTTATCAAAAATGTATAGAACGATAAAAAAATTGGATGACACTGCCCCTCGTGATGTTATTTTAGTTCTTGACGCAACTACCGGCCAAAATGCTTTTAGCCAATTAGAGGTATTTAGTAAGATAGTTAGTGTTACAGGGTTAATCATAACAAAGCTAGATGGCACTGCTAAAGGTGGAGTAGTAACTGGACTTGCAGAAGCTTATAAGGTAAAGTTATATGCTATAGGAATTGGTGAAAGTATAGAGGACTTAAAGGAGTTCACTAGTAAAGAATTTGCTGAAGCGTTATTCAATTGTAATTAAAGACTTCTCTTAATTCCCTTACGTGACCAAGCTTAATTATCTCAATATCATGAGAAGAGTAATTACCATTTTTAGGCATAATTGCTTTTTTGAATCCTAACTTTTGTGCTTCTTTTAGTCTAAGATCAGCATGCGAGACATTCCTAATTTCTCCTGAAAGTGCAACTTCACCGCAGATTATTGAAGAAGTTGGCAGCGGTAAATTTACTACACTTGAAATAAGGGAAGCAGCAACAGCAAGATCAGCCGATGGTTCCTGTATTTTGAGTCCCCCTGCAATGTTTAGGTATACCTCTTTATCATGCAAAAACATTTTACAGCGAGCATTTAGCACCGCGATGATCATAGCCAATCGATTAATATCCCACCCAATTACTGCCCTTCTTGGGGTTGCCATATTAGTCCCTGCTATCAACGCTTGAACTTCTATTAAAATTGGTCTTGAACATTCAATTCCTGCAAATACAGCGCTGCCAACTACTTCTCTGTCATGGGCCATCAGAAACAATAATGATGGATTATCAACAGGCACAAGTCCTGCTTCAGACATCTCAAAAACACCAATTTCATTTGCAGGACCAAATCTATTTTTAATAGTGCGTAAAATGCGATATTGATTACTATTTTCACCTTCAAAATATAATACCGTATCTACCATATGCTCCAAAGTTTTAGGTCCAGCTATTTGCCCATCCTTAGTTATATGACCAACTATTAAAAAAGAAACACCATATTGTTTCGCAAGAATGGTTAATTCATGGGCACAAGTACGAACCTGAGTTACAGTTCCTGGTGCTGATGTAATTCTGCTATCATACATTGTTTGTATAGAGTCAATTACTAAAAATTTAATACTTTTATTTTCCTTTATTGTTGCTACTACATCAGTTAAAGACACTGTAGATAAAAGCTTAATTTTAGGTTCATTTATCTTAAGACGCTTTACTCTGAGGCTCACCTGCTCTAAAGATTCCTCGCCAGATACATAAAGACATTCAAAAGAGGAAAGTTGCACATTAGCTGCAATTCTAAGCAAAAGGGTAAATTTTCCAATACCAGGTTCGCCTCCAATTAGAATGCTAGCACCTTGAACGATACCCCCACCAAAAACTCTATCTAATTCTTCTACTCCTGTTAGAAAACGACTTGGAGTGATAATTTCGCTACCCGATAACGCCTTTATTAAAATTGGCGCAGATATATTTCTTTTTCCCGTTTTTACTGCTATTTCTTCAACAACTGTATCCCAATTGTTACATGCAATGCACTTTCCTACCCACCTACCAGTGCTATGACCACAGGATTGACATACATATACAGTTTTCATCAAAGCCAAAATTATTTTGCTATAATTGTAATAAAAATTAGCTGAATAGGCGAAGTAAATCTAATCACTGAGTCTCACAAACGTTTTAGTGCGAAGATAATTGTCATAAGTTGTGCCATTTAAATTCATACACAATAATTGCATGAACGCTTCCCTCTAGGATCCAAATAGCACATTCTCCTGTCATTCCAGTGCTTGACACTGGGATCTCATTTTACTTTATGATAAAGTCATGAAAGTAACTGACACTGGGATGACACCCTACTAGCGGAAGTTACTCTCAAATGTTTGTTCATGTTAGCTATAAATATTAAGGAATTTACCAAACAAAAAAAAAGCAAAAGAAGCCCTGTGGTTATTATCCGCTTTAAAATATTAGCGTTTTTTATGTTTTAAACTCTTGATAAGAGACATTTAGCTGCTTTTAATTGCAACTAACCTACGCTGCAAATGTTTAAGAAGTTTACCAAGTAGAAAAAAAGACAAAGAATCCACGAGTTAGCTAGTCCTTTACTATCTCTGTCGAGTATTGACATTTTTTGATGTCTTGTAATGATTTGTAAGCGCATCCAACTTATTTAGATAAAATCTAGATGTAGATAAAGTTTTGTAAAGACATACAGTATCTATATACTGCAAAAAAACTGAACATAAGACGCCGATACATTAAGTAGTCCTTACCTTCTAATCTGCTAGATTGGCGAAAGCAAATACAATAGCTTTACTTCTATAGGAAAGGGTCTGGCAGAGTTTGTCAAGCAAGTTTTTTTCGTTTCTGCTAGCTACTTGAATAACGGATACAATGTTTGTACAATTGTGCGTAACGCGCTGCTGAACATTGGTTTTTATATGGGTGTATAAGAAAAATCAAGGCTTAAAAGGAAACTTAAGCAGCTAATAGTGCCTAAGCATTCTTAATAAAACATAAAAAGCCCCTTTACCACCATGTTGTTTCCTAGCTTGCTGGCAGTATAGAAACATATGCTGGATTTTAGTATCATTCAACCACTTATTTAAGTTATTCTTTATAGTGTCTGTTTTATTTGTTGCACTGCCGTATCCCGTAATTAATAATAAACATCTATTTCCTGCTCGATAATTTTTGATAATAAAATCTATCAATTTATAGTAAGCATCCTCTATACTATAGCCGTGCAAATCGAGCTTATCGTTTATAAAATATTTACCCCTATCAACTTTTGATTTTGTGTTTTGGTCAAGACAAAATGATGAGTTACCATTATTGTTATTAAGAAAATTCCTTTGTAAGTCGAAGTTCCCTTTATCAATCATAGACCTTATATTTACTTGATGATTAACTTTCAAAGTAACTTTTCCACATTCTATTGGCTTAACATTTTTTGCCAATACAACTCATCGTCTGACATAAAATCATTAATTGAATTGTATAATTTTACAACAATATCCAACCGTAGTAAAATGTTGCTTATTCTGTAAAAACCCGATTTTCGATAATACGATGAAATCGTCAAAAACTAATGAGAATTTTTGGCTGTATGGAAAGCACACCTGCATGTCAGCACTGAAGAGTAAAAATAGGCGGTGTATAGAACTGTTACTAACAGAAAATTTCTATAGAGAACATGAAAAAGAAATTAGGCAATGTGTAAATAGTAAGGGCATTAAAGTTCGATTAGTAGAAAAAAAATACTTAATGGAGTTTTATTTAAAGGTGCTAACCATCAAGGAATTGCTTTAAATGTTGCCCCTATTCTTTGCAACTTAAGCATCGAAGAAGTAGCTGAAAGCTCAAATGACAGCTCTACTATAGTCATTTTAGATCAAGTCACTGACACGCACAATATTGGATCGATTTTAAGAACTTCAGCTTGTTTTAATGTCAACGCATTGGTTTTACCACATAATTATTCACCTGGCGAAAATGCATCTATTGCAAAAGCAGCAAGTGGAGCATTGGATATTGTTCCGCTAATATACGTTACAAATATAGGAAAAACTATGCAGTATTTAAAAAAGGTCGGCTACTGGTGTTACGGGTTTGATTGCAACGCTAAAGAAAATATAGATGAAATAAAGAGCTTTGAGAAAAAAAGAGTAATTATTTTTGGTTCTGAAGAGAAAGGAACGCGGAGGTTAGTTAAAGAAAATTGTGATTATCTTTTAAAAATACCAATGTCAAATGCAATCAACAGTTTAAATGTTTCAAATGCAGCAGCAATAGGACTATATTCTATTTATATTAAAACAAATGTCAGCGTTACTAACAGCATAACTTTTTATAATAAAAATACTTGATAAAAATGTGGTTTTATATTATAACGTGTTAAATGATACACAAAAGGAGTTATATTTATGTCTTATATGAGGAATGAACAGGATATCCGCTCTCAGGACGTTTATTATAGCGCTGGGCTCGGAAGTTACCTAACTAAAGTATATAATTGCATGACTTTAGCTTTAGTCGTTACAGGGCTTGTTGCGTTTCTAACGTTACTTTCTGGTCTTTTTCAGATAATTCATTCTAATCCTGTTCTGTCGCTTGTGATAATATTCTCTCCAGCTGCATTGGTGATCTATATGCGGTATAGAATTCAACACCTAAGTGCTGAGTCTGCCGTTGCTATATTTTTCTCGTTCTCAGTTTTAATGGGGCTTTCCTTATCTTATATTTTTATAGTTTATACTGCAGAAAATATAGCAAGAGCGTTTTTCATTACGTCAATTATGTTTGGCTCTATTGCTTTATATGGTAATACCACAAAAAGGGATCTTACAAGTATGGGCTCTTTCTTGATTATGGGAGTCTTGGGGATAATTATATCATCCATAGTAAATTTATTCCTTGGAAGTAGTCCCCTCTACTTTGCAATATCGTTCATATCAGTAATAGTCTTTACCTTAATGACTGCGTATGATGCTCAAAGAATCAAGGACGTTTATTATAAATATAACGACGGATCGGAAGTCGCTACTACTAAATTGGCAATGCTGGGTGCATCTGATCTTTATTTTAACTTTATTAACATATTTCTCAATCTACTCAGGTTACTTAACTTGTTCAATAATAGGGACTAGATGTTTTCCTTTTTAAGGAAAGGTAGTAAGAATTCTATAATTTTCTTTTTAATATCTTTAGTCGTGTCGATGCTATGTCTTGCATATGCATCGGTACCATTATATAGCATTTTCTGTAAAGCTACCGGGTATGGTGGCACAACAAGAAAAGTAACTAATGCAACAATAAGTGCAACTGACCAAAGAATCAGGGTCCACTTCAATGCTGATATAATGTCCGATCTACCTTGGGAATTTAAATCAGAAACTAACTACGTTGACGTAAACATAGGAGAACAGAGTTTAGCATTTTATTACGCAAAAAATCTATCTGATCAGCCTTCATTTGGTATGGCAGTATATAACGTTACGCCTTTCAAAGCAGGTAAGTATTTCAATAAAGTTGCATGCTTTTGTTTTGAAGAGCAAATGTTGCTACCAAAACAAAAAGCTACTATGAACGTATCTTTCTATATAGATCCTGATATAATGCTTAATAGTAATACAAAATACTTGAGCAAAATAACACTATCATACACGTTTTTTAAGCTTAAGTAACAGAATTTTTCTATTGTCCACCCAAGCAGCGTGAGCTATAGCTAAACTGACTTAGATTTGCCGACAATTTGAAAAACTGTCATTCCGTTACCCGTTAGCGGGATCTATACTTTGAGATACCGCGAATAAATTGCGGTATGACGTGTTGAAACAATCCGATAAAGTAAACCTCGTTATCCCGCTACTTGTTAGCGGGATGACGCTCAATGTTGGAATGTTAGCTTCACAAGCATTCCATCATTGAGCCAATGTCTTATTATTTTTTACAGAATCTGGCATTTCTATGTTGGGATTTTCCTTTAATATGTGATTAATTAGCATCTCAGCACATTTTATCTGACTTTCAGCTCTTTCAGCATTCTCTTTATTTGGTGAAGATTGATCGAAGGAAAAGTTAGTAAAATTATTTAAAATGTCACATGCTTGCCTATTAGAGATAATGATTATTTTTTTCTCCACGAGAGTCTTAAAAAGATTTGGAGATGGTATAAGAAAAGCTACATGTAGATAGGTAAAATCATCTCTTGGCTTAATGTCCGCTCCAGCTCTTACTAAAGCTTCTGCCACGTTAAGATATTTAGAGTTGATAGCTATATCTAAGAGTTTTCTGGCATCTGGATTTTTGCCATCATTTTGCACACGAAATTCATGGTCAATTGCAAAATTTCCAGCTTTCCATGACTCAAATAAATCACTGCAACTTTGACTATACTCTTTGCCTTTTTCTAACTTGCTTTTTATTAACTCTATTACATTATATGTTTTTATATCATTGCTTATTTTCTTAAATATCCCACAAAGAGCAATATACCTATTAATATCTCCTCTATCTAACATAATTTATACTCTCTAATTGCTTAAATAGCTTATTTAAAGTATAGAGATATTTGATAAAAAAATCAAGCTTGTTAATTGTAGAAATAATGACTTTGCAAAATATTAATTATTAGATAACATAATCAAAGCTTTTATCTTACATTCATCATGGTTAGAGCTATACAAATTAAAAAAACTGGGGGACCAGAAGTATTAGAATTTGTAGATAAGAATATAGGTGAGCCAAAAGGCGAGGAAGTCTTAATACGTCATACAACTATCGGCTTAAATCGTTATGATTTAGAGCACAGAAAAGGTACACGCAAAATTAAAAATTTACCATCAGTACTTGGAGTGGAAGCAGTCGGGGTTATTGAAAAACTTGGTAAAAAAATCAGTGATGGACTCAAAGTTGGAGACAGAGTTGGATATTGATTTCTTAAATTTACGCGAACACTACACATTGAATAAAACCATTATTTACGGATTTTATCGCGTTTAATTACTTTAATTTATTTTTATTATTATCCCGACGTTTCGGGTGCTTTACAGCACCCATGGTCAGACGGGGGGAACTGAGATGTTTGACGTCCCAATGTCATTGTTAGCCCGGCTGCCTTCAGTTTTTGAATATTAATTTTTGGTCCGATTTACGCAAACAGTATCTTGAAGTCTTGCAGTGGTATGCTTGGGTTTGGGTTTAATTTTGTTAATTATAGGATCCCAAGCAGATGGCAGCACCCAACCATCTTCTCTATTGAAATTAGGATGTTTTTTAATTTCAATAGCCTCACGTATCATCCTTGGTAGGAATCGGTGTTCTTTTGCGAGGACTTGCGGTTTATCAAATCTGATGTAATGGTGGGGACGATCCTGAACATGTTCACAGACTGCAGACTTTCCGGAGCGTCGGTGCTTCACGTCAGCTCAACGTGAAAGAACATATAGTTTTACAATTTTATAAGCGTATTTCATCTTGTATAGGTAAAAACCTAGAAATTTGATAAAGAAATAGAGTGCACATAGTGCAAAAAATTAAATATGAGACGCCAAATAAGCCGAGTTTTTCTGTCATTTAATCTGTACAGAGAAGATAAACAAATAGTCTCACTGTCATGATAAAGGGGATGGCGGAGTTTGTCAAGTAAGTTTTTTGTTTCTATTCCCAATAAAAGTTCGTTATATAGTTATGCAAGAGGTCTTATGAATCGCGGTATGACGTCTTAGCTATAGATGCTGGTTTGTGTGCTCCCAGTAATTTCAAGAGAAGCTTAGTAGATAAGTTGTGTTTTAAACCAGATTCGGTATTTTAAACTTAACATTTTCAATAATACCACCTGGCATAAATGAAATTTTTACACTCAGATTTCCTTTTAGGTAGTTCATTAATTCATCAACCAATATGTCAGGAGCAGAAGCACCTGCAGTGATTCCTATCTTTTCTACGCCCTGAAACTATCTTTTATTCACACAGCTGTAATTATCAATTAAGTAGGCTCTTTTTCCTCTGGCAGTGCACAGATCTAATAAGCGGTTTGAATTTGAGCTATTTTTACTTCCTACAACTAACACTATGTCTACAATTTCAGCTAGCTTTTTAACAGCATTTTGTCTGTTTTGCGTTGCATAGCATATGTCCTTTAAATCTGGACCTTTTATACTTGGAAACCTGAGCTTCAGGGCAACAATAATTTCACGGGTATCGTCGATGCTTAACGTGGTTTGTGTAACATAAGGTAAATTATCTGGATCTTTAACTTTTAAATTGCGTATGTTCTGCACATTTTGCACTAAAATAATAGGATTATTTACTCTTCCTCTAATTCCCTTAACTTCTGGATGGTTTTCATGCCCAATGAGAATTAATTCTTTACCACTGTTTTCATACCTTTTTGCCTCTTTATGCACTTTGCTGACTAAAGGACATGTTGCATCAATCACTTGAACACCCTTTCTTTTTGCCTTATCTATTATCGTATCCTCGTCTAATATCGTATTCCTCGATTATCTCCCATTTCCTCGATACTGTTCACAAAAACCACTCCTTGTCTCTTAAATTCCTCTACTATATATTTATTGCGAACAATTTCGTGTAGCACATAAACTTGGCACTTGTTTTTATATTTTTCTAAAGTAATAGCTAATATGTCCACAGCTCTTTTTACCCCGGCACAAAAACCTCTCGGCTCAGCTAAGATAATTTCCATTTTTCTCAAATCAAGTAAATATGCAAGCATTACTTAAAAACGAGCTCCGCTTACTGTGTTTTATAGTACCATTATTTACGTTTTATATAATAATTATTTTTCGCATATTAACATTTGATCAACCTACTACTTCAGAAATTTTTAGAAAAGATAATACAGTATATAAATAACCTGATATTTTAGATAGAAATGGAGTGTAATAGCAACAAACGTGCCCGCAACATCACTATATACAGATGCAACCAAAGTAAATAATCCGGAAAGTATAGCAGCACAACTGTGTTCTATTTTGAATGATCTTGAATACGAGAATTCATATAGAGTACTTAATTCAAAAAAGAAATTTGCTTGGGTAAAGCGGCACTTGACTCCAAAAGAACTGTTAGCAATAAAAAATGCCGGCGTGCCAGTAATAAACTTCTATAACGACGTAAAACGTATATATCCTCACAGTAATTTATTTTCACACGTGCTTGGTTACACTGACATAGATGGCAACGGTATTGCAGGAGTTGAGACATATATAAGTAAAAACAAACAACATTCTGTTATCCAAGTAGCTGACACTGGGGTCCAGAAAAAATACGTGTACTCCAGCATTACGCGCTGGAATAATACCTTAACATGGTATTCAACTATCCTTAGATACACGAGTGCAAAGCATAGTGCACGAAGAGCTAACTAAAGCTGTAAGCAGATATCAGGCACTCGGCTGAGTAGGAATTATTTTAAATGTGAGAAATAGTGAAGTCATCTCAATGGTCAGTCTGCCTGATTGTAACCCCAACCTACAGAATAAGGCAGAAGACGTACAAAAGTTTAATCGCGCCAGTATTGGGGTGTATGAGATGGGTTCGGTATTAAAATACTTTACAATAGCCGCAGCGCTTGATGCAAACGTTGTAAAAATTGATGATTTATATGACGTGTCAGAGCCAATCACTATTGGGAAATATAAAATTTATGATCTTCATGAATTTAAGATTCCGGAAATCACTGTGCGAGACATATTTGTGAAATAATCTAACATTGGTGCAGCAAAAATTGCAGTTAAATTAGGTATTGAAAAACAAGTAGAATACTTTAAAGCTATGAAGTTATTTTCTCCTTTAAAAATATAAATACCAGAAAAATCTACACCGATAATCCAGGATAAATGGAGTGTAAACAATTTAATAACAGCATCTTATGGTTGTGGCATAGCTGTAACTCCTGTACATCTTGCACAAACTGCAGCAGCATTAATCAACAATGGGATATTTCATAACGCAACCTTGATGTTGAATAAAAGAAGTATAGGAGAGCAAATTATCTCAAGAAGAACCTCCAGGGAAATGAGAAAATTATTACGCGTAGCAGTAACAGATGGCACTAGCAGAATAGCAAAAATGAAGGCATATTCAATAGGAGGAAAAACTGGATCGGCGGAAAAAGTTGTAAATGGCAAATATAGCAAAGATGCAAACATAGCGTCATTTATAGGAGTGCTAACTATGCTTGACCCAAGGTATTAGTGCTAATTGCTATTGATGAACCTCAAGGAATGCGCCATACCTGGGGAATAATTGCTGCGCCTATAGTAAAGAACATTATAAATAGAATAGCGCCTATACCAGATGTTACACCTGAGATGTAAAATTATGATTGCTTTACTACAACTTCAAATCTATCATTGCCAAAATCCTTATTAATAAACCAAGAACCATCATCTTTAGTTATAAATTCAAGACCTTTAAGATTTCTTTTCATTGTTTTTCCATTTTGACCATCGATAGCGATATTAATATCGAATGTAATAACGTCTAGATTTATCATAGCTTCTTTCCCACTGCACGAATTTAGAATGAACTTGCCTAACATGTCATCATTAAAACTCACTTCCCCTGTATAGACATTACACTGACCGTCCACACAACACGTAGTTTCAATATAGAAAAGGTCTGACATATAAAACACCTTACGTTTATAAAAAAAGAGCTAAATATATATAGCTAGTGCAGCCCTACGCCACGCCGCTAACAATTAATAGTCATAAACCTAGAGCACTTTAGCTATATAACCATAATACAGCTAGGAATATAAAATTCAACAGTTAATTTTGTAAGGAAGTCTAAATTAATACATCTTAGAGGAATGTCTGTTTAGTTTTTTTGTTAATCTTTTTCACCATGCTGTCAATCATATGCTTTATCCCTTCATATACAGAGTATATACTTTCGTCACTACGCATATAAGCAGAACAGAAAAATACATTATGTTCTTCGTCTTCTATTGATAACCCTGTATCACACTTTATGTATTCACCACCAAGCTTCTCTATCAACTGTTCTCTGTCATCTTCTATAGTTATCTTAACCTTACTTTCTTCTTTACCTATCTTGCTACTTAAAATTGAAACAATGATGGCTGGAGATATGCATATTGCTCCTATCGGCTTTTTTGTAACAAAAAATTCTGAAACTAATCTTTCAAATTCAGGCATTACTGTCACCATGTCTTTATTTTTAGCTAAATCAGATAAATTTTTTGCAAACCCGTATCCACCAGGTACAACTAGCATGTCAAAATTTTCAGCTTTGGCTTCTTTTAATTCATATATTTCACCTCTTGCGATTCTTGCAACTTCTGCAAGTACATTCCTTTTTTCTTCTGTTGCCTCTTTTGTTTTATGATTCATAACTTGTGTGATATTGATATCAGGTGCAGAGCATTTAACATTATCTTACTGCTGATCAAGCACAAGCAAACTTAAAACCGCTTCTCTTATCTCTGCACCATCAAGTTGACCACACCATGATAAAACCACAGCAGCTTTTAATTTTTTTCCGCCCATAAAGTACCTTAATTTCACGTAATCTAGATATTTTAATACAAATTCTATATTTGAAAAGAGGTTGTTATATTAATTATCTCATATTTATTACAATATAATTAATAATTAGTATATATAATTAGGCATATTCATAGTTGATGAAGTTGAATATGGTACCTACAAACAGTACGTCTTTTGACACTGACTACCAAGAAAGGCTATTTCAGATATAATAGAAAGCATTGCACAGTCCCCACAGGAAGAAAAAGGGAAGTTGTTTGAAGCCATATCAGAACAAGTTAGAGGGATGAACCTCAAAGATTTAGGTTTAGTAATTAATGACCAAGGCTTGCAAAAGGAGGTAAATAAAGAATTATTTATAAAACTCATTGAAGAAGCACTTAAAGGGTTAACTTCTGAAAACGTTGACTCAAAAACAATAGAAGAGGCGTTAAAATCTGTTAATCAGCAAGCAATAAGTAATGTCATAAATAATAATAAAGGTCCGCTGGACAATCTAGTCAATTATTTTAAATCAGCATCTGCAAATAAAAAATTGGAATAGCTTCTATAGGAATAGTATTGGGAGTAGCATTTTCTCCGCTTATTGTGCTTGCGATGCTAAAGATCTCTAACAGTTATTGATAATGCTTCTGCTAATTTATATAATTTCTTAATTGAAATTCTGTGTGTTCCTTTTTCATATTGCAGTATTACCCGATATGTTGTACCGATTTTTTTTGCTAAATCTTTTTGAGTATATCCCTTTGCTAATCTACGATTTCTTACTTCCTGTCCTATTACCTTGTAGTCTAAAAAGCTAGAGCAGTTATTCTCTTTTCTCACATCTTATACTTCATAATCAGAAGAACTGTTACGTATCCTTAGTTGGGAAACTCTTTGACAAACTGAACTCATCTCCTTTCAAACAATTTTTCTATACCACTTAGTTTCATTTCTATGTAAGTTGGTCTTCCGTGGTTGGATTGCCCAGCACACTTTGTTTCTTCCATTCGTCTCAGTAGCTCGTTCATTTCCTCTAACATCATTTTTCTCCCTGCTCTAATTGACCCATGGCACGCAATGGTAGCTAACACTTTTTCTTCTATCGGTAGATTATCTCCTATCTCCATCAATCTATCAATTATATTCATCACCATCTCTCTCACATTTATTGTTCCCAAGATTGCAGGAATTTCTTTTACCGTCACTTTATCTTCTGATTGTATTTCAACACCAAAACCCATTTCGAAAAGCTTATCTTTACACATTTCAACCATCTCCATTCCTGCTTGGTTTTTAATCTCAACTGTTTCAGGAAGAAGAAGTTTTTGTCTTTTTATGCTTGATTTTTGTTTTAAGCACTCGTATATCAATCTCTCATGGGCTGCGTGCTGATCTACTATAATTAATTTGCCTTTAGCCTCAGCAATAATATAAGTATTGTAAACTTGGCAATGTGCACACCCTAGAGGATGATCCTCTACCAAATCAATTTGCTCTCTTTCTAGAACTATAACTCCTTTCTGTGGTGTAGATTTCTCTATACCTTCATACTTAAAACTTCCTGATAAGCTTTGCTTTCTTTCGTCTGGCGCGTTGAATTCTTTCATTAAACGATTTTCTAAAATACTTGGTCTCTTCTCGTAAAACTCTTTTTGGTTTTTTTTCTCTTTACTATCAATCTGCTCTTGGCTATCAAACTCCTCAATACTTTGAGACTCAACATCACTTGCTGCAAACGTACCTACTCTAGTCGATAATGCTTTTATTATTCCTCTTCTCACTATTTCATATACTAGCCTCTTGTTCTGAAACCTTACCTCTGATTTATTTGGATGCACATTTACATCTACTTGATCGTATGGTATCTCTAAGTGCAGCACTGCAAAAGGGTACCTTCCACTTAGAATGAAATCTTGATATGCATATCTGATTGCACCAATAAGTAGATTGTCTTTTATTGGCCTGCCATTAACAAACGTATAGATCTGGGTTGAATTACCATGATTGACAGTAGGTTTACAGATGTGTCCCGTAAGTTTGATGCCTTCTTCTTCCTCTTTAACTTCCAGTGAATTGCTCTGACATTCTTCTTCTATTTCACATAACCTGTTAAAGAATGAAGTTTGTTTAGCATATTTTAAGACCTTTTTATTACCAGAACCAAGAGTAAACCGAACACTATAATTAATCATCGCTAAGTTATTTACAATATCAACTATAGCTTGTGCTTCTGCCCTTTCGGTTTTTAGAAATTTTAGTCTATTTAGTGTGGCAAAAAATAAGTCACAAACTTCAATATACGTACCTTCCAATAGAAAACAAGGGATAACTTCTCCTGCTTTTTCTCCTCCTTCATACCTTATAGACCATTCTTCCTTTGCTCCACTTGCCTTAGACGATAATTTCATTCTACTTACTGCTGCAATTGAAGGTAAAGCTTCTCCTCTAAACTCAAGTGCTTGATCTCTATTAACTAACTATCGCTTAATTTTGAAGTAGTGTAGCGCATAAATGCAAGTTCCAAATCTTCCTTTTTTATTCCATTTCCATTATCTATCACACTGATAAGGTTACGCCCAACACTTTCTATCTTGATCTCTATCTCTGAACTTCCAGCATCTATTGCGTTTTCCACTAATCCCTTTACTACACTTGCTGGCCTTTCGATTGCTTCTCCAGCTGCTATAAGGTTTATTGTTTTTGTATCTAAAAGAATTATTGCCATATTTCCAACTCTCAGTCTGATCAGGATATAGCTTGAATATCAATGCAAATCAAGTATGTTTCACAAAGCTGGCCTTCCTAAGAAGAGATAAAAACCTGCTTAGCTAAGTTCTTTTGAGCAGATCATTATCCTACTAACATATTTGAATTTTAGCTGAATATTTCTTCACAATTATGTACAACTATTGATGCTGTTTATCTTACTTTCTCATGGCTCTTTCCAAGTTTCTTGATGCACGCAATGATTATGCCTTTAAAAGAATATTTGTCACCGAGAAAAATTAAAGATATTCTCATTCATTTCTTGAACGATATTTTAGGCTTTACTGGCTTAGCTGCTATTCATGATGTTGAATTCTTAGCTAACATTTTAGACCCTGAAATTGCCGCTAAAAAGCAGAGTATTGTTGATGTTCTTTCTAAAGACTCTCAAGGTTCAAGATACATCATAGAGATGCAGTTCACTAATACCAAGGGCTTCGAAAAACATGCCCAATATTATGCTGCCAAAGCCTACTCAAGTCAAGCTGATCAAGGTGATGATTATTACAACCTCAAAGAAATTATCTTTATTGCTGTTGCTGATTGTATTATTTTTCCAGATAAGGCTGAGTACAAATCTAATCATGTCATTTTAGATCAAAATAGCTTTGAACATGACTTAAAGGATTTTTACTTCGTATTCATAGAACTACCAAAATTTAAAGACCAACTAGAAAATATAATAGAAAAATGGTGTTACTTTTTTCGATATGCAGCAGAAACAAACGAAGAGGACCTAGATAAAATAGTTGGTAGTGACACAATAATAAAAGGAGCTTATAAAGAGATGAATAAGTTTAATTGGTCAGAAGAAGAGTTACTAGCATATGAACAAATGAAAAAACGCATAATAGATGGGATGGCTGCTTTTGCTCAAAAATTAAATGAGGGTCTTAGAGTCGGTCAAGAAAAAGGTAGACAAGAAGAAAAAATCGAAGTTGCAAAAAACTCACTCAAGGCCGGTGTATCTATTGATGTTATCTCTGAAATCAACGGCCTTTCTGTGAACGACATTAAACAACTTCAGGAAGAAATTGTCTGATATGATCTTTGTAGTTGTTTTTCTAGAGTTGGATCATTTAAATAAGCTTGAGGTTAATCGACTAACATAGTAAAAAAAGCAGTAGTAAGAGTACTGGCCATAAAATTAACTGCTACTTTAACTAGTTGTTCTAATAAAGATCATTTCGGCTTACGTGTTTGCTCTGCTTCTTCAATTTCACGTTTTTAACCTATAAAAGGAATTACTTTAGTTGCTTGTACTACTTCTTCTATGTTCTTGCTATTTCTCAAGCTATCAAGATATTCTCTAGCTGTCATAATTACTTCTTTTTTATTTAGATGGTCCTGAAGTTTTTCGCTACTTAATTCATATCAGCATTGATAAGCAACGGTGCACTTGTATTTTTAACACTTTGAGCATCAATTATACAGACACTGGTTTTCTCTTTTCTACCATTGTTGTTACGGACATTTCCAACTAATTTTTTAAGACCAATTCTAGCAAACTTGGTTCTTCTCCGTTCTTTTTATTCCAAGTTTGAAAATAGTAATATATGTTTTCCCACCTTGGAAAGTTCTTTGGCAACATTCTCCACTGGCAGCCACTTTTCAGGACGTATAGCACTCCACAAAACACATCATATAAGTCAAGTTTTCTTGGTTTTATTCTTTTTCTACTATTGTCTAAAATTGCTCTGATTTTTCCAAATTTCTTTCGACTTATATCACTTGGATAACTTTTTTGCATAGATATATACCTCTTTCTTAAATCTATGCCTATTTTAACTCATCTTTCCAAGATTCTTAACAGGTTCTAAGGAAATTTAATGCAGCCAAAGCAAGTGTAACAGATATTTCCAAGTAAGACATTTTTAAAGAACTTACGCCTTTAATACACCTACGCATTCGTATGCGGTAGCGAAACAACGAAAAAACTGTAAGTAGTGTGGCAGGTTTTCGCATATGATATATCTCACTCTAGCACATAGATAGATGAAATAGTTGCGTCCTTGTCAGTATTGTTTCGCAAGGACCTGCGAAATGGCCGTTACACAGACGCATACGTTTCGCTAGTGATGTTTCGCATCGCAAAGCGTCAGCTCGCGTTCTGTCGGTGAGGACAGATTTTCGCGCCATGGATGCCGAAAATACTGAATTATTTTTTCATTCTATTCGAGATTATCCCGTATTATACGCAATTGGACACGCAGATTATAAAAATACGTACAAAAAAGAGGTAGCATGGAGAAAACTTCAAGAAAAGACTCGGATAGATGGTAAGAAATTTATTGTTTATATTTCATACAGACATACATTTTATGTTTTTAATTTTCTTTGAAATAATTTACAAATTTTGATCGAACATTAAACGCTGCTAAGTCTGCCCTATGTCTATTGGCATGCATTGGTACGAATGCTCTTAAAGTGTCCGAAAATTGTTTATTTTCGTATGTGTGTGCACCTTCTTGTATCTGCAATAAGTTATGCAAGCATACTGCAGCTTTAACAATTTTAATAGTATTATTCAAATCTGTTTCAAAGGGCCTCAAGAATATTCTAAATTTTTGTGCTAAAATGCCAAACGCACATTCTACTACTACTCGTGCCCTACTTAATGATTTATTAAATCTTTTTTTAATATTGTCAGTCATTGCTGCGTCTCTAGTGAAAGGTCTCATTAGAAAGGTTTCTAATTTAAATCCTCCATCTGCAATGAATACATGTGGTGTAGTCTGTTGGAAACCTGGCAAATGTTTTGGAGCTGGCAAATTCAGATCCCGTCCACTTTTTAAAAGCTGATAAAATGATGAGTTCTCAAATATTGTACTATCGGAATCTTTACCATATGATCCTACATCTATGTAAGTAAATTTGTAATGTGGATCAACTATTGCCAATAACACAGTAGAAAATCGTTTTTTATAGCAATAGAACAGTGAGCCGCTGTTAGGTGGACATTTAATAACAATATGCTTGCCGTCAATACTCCCGAGGGAATTAGGAAAACCCCATATTGTTTGAAATGCTTCAGCTATTTCCAACCATGTTTTAGTAGAAGGAACCGGGATGTACTCTGGCTGTAGTATCTTCCAAATTTGTTCGCATACTTGAGTTACTATCTTTGACACGGTGCATTCACCCAAACGATAAGAGAAAGATATTGTTGTGTATGTGTCACCAGTTGCTAAAAACCTGAAATATTGTTACAGTTAAAACTATGAAAAATAAATGGAGAAACCTAAGATTTATTTCATGCACCCAGATTCTACGCTTTCTCTTTAGTACTGACACCAGCAATAACAATTCTTCTTCTTCAGAATCTGAAAGCGATGACTGAGATGACATTCTGAAATTACGTCTGCACCTGCAGTCATCGAAAATTACAATGGCATATCATTGCGAAAAGTTGCGAAAACATTGCTGTGTACTAATGTTCCGCAGATATTTCGCTACGCAGTAGTTCCGCAGAGACTCGCTGCCGCATACGAATGCGTAGGTGTACTAACGCCTTTATATTGGTTGCAAATTTTATTTTAAGGGTTATATTAAGCCATTTAATGAGGCACAAATGATTGAAGATAGACATATTGTTTCTCGCTTATGGTTAGCTATTCAGCCAGAGGATGCTATTAATCAAATAGATAGATATGGATATACTTTTTTACACTTAGCTTTTCAACCAGGTAATGTTGAGATAGTAAATCCTTTAGTAGGAAGAGGTGCTGATGTTAATAAAGCAGATAAGTGTGGATCTGCTCTTTTAAATTTTGCTCCTCAAATAGGTGTGTTTAGTCCAAAGCAGTTAGTACGATATAATTTATTTGGTAGTAACGGCCTTGAAGGCATTTCATCTTGTGAATTTCCACATTTTCCTGGAGAGGTATTTAAGATTAGCAGTGAAGAAAATCAAGTAATAGATAGTTTAGAAAGCAAAATAGAAAATCTACAACAGGAAAATTTTGATCTTAAAAAAATGTAGAGTTACAAAAACACTATAAGAAAAGAGTAGAAGAGCATTACGAAGAAGTAAGTGAACTTACCAGAGAAATGCAAACCCTAGAAGGGAAAATTAAAAATTTTGAAATTAAATTACAAAAAAGGACGAGAAGTTTAACTGAAAATGATCAAGACATCGAACAGCTAAAACAGGAAGTAGAAATATTATTATTATAAACTCAGAACAAAAATGATGTAATTAAGAACTTAAATAACCAATTAAAAGAGGCAAAGGATGAAATTCAGTTAACAGAAAAAATAAATGAAGAGTTACAGCAAAAACTGTATTTGACTGAAGCTGAGTTAAACAGAGTAAGAAAAGAAAGTACAGTGCTGATAAACAATATAGAGGATTTGAAAGTTAATTATGAAAATCATATACTAGAAAAAAAGAAGGAACTTAATGATATAAGAGATCAATTGTGTATTTATCTATCAGAGCATAAAGATCTATTTGCAGGATTCAGTAGCCTGCAGCAGGAAAACGAGAGTTTAAAACAAAAAAAATTCTGTTAGCAATGAAGTGTCTCTTGCAGATGAAATAAACAAAGAAAACGTAAGAAAAGAAATAACAAGACCTCATTCTATACCTGAAGTAGAAACCAGGTGTATTAAAGATAATGATGATCAAGAACCAACCTGGCTATTTAGTGAAGGAGAAAATAATCAATATGATAAAACAAGTGAAGATAAAAACCTTGAAAATATCGATTTCGAGATTGGAGTATGGAATGAAGCTGATAATGAAAGTAGCGATGATCATAAATCAACTCGGCTATATGGAAAAACAGAAAATTGTCTAACAAGTGAAGATAAAAACCTTGAAAATACCGATTTCCCGATTGAAGTATGGAATGGAACAGATAGTGAAAGTGACGATGACGACAATATTAGTCCTTGCCCTGATTATGATGAAAGTTTTGGTAGGCATTACAGTCAACTATTCTATGATGAAAGCATAATTTATAAAGAAAAAATATTTTTGTTTTAATTCGTCAAAAAGATTCTTTTTCTCTATCGAAAGTAAAATTGAATACAAGAGAAGAAGAAAAGTATAAAAGTATCTGGCAAAAAATAAATAAGATCCATAATTATCTCGACATTTTAGATTACTTTGGTAGCGAAGAAGATTATGAGGAGTGCGAAAAAGAACTTGATAAAGTTATAAGTGCAGCACTGGAACAAGGAATAATGTTCACTTTTCCATATAAATCTGATATATCCTTGATAGATTGTATAGCTGACACATTTCGAAAACTATATTTATCTGCTGGCACTACTCGAATTTATGAGTTCTTACACAAGAGAAAAATATTTCAGGTAATATCAGAAGGTGCATCTTTAAATAGATCGAGCGATGAAGAGCATGAAGATTTTGTGAACATAATTTGTTCAGATGTAGGTACTTTGATTAAACGATCCGAAAACCTTTCAAAGCTTAAGGAATTAGCACTTGAAAGTATTATGAATAAAAGTAAGCAAGTTGATGAGCATGATTTTATATTAGAAATAGATAATGGATATTTTTGCATAGATTATCCACAAAATAGTATTATTGAAGTTGCAAGGATATTAAATAATCAAAAAGCTAAAGATTTAAATCTAAACTTTGGTATACTTCAAGTTGGAAACAGTATAATTAGAGTTGAAAATATAGGATGAAAGAGAAATTATACAGATTTCTCGGGAGATATCATTGAAATGTCTTTTACCACTGAAGTAGGAGAGATAAGTATTAATCTATGTCCCAATGAGAAAGATAGTAATAAAACAGAGGTGAGGCTTGTCGATGAAGTAAGGTTTAACAAATTAGAGAATAAATCAAGTTTAGGACAAAACTGTCTATTAGGGGGAAAAAGTGTTTTAACAGCTATAGAAGATGGGTATTTTAAAAGAAATAGCAGCGTATTTGAAGAGTTAGATAAGGATATTAAACAGTCAGATTATACAATAGAAAATCCATCTAGCTTTCTAGTGGTGGGTAATAAAAATCAACCACTCAAAGTAAATGCAAGGGGATATGGTCCAGGATTATGATGATACAAATTATCTGCATTATATTAAAATGTAAAAACAAGAGAAGCAAGATGCCTTTTAATTTAGAGCCAGGCGGTGTTGGTTATAGTGATAAACACAGGATTGCAACTGTCAAAATATATGATAAAGAGAGAAGGAACTTAACTACTGAAATTCATTATATTTATGTGTAATAGTTCAGACTTAATTTGACTGACACAAATTAACTGACAGAATAATTGACAAAGTCAAAACCAATGTCAGCATCAGATTTAATACTATAAATATTTTTCTGATAAGCAATATGCACGCTATCGAAAAAAGTTTGCATAGGTGTTTTTCCGTAGCAATATTTACCTGAATGTGGCCTAGATCTATTGTAAGAATGTATCCAATGATCTTCATCTAACTGAAGTTCTGCCAAAGAAGTGTAAATTTTTTTTCTAGAGATAATATTGTAACACTCATCTTAACTTCTTCATTGTAACACGCATATTTTTATGAAACCTCTCGTATATGCCATTAGTTTGTGGAGAATTGGCCTTAGTTCTTGAATGATCAATATTTTCAATTCGCAAATAAAGCTGTGATTCTCCGGTTTGCCACAGCCCCTATCAGTCAAAATGCAGGATAATGGTACATTTTGTCCATCAAAGAATGGTATGGCTCTATCATTAAGAAGATCTCCGGCAGTAATTGTTTTGTCTGTTTGCCATAGCAACTCTTGAATAGATATCAATGAAAGTTTGCTGTTCTTATACCCTTCTACATAATAAGTGTCTTGAGAACTCAAGTAACCAGGATGCTCTGTTTCAATTTCACCATGTGCTTCCCTTTGTTCTTTCACTTTCTCTAAAGCTGCAAGTTGCTCTTCAGTTAAAATTATGCCATCTTGTGCAACCTTTGCTTCAAGGGCTTTAAGTCTTTTTTGAACGTTTCAATGTCCTCTCTTAGCCACACAGATCTTACTCCACCTTCGTAAATCCCTTTTTCTCAGCTCATTTGAAGCTCTTTGTTGTCCATATGCTGGAAATTCTGTTGCGATATTTACGACTGCTCTTTCTATGTCTTCGGAAACTCTGTTTGCCATAAGTGGTTTTTTCTTGCTTATCTCATGCAGCAGCGCTTCTTCTCCTCCATTTTCAATATAAATCCCTTGAATCGATAAAACGTATCTCTTGAGTAGCCCATACGCTTGAGATACATTGCCTAATTGTTTTGCTAACCCTAACTTTGGTTTTAGTATTTTTGTTTCTCATATCTAACACTCCTTTCTTTTATTATTTTATAACTTACTTTTTTAAAATGTCAGATCAGATATTGTTTAATACACATTACCTATATCTCAACTTGATATCTTTTTTCCTGATAGACTGAAAATTCAGTTGAGCTAAAAGTGTGATTTGACAAATTTTATTTAATAATCCTAACCCTCCTGCTATTTCTCCTTACCCTGAATTATAATTCTGCCCTTGATTCACTACAACTTTAGCATTGCTATTTTCAAGTGAATTTGAAGGACTATTACAATAGTATATGACCGCAGCAGCAACAAGACCAATCCCTACTATTATTCCTGTTGTTAACAAACTAGCTGAGAAGGAGAAATATGCAACGAATGCAGCAGGTATGGCAATTGTTGCTAATGTTATGGCTATTACCTTACTTTTTTTTTTGCGTACTTTAGTTATAGTAGTACTTCTATTACCTAAACTATTAAGCTGTTTTTTATTGTATTGAGTATCATTTTGTTTAGCTTCTTTATTGATTACCGAAGGTGATATTATTGGTGCTAGTGAATCGTGGTGGTTAATGTTACCACTCTCTGGTAGGTAAAGATTTTTAGTACCAGGTGCTGATAGTGTGGTAGCATCTTTGTTATCTCGATTAGTAAGATGCTTGCTACTGCTTCAAATGCTGCTTTTTTGTTCTAAAGTTAGTGTTTCAACATTTTCACCTATAACAACTATACTATTAGTATTGCTATTGGATACTGGAGGTAGAACTTCTAGATGCGGATCTTGTTGATTATCTTTAGCTTGCAAGTTACCTCCTCTATTTTCCACAGTTACTGCAAGTTTTTCCTTAACATATTTAGCTGTATGCATGTTGCTAACATTTGAAGAAGCTTCAACTGAACTTTCCGATTGTAATACTTGCTGAATATCTTCAGGAATGGCACGTTTTTTTATAGTTGATGTTTTCACTTTTCTGTCTAAAGATGAGTTTTTTTCTACTATCCCTACTTAATTAGACGAAGCAACATTTTTCATTACTGGAGTAGTGTTAACTTTTTCGCTAGGAGTTTGCATCCCAAAATTGCTTATGTTATCTTGTAATACTTTTACTTTTACTTTTACTTTTTTCAAATTGAATCTCAGGTGATAGAAACATAAGATTATTCTATGCAAAAAGCTGTATCTTAGCAAAACTCTCTCTCTCTCTAGCACAACAAAAAATATATTATTTACTTTTTCCAAAAACATAACAATAGCGCCTACCTTTGTGAGAACACATTGTGTAAAAACACGGTTGTGAAAATAAAAAGGTAAAATATTTGCAACAAAGTTAGGCAAAATAGTTCGTACGTAGATTTAGCGAAAGTGATCCAATTTAGCTGATTTCAGCGTATAATAAAATTACCATATAAAAAGTTCGTATTGGTACACATGGTAGTCCAATGCATTCCAAGAAGAACACTTCTCACCGTCTTTGGTTTTCAGCGCTGGAAATAGTTAATTCAATTTATATATTGATACCAATCCTCACAAATAACTAGACAAATAATTCAAAGAGCAAATGTTTTTGATTGAACTTTCCGTAATATCTCGAATAAATTCAGATAAAGCATTTTCGAGTAATTTAATCGAGTCATACTTATTGTTTTTTATTAGATTGTCCTTTAAATATTGCCAAAATCTTTCTATATGATTAAGCTCAGGCGAGTACGGTGGCAAATAAATTATGGTGATATTTTCAGGAGTTTTTAAACCTTTAGATCTATGCTAGCTTGCGCAATACATGATAAGAAAAGCTTCTCTATTCCCCAAATCTTTTGACACTGCTCCAAAAATATGTTCATGCAATCTGTGTTCACATGTGGAACAAGTAGGCTAACATCATCTCCATTCCTTGGATTTACAGCGCTCTAAAGATAGAAATTTTCTCTTCCGATTTTTACTTTAACTTGTGTTCTTGAGCCCTTTTTAAACCATCCATGTCCAATTTTTGAGTTTGTTCCAAATCTCGATTCATCGAAAGAAATACCTCTTTTTGCTGGTTCTTTTCCACAATTTCATTGAGATTTTTTTTGAACTCCTCTTGTTTATTTTTGTCTTGTTTATAATCTGCTGGGCGAGGTGTGATATATGTAAATCCTAGCTTTTTCATAAGCCTTCTCGCTGTTGACTCGCTTACTTTGATAGCTAACATTCCTTCAACTATAACTTGCAATTTTTTAGCAGTCAGATTTGCCCCATCTTCTTCTATTACCTCTCTTATTTTTTCCCTCTTCTCCTAGTTCAGTTTTGGTTTAGGTTCTCGCCCTGGCTATATTGCAAGCCCAACAACACCTTTTTCTTTTAATCTTGCAATCCATTTCATTAATGCGGTTCTCGTAATTCTATATATTTTAGCAACTTTTGAGATACCATACTCCTTTGCTGATATTATTGCTTGTAATACCAATTTCCATTAGTAATAAAACAAATGAAAAAGAGCTCTTTTTGCCTATAATTAGGGAGTTAAGCAAATTTGTAACCTACCTCATTTGTCTTCCCCATAACGATTATTGGTATAAAATAATAATTGACAGGTTTTAACAATGGAATATCATCTCTGAGAATTATTAAGTTCTATTACGTGAGAGGGGTGAAATTTAGATTAGAAGAAAATTTCTCCAATAGGCCTTTCATTTAGATGTGACTATAAGTGTTAAGTTAATAATGAGTGCATCAAGGGTTTATATAGTGGTTTTGTTGTATCAAGAATAGTAAAAGGGTACTATATAAGAGCTATGTTTAGTGTTTCAAGAGAAGATGTCAATTCAAGGGAAAGACTTAAATTTGCAGAAGCCATTACTAATAAAAGCAATAGAGGTCTTTTCTTAAAATTCTTAGATACAGAAAAAGGAAAAACTATCTTTAATTCCTTTGTTAAGAATAAATGTATAAGTAGTGCATCTGGTATTCTTAGTCCATTGACAGGTAATGCTGCAGAAGTGGTTGAGAAGTTCCATAATAAGTTGTTCAATCTTCAGGGAGAACCAACATCAGAACTACAAAACATGTTAAATCTGGGGATCACTCTAACTAATCTGGATAACATTCTGAGCAAAGCACGAGTAAGGGCTCCAATAGCATTCGAGAAACTCTACACCGTTTTATTTGATAATGAAGGAAGAAATACATCAAAGCTAGAGTTCATGTTACATGCTGGGATAATTTTGAATGATATAAAAACTATTCTGTCTAAGACAGAAATACGTGCTGCAGAAGTATTCAACGCATTTTATGATGTTTTGTTTGATAATAACGGAGATCACAAACCATTGCTAAAACATATACTAAATGGCAATATAGCTGTAGGGGATATTGTCCATATTGTGCATGGAAAAGGGCCGTTGGCTGTGGAATTACTTCAAGAATTTATTGGCGCCCTATATAATGATGAAGGAAACCCATTACCAAAGCTGCAACACATGTTAAATAGCGGGTTAAATATCCATAATATAGCTCAGATGATGAGTGGAGCAGGAATAGAGGCTGTACAGACATTCCATAAGTTATATGATATTTTGTTTGATACTGAAGGAAACCCATCACTAAAGCTGCAGCGTATGTTAAGTGGCGGATTAAATGTCTCTAATGTAGCTCGAATACTAAATGGAGCAGGAAAAAATATTGCAGAAGTATTCGATAGATTATGTCATATGTTGTTTGATGCTGAAGGAAATCCAACACCAAAGCTACAGCACATATTAGATAGCGGGCTAACTATAAGTAATGTATTAACTATTATAAATGGATCAACATCAAGAATTGAAGTAATATTCAATAGTGTCCATAATCTTTTGTTTACTAGAGAAGGAAATCCAACACCAGAGTTAGATCATTTTTTTAAAATCAGGTTTCAATCTAGTTAGTTTATTTTACATTGTCAAAGCATCAAGAAATTTTTTTTATTGATATTTAGAGAATTTCATGATGCTTTATTTGATGCTGAAGGAAATCCAACACCACGGCTGCAGCATTTTATAGATGGAGAGGTAACTCTTTCCTTTGTGTGCTCTGTGATTGGAACAGCAGGAGCGAAGGCTCCAGACGCATTCAAGGAATTGCATGATGCTTTGTTTGATGCTGAAGGAAATCCAACACCAGAGCTGCAGCATTTTATAGATCAAGATTTAACTATAAGTAATATTTCCAGCATGCTAAGTGGAGCAGGAGGAAAGGCTCCAGAAGCATTCAAGAAATTGCATAATGCTTTCTTTGATGCTGAAGGAAATCCAACACCAGAGCTGCAGCACATGTTAAATAACGGGATAAATATATCTAGTATATCCAGCGTTATATCTGGGTCAAAAGCAAAGAGTGCATTGATATTCAAGGAATTGCATGATGCTTTGTTTGATGCTGAAGGAAACCCAACACGAGAGTTAGAGGATTTTATAGATAACAATATGGAGTTTGATTGCTTGTCTGGCATCCTAACTGGAGCGGGGGGTAAACGCTGCAGAAGCATTCAAGAAATTGCATAATGCTTTGTTTGATAGTACGGGAAAAACGTCACTAGCGCTACAGCATTTTATAGATAGCGGGATAACTTTTTCCAATGTGTCCTCCGTAATTGGGGGGAGCGGGACTAAGGGTTCGAGAAGTATTCAAGAAGTTTCATGATGTGTTGTTTGATGATAGAGGTAAACCAAAGCCAGAGCTACAGCACATATTAGCTTATGAGTTAAGGCTACCTAGCATATTTAGTATACTTTCTCAATCAAGAGCAAAGGCTCCAGAAGCATTCAAGAAATTGCATGATGTTTTATTTGATGCTGAAGGAAATCCAACATCAGAGCTGCAGCATTTTATAGATCAAGATTTAACTATAAGTAATATTTCCGGCATGCTAAATTCAACAGGAATAAACGCTGCAGAAGCATTCAAAAAATTTCATAATGTTTTGTTTAATGATAGAGGCAGACCAGCACCAGAGCTACAGAATGTATTAGATAGCGGAATAAGTTTATCTTCTGTGTCTTCCATTATTGGTAAAGCAGGAGGAAAGGCTCCAGAAGTATTCAAGAAATTGCATGATGTTTTGTTTGATGATAGAGGCAGACCAGCACCAGAGCTACAGCATATATTAGATAGTGAGATAAGTTTACCTTCTGTGTCTGCTGTTATTAGTAAAGCAGTAGTACATGCTTCAGAAGCATTCAAGAAGTTTCATGATGTTTTGTTTGATGATAGAGGTAAACCAAAGCCAGAGCTGCAGCATATACTGAAGGAAAACTTGAATATCAGTAGTATATCCTTAGTGTTAAAGGGATCAGGAGTACATACTCCAGAAGCATTCAAGAAATTTCATGATGTTTTGTTTGATGGTAGAGGCAAACCAAAGCCAGAGTTACAGCATATATTAGATAGTGAGATGAGTTTTTCCTCTTTGTGCGGTGTACTATTTGAGGCAAGGACTCCAGAAGCATTTAAGGCATTTCATGATGTTTTATTTGATGCTGAAGGAAACCCAACACCAGAGCTACAGCATATAATAAGTAGCGAGTTGATTATGAGTAATGTACTCAGCATATTAACTGGATCGGGAATAAGGGCTCCAGAAATATTCAAGTCATTTCATGATGTTTTGTTTGATGCTGAAGGAAAACCAACATCAAAGCTACGTAGTGTATTATCTGGTAAGGTGAGTTTCTCCTACATATCCAGTGCGCTCTCTGGATCAGGAGCGAAGGCTGTGAAGACATTTAAGAAATTTCATGAGGTTTTGTTTAATGATAGAGGCAAACCAACACCAGAGCTACAGCATATGTTAGATAACAAAATACATTTATCTTCTATATCCAACATCACAAATGGATCGAAAGAAAGGGCTTCAGAGATATTCAAGAAATTGCGCGATGTTTTATTTGATGCTGAAGGAAAACCAACACTATCAGCATATATTGATGTAAGGATTAAGATTTCTAACTATATCCTGCGTTCTTTCTCAGACGGGAGAAAAGGCTCCAGAAGCATTCAAGGCATTTCATGATGTTTTATTTGATGCTGAAGGAAAACCAACACCAGAGCTACAGCATATATTAGATAGCAGGATAAATTTGTCTTCTCTGTCTGGTATTATTAATGGATCAAAAGCAAACGCCCCAAAAGTATTCAAGAAATTCCATGATGTTTTGTTTGATGCTGAAGGCATACCAACACCAGAACTGCAGCATATGTTAGGTGACAAGGTGAATTTTTCTACAGTATTCAGTATGATACCTGCTCGAATAGGAGAAGAAGCCCCAGAAGTATTCAAGAAAGTGCATGATGTTTTGTTTGATGTTGAAGGAAAACCAACACCAGAGCTACAGCATATATTAAATAGCGGAATTTCTCTAGCTGGTGTGTCTTCCATAATAAGAAAATCAGGAACAAAGGTTCCATAGGCATTCAAGGCATTTCATGATGTTTTATTTGATGCTGAAGGAAAACCAACACCAGAGCTACAGCATATATTTGATATGAAGATAACTTTTTCCTTCCTGTCCTGCGTATTAACCTATTCGGGAACAAAGGCTCCAGAAATATTCAAGGCATTTCATAATGTTTTATTTGATGCTGAAGGAAAACCAACGCCAGAGCTACAGCATATATTAGATAGCAGGATAAATTTATCTTCTCTGTCTACTATTATTAGTAAAGCAGGAGCAAAGGTTCCAGAGGCATTCAAGAAATTGCATGATATTTTGTTTGATGCTGAAGGAAACCTAACACCAGAGTTACAGCATGCATTTGATAGCGGGATAAGAATTACCAGCATATTCCGTGTTCTAGTTCAATCAGGAATAAATCATGCAAGAGTATTCAAGGCATTTCATGATGTTTTGTTTAATGATACAGGAAAACCAACACCAGAGCTACAGCATATATTAAATAGTAAGATAAGTTTCAGCAGCATATCCAGCGCGCTATCGGGGTCAGGAGTAAGGATCGCAGAAGCATTTAAGAAATTCCATGATGTTCTGTTTAATGATAGAGGTAAACCAACACTAGAGCTACAGCGTATATTGGATAGCAAGATCAGTTCTCGCGCACTGTTAAATGTTTTAGCCAAGGCGGGAGCAAATGCCGCACAGGCATTTAAGAAATTGCATGATGTTTTATTTCATGCTGAGGGCATACCAACACCAGAGCTACAGCATATACTAAATAGTGAGCTAACTCTGGCTAATTTTTTCAGTATTGTAGCTAATGCAGGAACAAATGCCGCAGAGGCGTTTAAGGTATTGCATGATAATTTCTTTGATTATTATGGTGAACTACAACCATTGAAGTTGAGGGAAATTTGGTGTGGTTAGTGGAGAAGGAGGGTTTTTTTTTTGATGGGAGGAAGAGGTGGGGAGATGTTTTGTTTGATGCTAGAGGTAAATCAAAGCCAGAGCTACAGCATATATTAAATAGCAACATAGATTTTGGCATTATATCCAGCGCGCTATCGGGGTCAGGAGTAAGGACTGCAGAATCATTCAAGAAATTTCATGATGTTTTGTTTGATGATAGAGGTAAACCAAAGCCAGAGCTACAGTATATATTGGATAAAAAAATAAGTTTTGCTGAAGTGTGCAGTGTTTTATCTAAAACAGGAGTGGAAGCTGCAGAATGTTTTAAGGAATTATGTAGTTTTTGGTTTAGTCCTCAGGGAGAAAAAGTGGACGATGATTATATAGCTTCTATCTTTAATCTTGAGAGGATGGGAAACAATTCATTATTTAATTTTGGTAAAAATATTGCTAGCATCTATAAAGTCTTATCAAGATGGCCCGTAGAGGTGTTAACAAGTAGAAATGTCCAATACCTTGCTGGTAAGCTTATAGAAAATGGAAAAAAATTCTTCAAGGATTTTGAGTTTCAGGAGATTGTTTCTGTCTTTAGCGGGCTAATAAGGTTATGTAAAATCAACCAGGAATTAGCTACTTCTTTTCATGTCACTTTTAATGCTTATGTTTACAAGAGTTTTGCTTCTGATCTTCTAAATCAGGCTATTAAACTTGCTCCTGAACAACATAATATAAAGCATATTACAAATATGATCTATAGCTTGTCTGCATTAGTTCATAACAATTTAGTAATAATAAAAAGTCAGCTATCTATATTAATTGATTCTTTAGTTGGATGTCTTAGTAATTGTGAGTTAGATAATATTTACTCTGATAAAAATTGTTTGCATATTTCTTTTGTTATAACTTGTTTGGATATGCTTGTCGATCTTGTTTATCGAGAAAAAGAAACTCTTGTTGATAAAGGATTTATTAACAATATAGTAAACTTACTTTCTAATATTAATAGTTTTCAGACCAATATTTCTTCTTCTAGTAATATATTGTTGGTATTAAGTAAAATATCAAGATCGGTGGGAGAGAAAGCAGAAGCAAATTTCTTAGTAAGGGCTATTGGTAAGGTGCTAGATAAGCTGCAGTATATTCATCAATGTTCAGATCAGGATTTACCATCAGAAATATCTTCTACCATTGGTCAGTTGTCAGATCGATTAAAAAATTTATTATATTCAAGCTGGTTCTCAGACCATCTTTTTTTTTCTGTAACATACCCTTAAGTGAAAAAGAGAAATTATTAAAAAGCATAGGAAGAGATGGTCTTGTGGAAGCCTCGAAAAGCCGTTATCTAGTCACCGATAATATACTGATTGATAAAGATCAATCAGAGAAATATACTTTGACGCAATTTAAGGAAAAACTTAAGAAAGAAGGAAAAGTCAAGTACGAGGAGGGTATTGAAAATTATGTTCGGTATAATCACGGTGCGCCTGACTTCAATTATGAATTTAATATAGAGAAAAATCATTCTAAGATTATGATTGCAAAGGTTGCCTACTTAGTAGACAGAACGGTTTACGGGGTATTTTTAGCAACTAACGAAAGTATAGCACCTAAAACTTTCCTAGGGACCTACGTAGGAACAGGGATGGAAGATAACAAGGAAATGAACCAGCATGTTCTGGAGCACGATTCAACAGTATCAATTGTTTCAGAAAAAGGACGCAACTGGGCAAGTTACATGAATCATGTATCAACAGGCAACTCCAATGTTAGGTGTATTTTAAAAAGGATATGTAGGCATATCTATCTTGAGCACAAGTAGAGAAATTTTGCCTGGTCATCAACTGCTTTGTGATCATATGCAAGATTTTTCTTATAAATTAGGTTACACTTCCATTTATCCTCATTATACAGATAATTACGAGTCACCTGCGCAACGTTATAATAGAGCAAAAGATTTTTATTATGATTATGTTATTGATCTTGACAAGGAGATTACTAGAGATTTAGGATATCGTGGGTCAAAGCATTTTGTGGTAACTAAATTATTTAAACAAATATATGACAAACATAATTCTCAAGAAGAATATGCTTCAAGCAGAGCAGTACTATCGTTAGAAGGATTAGATGTTCCAATCTATGTAGTAACTTTCAGGGATAAGAAATGGAGTTTTGATAGATATGATAGGCAACAACAGATAACTCTCTTAATGTTCGCATGTTATTTAGGACAGGAAGATACCATAAAACTGTTATTAGAAAAAAAAGATGATGTTACCCGTCAGTCATTGCATACTGGAAATAATGCATTTTTTTACAGTTTTAAGTAACAAAACTAATTCAGAAACAAAAAAAAGAATCCTTAACCTCCTAATTAATCATCTAGAAAGAGCAGAACAAGTAAATGGCAATAAGAAGCAGGTCATATCTTTAGATCTAGGGTGCTGTGTACTACTGACTCTTCTGGTTATAACCTATTTGATCACCTCATTAATAGAGGTGAGTATTCATTATATCAAGAATTGTATCGAAAACTCAGTCCCGAATGGCAGAGAAAAGTTGCAAGAAAGTTTATGATTGATAGAGGAGTATTCAGTATGGTATTGACCTTAGGTGAAGAGGGATATATCAAAATAATAAACCTGTTGCTGAAAAATATTTCCATAAAATTCATAAAAGAACATTTTGAGAGTTTTGAAAGAAAAGACATTAATCATAAGAAAGTATTTGAAAGGTTGTTAGTTAATAACAGAGATGAGAAATTGAACAACTTGAGAAAGCTTACAAATCTTAACAAATATGTAAGGAAGGAGATTGAGATATTCACGCTGGTATTCTGTGAGAGCGTGGTCCTTCCCCGTTCGAGCCGACCCATTCGTGCTACAACTATACTACTAATATAACTGCAGCATGGCTCTACCACGTAAAATTACTTGGTGGAGCCATGCTATATTTTTGAGAGTTAGCAATGTCAGAGTTTGCAGGTGTAGATACGGAAATCAAAAAGCAAAATTCTGTGTGCAAGCAGATGCATTTTAGCGTGAGCCGTACAAGTCTTTTTAATACATTATCCAGAGTAAGTGGAGTGGTTGAAAGGCGTAATGCAATAGATGTTTTGTCGTGTATAAATATCAAAGCACAACACGGCAGCATAAAATTAACGGTAACTGATCTTGACATTTCAATGTTTGCCTCACTTGCTGCAAACGTATTAACAGAAGGAGAAGTAAAAATTTCAGCACATACTTTACATGACATAGTGAGGAAGTTACCCGCTGATTTGGATGTCAATTTTGAAGCAAACAACCAAAGAAAATTATTGATTTCTTGCGGAAATGCAAACTTTTCTTTGCCGAATGTAGTTTCAAGTAGCTTTCCTGCTCTTGAAGAAGATAATTACAAACATGATTTTATTCTACTAAATACGGACCTGATATACTTATTAACTAAAACAAATTGCTGTATCACTAGATGATACAAGGTATAATTTAAATGGAATATATCTACATGCAGACGAGCAGCTTCTGTACTGCGTTCCAACTGATGGTCACCGTTTATCATGTATAAAGAGACCAAAGCCTGGGAACATCAATGGCGAATTTGGTGTGATCATTCCACGTAAAACTGTTATGGAGCTGTTAAAAATATTGGATGAATGTAATGAAATTAATGTAAAACTCTCAGACATAAAAATCAAGTTTACATGCGGTGAATATATTCTAATATCAAAATTAATAGATGGGACTTTTCCAAATTATAAACCAGTTATTCCAGCATCTCAAGATAAGCATATGATTACTGAAAGTAAAAAACTTTCAGATGTTATAGATCGAGTTTCCGTTATTGTATCTGATAAAGTAAAATCCATTAAATTCTCACTACAAGAAAAGCTGCTGACTCTGCATTCAAACTCTCAAGAGTGCAATGATGCAACTGAATCCATAGAAGTGGACTACAATGAAGCCCCAATAGAAATAGGGTTTAACTCGCGTTATTTACTTGATGTTCTATCCTGCATAAAAAATAAATATAAGTTTAGCTTAGCCGATGGTAATAGTGCTACAATTATCACTGATGAAGACGATTCAAGTGTATTATATGTAGTGATGCCAATGAGAACTTAAACTTGTCATCCTGCTTATTGTTAGTACAATCTGGAGATACCGTGGCAGTATGATACTTATTTCACTAAGCATGTTACTTTTTATTAAATTAGTAATCTATCTTTACCAAATATAAGCCAAAAGGTGGTGCAGTAACTCCAGATACATTTCTTTTGCATTGGTTTAATATATTTAGCATTTCTTGTGGATTAGTTCTATTTTTTCCAAATTCAACAAAAGTACCCACAATGATCCTCACTTGGTTATGTAAAAAGGAAATAGCAGATATTTTGATGTGTATATGATTCCCATTTTGTACTATATCGATATTATCAATTGTTCTCATCGGATTTGCGGCTTGACAATCTTTTGAACAAAAACTTGAAAAGTCATGTTTTCCAAGTAAATGTTTAGCAGCTTCACGCATAATATTTACATTAAGTAGGTTAAAAACTTGCCATACATAACCTGTCTCCAGAGCGGCAGGAGCAGGAGGAGGAGGCAGAGGAGCATAGCGATTAACTATTCTGTATTCGTAATATCTTTTTTTTGCTGAAATCCTTGCGTGAAACGCATCATCTACAACTTCTGCATTCAGTACAACTATGGGAATTGATTTTAAATGATAATTTATTGCGTTTCTTCTACACTAATAATATAAAGAGGAAAGATTTGTTTGTTTGTTTGTTTGAATTGAATAGGCTCTGAAACTACTGAACCGATTTGAAAAATTCTTTCACCATTAGAATCCTACATTATTCTTGATGAACATAGGCTATAGAACGTTTTCAAAAAATTTAGGGATCCGTATGAAAACTTCGTTAATGTAACCCAAGGTGTGAAAAAAATACCAAAAAAAACCTTATATCGTGTACGCTGCGGAAACTATTGACAATAGAGCAAAGTGATGTGCTACAGTTTTATGGAGGACATCAATATCTACATAAAAGTCTGCAATACCATATGTCTAACTACTATAGTTATCTTACAATAACTACTTTTCCATGTTAAAATATTCAACAGTAACGTCGAAAAATCCTTATATCGCGTACACTGCCAGCACCATGCGATGCGGGTGTCACTGGGCTGTGATATTAGAAATAAAAATAAAATAATCAAATATTAAAAAGAACAAAAAAAAGATACGTAAAAAATAATAAAAAAATCATTATCTATACTTATATATATAATATTATAAAGAGGAAAGATGTTTTTGTTAGTTTGTACCAAATAAGTCCGAAACTACTCGACCGATTTTAATAAATTTTTACCAATAGAAAGCTAAATTATAGGGGGGGGGAGGGGGAGTGGATAAAATTTAATTTTTTTGTATAACGTGTATATGCCGATAGATAAAAGTACTCCATTAATTTTGCTAATTTTTTAGCTAAAATGATTGAACTAAATGAGCGAGGTGTCATATCATGTCGCGCGGCAGAGACGCGTGATATACGCGGGTGAAACCGCGGGGTACAGCTAGTATTCTATAAAGCTCAAATTCCTTTTCCATATCAAAATGAGCAATTTGTCCTAAAGCATGAACCCCTGCATCAGTCCTGCCACCGCAGTACAAAGTAACTTTCTCACCACTAAAATTAAATATAGCATTTTCTATGGCTTCCTGGATTGAATTAGCATAATGTTGCTGCTTCTGCCAGTCAGAGAAACTACTACCATTGTATTCTATCGTTATTTTGTATCGCACTGCAGAGTCTATCTAACTTTCTATCTTAATATAATTTAGGTAGCTAATTTTTCTACGATAACGTTCTTCGTTATTAAAAAACCCTTGGCAGGTTGTTCACGTTCGATTATCATGGAAGTTATACAAGTTAATAAATGATCCATGTCAAACAACTTAGAAGAAAGAAATAATGATAAGCAAAAAGCATTAGATAACGCAATAAGCCAGATTGAAAAAGCATTTGATAAAGGTGCAATAATGAAGTTGAAGCAAAACCCTGTAGAGAAAATAGACACAATATCCACAGGATCAATTGCGCTTGATTCGGCTCTAGGTGTTGTAGGTTTGCCAAAGGGACGTATAATTGAAATATTTGGTCCCGAGAGTTCTGGTAAAACCACTCTTGCCTTGCACGTGATTGCTGAGGCACAAAAAAAAGGAGGATATATATCGATGCAGAACATGCATTGGATGTCTTATATGCTCGTAAACTTGGGGTAAACACTGATGATTTAGTAATTTCGCAACCAGACACTGGGGAACAAGCATTACACATTGTTGAGTACTTAGTGTGTTCTGGTGCGGTTGATGTGATAGTTATTGACTCTGTTGCAGCGTTAACTCCAAGAGCTGAAATTGAAGGTGATATGGGTGATCAACATATGGGGCTGCAAGCAAGGCTCGGGCTACGAAAGCTAACCTCTGTCGTTTCGAAAGTGAACTGTATATTGATATTTATTAATCAAATTCGTATGAAAATAGGAGTAGTGTATGGAAATCCCGAAACTACCACGGGTGGAAATGCATTAAAATTCTATACTTCTGTAAGGCTTGACATAAGAAAAGTCGGTGTAATAAAAGAGAAAGAAAACATTATAGGCAATGAAACAAGAGTTAAAGTTGTAAAAAATAAAGTTGCTCCTCCATTTAGAGAAGCGAAATTTGATATAATGTACAATGAAGGTATATCAAAACTCGGAGAAATAATAGATATGGGAGCAAAGCTTGGTGTGCTTGAAAAAGCAGGTGCTTACTATTCATATAACAATACACGTCTTGGGCAAGGAAGAGAGAATGTAAAAACTTACCTAAAAACAAACAAAGAAGTCGCAAATGAAATAGAAATGAAAATCAGAGATTTACTCAGAAATCATGGTAATTCTATTATAATAGACGAGGATAGTGAGCAACTTTTAGAAGAATCAGTGTTCTGATCTAAACTTATTTTGTGTTGGATGGGTTGTTACGGTATGACGGTGTGTGCTAATCTGTAATGTTACCTTGTATCAAGAGGACTTTGCTGAAGCAGTTAAAAAAGCTTTTCATGAGAAATTATAAATGATAAATTGTTAACAATAGGTTATTGTGAATAAGATTATGTGTTTTAGTTTACCTAATATAAATAGGGAAGGTTATTTATTTATAGTCGTTGCCTTTATAGTAACGTGTATAGCATTCTCTATATCTTGGGGGTTTGGTGTTACGTGCTTGTTTCCGACATTATTGTGTACTTATTTCTTTCGCGATCCAACAAGAGCTGTGCCAAACAATAAGGATCTTATATTAAGTCCTGCTAATGATGTGATTTCAAAAATTGAAGAAGTTAATTATTTCGGAGAAAGAAGAAGTTTTTTTTTTCGTATACTGAAATTTTAAAAAAGGCATTGATCTGCAATGAGCAATAGGTCTAGTAATGAAAATGAAAAGCAGGTTATTGTGATTGAATACGAAAAGGGAAAATAAATTATTGTGGAGCAAATAGCTGGATTAATTGCACGTCGTATCGTTTGTAATTTAGGAGTATCCCAGAATGTGAAAGCAGGTGAAAGGTTTGGAATTATAAGATTTGGTAGTAGAGTGAATATTTATGTTCCTGCTGATATAGAAGTCAGAGTTTCAGAAGGACAAACTGTTATTGGTGGTGAAACAATTATAGCAAACTTAAATAAGGAAAACATTCAAGAGAAGCTTTCTTTTGACGTTATATGAATAACGATGGAAGTAACAGTAGATTCTTACCTATTACTAAATTATTCCCAAACTTTATAACTTTATTGGGTTTGTGTTCTGGTCTCACTTCACTTAAATTTACATTTAATGAACAATGGGAATTCCCAGTAATTTTTATCATCATTGCAGCAATAATAGATGGAATGGATGGCAGAATAGCTAGAATTTTAAAATCAACCAGCGATTTTGGAGCCCAGCTTGATTCTTTTGCAGATTTTCTAAATTTTGGTGCAGCTCCTGCATTTCTTTTGTATTTTTGGAAGCTAAACGAAATCAAAGTCATAGGTTGAATTTTAGTAATGATATACGTAATCTGCATATCAATAAGACTTGCAAGATTTAATGTTTCGCTACATTCAGAACAATCACACTGGGAAAAATTTTTCTTTTCTGGTGTTCCAGCTCCAGTGTGTGCTTTAATTTCTTTGTTACCAATAATTATTACCTTTCAATCTCATGAGAGTGAATACTTACTTCTCATAGAGAGATTTTTTAACACAAGAAACGTAGCTTATTACTTTCTGGCCATTTCATTTTTTTCGATAAGTCACATTCCAACTTTCTCTGCAAAATATATTTATGTTCCCAAAAGCCTATCCTATATATTTGTGTCATTTTTTGGAGTACTTATTATATTTTTCATCAGTAAGCCCTGGATGACGCTACCAATTTTAGGTGTAGTGTATGCACTTACTATTCCAGTAAGCACTGGGCTTTATATATATTACTCGTATAAAGCTCGTTAGCTATAAGTTGTAATAAAAGTAGTGAGACTGTTAAACTGTTAGATTCATTTCTGTACATAAAGATATTCAACATTCCATTCATAATTATTTGGGTAATTGCAACTAGGTTTTTTTGTACCATCCAATTCAAATTCACCAACTTTAGATTGTTCAAGCATGGAATACAGACGCTATTCAATCTAAAGTGTAATAACAATGGCATAATCACTCATATTCAAGCGTTTGCAACAGTAATTTCAGGAACAGTTGGTCTTAGAACAATATCAGGAGTTGCAATAGCTATCACAATAGGGGGCCCAAGTGCAGTTTTTTGGATGGCAATTACCGGAATACTTGGTATGTCGATAAAGTTTGCTGAGATGGTGCTTGCATTCACCTATCGCTCTGAAAATGCACTGGTGGGGCTTTTTATTACTTACTGAAGTACGGGCTTGCAAAAATTGTATTTGCAAAACTGGTAGATTTCTTGCCTTTACTTATACGATTATGCTACTTATTGCAATGAGTCATTTCAAGCGAATCAGATAGCAGCATTGTCAAATAACCTCTTCGAATACAACGCATCTATTATTATATCCCTGCTTATCTTTATTGTAATATTGGGAGGAATAAAGCGCATTGCTTTTGTTTCAACCACCAGTACCAATTATGATAGTGCTATATATGGGTATGTGTATATATTTAAATTATGTAAACAGAAGTAATTTGCTGAATGCTCTATCCATAATATTCCAAGACATCTTCAATAAATCAGCTATAGGAGGCGGAGTATTGAGCGGATTAATAGCAGGAGTGAGAAGATCAGTGTTTGCTAACGAAGCAGGTACCGGAACAGCAGCTATAGCACATTCAGCTGTAAAAGAAGACGATCCAATTAAAGTTGGATGCGTTGCAATGATTGCACCACTTATAGAAACGATACTAATCTCATTTTTGACTGGTATCGTGATAATTATTACTGGTATGCATATCACTGATAACGTGGGTGATATTACACTAATTAGTTCGGTATTTTCAACAGTTTTGCCCTTGTTCAGCAAGTTAGTTTTTCCGCTAATGATGTTTTCCTTTGTATTTTCTACAATAGTAGCTTACTGTTACTACTGTGAAGTTGCTCTGCTGTATTTATTTGGTAATAAAAAAATACTGATACCGTTCCAAATTCTTATAATGTTTTAGTGTATATTAGTTGTATGTCAAAAAATATAGAATTTATATCTTACCTAGGCGACAGTTTGTTCATGTGCCTTATGATTCCAAATGCTGTTGCAATATATGTATCTACTAAGAAGGGAAGTTTTGAATACAATAGATTCTTATTACAATTCTAAAGGGTATTAACATGATTTATAGATTACTTTGTATGGTGCTATTTTGCCTATTGTTTAATGATGTATACGCTGCTTCAGGTTTTTATGAAAGTTATGATGCTGTGTTGAATGGAATAAATAACTTCATGAATGAAGTGCTGTTTTTCAAAATCCTTTACGTGCCATTTATAATCTTTCTACTAGCTTTTGGTTATGTATTTCTAACATTACGTTTTGGATTTCTCAACATAAGAATGTTTAAGCATGCGTTTGCTATTTTATCTGGAAAATATGACACGAATCACCATGATGGTCATATTACGCATTTTCAGGCATTTATGACTACACTTTCAAGCACAGTAGGCCTAGGAACTGTTGCTGGAGTCGCAAACGCAGTTTCAATAGGAGGGCCAGGAGCGGTGCCTTGGATGATGATTACAGGTTTTTTTGGTATGTCAGCAAAATTTGCCGAGGTGACTTTAGCATTTAGACATAGAACAGAAGATCAAGAGCAATTGTTTAGTGGTCCCTTTCAGTATATAAGGAATGGCCTAGAGGAATTTGGATTTAAAAAACTTGGTATTGTTTTAGCTGCAATATATGCAGTATTCTTTGTATTATCAGGTCTTGGTGGAAGTGTAGCGTTTCAAACCAACCAAATGGTTTCAATATTATCTAGCTTTTCAAGTTGGGTAGATGGTCACTCTTGGTTTCTTTCTTCCATAATCTCTGCGCTGCTTGCTCTAGTGATTATTGGCGGAAAAGGATAGCTAGAGTAGCTTCTGCACTAGTGCCTATATATATGTAGTTGTTATGTCACTCATATATATATATATGTAGCTGCCTTGTTATTATTGGATTTAATATCCACAATCTTGGTCACACATTTAAGATATTATTTTCTAGCATGATAGATTTTAATGCTGTTGGCGGAGGTATAGTAAGAGCATTTGTTGCTGGAATTCAAAGAGCAATTTTTGCCAGCGAAGCTGGTGTCGGCTCTGCTGCAATTACTCATGCAACAACTAAAGATGAAGAGCCAGTAAGAACTGGGCTTGTTGCGATGATGGAACCTTGTTTTGATACAATGCTCACTTGCTGTTTAACTGGAATAACAATAGTAATAACAGGTGCATACCAGACTAGTGTTGGTGAAGGAATATTAGTCACTCAAAAAGCATTTGAGACAGTTTTTTCATGGTTTCCCATACTTTTAATCATATCTGCACCTTTGTTTGCATTTTCTTCAGTAATTTCGTTTGTATATTGTTGTGAAATGGGATGGCTATATTTATTCGGTTCTCAAAGTATAGTGATATATCGCATAGCAGTAATAATTGTAACGTTTTTTTCTGCTCTTTCTAAAGATATAGTGGCTATTGCCAATATCGGAGAAACTTTGTTCTCTTGTTTAGCTCTCATCAACATGACAGCGCTTATACTGTTTAGTAATCAGATTAACGATGAAGTTCAGTGCTATCTAAAAAGGCTGAGGAATAATAAAATTAATTAAATCTTTGATATATGTGGAGAGGTATAGCTATAATAAGTAAGATCTTCCTACGTCATACCGCCGCGGTATCTCAGCCGCTAACAAGCAGTGGGGTGACGAGGTCTTTCGATAGTAAATCTTACCTGTGTTAGCTATAGTTCTCATATTATCCTACGTAATCGGTTCAATACCGTTTAGCTTAATCATTACAAGAATAAAAGGTATAAACTTAAGAGAAATAGGTTCAGGAAACATTGGCGCTACAAACGTTGCAAGAACAGGAAATAAATGTCTTGCTACTCTGGCATTACTTCTGGATTCCTTAAAAGGATTCATCGCAGTTTATATGGGACAACAAATTTTTGATGACAATCTTTGTATATATATCTCTGCAATTTTAGCAGTTTTCTGTTTTTCTCTCAGTCCCCTCAGGACCGTCTCCTTGCTCTTACTGAGCACATCAACCTTCTAAGGTCTTTGTAATTAAACTATGCCGGAGCCCTCTGCTCCCGCAATATCTCACGGTCGTATCAAACCAAAGGGTTTGTCGCTTGTTTCATTCAATATCCGCGGTCTGCGAAATAACCTCCCAGAGCTTAGGCTTTTTCTACGAGATCGCGAAGCCGATCTCTTCCTCCTACAGGAGACCCATCTCA